GGAAACTAGCCGCGAGGAGGAACGTACTGCGTGTGTGGGTGTATGTGTATAGTTGAGTAGGACAAGAGCAAGCAGTTGGGATAGGTTCGCATGTGAACCGCGAGTACAGGCAAAACAGACAAAACAGAGGTGACCGAACCTGAACCATAATTCAAGAAACTGCTTAAATGGCTGTTGCTGGATGTAAGAAGAGTGGCAGGTGACGAGTGACGACGCATGTCGGTGATGCTGATGGTGTCGGAAAAACTAAAATGTGGGTGTATGTGTATGTGGGTGGGTTGGAACTCAACCCCTTCTTGCATACACCATGCTTCCCACCTTCCCCCTCTCCGGGCTCTTCCCCCCCCCCCAGGCAAGTTCTGGCACCCGGACGAGCTCTGCTACTTCAGCGCAGCCGGCTTCTCCCCCTTCGTGACGCGGGGGCAGCTGGTAGCGGCGGAGGAGGTGGTGACACACGTCTTCACACCGCTCAGCAGCAGGCAGAGGGTGGGTGGTGTGGACACCCCTATCCCCTAATGGCCCTACCTCTCGCTGCTGCCTCGCCGCCACCGCCCTCACTGGGTGCATGCATGCTCCCTGGCCCTCCCCGTCTCTCTTTCCCCTCCCCTCCTTCCTCCATTTAATTGCTCTTATGGTTTGGCTAATACCTCCCACCTTCACCCCCACCTTCAGATCGCCTCCGTGGAGTTGTGGGCCACCGATGCGCCTGACGCCCGCTGGATCGAGGAGGAGGCGCTGCTGGCGGCGGAGGCAGGGGGCGGGGGCGGAGGGGGCAGCGGAGGGGCGGGAGCGGGGGGCATGCACCGCGTGGGGGTGGTGGAGGTGAGGCAGCAGCAGTGGGGGGGGGGTAAAGAGGAAACAACTAACTGACTGAGGGATAAGGCGTCAACATGGGTTGCAGTGGGGGGTGGGTTGGGGAGGGAAGGTGGAGCGGGGCAGCGGGGCGGTCTACCTGTCACTGAGCAGCGGGGGTGGGTGGGGGGTAGGTTTGGGAGACTGGCTGGGAAGGTTTGGGGTTTGGATTTGCCTTGGTGGTTTGGGTAGTTGTGGCGACGAGGGCCTTTCCTTTCTTTTCAGTCCACGACAACCTCCCTCGACCCCCTCGTACGTAAACTGCCACGGAAATCCAAGGAGCCAATCCCCCCCGCCCCCCCAAACATACACCCCCGGCGTTCATCCCTCCCTCCATTGCCTACATTGCTCACAGGTCGTCCTGTACCGCGACACCGAACAGCCGCAGCCGCAGCAGCCGCACCGCCGTCGCGATGCCGCCTCCTCCTCCACCTCCGCCTTCACGCCCGGCGGCATCCTGCGCAGTCGCCAGGTGGCTCCCAACCGGGAGAGCGGCTACACCAGCAGTGGTGAGGACATCGATGAGGAGGGAGAGGAGGAGGAGGCGGGAGCAGGTGGAGGAGGTGCGGGGGGTGGTGGACGGGGTGGTGGCGGTGGTGAGGAGCGGTTGCTGGAGGTGTCGTTGGAGTTCGGTCGTACGGAGATCCGGGTACGAGCGGTGGATCTGGCGACGGGCAGGAGCAAGACTGTGCGAGTGAGGTTTGCGTTTAACATGTAGAGGCGCAGGAGGGAGGGGGGAGGGAGGGAGGGAGGGAGGGAGGATGGGTGGAGGGGGAAGAGGCGGGAGAGGCGGAGGTATGAGATGGATGTGCACTTACCTAATCAATGTATGTTTTTCGCGATGGGGTTGTCCATGTGTGGTGGTAGTATCAGCTGCTTTCGTTGCTAGCTTACTTGTTGCGACTCTTGCTTGCTGGCTGTTGGATTGATACTGTTGCATTAAGGTTAAGTTCTTTGGTAGAGTCGTCCACCCTGCCTGTCGTTGACCCCTGTTGCCTAAATTTGTAAAATCGGGGAGGCGCTGACGTCGATCGGTCGGCTTAGTGCAAAGCGCCAAACAACGAAAAGCGTAGCGTGAGGCCCTTAGCTGGTGTGTGTTGGGTACTGTGCCGGTCGCTGCTCATTCAGGGATGACCCATGGGTCGCATGGCCCCCGCATATGCAATCTAGCCTGATGGTCTGGTGCAATCTGGCAGGATTCGTCCTTCCTACTAGGACTCCTCCTGGAATCGTATACGGTACAAGCAGTAAACGAATGTTTTTTTCCAATCGCGTTAGTTGCTTGTCCGAGATCAGAGCGAGGCTCCTAACAGGCCTAGCATGGCATCAGCCATGTGTTTGCGGTCTTTCAGCAAGCCGGTGCCACACGAACGGCTTCGTAGGTGGTGGCAATAATGATACGCACCGCCGTATGCACGACGCAGCAGCTGTCTGTACGGCATGGCAGCGTGCTTGGCTAGGGGTATATGCGTGTTGTACCTACGGTATACGGTAGGTTAGGGTTTGGATGGATGGATGCGATGAGGTCAAAAGGAGCGTTATGTGCGGCGGATAAAGGTGGCGAATGGGTTACGGTGCTGGGAGGTGCTGAAGAGCCGATTATGCAGGGGGATTCGGGACCCGCAACGGGAACAAATGGCAGTATAGGGTTTGGGCCTCGTATTGCGTTGTGTGTATTGATCGTCACGCGTTGTTGTTCAGTCGACCATCCCAGAGTATATATACGAACCGCTGTTCGGCCGGCGGCGTTGGATTGCCGCACCCGGTTTTGCATGCATGGCTAAAAATAGCATGCATGTCTTGTATAGGAAGCATGGCAGCTTACATCAGTAGTCCACTTCTGGACCTTGTATACATTTCCCCTGTATCTTAATTTGTATCCTATCTAGTGTTCGTAGTGTACGCCTATCTTCCTGTATCCTACGTTGCTGCTGCTGTTGTTGTTGTATCCTAGTTAGGCAGGTTGCTAGCCTGTCTAGCTGTCTTATGTTGTATTCCGAGCGAGTAGACCATGCTGCTGGCGCATATACATCAACAGCAGTAGTCGATGGCGCTTATGATGGGCGGATGCCAAGTCTGGATGGGGCCCCGCTGCCCCCTTGTGCGGTAGCTGCGGCCTACGTTGACGGAAAGGCATGCATCCGGCTCGTATAGCCGCCGACAGTATATCGGCTCAATCATCTTGCATGGGGTAGCTCATCACAGAATTATGGATTTCAGGAGACTTTTGTAACGATATAATATCAGAGAATGACATATAGTGACGGAGGCTGTAAGTCGTGCAAAGCAAGTAAGCTTGGTTGACGTACAAACATTTCCTGGCTTGCCTCTGCTTCTGCACAAGGGCCTCCGACATATAACATCTCATCTTCCCATATGTTTTGGATAGGGTGCACGGCTACGGCGGTAGTGTAAGGCCGCAACCATGCTGGTGGGTCGGGAGCGCAAGCGCACCCATTGACCGCACCCCCTCAAAATATTAAAGTTAATCGCAGGTCCTCAATGAGGACCATGTAAGCGATTAGACTTACAAGAACAGATACTACACATGATCTGAGCCAAAAGGCCGAGAAAGGTATGCTTCTCACTATGTAGTCCAAAGGACCACTATCCAGAGCCTTGCCGTGATACATACATCGGAGCGATGGTGGGTGGGCAGCATGCAGCAGCATGCAGAAAGCCCTGGCAGCCCATGAGGGGCACCTCAACAACGCTGTCGAAGAGTTTTGCCCCTATAGCTCTTATGGATGCATATGCGGGTACGTTATATGGTGCATATACGGTAAGTAGAGCAAAATCCCAGCTAAATCCCCATTGGCGGGCTACCAACCGCAAACACACAAGTCCACACCGGTGCGGGTCTGCGTGCATGCATCTGCCCAAAGCAAGGCACTTCGCATCTTTGACCTTGAGGTAGGTTACAGGAACAGTATCTTGTCTGGCTAACGTCGCCTGTCTGGAGATACGGGTGACATGGAACGGGATCTGAGCGGGATGTCATGCTGGTACGATACCACATAAATGAACAGACCTGTGACTGTTTATATAAACCCGTATATAAGCCATCACTGGTTTCTATGCACTTGCCCAGCGGTGTTCTCGGCGGATGCTTTTCCAGGCCTTTTATGTGCAATGACCCATGGGTCGTTCACGAGGTGAGTGTACGTGGCCCAACCTAACAGCGGTCTGGAAAGACGCCCCAACCCCACCTAGCGGTGAATGCCTTTCAGCAGCCGGATGCATTGATATACGTTTCCAGCGGCAGTGCACACCAACAGCCGCAGCTGCAGTCCACGTCAGGATGACCTGCGCACGCACGCGCATGGGAACACGTTATGTGTTTAATAACAACCAAAACCTGGAAACCTGAACGACACAACGTGAGATGAACGAGCACACACGCATAGCGACAGTAAACCACCCTGACCCGATGAATAAGCACCTGCACGTAGCATCCATCCAGGACGTATGTAGCAGCCCACAGCGTTCAGGAAAAATAGAAGCAGCAGCTCCTCTTCTTCCATGCAACAACTACGTGTAGGTAAACGAGACCTTTCAATTGTAGTAATAGTAACAATATTATATGGGTAATTTCAAGTAAGCGCCGCTTCTGCTCGTCCTCATTGCCAGGTTTATACCATCAACGGTTTCCGAACTCCTTTGGCCGCTACCGTAGATATCCCAAGCAACTACCGCACACCGCGGTACACGCAACAGCCAACACCAAGCAACATCAGCTGCCTCGTGCTTACTTGGCACACGCCAGCCACCTGACGCCGAGTACAACCAACCCAGGCAAAGCCACAACCAGCAATCCAACGAAGACAAACAGTAAAATGAGTCTAACGATAAAATTACGAATACCAGCAGACAAAGCGCGCCTCCCACCCACCCACCGGCTCTCCGGATCCAACTGCGTGCCGCAGCAGCTCATCTCAACATCACGTCACATCACCGCCACACCCACCCCTCTCCTCCAACCGTCAGCCACACCCGCCCATCCCCACCAACCGTCAGCCAGCGTAACTCCCACAGCTATATTGCAGGCAGGGTCTCGGATAAGGGATCTTGGATAAGGCAGTACATTGCCCCCACCACCCCCACCACCTCATGCACACCCCTACCTGCCGGCACACCCCCCCACCCATCAACTAATAAACCATGCATGCATACATGCAAAACCACCATAATCAATCATCAAACACCCCACCCAGCTGCACGAATACATACACATGCACACATGCGACTAGACTTCGCGGCCAGTTTGCTAGCTGCGGCTGTGTCGAACACCCGCGTTCCTTACCATCCACCTTGCTCCTTACGTACCCTTTAACCCCTCCACCAACCCCATCCTCGAGCCGGCGTCAGTCACCGGGACCCGCCAGCCCCCACCACCACCACCACCTCTGCCACCTCCACTACCGTCCTGCCAAAACAAGGGCACACGCACGCATCCAGCATGTACGACCTCCTACTTGCCCCAGCCTCGCCGCTCCGTAGCACTAACCTCGAGCGATCGCCTTACCCAATCAATGGAAGCAAAGCGGCTGCGAGGCACCTACTAGCTTCCAAGATGAGTCAGCAGCCGTACATACATCCTCCAGCAATCCAATCCGCCGTCGACTCTATCTAGCCGATAAACAGCCTTCCTCAGCCCTCAGCAACTGTTCGCGGTCGGTCTCATTTCGCTCGCGCAACACGATTGAAGAGGGGCGAGGAGGCGGACGAACAAAGCTGCAAAGCAGGCATCCCGCCGCCGTCTTCACAAGGTGCGTGCGCCATGCACCGGGCCCTGCATGCCTTCAACTAAGTTCTATCGTCCTTCTTATCAGCTCGTCGTCAGTGTATTCAGAAACAAGGCGACATCGCTCCTCTATCCGCTCGCGGCAAATAAACATGAGAACCTCCCAAAACGGGCAGGTACATGTATCCTCAATGCAAGTGGTGAACAGCACTCATCATTAATTGGTTTTTGTCGGGGTGTACATCTACCAGGCTAAGCAGCGCGCGGACAATCGAATGGTTGGTGCGAGCGAAATCCAGCTGCAAGTAACAATTCATCATCAATTCATTCATCATTCATTCATGATGCCAATAAGAAATACAAGCATGCAACCGGGGTGCGTGGACTACACGAACGCTAAACAGTCCTCACAAACCATGTGTATCCAATTGCGCAACTCCTCCTTTGTTCACGTCACAACGCAGGATGTATTGTGCAAGCTGCGGTGTGTGCCTGCCAGTGTTCCTGTATTTTGCCGGGACCACACCCCTGGCAATCCATTGTCATGCAAAGGGCCAACACACGCCCACGCATGCCCACCGCCCACCCCGGCCGTCAACCCACCACATGACACATGTGCATCAATGTCACGATCACCACCATCACCATCACCATCACCATAAATCATCATCGCCCAGAAAGGGGGGCAGGCGAGGGAGGACAAACAGAGGTTTCATGCAGCGCCCCTGCCTCCCTACCCACCGTTCACATCTTGCCGCGCGCCGAGCACTGCAAAGTGCAAACCCATGCGAAGTTGCGAACCCATATGAACCCATGCGAACCCATACGAACCTCCGCGACAACCATGATGTAACAACTGTCTTCAGATCTTCGCACAGACGTTAAAAATCAACACAAAAGTCAATTCCGAGTGAGTCCTCAAAGCTACATTTTTCAAACAACGGCATTACCACCATGTTCAATATTCCACTAGCACCAGCACCATCAGCAGCAGCAGCCATCCTTGCTTGAATTTCATTTTCTTCTCCCCCCCATGAGCAGCACATCGAATGTATCCGTAGGGCGCTTGAAACCCGATCAACAGTCGCGCGCCTGTCGCCCATGCCTTGCACTCGCGGCCAGGCACAGGCTGTGACCCATGGGTCATCAGTAGTGAATTGCACGCATGCAATTGCAGGCACTTGGCAAAAACGGCCCCATGAATTTTACGCACAGCAACACAACACACACGCGCGTGACAATCAATAAATACGTTCTAACCTTCCTCTATAGCCCATAACCAAAACCGTCCCAACAAGCAGTCAACCAACCAACCAACCAACCAACCAACCAACTACGAGCCCTTTGCAGCCCAAGGACAACACCTGGCTAGCGCTTTCAATCGCCCCCTGATGCAGCAGTTCCCAAGCACCCGTGCTGACACCGTCCTACAGTGTCCAAGACCAAGACTCCGCGCCACCGTACCCCACACCCCAATTACCGTCCAATCTAAACATCGGCAGTAGCAACGCGTTAACTCGTTACACCGCCCCTCGCGCCGCAAGTGCGTACCCGCCCTGCCACCTTAACACTCATAGCCCGCTAGCCCAGTGGCACCCAACACCAGCGGGCCCAGTAGTGGTACTGTCCCTTCAACCCTGCAACCCTGCAATCCATACATACAACCCAGCACCCATGTCGACCCCAGGGTGCCCCAGGAAGGCAGGTAACCTTGCGCTCGGTGCACATCTGAATGAACAGCACGCATAGTGTTACCTACCTATCTACTACCCTAACAGGAAACACCTCGCTCGAAGCCGTCTGGTTTCTGGTTTCGAAGCTACTCGCCACTCAACCGTACTAGTAAGCAGCAGGATAATGAGCAGCAGCTCCCCACACAACCCTACTCGGCGCCCCGCCCCGCACTCTAGTAGTCCACACCTGACGCCCGGAGTGCTGAGGCGGTTGTCGAGGCGGCGGTTGGGAGCTGGCGGTTGGGAGCTGGCGGTTGTTGGGATTGTTGTGCCGGTTATTTGTTGTGTTGCCGGGGCGACTCCAGCGCCCGCTCCAGGTGCCGTACCAGCTGCTCGGCGGTGGGCCGGCGGGAGGGCTCGGGGTGCCAGCAGGCCTGCGCCAGCTCCCTGATATGAGCAGGGAGACATGGGCGGAGGGGGGGTGGGAGGCGGTCGAGGATGAGGGGGACTCCATGCAGAGCGAGCGGCGGCTACCATGTGAAAGCGGCTGGCGAGGGGCGGAGGAGCAGCGTTCAGCCCCCTCGCCTTCATAACCGCCTTGTATCCCCACCCCCCAAAACAAACAACGCTATTGGCCACTGTAGCCTGCTCCAGCAGCTCTGGCATTCCACCGCCACCTATTCCGCTGCCAGCTCCCATCCTCTGCATCCCGCAACCCTCGACGTCCTTCCATTCCCCAGCGACCTCTCCACGGCACCCCCTCCCTCCAGCCTATCTACGTACCTACTCTCATCGATACTGTCAGCTATTACATACATGTCAACTTTCTACTACGGGGCTTAGGTCCGGTCGTTTTACGAGAGTGCTTATTACGTCCTACTTACTCTCAGCACCAGTACTGGACTTCTGTATCTACATACGCTACCATATTCCTCCGCTCCTGCGGCGGTTCTGTGGGGACTTCATCTTCCGACAATCACATTACGTTCCTACTCGCGGCCAGTTTTCTTAACACAGTCGCCCCCCGCCCCTCCTCGTCAGTTTCTCCCTCTTCACGGCCCCCCTCCTCCCCACCTGTACCCCTGAGGTACCCAGTGCGGCATCTCGGGTCGTACGGCCTGGTGCGCCACCGCCTGAGCGATGGCTGACGCGGACTGCAGCTTGTCGTACACCCGCATGCCGCACAACACCTGATGTGTGGGGGAGAGAGGGAGATGGGGCAGGGAGGTAGGGGAGGTGAGGGAGGTAGGGAGAGGGCAGGGAGTCAGGGGTCAGAGAGAGAGATCAAACCAAATGAAGCCACAAGTGCGGGCAACGCCATAGGTACAGGGGATATCGGGCAAGCTACGGGCTACGGACGTTCCCGTGGGTAGAAGCTGCAAACCCCCGCTCACCACACACGCAACACCCCTCCCGTCACTCACCTGGTACATCAAGATGCCGAACGCTGCGTGTTGCAGCAGCAGCAGCGGGTAGCACAATAGCAGCATGAGAGACCACAGAGTGACCCATGCGTCAGGGCGCACGGGTAGGCCACCAGGAAGGCAGGAGGGCGCGTGTTGGCGCAGGAGGAAGAGGAGGAGGAGGACGTGAGGAGGGAGGACGAGGTGAGGGGCTTACTATCGGTACTAGTTAGCGTGATACCATCATACACACCGGTACAGCGCACCGGGCCCAAGCGAGCACGCCCAGCAGGTCGCTACCGGTCCTCCCCAGGTGCCCCGTACAAAACACACCCTCCTGCATACCGTAGATATCCACAGCCGCCCCCAGCGCCTGCTGGCCTGCGGAGAGCGCGTGCAAGAGGGGTGGAGGGAGGAGGTCAGGGGAAGCGGAGGGGGGTCAGAGCATGTTGGGGTGAGAGCAAAGCATTGGGTGTCAGTTGGTTCCTGCATGGCAGCATGACGTGGACCACCGTTTGGGTAGCATGACAGCAGCTGGCATGCTTCCCCCCTTGAACCCCGCCACACCTAGTACCGGTGTGGCCCCCCCCCGGCGGACCCGGTATCGGTAGGGCATACTAACCAACACTTTGTCTTGTGACGCCCTGCCAACTCCTATCCCCATTGCTTTGCCCTAACTTGTGGTCTCCTATGGTTTGGTATGGTCTTTGACCCCCCTCGGGGACCACCCACCACCCCTCCACCCACCTATCAACACCTCCGGAGCTACATGGGTAATGGTGCTGTGGGGAAGGGGGGCAAGAGCAGGAGAAGAGCAGGAGAAGGGGAGAGGGGGAAGGGCAAGGAAGGAGGGTGTCAGGAGCAGTAAGATGCCAGAGAGAGAGCGGGGTGGAACGTGGAAGGAAAGCAAGGTACTTGTTTGATGGGCTGTGAAGCCCTGCCGCCACTCCTCCTCCTACCACCCCTTCCTCCACACTCCTCCTGCCCTCCCTCCTCCCCCCTTCCACACTCCTGCCCTCCCTCTCCCCCCCACCGCACCCTTCCTTCTCCCCACCCCTCGCCCCCCACCCCACCCACTCCCGTGCTCGTCAGTTGCATCGTCCGTGTCTCATTATATTGTTTACCCCCACCCACCCCCCCTCTCTCACCCGCTCCCCACCGCCTCATCAATCACCAGCTGTCCGTCCTCGTCCGCCGCCAGCATCTTGGACAGCCCGAAGTCACTCAGCTTGGCACTGAAGCCGCTGTAAAGGAGGATTAATAAGCAGACTAGCGGGGTCAAAGGCCATGCACCAAACCATGGGAAACCACAGGCGAGGGCAAAGCAAAGCTGATAGGCGGGGAGGATGAGGACAGGGAGGCAGGAGTGTCAAACGGAGGAGCATCAAACGGCGGTAGTAGCCACACTAGAGCAGCGGAATGTGGAGGAGCCATGCGTGGACGTGTGCCAGTACATGCGAGAGGAGAGGTGATACCCTGCCATATGCGGCCATGCATGCATGCATGCTGCTCCTTGGCACCCACCCAGCCACCCACCCACCCAGCCACCCACCCACCCACCGCGGGTCTCTGGGGCTTGACTTGAGCAGCACGTTTTGCGGCTTGAGGTCGCAGTGCACCAGGTGAAGCGAGTGCATGTGCCGCAGCGCCAGAGCGATTTCGAGGAGTGTGGTGTAGACGGCCTTTGTGGGGGTGGGTTATGGGGGGGAAAAGAGGGGAAGGAGGGAAGGGGGCGAGGGGAAGGGTTAAGGTGCCAAGCAGCACGTGAGGAGGTTGCATGTGTCTATTAGCTCTATGCGGTAAGCCGATGATGGGTAAGCAGGCGTGTGTTAAGGCAGCTGGCGAGTAGGAACGTACTGTGGTGGTCTGTGGGACAGCACCGGTTTGGTGAAGCATATACGACAGGAGAGTGAGGGCAAGCTGTTACAGGGCGTGTGGGGTTTAGAGGGGGCGGGCTAACAATAACTTCTCACCAGCCCTTTCTTAACCCCGCATGCAAGTTATGCTGGGAATGCCCCTCTTACCCGCATGTTTATGGCGAGGTAGGTCTTGGGAGCGGCACCGGCATCGCCCTTGCCTGAGTACGAATGCGGGGGCGGGGGAGGGGTGACGGGGGTACGGGGAAGGGCGGGGACTTAATAGGGATACACACTACGCATTAGGCTGGGAAGGGCGGGGGCAGGGAAGGGGACAGGGGAAGGGGAGCAGCCAGGGTATCAGCCTGCGGATGAGCCCTGGGTTTTAGGCTCTTAGATCCTTCTTCCCTACTCCGTGCCTCCGCTTCTTCCCCTCCCTCCCTTGGTGGTCTTCTTTTCCGTCTCCCCTCCCCTCCCCTCCCCTCCCTCGCCTTATCCCTCAGTCAGTCAGTTGTTTCCTCTTTACCTCCCCCATCCACCCCAAACCCCCCTCACGTGCGGTGACCCTCTGCATGAAGGAACGAGCTGTGATGGCGTCCGACAGGCTGCCGCAGTCGCCTGGGGGAGGGGAGGGAGGGGGTGCGGGCGCAGGAGGAGGAGCGGGGGGGGGAGGGGCAGGAGGGGGGGGAGGGGCAGGAGGGGGGGGGAAGGGGCAGGGAGGGGGGGGGGGAGGGGCAGGAGGGGGGTGCGGGTGCGGGAGGAGGGAAACACTAGGCAGCTAGGGGATCACGGCCGGTGTGTGCGTGCTTGCATGGGGGTGGGGGGGGCAGAGGGAGGTGCCTACAAGCACGGGGGGGGAGGGGGGGCAACACGCCCCAGGCGCTGAGCGGAGCAAGCGGCGAGGAGGCCGGCGTCACGAGTAACCCGCCTACTCGGGGGAAAGCCTTCAACGTCATCCCTCAAGAGGGCTTTACAGCAGCTCATGCGGTCGTTGGACTACCCCTCCTTCCCTCTCCCCTGTCCCTCCCCTTTCCCCCCTCCTTCCATCCCCATCCCTCCCCTCCCCTCCCTCCAAAGCCACTCACAGTACTCCAGCACCAGCGCCATGGCTCCCTCTCCGAAACCTGCGGAGGCAAACACACACACACATACCCGCATTACACACGACACATGTCAACACGTTCGTTAACAAACGGTCATGGGCATTACTCATCTCCTCCGCCTCAATCGCTTCTAACCCCTCTCCAAAGCGCCTCCCTCTCATACTCCCCGCCATTCCCCTTCGTTTCACCCCTTCTCCCCAAACACTTGAACCCTTCCCCAATAGGGTAACCCCCACCTGCCGGCAGCTCCTGCCCCGGCTGCGGTGAGTCAATGTGCGCGGGGCAGGGCGCCAGTCGGAAAGGCCTCGACTCCGAGGGCCCCTCCTCCTCCTGCCCCCCCTCACAGCCGGTGCCGCCCCCCTCCGCCGCCACGCCCTCGAACCCCTCACACGAGTCCAGTGGGTTGGGGAACAGCACCGGACGCCGGGGCCGCTCAAGCCTAGGGGGCAGGGAGGAGGGGGCGAGGAGGAGGGGGGAAGCAGGAGGCGGGGAGATGAAACAAATAAGACCGAAAGTTGTTAACGACATAGTGGCAGCCTATCGCAACTCACACCCGGCTTTAGCCCCACTGCCCTCTCCCTCCACCCCGCCACCCTCCGCCCCACCTGACATCCATGAAGTATGCTGGGACCTGCAGCAGCAGCAGCAGCAGCAGCGCGGGTGGTGGGTTAATAGGGGGAGGGAAGGGCAGGGGAGCAGCATGAGGGGTGGGGCATCAGCATCAGTGTCAGGGGCGGGGTGTAGCTCCAGTGCAGGGGAGCCCGTAACATGACGCACGCATGGCGCATGGCTAGGAGGGGACGCATGGAGGACGCGAGGGGGTGGGGGAGCTAGGCACGATGGCAGCTTGCTTGCTTGCTTGCTTGGGTCAAACCGGTGAACGGTAAACAACGGCCAACCGCGACAGAAAAAGGCAACATACGGGTTAGATGCCCTATTGGCCCTTCCTTCGGCGCCTTCTTCCCTCTCCCCTCCTCCCACTAACCCCATCTCCCTCCCTCCCCTCCTTCCTTCCTCCTACCCTCCCCCCCACCCCCAAACCCCTGGTACCTTTCCTCCCCTTTCTACCTCTTCCCCCATCCCTCCCCCCCACATACCTGCACGATGTTGGTGTGGCTCATGGACACACTCGCCACCAGCTCTATGGCGTCATGCAGCTGCTGCTTGTGCAGCACACCGCCCCACCCGCCCCAACCCGCACCCCGGCCCATGCTGCCCTGACTCGCAAGCAGCTGCGGAGGGGTGGGAGCCACCTGACCCTGCCCCTGTCCTTGCCCCCCTGCTGTTGTTGCTGCTGCCCCTGCCCCCGCCCCCGCTCCCTCCCTGGGGAGACCCAGCCGGGATTGCTGGATGAGTTTGATGGCCACCTCCGCGCCGTGGTAGGTGCCGCGGTAGACGGTACCGTAGCCTGCAGTTGCGGAGATAGCAAGCCACACGTGAGGGCAAGACGGGAGGGGGAGGAGGCGGCGGCAGGGTGCCACAAGGCAAAGGGGATGGTTAGCAGGTGGGAGGGAGGGGGGAGGGGCTGTTTGTCCCGCTTCCACCACCCGCCCCCCTCCGCCCCACCACCACCACGGCACCTCCACCCCCCTCCCCCCCTCACCCACCTCCCCTGCCGATCTCCTGCAGCAGCTTCACACTGCGCAGGTCGGCAGCGCGCGACTCGGGGCGCAACCCAGTCATCTGGAGAGCCTGGGGGCGGGGAAGAGGTGGAAGGGGGGAAACAAGAATATCCAATGTGTGGTGTGGTATTGGTAAAGAGGTATTGGTAAAGAGGTGGAAGGGGGGCAAGATGTGGAGGTTAGGTGGGAGGTAGGACAATGTTGTGTTTACCCACAACACCACCGCCCCTTTCATCAGGTACCCGCACACATCACCCCCGCAGTGGACTTGCGGGCCCTACGGGTCGTGTCATGCCGCGTCATGCGACACACTGGTCCCTTGTGCTCCGTTCCCATCATGCCACACTATAATCTACCCCGGCCCTCACTCTCACCTGCGCCGCCCGCAGCCGCTCGTGCATGTTGGCGATGACAGGGGCTAGTCGGGAGGCGCCTGGAAAGGGGGACGGAGGGCAAGGGAGGAGGGAAGATGGGGGGAAGTCGGTTGGGTTTGATGACCCAAATGGAACCCACCACCCAGGCACCCACCCCACCCCCGTCCCAACCCCCACCCCACCCCACACCACCTCAGCCGCCCCTCACCTCGGGGCGCCTGTGCCTCCTCCAGTCGGAACGACACACTCCGCACCAGGTGCTGCTGCTGCTGCTGACCGCCCACCCCCTCCCCCAGCCCAGCATCGGCCCTCAAGGCTGCCAGCTGCGGCGGAAGCAGCCTCATGCACCCCTCCTCCTCGCTCCGCCGCTGCTGACCGGACAGCGGCCCCGGCAGAGCATCCAACTCCGAAGCCCCAGCAGCAGCAGCAGCAGCTGCCGGTGCTGCTGAAATAGCAGTTGCAGCGGCTGCCTCCCCGTCGGCCTCCACCACTCCGGCCTCCGTCGTCTCTGTCGCCTGCCCCCGCCCCGCCACGGACCCCACCGCGCTGCCAGGCGCCATGCCCCCGTCCATGAGGGCTGTAGCAGCACCCAAGGTGGCAGCAGCGGTGGCAGTAGCAGTAGCAGGAACAGAAGGAGCAGCGGCTCCTGCTGCAGCTCCTGCTGCTCCTCCTCCCAGTCCCAAACCTGTTGCCGCGGCAGCTACCGTCAGGAACCTTCTCAACCGGCTACCTCCTCCTGCTCCTGCTCCTCCCTTGCTACCCCCGCCGCCTCCATTCGTACTACAACCACTGCCCACTCCACTTCCCACTCCGCTGCCGCCACCGCCGCCCACACTTCCAAACGCACTCCCCAGCAGACTCGCCACTGCACTTCCCGCTCCTCCTCCTCCCCCTGTTCCTCCTCTTCCCAGTCCTCCTCCATCTCCACCTCCGCTTACACCCCCCGGCGCACTGCCCACCGCGCCCGCCCTGGTCCCCGACGCCCCCGCCCCTCCACCTGCCACACCTCTCCATGCCGCCTGCCGCTCCCCGGCAGCCTCAAAGCTGCTGCCACCGCCCGTGCGGCTGCGGGTCAAACCCGGGGGCGGGGGCGGGGCGTCGCCCGCGATGCCGCTTCGACGGGGGGTGGCGGGCTGAGCGCCAGGGTAGAGTGAGGGGGAGGCGGAGGGAGAGGGAGGCGTGTGGGAGCCTGGGTGGGGGTGCGAGGGTACACCTCGGATGGTGGCGCCTGGTTCCCCAGCAGCAGCAGCAGGAGCAGCAGCACCCGCAGCAGCAGCAATGACGGCCCCGTCTGCAGCCGCCACGCTATCAGGACCCGCAGCGGCAGCAGCGACTACGGCAGCAGGTGGGCTGAGGTTGCATGGGAGGAGGGTTGGAGACGCGACGGTATGCGGCCGCATGTCGGCCGCCTGCTGCGGCTGTAGCCGCCAGAGCCCCTCCTGCGGCTGGGGCGGGAAGCTGGCGGGGGCTGGGGCGGGGGGAGTGGGGGCAGTGGCTGCCTCGGGTGTGACCCGGGGCTGGGGCTGCGAGGGAGCGGGGCTGCGGCGGCTGGTTGCACCCTGGGGGGAAGGATGGGAAGTTGGGGGAAGAGACCGTGGGAAGGCGACGGCAGGCGGAGGATTGAGGCAGCTGCATGGGGTTGCCTCGCGACCGATACCACGCACATGCATGCATTTGTCCTGCCTCGAACAGGAACAGCACAGGCTAGGATAGTGGCATCCTAGCCTGTGATACTTGATTATCCGGACGGCGGTGTTCCAAAGACCGATTCATGGGACGCGTGAACCGCACCGACCCATGGGTCAGACGACCCGCCCCGACCCACCGCTAGCTGCGTGCGCAGGTACTCATACTCGGCCTGCAGCGGCCCTTGCAGCTTGTAGTAAACCACTGGCTGGATGGCCTGGGGTGGGGTGTGGGTAGCGGGAGGGGAAGAGGCGGAGTAGTTCGGTTTACGCATGCACCCCAGCTCGCTACCCCTGCTCCCCTCTGCCTCTACCCACGGTTTTAGTTTTTTGTCGACTCCCAGGAAACTGCGCTTCCTACACCCTGGCCCCATGCAGCGGTATGCTGTATCTTCTTCTTCTCTTTGCCCCCTCCCCCCCGCCCCTTGCCCGCCTGCCCCCTACCAGCAGCAGCTGCTGCAGCTCCCGCACCACGGCCTGCAGCAGCGGCTGCGGCAGGACGCTGGGGAACGTCACATACAGCGCTAGCTGAGGAGGAGGAGGAGGAGGCGGTGGTGGTGCAGGAGGGGTGGGAGGTTTGAGGGTGCGGATGGCAGAGGAGTGGGTGGCGGAAGCTGCGGCGGTGCAGGGGTTGGTGACGGTGGCGGTGGCCGCAGCAGCAGGGGGGCCGTTGGGGGTGTTTCCGGCAGAGGTGGTGGGAGGGGTGCTGCCGGCCGCGGCGGTGGTGGCGGTAGCGGCGGTACGGTTACTGTCAGAAGCGGAGGTTGAGGCGGGGAAGGAGGAGGGCGGCGAGTCGGCGATGCTTGGTGCTGCGGCGGCAGAGGCGGTGGAGGTGGAGGTACGGGTGGGGGCGGTTGCGAGGCGGTGGTGGGGGTTGCCGTTGTTGTCGGTTGTGGTGCCGGTGGTAGCAGTAGCAGCAGCGGCGGTGAAGGCGGAGGCGGAGGTGGGAGCAGGAGTGGGTGCGGGCGGTGGGGGGCAGGTGGCGAGGGCGAGGGAGGCGGGCATGAGGGCTTCACGTGAGAGGAGCAGGTCACGTGGGTAGGTCTTGGTGCTCTGGAGGAAAGGGGGAGAAAGGGGGGGGGTTGAAGGAGGGGTAGTGTGTATGGGTTCCCTCCCTTCCCCCTTACCACGACACCCCTATCCATATAACCCCCCCCCCACTCTCCTCCTTATCACGAAACCACTATCTATATAACCCTCCCTCCCTGCCACCCTCCCGCCCTCCCTTCCCCCATCCCTCCCTCCCTCCCACCCCACCATCCTCCCACCTCCCCATCCTCCCACTCATCCCTCCCTCCCTCCCCCCCTTCCTTACCACGGTATGCGCCTGGCAGTCATCGATGCACAGCCCCGCCGCCTCCCCCTGCTTGGCCAGCGCCTCCCCCAGCAGCGTGCGGGAGAGGGGGACCGTGTGGCCCTTGCAGGGGGGACCCTGGGTGGGGGGGAGGGAAGAGGTGGTGTGTATGGGGTTATCCGCATGATGTGTAATGCCGGTTTGAGAAAGGCATACAAAGCAGCAGTCAATGGGGTTGAGAAGATGAAGGAGGGGGAGGCTAATCACCGGGGTATTTCAGTCCAGTGCGGAAGATCCATCTCCCTTTTCCCCTCCCCCACCCCGGCTGGTGAAGCCTCGTCATACAGCTCGTCAACTTTCCTTTTTCCTATGGTTTGGTATGGTATTTGACCTCCTTCGGCTGCGTGTCTCACCGAGGGCAGGGTGAAGGAGGGCGAGCTTGGTCTAGTGAACACTGTAGGGGAGGAGACGTCTGGGTGGGAGGAGAGGAAAGGGCACGATGGGGAAGGGCAGATAAGTGGGGGGGGGGGTAAGAGGAGGCAGGAGGTGGGACCTTTCCGACCCAGATCGCATTGACACACGCTCTCCGACCCAGATCGCATTGACACACGCTCTCCGACCCAGATCGCATTGACACACGCTCTCCGACCCAGATCGCACTGACACACGCTCTCCGACCCAGATCGCATTGACACACGCTCTCCGACCCAGATCGCACTGACACACGCTCAACGACCCAGATCGCAGGCCAGTAGAGTACCTCACACACCAACCTCTGTAACTCCATCCTCTACTGATTACCCACATTCCACTCACCTTCCCCACTCGGCGTCCCGCTTCCCGCCCCTGTCGTGGCCGCTCGCCGCACCGCCCCGCCCTGCTGCTGCAGCAGCTGCAGCTGCAGCTGATGGTGCGAGCCCGCATGCTGTTGCTGCTGTTGCTGCGGGGGCGGGGGCGGCAAGGGACTCAGGCTAACGAACTCACAGCTGCTGCGGCGGCGTGCCTTGAGCGGCGGCGGCACGTGCTTCAGCGCCCCGCCTCCCTCAGCCAGGCAGGCGGAAGCGGGCTGGGCAAAGATGGCGGCAGCACCCTCCTCCTGAGGCAGGTTTGGGAAGTAGCGGTAGCGGGAGTGGTTCAGTTGCGGCAGGGCGCACATCCACGTGTAGATTTACATCCTATATCCTCCCAAGCCTTACCCCCCGTTTCCTCTCCCTCATCAGTCATCATCCCATTCCCTGCCCCACTCCTCCTCACCGCCAGCACAAACGCCACGCGGCCCTGCCCCCGCACGTACGCCACGCCCGCCGCCGCCTCCACCGCCGCTGCCGCCGCCGCCGCGACCAGCTCGCTAACCGCCGCCGCCGCGTGCAGTCGCCGCAGCGGGGAGCTGGCCAGCAGCTGCTGCGCGCGACGGATGTGGGGCGACAGCAGCGCAGCCAGGCAGTGCAGCGCCTCGGGGGTCCAACTGGGGGGCCGGCTGGGGCCTGAGGAAGGGAACATGGGAGTATGGGAGCAGTGTGGGTGTGAGGGGAGGAATCCGCCTGTTACCGAGCCCTCCCGCACCGCTGCCTCTTCTCCGGCTGCTGACATGCCCGCCGTAAACATCCTTCTCCCGCCTGCCCCTTGCTTTTCAGCTCACCCCACATAGCGCCACATTACTCATAACCCCGCATAGCGCATGCCGGTCGCATTCCGCCCCTTCGCCCCGCCCCGAATGCCTCCCATGCAGTCCCCTCCCCCTCCTCACCCCTGGCTGCCAGGCTCAGCACCCCCAGCAGCTCCCCGCCCGGCCCCACGCAGCCCACCGCAGCGAACTGGCGGCAGCCGTGCCCGGCCCGCAGCACCCGCCAGTCGCTCGGCAGCTGCAGCGGGCCGCCGAATGAAGAGGAAGAGTCGCGACAGCCGCCGCTGCGAGCGGCAGCGGAGGCGTCGCAGAACACCAGGGCTTCCTGAGATGATTCCTGGGGTGGAGGCGGCGATGGAAAAGGGAAGGGTGGGGGATAGTGAAGGGGAAAACATAAGAGCACGGAATGAATTGGTGAGAGGTTTCGGCAGAGGCAGGCGTGTTGTTGCGGTGCGTTTCAGGAGGGATGGCATGGCATGCGGGGCCCTGGTGTGAGGCGGGGTGCCAGAGCGTTAGGGTTGGTTGGCAGTGTTGCTGCTGGAGCTATGGCTTCAACATGGCCAATGAGAACCGCACACATCCGTTCGTGGCGTACCTTGTACGCGCCCATAACGGCGGCTGCAGCAGAGGCGTTGGACAACGGGTCAGCGCTTAGGGCGCGCCCGAGGGCATCGGCTGCACCAACACCGGCGCTGGCTGCCGATGCCGCCCAAAGGTCGGTCTTGCTTAAGACATAAACACTGCGGTTTTCAAGGGTTCGCATCAGTTAGAGAGCTAAGCGGGAGCAACGTTCATCGCAGGTAGTATCTTCGTTTTGCCGTGCTTGCACCTGTTTAACAAATGATGGCAAGCAGCGCCGTTTCTGAGCCTTGGTAACATAAGATAAAGCCATACACAAAAGTAGAGCACACTTAAAAGTTCCGCAGCTAAGGATAGGGTTTGCGCACCACGCATGGGCAGCTCCGAGATGCTCGCAGGTTGCAAGGCAGGCCTCCGAAAGAGATGTTCCCCAGCCGCCATCTTGTGTTGATAGCTGTTGCGCAAGATTGATAAGTGCCTCGTTAACCTGCGAGAACCCCAACAGCCCCGATGACGTTCTAACCATTATAACCATTGATAACTTGCTATGATAGGCGCTGGCTGTAAGAAAGCAAATTCTTGCGGAAGCTTCCAACAGACCACTGTTGCAATGGTTAGTAGACCCACCGCGATAGCAGCGTCGCTGCCAGCCGCACTAACGGCATGAGTTGACGGAATTGCAAAGGCGGTGATCTTTAACGAAGGGTTATACGATGCATACTTAAGTTGTGTCGAGGTCTCGTCATCCAGCTTCTTCGGTTGGGCTCTGCGTCGCCCCACGCGGAAGCAGGAAAGAAACGACATCCTCGCTGGTGTGGCCCCGGAATGGTCACGATCAATAAGTAATAATACTACGGTTTATTTTTATTATATTTCAGCGTACAGCTCATACGTGAAGCCTCAGACTAGAAAGCTGCGTGCAGAGCTTCATCGAAGTTAAGTTAAATGAAGGTTAAGTGTTATGCGGTGCAATAGGAATGTGTCCTTTTCCTTTACAAGTCAATCGGGACTCGTCAATACAAGCGCTGATTTAATTTATTCCGTAGCTGCCGTACTTAACCGGTTGGCATCGTTAACCCTGAAACCCGGCAAAGCGTCAGGACAGCCCATGTTCAGTTCGGTTAGGTTTTGCAATCCTGTCATATGCTCAAATATCGTGCCAACCAAAGCAGTCCGTGTGCAAGCAACCTTTACGGCACCGTTACCACATCGTCGGCTCTTTGCAAGGTTACATATGCTTGATATATTAGTCTCAAAGAATACGGAAAGCCTCCGGCTACCGTTGGCACGAAGGTACCAAGAGCAGCTAGTGTATGGGTAGCCTATTAGCTTGTCAGGCGGGCTGTGGCAGGGCGCAAGGCGCTGCATGTGTAGACCCTTCGGTGCCTGGACAGTTTGGCTGTATCCATGCGGCCAAACCAGGCGACGCCGCCCAGCATGGGTAGAGCTTGCTGTAATCGCCTACATGATTACTAGAGCCCCCAGGGTTCACTTGTATGAAAAGCTCGCATTATCGGGATGTCACGTCGTTGGTGGTTGTGAGTGGCAGATTAATACTGAGCCCGGTCCCAGACACGAGGGCAAAGGTAGCGCGTCTGCAGGGGTGTAGGAGGTCAAAGAGAAACCAGCCCGTACGCATCGAGACCACAAGTGGTGTAGGGGGTGTGCGGAGGAGGGTACTTGTGAAAGCTGCATCACAAACGTGGCGCAACAACCCGTTCCTCGCCAAGCAGTGAATATAAGAAAGCCAACATCCACCGGCGCACTTGCTGCAATTATAGTTTGCAGACTCGATGACTCGTAAAGGAACAAGTTTCCTTATCACCAGCTTTCACTATCAGGCGCTACTGGCATGAGTGATTACCCCGCATCCCAGCAGCGCCGCCTATACACCGGTGCGTGTACGGCTCGCACCGCATGACTGCTCGTGACCACCCGCTTACGGTACTGTCATACTTGACAGCACCCTCTACCACCACCACCAGGGTCGGCGTCCCAGTTTAGAATGCGATCCGCACAGCCACTCCTCCGCATCTGCCGCACATGACGTGGCAGCAGCATTCACCGCCTGCATAAGGCCCCCAGCGAGTGTCCCGCAGCCCGGTGCGGCCCGGTCAAAGTCGCAAATAGCGTGACCGTCAAACCGCTTCCTCGGTAAAGTTCACATTAATAGTGTTTAGTGTTTAGAGCGCAAGGAGCGGAAACGACAGAATCGGCAACGCAGCACCCTTCCAGTACGGCAAATACCGGTTCTTCCAATACGACACAAGGGGTAACGCACCGGTACGGCACAAAAAGTAAGATGTACGGCATACATGACAAGGTGACAAGGGAACAAGAGCTACGGCAGTCACGCCTGTCCACAGCACCCTATAAGAGGTCGCTTGCAATACCCTGTGTGTCGCAGTCAGTCCCCCGCTAATTAGCACTACATACGCACTCAGGCTGTCCGCACGCACCACGGTATATAGGCACTCCGCATACCGGTATGCATGGGTACATTGGTCAAGCCCCCCTTCAGGTTAGGCCCCCCTCGGAAGGACTCCAGCGCTCAGTCCACTCACACTCGTCAGTCATGTAGGACATTAAACCGTGGTAGGCAAGTTCATAAAAGTACGAGTTCTTCTGCGACATTGCAGCCCCTCCTCCTCTCCCAACTGCCGGAGCAAGTGGGTGTAGAATACGGTTGACGGCTGACCACCACACATCGCCCCCCTAGCTATCCGTACGCTTTCGCCTCACCCCTTCACGCTTCCTTCCTCTTCCCCTCCGCCTCGCTGCTCCCCCCTGTCGCTCCCATCTGGACGGGTAGAGTGGCCGGGTTGTTGACCAGGCGGCCCCCCACCACCACCGCCCGCTCCCCGTGCTGCAGCGTGACAAAGGAGGAGGGAGGCAGGCCGGCTGCCGCCACTGCCTCCTGCAGCCTGAGCAGGCGGGAGTGGGGGATGGGCACGAGCAAGAACAAGTTAAAAGGAAAGAGGAAGGAAAGAGGGGAGTAATGAAAGAGGCGGTCCCTGATACCGGTACCTACCGACAGCAACCATGTCAGCCCTGGATCTGCAACTTGGTACACGCACCTGACATTCCCTGCTAGCCTACCAACCTCACAACAACAAAGCCAGTGCACCAGTCAAAGCCAGAGGCAACTAATGTGACCTGAACCCAATTCGAGGCCACCCTACCCTAACCACCCCCTCCCTCCCGAACCAACTTTTTGGGTGGCTCGTCCAACGGTTCGTCGGTTAGGGCCCACGTGGCCGTGTGTATGCCGATGCTGACAGCCGCCCTCACGTCGCGCGAGATCTGCAGCCCCTCCACCGCATCCACATGCTGCGGCCGCATGAACCACCTGCGGGGGTGCATGCACGGGCAGCGGGTGGGGAGAAGAGTATGTGAACACGCGAGCAGGCATACATTTCCACAATAAGAACGAATGGAGATCATACGAACGAACGAACGAACGGAGATCATGCTTGCTTGTGCACTTCACTAGGAGCAAATAATTAATGCTTGTCAGTTGTAACCCCCACCCTTTTCCCTCCTCCTTGTTGCCGCGCTCCACTCCAACTCTCGCCCCCCACCCCCCACCCATGGTAAAGCTTCGCATACAGCTCATCATTTTTTTCATTTTACCCACCTCCCATCCCCACCCCCAGCCTAATGCGGAGTATGCATCCCTATTAACCCCACCCCCACCCCCATCCCCACACAACACAACACATTACATCATCTTCCGGCACTCCATCACGTCCCTATTTTGACACACACAACCCACACACGCTTCCCCCCCCCCAGTTAGTGTTTTGGCTTGACTAATACGGGTGGGCTGGGATGGGCCAATTAGCAACCCATGGTGGAGCCTCGTCATTCAGTTTGTCAGTGTTTCTTTATTTTTACCCCCAGTCCCCCGCACCCCCCCACCCACCTGGGCTCGTACGCCCCAATGGGTATGGCCGCCAGGTCAATGGGCCCCAGCCGCTCCCCCACCTCCCGGAACACGCTGCAGTACCCCGTGTCCCCCGCGAAGAAGAACTTCAGAGGGGCAGCAAGGGCGGCAGCGGCAGCAGGGGCAGTCGGGGCGGCAGCAGCAGCAGTGGAGGTAGTAGCGGCGGCAGGGACGGGCGCAGGTGCAACCCTGCTTCCGGCGCAACATCTGCTGCTGGCGGCAACTTGGGTGGGTGAGGAGGTGGAGGAGGTGGGGGGTGGCAGTTCGTCTGGCTTTCCTTCCTGCGACTGGTGTTGTTGCTGCTGCTGCTGTTGTTGTTGCGAATGCGGTGTTGAGGACTGCTGCTGCTGGGGCTGCTGCTGTTGAGGGGGTGTGGAGACCACATAGCCACCCCACAGGGTGCGGAAGCGGTCTAGGACGCCTGGACGGATGAGGGTAGGGGGGTGAGGGGTGACAGGGGGCAGTACGTAGCGGCAGTACAGGTTGCTGACAGCCCCTGGCTCAGGTCCCTATCCCCTTCCCTTCCGCCTCGACCCCCACTTTCTCCCCACCTCTCCTCCACTGACCCGTCTCCAACGCTTCCCCTCCCCTTCTCCAAGCCTCTCCCTCCTCCTCCTCTTTGCTCCTCCTCTTCCCATCCTCCCCCCTCCTCCCGTCGGGATATGGGATTGGGACTTAGTTGTTTGCATTTCTTATATAATTTTCCCTCCTCCCCCTCGCCCCCCCACCTCGCGCGCTCCAGTGCTGTGCTGGGACCATGGTGACCGTTACACTGCCCGGGCAGGGCGGGGAGGGGGCGGGGAGGGGCGAGGGTAAGAAGGAAGCGAGAGAAGAGGGTGCCCTATGACGCCCATGAAGCCCTTAGCCTTCCAAACCCACCACGCAAATAAACGCAGTAGACCAACCTTTTCTAACGTCCCCCCAAGCACCCCCTTCCTTCATCCTGCCCTTCCCTCCTTTCGCCCTCTTCCCCCCCACCTCGCCCCCGTCCTGGCGCACGTGTGCTCCGCCCGCTGCCACCAGTCCAGCTCCACCACCTGGGCGGCGGGCACCCCCTCGCTCCGGAACCACGGCCGCAAACCCAGCGGAACAAACCAGGTGAGGGACTGCGGGGTGGCAGGAGAGGAGGGGAAGTGGAATTAATTGTGATGTGAAGGAGGAAGGGGGAAGAGAAAGAGAGGAGGGGCAGAGAGAAACCAAACGCGAGGTGAGGAGGGGACGGGGTAAAGGCGGAAAACGGTGGTTAGGAGGAGGAGCAGGGGAGGATGGGGAAGGGCAGGAGCTCGCTCGGCTGTACGGTGGTGGTACGGTACGACAGAACATGGGTTTGCAGGTCTCCCTCCCTCCTCTCCCCCTCCCTGCCGTACACACACACCTTGCCGTACCGCCGGTGCAGCGTTCGTACGGTAGCGGTGTCCAGGTGGTCGTAGTGGTTGTGCGATATGAGGACCAGGTCCAGGGGGGGCAGCTGGGGCTCGAGGCCGGTCAGGGCGGGGGGAACCACACGCTTGGGACCCGCGAACTGAGCGGGGTGTTGGGATCGTGGGGAGGAGTGAGGGGTGTTGGGGACGAGAGAGGGGTTCAGGGTCAGGTGAGGATTCGCCTGTAGCTATCATGGTAGGCTTAGATCACATCCCTTTCCTTTCGGTTCCCTCCCCGCCTCACCCTCCCTCCCGCTTCACATGTACCCTTTAACCTGCCTCCATGCCCCCTCCCCACCTAACTTGGGTTTGGTATGGTCTTTGACTCCCCTCCCCTCCCCTCCCCTCCCCACCTGCACCGGCGCACAGCGGTCGCTGAAGACCGGGTCGGTGATCAGGTTCACACCGCCCATCTGGGGGGTTGGGAAAGGGTCTTACTTTAGTGGGCAAAGCAATGGGGACAGAAGGCGGCAGGGAAGGAGGCTGTGGCGTTCCCTCTTGAACCCCGCTACGGCTGCATCTCGCTCCCCGACCCCTCCAACCCCACGCCACCAGCTGCACTACGCTACCTGCACTAGCACCGTGGCGTGCCCCACCCACACCGCCTGCAGCCCTCCAGCCGGGGGTGAGGCCAGCGCTGACCAGTCCACCGGGTGCAGGGGGAAGGCGCGACTGATGGGGGCGTCATGGGGGAGTGCGGGAGGGGTGAGGAGGAGTGGAGGGGCGGAGTGGAGCAGCGGAAGGTACACGGTGGGAGGGTTTGCGGGGGTTGCGGAGTGAAAAGGAGAAAGGGTAAGGGGTGCGTGTGTAGCCGGTCGGTGTTATGCTAGAACAGACGCGCAGACACGTGTGGTCCCGCGTGCTCACCGGTAGTCGGCTTCAGTCGGCTTCGGGATGCCCATCAGGTGCCCCGGTGCAGGACCTCCGGCCTGGCGCCGTTCCCGGTGCCATCTCATAACCTACGCGGTGGTAATTATATTTGGAAAGTGGGAAGATGACAGCAAAGCAGCTGAACAATATCGGTAGGTGTGATGGTCCGCATGGGCGTTCTGTGTTTTGAATCAAGGGTAGATTAGCGGCGCGGCCACCTACCTCCGAGAAGGAGCGACCTTCGAAGGTGTCCCAGGGGTTTCTGAAGCGTGGCCCAAGCAACCCCGGGTTCTCAACATGATGCGATGGCAGGACAGCATTGCCGTGTAGCGCATCATGGCCTTCACTACAGGATGCAGTCTTTGCAGGTGCTGTTGACATAGCGACCAAATTGCCGCAGATCGGTGTGAGCGCAGAGCGAAGTGGTGCGCCGACGAGGCGGTTAGTTGTTTCCGACGACGTGCTGCTCTTTATGAATTGAAGACGGTATGGTAAGCGATGAGTAAAGGCAAATGCTTGCCTTGTAATAAGATAAGGTAGCATGCGACCTCTTTAAGCCTCTACAGGCCTCCTGGCAGCAACGCCTTTAACAAAGCAAAACCTCTAATTTGTTGTCCATCTCTAGGAGTAGTTCACCCCATAAAACCTGCTTACCGTCAACTGTTGCATACACTTATGTACGGCGCTGGACCCAATGGGTAATGGCGTTGCTCAACTTTTTTCGAAAGCCGCAGGAAAGCCGAGTTGTTTCATCCTGACTCTGTGACGTCGAAAGAAACATGCCAGCCCAGGTTTAGCTGTCGCTGATGCCTTACTAAGTGTGGGCGTATGCCATCTGACTCCCTGTGCTGAAATCGTTGAGTGCCCCAATTGCAATGCAAGAAGTAACAATGGATTCAACTCAAGATGTATTTACATGAAGGACAGAAGGTTAACAAGGAATCGAGCTGGAGTATCTTATGAGAAGCTGCATTGCAGCGAAAAAGCAAGCTATATGTCCTACGTACCTGCAAGGGGATAAATTATAAGCTGGATCTCATGCCATTCCGGATCACCGTTGGTTGCTTCTGCTGCTGCCTATGAACAACGCAAGGGATTGGGCCCCTCCCAGTGCCCCTCCCAACCCATTAGCGGACAAGGGACAACTATCTAAAATCAACTGGAATTGTCATACCTACCTAGTGGACGTATAGTTAAGTAATGGTCTTATAACCCCGCTGACGCATTGGCGCAAGCCACCACTCAACCAGCTAAATTACGAATCACCGCACACCCAGTAAAGTCAATAGTCGCAAACCAGCCCTGCGCTTGGCCCTTCTCCCAGGCGGAGTCTCCCGCGACGCCAGGACTGCGCCACAAAGCTGCTTTGCATGCGCTCCAAATGCAAGACTACCTGCGGTCAATCACTGCTGCCATATCCGTCACCCCGTAACTGGTCTATACAAAACGTCCAACCTGCTGTTGCGCATCCCACCCAAGCTTAGTCAATCGCTACATGGACTCATCCATGATAGGCACCATGGCGCCCGCGGCTGAGGCAGGGTCAATACACACACTTCAGCGAAAACACATCACTTAGGCGAAGTACAGGCCCTGGAGTAGCTGTTGCAGCTGTGCAGGGTCGGTGTAGGGCGCCTGGGTAGACGGTGAAGCGGCCAACTCCACGGCTTGCAGCTCCGAGCAGGCGTGAAGGAGTCCTCGGAATTGCTCCTGCTGCTGTAGCTGCTGCTGAAGCTGTTGCTGGTAAACCAGCGGTAGGGCGAGGCCTTCCATCCCGAACTTTTGCGCGGTCGCAAGGTAGGCAGCCTCCAAGTCGGCGTTGGATCCCGGCATGGGCATGGCCGGCGAGGAGAAGCCAGCGGCTGCAATGCTCGCGGCCATCTGGGGCGGAAGCAGGGGCTGTGCCATGTTGTTGGGCATGGCTCCGCCCGCAGAGAAGGAGTTGGAGCGAGCGCCGGGGCGAGGAGGGAAGCCCTGCTGCTGCACACCACCAGGCTGGGAGGCGCGCCGCATTGAGCCGCCCTGCTGCGGCATGTTCTTGGTCTGGTTGTAGGCGGCGCCAAGCATCCCGGCTGTCATCATTCCGCCCGTAGGCAGCTGCTGGGGCATGGGAGGGCCGACGAAGGGCTGCTGCTTGGGCGCCATCATGCCCCCAACATGTGACATGCCGGCGGTGCCGGGAGCGGGCGCAAAACCAGATGGTGCGCCGGCTGGCATGTTGGGCATTGCAGAAGGCTGCAGCCACCAGAACATCTTGTTAACCTTGTTCGCGGCGGACTTGCCCTCCTCCTGGCGAGCCTTGTAAGCGGCAACCTCGTGGTCTGGGAGCGACCCCAGAAATGCTTCAACAACGCCATCGAGGGCAATGCAGCGCATGGGAATTGCGCGTAGCGGAACCTGTGGAACCAGTGGAAGGAGTTGGGGTACAAGTCAGGGGAACTAAACCATAGCGTTTGGCTTGCAGGCCGCGATGACTGGGAGCGGAAGAATGGGGTAACTTTTGGCCGGTCGTATAAGGAGCAGGCAGGCAGCATGCGTCAGCGACTAGACAGTCAATGGCTGGATGAGAATGCTGACGTTCAGCCGTAAACATGAAAAGTGGACGGCGAACTTGCCTGGCAGTTGGGGCACGACGGCTTGTTGCCGAGCCAGTCAAACAAGCAACTTCCGCAGTACTGGTGACCGCAAGAGAGCACCAGGGACGAGGCGATCAGGTTGTTGCAGAGGGCGCATGTAACGTGCTGCTTGACATCTTTAAGCGCGATAGAAGTTGAGGTGCCGTCGGTCTGAGCGTTATAGGAACCAGCGCGGTGCTCCATCAACAGGGCCTCCTTAGAAGGAGCAGGGGCGGACTGCCGTGTGGTATCCTTGGCTGAGGTATCTTGCAGCTGCGGTTCAATGGAAAAAGCCGTTGTAAGGACTGTCCTTGAAATAAAGCAACGAAAGGAAAGCGAGCTATGGTACTCGTAGGGGGCATTCTATTTGAATGTCGAGAAGGTGGTCAACACTAAACGCAAACGGAAAATGTCACAGCTAATAGCAGCTTACCTCGTCCGGCAGCGCATAGTGCTCAGCGCATGAAGTCATGGCGAACAAGCTTCGGTTGACGCTGCTCTTGCTGCTCCGAATGGCTGTCACAGCACAACGGAAAGCGCGCTCCCTGCCGTTGCCCTCACGTATTAATTACTAGAAAGCTTCCCTAATATATGTTTCTGAAGCACTGTTCTAGTTTGAAAGGAGGAAAAAGAGTCAACTTCCGTTTGATTATGCCAGCAGACTTGCACAGGAAAATTAAGCTAGTGCTAGTGTAATATCTTGTGCTGAAGATCACGAAAGGAAGTCTGTTGTGAAGTGCGACTGTGGCCTTTTGGACTAGCGCTCGAGGTTTGAATCCAGCGAGCTGTCTTATCGTACTCCGTACTTCTCAGCGTGGAATCGGGCGAATCAGCTTAGCGGGGGGCTAAAACATGCCTAGGCTGTTGCAATTACACTATGGCATTGCCTGGGACATCTCTCTGACTGTAATGTTAGGCCTCCCTCGGTCCACACGATGTCAACCCCTTAGCCCAGCTATGATTTAGTAATTCTATTTCCCGCACATTAAACGATATTTTATTGGCATTTGCTGATGCCGCTGTGCATTGCGAGGTGGGGTGCAGCGCAACTCGTCCATCCAGCCAGCGCCCTCTAGCGTTGATTTCCCATCCCTGCGCCCCTGCAATATGTGAACTGAGGAAAGGGCTTTCATGCCGTAAGGAACACTCTTAGACAACCCGAAGACAAAGGCGAAAGGGAGCATACGCGATATCCAACCCTACAATAATGCGTTGGAACCATCGCGTGCTCAATTCCGTGCAGCATTCGACTTTGCAAGAAGCAGTCCCATAAAGCGTACCGCAGATGTGTGTCGGGAGGGTAGCTTCCGTAAGCGTCCCCTAGCAAACCTTGTGTTTACAGTGCGCTTCGCTAAGGGCTTTAAGGACACTTTCTTGTGCAGCTAATGGTCATAGGCTAACACCGTTCGTGAAGGGTCCCACGTCATGGCCATGTCCACGGCACAATTGATTTAACTTGACCTTCCGCACCAGCAGCATTCTAACGCACTCTGCAGCTTGCCTTCGTGCCTTCACTTCTTTTGTTATTAAGCGCAGTGCCACACCCTCCGCAAACCCAGAGCACATGAGGCATGTACACTCCATCAGTAGGCGTGTGTAATCGCAGGGTTTCACGACCCTTACCGCTAAACCACGGGGCTCCTGAGCTTTGCCCATAACATCCCAGCTGCTGTCATCTGAGTTCCATGAGCAGGTCTTAGGAAGGCAATGTACGGTTTGGCTGCGGCCACACACAGCTATCGCCGCAGCCGCTGTGGCTGTGGCGGTCAACCCTTAACGCAGCAGGTATAGCAAACCCCAACCCGTCGAATGACGCCGGGACTGCACGACCCCGAGGCTATGCACGCAGTCTGTGTGCGCGGATGTACGGGCGCCATCAGGCTCTAAACAGGCTGGTGCTCTGGGTGAGTAGCAGGGGTGTCGTGCCCCATCGTTGGCTCGTGCAGTTTGTGGTCACGGGTGGTGACGCTCGCGGGCATGTCCCATGGTTCAGTTGGATGATGACGGTGCGAATTGCTACTGCTGAGGTGACTGAGTGGTTCCGGTTATAATGGCTGGTAGTATTGCAGTTCCTTTGCTTTAAGTGTTGTGGGCTGTGGAGAGATCGCTCTGGCGTGTCCAGGGTATCTGTCGTACAAGTGCCTGTCTTGTTAGGCGGCGCAGTGCCCGGGCTAGGGCACTGCGTTTTGCTCACATACTCATGTACTGCCTGTAAGAACCATGAAGGGCTTCATGCGTTCCTGATCTGCGGCGCAGATCTGCAGCTTACATGCGCGCTTAAACGTAGTCACAAACAGCGATCTCCCAAGCGTTGGGCAGCCCAACGTAGCAGTCAAAATAGACAGTAGGTTATCAGTTCCCCGTGGGCCTGGTCAGTCCGCGGCTCAGCCGTCTTGAAGCCCGCCCCAGCACGGGACGAGAGGCGCTGAGGAGCGCTCTACGTCTACAGCAAGACTAGGAGTGCGCCTTCCGGTTACGGGAGGCAGAGACGGAACCAGCAAAACGCAGCAGAAACGGGTGGCCTGTTCGGCCGCATCTCGGGCACTGCTGCTGGCATTGCCTGGGCCTGCGGGGGAAGCCTCGGGGGCAGTGGGTGTGCCCGCGCTGCCGCGAACTGGAGCAGGGACAGCAGGAGGCCGCCGCCTCGCCGGTGCTGCCGCCGCCCCCCGGGGTGGTGGCGGCGGCGCCCGGGCAGCCGGGCCAGGTGGCGGCGGGGGCTGAGGCCGCCGCTGGGCGGACTGCGCGCCGTCGGGGGAGGCCTTCGCGTGCGGGGGCGGCCAAGCCGGCGGCGGTGGCGCTCGTTTCGGCGGGTGGGGTAGGCCTGGGATGTGGGTCGCCGGCGGGGGCGGCTGACGGGCAGGGGGCGACAGCAGGGTCGCGTGAGGTGAAGGGGGACGTAGGGCAGAGTGAGGGGCCGGTCACGGGGCCTTCGGGTAGGCCGCAGCAAGTGGTGATGCGGGATGAGGTCGGCAGGTTGCTGTTTCCACGTACGGAAACGAGGAGGTTTGATGAGGAGGCGGCTGCCTTGGATGGCAGGCGGGTGCGCCTGGAGGGGGAGGGGCTGCGTGTGGGGGTCTTGCGGTATCGAGGGGCCATCATGAGGCCCGAGTATTTTGTGGTGGCCTGGGAGGACGGGGGCCGAGAGCAGGCCACCCTGGCATGCGTGCGGGAGTGGCTCATCTGAGCGGGCGTGAGCGGGGGTGCGGTGCTGGGGGGGCCCTGCGGTCCTGAGGGGAACCGGTCCTGAGTGGGTGGCTGCGCTCTGGGATGGCGGGCTCGCGTTGGGGTTAGGGGGCTGCGCTGTGCAAGGGCGGGGCCGAAAGGGCTGGTCTGGATTCCAGGGGGAGTCGAAGGGCTGAGGCTGCCGTACAAGTGTGGGGCCTGCGGACTGGGGTTTTGGTGTTTGGGATGGCCTGACGGGTCAGGTGCTGAAGAAGAGTGGACGGACGGTTATTACGGCCCGAGCGGACGGGCAGGAGAGGAACGGACGGACGGTTATTGCGGCCCGAGCGGACGGCCAGGGAAGGACGGAGCGAGTGTCATGCCTTCTCGTGCTGTGGCGTGACCTGCAGTGGTCTCTTTCCGCGCTTTGCCTGTGTTGGCGTGGTCGGGGGTCCTTGCGGACAACCAACCCAATGCTGGCTTGGTTGTGGGGGGGAGTGCGGACCCCGGTGGCACTAGAGGGCCAAACCAGCGTTGGGGCACGACAGCTGTCGTGCCCCATCGTTGGCTCGTGCAGTTTGTGGTCACGGGTGGTGACGCTCGCGGGCATGTCCCATGGTTCAGTTGGATGATGACGGTGCGAATTGCTACTGCTGAGGTGACTGAGTGGTTCCGGTTATAATGGCTGGTATTATTGCAGTTCCTTTGCTTTAAGTGTTGTGGGCTGTGGAGAGATCGCTCTGGCGTGTCCAGAGTATCTGTCGTACAAGTGCCTGTCTTGTTAGGCGGCGCAGTGCCCGGGCTAGGGCACTGCGTTTTGCTCACATACTCATGTACTGCCTGTAAGAACCATGAAGGGCTTCATGCGTTCCTGATCTGCGGCGCAGATCTGCAGCTTACATGCGCGCTTAAACGTAGTCACAAACAGCGATCTCCCAAGCGTTGGGCAGCCCAACGTAGCAGTCAAAATAGACAGTAGGTTATCAGTTCCCCGTGGGCCTGGTCAGTCCGCGGCTCAGCCGTCTTGAAGCCCGCCCCAGCACGGGACGAGAGGCGCTGAGGAGCGCTCTACGTCTACAGCAAGACTAGGAGTGCGCCTTCCGGTTACGGGAGGCAGAGACGGAACCAGTGCGGACCCCGGTGGCACTAGAGGGCCAAACCAGCGTTGGGGCACGACAGGGGCGGTCGTACAGCAGTTGGGTAATCATGACTGATGCTAGGATAGGAGTGCCCGGTACGGTACGGTAAGCTGACAAGGGGGCATCCACTGCAGTTCTGCTTTACTCACAACTACCGTGCGTAAGGAACTACATGCCCTGCCAGGAAATTGCCGCACCAACCATATCCACAACGACCAAAGCCTGGAAAAGACAGTACGGAAGGGACGACGCGGGTTAAGAGGTGCCATTGCAATTCGGCATACGGCAGTAATCCACAGCAGTGGCCTGAAACCCTGAACGACTTAAACGCGCAAACCCCCGCCCTAGAGTTGACGAGGGGGGTCATAAGGATCTTTCGCCGCAAATGGCAGCTAGGGATTACTTCGCCAATGTCGTGAAACACGGAGATGGCCGCCACATACCGTACAAAATGTTGGAAAGGTAGACCCGAACTAATGAAAGAATACCGTGATAAAGTAACCCTGGTTCAACAAGTAAGAAACAACGGTGTAAGTAAAAGAGCATCGCACAGTTGTCTGCATCCTCACGTCTACAGAGCTTAACAGCAATTAAGGGCGTGCCAATTTTCCCGGATAAGGACCAGAACAACCTTCCGTGACACACGATGGCCCCAGAGCAACCACGCTGCCACATTCCCCCTGCAAGAATGAGCACCTCACAAGCAGCCAACCAAAAAAATTTGCACGTGAGCTCCCTCTTCGTATCCTATCGTACAGTTGCCGTACAAATTGCGCAGCGGGCATAGAAACCCCTCCTGGTAAACGTTTACAGCCTCCCACGTGACCATCGCAGCATATATCCGCAACGATAAAAAATACTTTTGCAGTTGTACCACTGCCCTAACCCACATCGATTTCAGTTCGTACGGCATCACAAAGCACCTTCTCCAGCGCTCAAGCCTCCGCTACCACGTCTGCCGGCGCAGACCTCTGCCATCTTATTCACTCTCAAATCCTCAACCTCCGTCCACGCGTCCTAACCCTCTTATCCTCTACACCACTCTGGCAGCAGCTCACGGCAACAGCTCAAGTTGAGCCCCGCCCCCGCTGCTGCTGCTGCTGCTGCTGCCGCCGCCGCCACCATCACCTTCCTTTCGCCTCCGCCACCACCCTTGCAGCTGCAGCGCCAGCCGTGTCAAGGCACCACTGCTACCGCTATCCCCCCCACTCCCCCTGGGGCGGCCGGCGCTGCTGCTGCAGCTGCTGTCGCCTGCGCTGCTGTTGCCGGAGTTGTTCCCGGACGGAGCCGCAGCGGATGAGAAGGCGGTAGTTGGGGTGCTGGGGGTGGGGCCGGAGGAGGCGGAGGCGGAGGAGGAGGCGTCGGGACCCAGCATGGTTAGCAGCCCCTCCTGCTGCTCGGCTAGGGCCTGGTGGGGAGGCAGGTAGGGGGCCGCAGCGGGAGAGGGGTTGAGGGGGCCGTTGGTTGCACCACACACGCATCCTGCCATGCCACCACACATGCAGCCTCCTTCTCGAGCCATGCATGCGCAGCTTCCCCTCCTCCAACCCCTGCCACACCCCCTCAGCACCCGCTGGTGAAGCCTACATGCCACACAGCTCGTTAGTTGCCTCGTCAACTTCTCCACCTGTATCCCCCACCCTTGCCTCCCCGCCCTCCTACCTTGCTCCTGGCCACCGCCCGCTCCGCCTCCCGCCCCCAGCGCATGCACCCCACCGCCCCCAGGTTCAGCCCGCAGGTGGCCGTGTCGCCCGCGCTGATGCCCGCCCACAGCCCGCGCAGCCCCCAACCCGCGCGGAAGCACAGCAGGTAGCCCAGCAGCCCCCCGCACACCCAGAAACCTGCAGGGGGGAGGGAAAAGAAATAGGGAATACCATGCCGTGAATGAGTGCGATTAGCACTGGCAACTGGTGTTGGGAGTCTTCCAGTCTGTTGGAAGCTGGAAGATGCTTAACATGCAAGCAAGCAGTCAAAAATTTGGGGAGAGGGTGGCATGTGGGAGGAAACACACATACACAGTATTAGTTCGTACTAGTGTTACCTTTGTGGGGTAAGGAAACACGAGTGGGGTGCGTGGGGATGGGAGGAAACACACATAAGCAGTAAGTTTAGTACGTTCCTACTCGCGGCAAGTTTTCTTAACACCCCCACTCCCCCACGCGCGCACCCGTGAAGTTGAAGAGCGCTGTGAGGTGCTGGTGTCCGCAGCCCCGCAGCACCCCCTGGCTGGAGCCCATCAGACCGTCGGACACCTGCAGACGGGGGGAGAGGGGGGGCAGTGGAAACGTAGGGGGTGGGGGGGTAAGAAGGGGGGTTGAACACAGCAGGACCGAAACATGAGGATGGCGTCCCACGGGTGAGGTGATGTGTGAAGGGGTGAGGGCCCCCCCCCGCAGTCCCCCCCCCGGCTACCCTAATACCCACCCTGCCGTACACAGGTGCCGTACTACCTGGAACAGCGCCGCAAAGACGGCTAGCTCCCGAATGACCCGAATGACCCGTGGGTCGGTTGTGAAGAGGCGGCCCAGCAGCCCCCTGCCCGCCAACAGGCCGGCCCCCATGACCGCCATGAAAGCCCCGCTGAGGCCGATGCAAAGCAGGGCGGAGCGGCGGGCGGCGTCGGGCTGGCCTGAAGGGAGGGAAGGAGGGAGGGGTGGTGGGGGCAGGGGGACAGATGGAGGGGGGAGCGGGTAGGAAGGAGTGGGGAGCCGCTCTACGACTCTTGCAGACCACCTAGATCGGCCATTAGAGAAGGGAGGCGCCGAGAGCCATGTTGCAACACAGGAGAAAAGATGCGCCTTATCAGGGTTATCATACATGGTTCGGGTCTGCCCTTTACCCCTCCCTTAGTTGTTTGCATTTCTTATATAATTTTTTTACCCCTCCCTCCCTCCCCCCCTCCCGCCCCCCGCCCCTACCCGCTCCCAGGCTGTTCCCCACTCGTATGGCCCCCGCAGTGGCCAGCGCGAAGGGGCAGGCCAGGTATGTGAGGGTGACCAGGCTCAGCAGCGCCGCATGCGAGGCGGTGGCCACGGGGCCCAGCCGGCCCGCCAGCACCGTGCAGATGTCGAAGCAGCCCGCCTGGGGCGGGAGGCGGCGGGGAGGAGAGGGAGGGGGACACAGGAATACCAAGCCACAAGTGAGGGCAAGACCAAGGAGGCCGGCAGGAGAGGGCGAGAGGGGGGAAGAGGAGGGGTGAAAGGAGGGGAGGAAATGACTAGGACCATGTTGTAATTGATAGTGGAAAGCCGTGATGAATGCCTTGGGTTGGGAGAGCGCGGGGAAGGAGGGTGAGGACCTGAGGAGGAGGGTGGTGGGAGGAGGATCCAGCCTTCCGCGTTATTCCTTTTTCGGTCCTGTGTTAATTTAGTTTCCTCACCCTGGCCCCCCACCTCAAAAGCCATGCTCAGCCCCCCCGGGATGCCCAGACGGAGGAAGCGGCCCACCACTCGGGGCCGCAACGCCGTACGACACTCCTCGCACAGCCGCCGCCGCAGCGGTGGAGCTGCTGTGGTGACGCTAACCGCTGCCGCCGCCGCTGCAAGCGCACCACAAGCGGCCGCCGAGGGGTGTGTGCTGCCTGCCGCCGGAGCTGGCGGGGTTGGAGGAGCTGGAGGAGTCATGACGAGGTGCAGGGAAGCGTCGTGTACCGGTAGCAGGGTGGCGGGGCCGCGGGCGGCAGGAGTGGGGGCTGCTGCTGCTGCTGCTGCCGATGTAATGGGTTCCACGCACCCATGTCTGTTGCTGCTGCTGCCGCTGTCACCGCCGCTATCTGACAGGCGGAGGAGGGGAGAGGTCTCCAGGTCCTCACACCGCTCCTTGTCGCACGCGGGAACCGCCGCCGCCGCCGCCGCCGGCTTAGTCATTGATGCATGTGCCACCCCGCTGCCGCCCTTCCCCCCAACGTCACCGCCGTCGCCGCCACCATCTCTCCCGCCGCCGCCCTCAACACCACCGCCCTCTCTTTGCACCCCACCGCCGCCGCCGCCGTCACCGTCACCCAGCACCGCCAGCGCCAACACCCCCTCAGACCCATCACCGCCGCCGCTGCCACTCCTCCTCCTCCTCTTCCCCCTCCTCCCCGAGCTCCACCCTTCCCCCTGCCGTACCGCCTCCTGCCCCCCCTGCCGTGCCTCGTACTGTCGTACCACCGCCGCCAACATGAGGAACTGCGCCCAGCGGGAGAGGGAGGTGGCGAGCGGAGCGCCGGAGAAGCCCCAGCTGCCCACCAGCACTGCGTTGGATGCGATGTTGAGGAGGAAGGTGGCGAGGGCGATGAGGGAGGGAGCTAGCACCTGATTCTGAACCTGGGTGGTGAGTGGAAGGGGACGGGGGCGTACCGGTGGGGGTACCGGTAAAGGGGACGGAAGATGAGGTCCCATCGGAAGGGAGGCTACGAGAAAGTGGGGAGAAAGGGGAAGGGGGGCTGCGAGGAAGCACAAACCCTCACCGCCCCACACACCCCACCCCTCACACCTGCAAGTGTTTCGTGAGCACCGTGCCCCACAGCAGCGGCCACATGCCGGGTATAAGGCCCCCGCAGAAGCGCCCCATGAGATCTGCCGTACGCTCGTCCTGTCCGAACAGCGTCCTGCCTGCTGCTGCTGCGCCCGCGCCCATGGCCCCCGCCAGCGGCAGCAGCAGACCTGAGCCCAGCAGGGCGGCGGTGAGGCTCCAGGTGGCTAGGGAGCTGGGGGGAGGGGAAGGGGGGGATGGGGAGGGAATCCAAAGCCACTATTTTGATATCCCTCAACCCCTACTACCGCAGCAGCAGCTGCTGTGGGTTGAGGCGGCTCTGTCCCTCTCGGGGCGAGGGTGGGAGGAACTCACCGGTGGTCGCCCGCACCCACTGCGTGGCTGCCCAGGGTGTCGAGTGCCGTTGTGAAACCCAGCAGGAAGAACCTGCAGACCAGACCAGCACACACACCCGGAGGAGGCGGGATTTATACAGCTTCAGGAATAAAGCACTGGAAACCCATCCCCATGGCCCCAGGGATGCGAAGGGGAGATAAGACAACCTCACACGGGGTTAAATTAGTATATGGGGGGCGGGGGGAGGGCGCCGGTGGGAGGGGTCAAGACTTGACGAGAGGGAAACCAAATCGTTCCCGGGCCAAACCGCTCATGTAGGGCCGTTCTAGCCCTCCCCGAGTTGGCTTCTCCTCGTATCACCCCCAGTCCCCACGTCCTCCCTTCCCACCCGCAGCACACGGGGTGCTCTTCTTTTCCCACCCGCATCCATCTCACCACATGAGGTTGGTGTAGGCATTGCCCAGCGCCGCGGCGCCCAGCTCAGCTGTGCCCAGATGGCCCAGGAATACCTGTTTGGTGGTTTTGGAAGCAAGGGGAGGTTGAGGCGGGTAGATGGATGGGTAGATGGATAATCTACGCACTTACGTGAGTGAATGGATACCGTACATGGATGGGTGAAGTGTGGGAGCGTGTAGCAGTAGAGGAGCGGCGGTATATTGCTTAACAAAAGTTTAGGAGAATGTGTAAGGGTACAGGTAAAGTGAAGGGGCGGGGATCAGCAGCAGGAAGCAGATAAGGACGGCTTGTAGTGCATGACAAACGATAATGTTAAGCTAGGACGGAAGAAACAGTTTTGTAGGCTAGCGTCAGCACGCTACATGACCAATATCAAGCATCTCAGTAATAATTGAGTGGCGATATGCGCCATGGCCTTCAGAGGTTGCCGGTCGATTGGTAGGATGGCAGTTACACGGCGAAGCGTAGCACGCGACGATTCGTCAATGACGCTGCGGCGGACCTGGTCGGTCACCGTCATGCCTTGTTGCGCGCTCATCTGGATCATGACGGGCAATGCCAAGCCCGCAATGCAGCGAAGTTCGGCTTTCCACAACGCACGCGTATCCGCGAGCGCCATGGCTGGGTCGTCGCTGCGCGCTCCCCAAATTGATAATTGAGCGCGTTCACATATATGATGCTGCTGGTAGAATTAAATCAGGACAATGGCTTTGAGGGGTATGTCGTTGCGCACCCTGGATGGTGATAGGAGTCTGCACTCTGCCATATCATAATAGTCGCGCTGCCTCATAAGGTTGTAGAGGAGTTGTAGAGGAAGTGGCTTACACGTTTCCCCCTGGCAATGGCGCAGGAAAGCTTTAGGAGACGCACTTGTACGACCGTACGACTTTGTGCGGTGAAGCTCGTCTGTAATAGTCGGTACTGTTCAACATTTTTAGTAGGCTGGGACGTGTCCATTTTACCATTGACGGTGCCGTCGCACCAACGTCCTTAGTTTAGGGGCTTTGCCATTTTGCACACGTCCTGCGCATTTAGGAGGCATCTAAGCAACGTTTAGTGGTCGTTTCCACCATGTCGCTCAGCAGTCTTCGAGGGCTTGCCCGGAGTGCGCTGCAGGCCAAGAATGCGCTTCCTGCGAGGGCTGGCGCTGGTAGCCCCGTGAAGCTTGCGCCCCGCCCTGACAAGCCTGTAAGCCTTAGCTTCTATGTGATATTGACAGGACTAGATACTACCAAACGGCGAGCCACTTTACTCAATCACGTCTTCATTCTGACACCGGAATTTATTTTCCGCTATTGTAGCTGCCCACTTGGTACGAGCTTTGGTGGGACAATGGCTACTACCCTGGTCAGCCGGTGGCTGACTTCATGTTCGGCGCTTGGCCCGGCAACTTGACGGAGGTGCGCTCTAGCCCACGACAACAGCTTTTCGGTGCGGGGCTTGGTTATCAGCAAGCATGGAAATAATCCTGAGCCTTGAAATGCAGAAATACTACCTGCGCGCCTGGGCTGTCTTTGGCGTGGTGCTTGCGGCGCCCTTCTACTACGCGCTGAACTACATGGACGAGTTCCGCATGCCCATGGTACGATGGGGCGAGGCTGGGGTGTGATGCATTTATGGGGGATTATCATGTGGGGTGCCCGAAGTCGGCGCGATATCACCCCCCGGGGTTAGTGGGTGTGTAATTAAGGTTGTGGCGGGCCCAGCAATCTGGGATGCGCTGGTGTGGACTATCCAATGAGGCTGGTAGAGAAGTGGTCAGAACCCGCAACGGATTACATTCATCTTCGCGTCGGGATGCATTCATGTGGGGATACCGGTACCGTTTCAGAAGGCAGCACCGGGGACAGCCAACAACGACAACGATGCCCAGGATGTTGGTTGCGACATGGGAGAAGTTTCTGCTTGTTGCAAGGCATGGCATCAGGGAAGGGTGTCGGACCGTGTGTGGCGTGACACCGCACCCCATGCTGCTGCTAGGGAGGTACACAGCGCCACTGCAGGGCAGGAACGCGCTTAAGGTCATGGGCGGCCTTTCTGCTAAGGGCACGTCGACCACACGGGTGTCCTTGTATCTTCCCTCTCATGATCTGGCTCAGTTACTCGATGTCCGTTCCTTCCCGTTGGCCTCTCTCTCCCTCGCCCATCGGCTTTGGGCATGGGTCTTGTACCGTAGTATTGTCCCCTGCGCACCTCCCCCCATCCTGCCTCCCTTCAACATAGGACCGAGGCCTCAACTTGGCTGGTTTTCTTTAACTCCCGTTCCCATTTAACCCCCGTCCCCACCTGGAACCCCGACGGACCCCCAGGTTCCCCAGCAGTACCCCCCTGAGGTGCGGGACGTGCTGTCGGCGCGCCGCAACAGCATGCTGAAGTACGACTTCAGCCAGGCGGACCACGCGGAGATGAAGGCGCGCTCTAAGATCTATTGGACGCCCATCTACTAAAACAGCGTGGCGGGTGGGGCTACGCTTGCCCGGAGCAACAAGCAGCAGCGTGCAGCGTCGCTTGCTTGCGCCGCCCTTTCATGACATGGACGTAGCCTAGGTGCCAGCAAGTTGACGTCGTTCTGGGGTTTGCAGTAGGGGCAGCCGTGATGCACAGCAAGAAGCATTAAGCGGCTGTAATTACGGAGGTCCACTGCGTTAGGATTGGTGGTGGCCGTGGAGGTGGAAAGGGGATGTCACCCCTTGGCGTGCGTAAGGATGCTTTGGCTTATTCCGTTAGTGTATTGCGGTAGGGTCCCGCCGTATTGGGTGGACAGATAGATGCTGCCACTTGTGAGAGCGGTCCTAAAGGAGTTGGGCGTGGACAAGTATTCCGATGGTGCGAAGCCAAGGTTTATAGGCCCCAAGTCGCACGATATGGGTCGCTGCAAACAAACTCCTGGACGACATGCAAATGAGCGATGCATGCGCTTAAGTGATATGCGTCTTCTGTCTGGGATTGCGTCAATTTCTCTTGGGGTACCGGTAATTACCGGTCGTTCTCTCGAGGCACGCAGCTTGTAATCAACACATCTTCTTACCCTACCATATGCAAGGAACAATTATATAGTTTCCAAGACCGTGTACGCTATATAGAGTTAACCACTGAAACACAAGACTTTGAAGGTCCAACTTGGCCATTCAAACTTTAAGGAGCGCTTGAAGCAAAATAGTCGAAGCGTAGGCTTACAGCTGTTTTTCCCTATGTATGGAATACAGACGTCGCGGTGCCTTCCGTCTTGACGAGCTGTCGATGCAGCAGCTGAGCAAGTTACGTCCTCAACTTTCTAAGCCAGATGCGACCCTCCTACCTTTATGACTAGCAATAACAGTCCAGCGAGATGAAGTCTTTTTAGGTTAACTGGAAATATGTCCAGCGACGGGCGCAGGCCTTCGCGTCAGCGCATCGGAGGCCTACCGGTGGGGCCTCAGCCTTCTCGTGGACCTGACACCAACTATGATACTGGAGCATACGGAGCTCCACCTTCGGGTGCACAGCAGCTCCCCTTGGCTCCAGCTCCGCAGACGGTACCAGCAGCTGCACCTTCGGGCCTGTACGGCCTAGCAGCTGACCTCGCAGGCGTCCAGGCTCCCCAACAGGGCGCTGACCCTTCGGCAGGCATTCCTCAGGCAAGCCGTCCGCCGGCCAGGCTTGGATCCGCTCGCAGCGGCAACACCACAGCAGTCCCCCTGTTACCGCTGCGACCCACATCAGCCGCAGCAGCCACAGCAGCTTCCTCCTCCGCGTTCCGTGCAGCGAACCCGTTCACCGCCTCTCAGCCTCAGCCCCAGCTGCCTCCCCAGCGCCATGGACAGCATCCGCACCCTCAGCAGCTGCTGCAGCAGCAGCCGTACCAACAGCCACCAACAGCAGCAGCCCCTGGCGGCGGCGAAGTGCCGTACGGACTTGCCGTAGACCTCCTCCACAACAATGACCCAGCCGCCGCCTTGGGTTTCGCCCCCATCCCGTCGGCAACAGCAGCATCCCAAGCACCGCCGCCCTTTCCAGACACTGGAACCGGTCTTCCCAACCGCCGTGGTGAGCGGCTGGCTCGCCGTGCCCTAGCACCCCAGCTATCCGATGCAGCGCAAAGCCGACAGGGCCGTCTGGGCCGTTCCGCTCCGCCAGCAGCAGCGGAGCCGCCCCAACAACCCCGCGCTGCTGCTGCTGCTGCTGGTCCTGCTATTGTGGTGGCGGCAGCTCCCACTCCCATGCAGCCACCCCCTCTGGACCCCCTAACCGTCATGGAGCTTGCAACCAGCCAGCCGGGCCTCCCGGAGCCGGATTACGGTATCGTGGCTGAGCTCCGAAACCGAACCCCGCCCGACCCATTTGCCGCGGACTTCGGCATGGCGGCAGAGGTAGCTAGGAGACGGTCGCGATCGCCATCACCCTTGGGTCGCGGAGGCGGCTTGGGAGAGGGTTTGGGCGCGGTAGCCGGTGGTGGTGGTGTTGCAGGTGGTGACGGGTCCTCCATGCGGCCGCTGAGGGCGAGGCGGCGGCTGGACCCGGTGGGGATGTCTCCGGGCGGCGGGGAAGGTGAGGAGCTTGGAGGGATGTGTGACACAGGGAATTAATAGGGATACATATTCCACGTTATAATGAATTTCAGGATTGCGTGTAGTCAAACTTGTTGGGTTAGGGACACAGGGAGGGAGAGGGAATGGGTGTAGTCAACGCCGCTGTTGGGGTGACTTGGGACAAGTAAGGGTGTGTACGGTGTATGAAGGCTGAGTGGGCGCGGTGGATACAAAGCAAACAGATGGTCCTGGGCGCACTGCGGGTAGAGTAGGCACAGGCGAGCACGTCCTCAGCTCTCGGTTTACACCCGGACGCGCCAACACTCCATGCAACGCCCAATCCTACCTCCCCCACGTTGCGCCCTTCCAACCCGCCACACCCACGCCTCCAGGCTTCGGTTTGGACGGCGACATCGCGGCTCGGCAGCGTCAAACCGCAGCTGACCGTGCGGAGCCCTTTGCGGCCGCCGCTCGCACAGCTGTTGTGGGCAACGGCGGAGGCGAGGGCGAGGGCGGTGCGTTCTTTGGCGGGGGCGGGCTGGGAGACCCCTTCGCGCTGGCGGATGAGCAGATCAAGATCCCCCGGGAGCTGCTGCAACAGCCGCCGTACGAGCCTAGTCAGCAGGTGGGTTAAGGCAACTGGGATGGGGGGGGTTTGCGGGGGGAGGGTTCTACAGGGTTTGGAGGCGATCGGCGCAAGCCTTTGCAACTACCGGTGCGCGAGTAGGAGCAGGGGCGAAATCCCTGACAGTGCGGAAACGGCTTTAACCGAACGGTTGTCCCAGGCAGGCACCCAACGCAACCTCACACCTTGCATTCATTCACTTTACAACACATCTCGATGTGACTTTCCTCCCTCCTCTACCATTCCCTTCAGGAGCTTCCGGGGCCTGCCGTACCCCTCAAGGCGGGTGCAGCCGCACCCCATGACGCTACCGGCAGCGGTGGCGGCAGCGACGCCGCGAGACCCGAGGCCACTAACAGCAGCGGCGGAGACGGCGCGGTAGCGGCGGAGGCGGATGCGGACCGTCAGCCGTACGGCATTGCTTCTGAGCTGGGAGTGGATCCGCTGACAGGGATGCGGCAGGAGCTGCTGGGGAGGGTGGGTTGGGCCGGGAAGCGGGAGGGGCATGGCAGCGGGAGTTAGCGTTTTGGCTGGCGGCGTGGGAAGGTCTGGGAAGCACCAGCCCATTGAGTCCTACTTATTGGGAGTCCCGCAGTCATCAAGGTCCCGGGTTACCGGGTTACTTACCCCCCCTACCCCTTCCGATTGCCCGTGCCCGCCTGCTTTTCTCTGGACACCTGCTCCTCTCAACCCACCACCACCCCAGGACGCCCTAGGTCTGCCGCCCCTGCCGTCCTACGCCAGCCAGCAGGCCGGCCTGCAGGGCCAGCCAGCGGGCCTGCCAGGCCAGCCGGGCGTAGGTCAGGGCCAGGGTCAGGCTCCGGAACCACCGGAGCAGCCGGGACACAAGTACATGTACGACGAGGATACCGGCATGCTCGTCACAACGGGTAAGGCAGCGTTGTGACGGCAACAGTATGTATGATAGGGGAGGGAGTAACATGGCTTGTCCTAACCTGCGATGCACTGGCTAACTTGTTTTCTCTCATTGCACCCTTCCCGCCCCCCCTCCCAGCTGGCGGCCAGGGCGACGGCGGCCGAGTGGTACGGCAGTACATCGAGGATGAGGTGACGGGCGTCTTCTACCAGCTGCTCAGCAAGCGGAGGAGGCTGTTTGGACTGCTCAGGAGGAAGGAGCCGGCTGTCATGGTGCGGAAGGGGGAAGGGGTGATAGGCGGTGGCGGGGAGAGGTAGATGGTGGCGGAGGGGTGGGTGGGCGACGGAAGTACGGGTTTACGAGCGAGTTTGATAGTATGTGGGGCACGCGGATGTCTTTTGGGCGATTTGTGGCCGTCGGTTGTTCCCCGGTGGCTTCTATCCCCACCCGGCCCCACGCCCCACCACCCACCCGCCTGTCAGGAGGAGGATGACGAGGAGGAGGTGCGCGGCTTCCGCGGACGGCTGCGAAGCACCCTGCTGGGCATCACAAACTTCTTTAACGTCCTCGGCATGTTCGCAGAGGTGTGGCGGCTGAGAACACGGCTGCGGGATCTCAAACTTTCACGTCGATCGACCGTTGGTGAATGACAGGGGGCATGACACAAGGGTCCTGGCAGACAGAGTCTTGTACACGATCTTCGCCTCGACGGCGGTCACCCAGACACATCTTATACACATACTCCACCTCGCCCCATCACATCCCACGTTGTCACGTTCATTCACAGCACGGTGTCCTTACCGTATTCCGTCTCCCCATCGTCCTTCCCTCAGGGCCTGGTTGCTGGGTTCGCGCTGCTCAACTTCTTCATGACGTACATGCTGTACGGCAGCACCTCGCTGCGCGAGTTCCTGCGCTACTACGGTCCCCTCGCGCAGTCCAACAACCGGCTGTACTACTCGTTGCTGGTGCTGGCGGTGATATCGTCCACATGCAGGTGCTGGTAGTAGGGGCGGAGGGGCGGGCCGCTTCGATGTGTTGAAGGAAACTGTGGCCGCGACTAGGAACGTACTGGACTGTGCTGTCCTGCGTTGCGGTGTGTTATGTCGTACCGTGCTGGTTTGTGTCTTCTTGTTGTCGTATCGTGGACCGTATCGTACCTGCTCCTTCGTGGCGCGCGTTTCGCAGAAGTTGGTGTGAGGCGCCTGCCCCCCATTACTGAAACCTTCACGCCGACACCCTGTTACCGGGATCAGCTCCCATGCACACCCCAACATCTCACCCCCCTGCACCTCCGCCCTCCTGCACCTCCTGCCCTCCTGCTCCCGCTGCACCTGCGGCCCCAGGCTAGCTCGCGACCGGCTGCGCGGCTTCCAGCCCCGCCATCTGCAGCTAGCGGCGGTGGACTACGGACAGCTGCTGCTGTACGTGGCAGCCTACATCACCTCGGTGAGAAGCGTGAGATAGCAGGGAGGAGGGCAGGCAGTTGGGGACATGGCGGGGTGTGGGAACGGGGAGGAGAAAACCCAACCGTGTCGTGTGAGAGGTCGCATGATGCCATGTCGCCACCACCCCCGCGACTGTCCCACGGTCAGTTAGTTGTTTCCTCTTTACCCCGCGACTTACTCTAGCATGCATTCCTCAGATGCTTTCATGACGGGTTGCCCAGGGCGTGCCACTATCTTTCCCAACTTAGTCCTGTTCTTACTATGCCTCTTCCCCGCCCCCCCCGGGGTGGCCAGATCCTATGCACGCCGCTCGACGACGAGCTGACCTACGAGGCCAAACGCAACCCGCGTTTCTACCAGCTGAGCTTTGCCAGCGGTTTCAAGAGGCGCCTGGCGCTGTGGCACGCGCTCAACATCCTGAGGACCCTCTTCACGGGGCTGGCCTGGGTGCTGGTGGGTACTCCGCTGGGAAGGGGCGATGCGGCTTGTGACACGTGCGAGAGCTGCAGCAATGCGTGTCCCAGGGTGATTCAGAGCGCGGGAAAGGGAGTCGAGGGTTTGCAGCATCCTTCCATACCGATGCCCTTTATTCGTGTCATGTAGCATTCGGCGTTCACCACCGCTGACGTTGCATCTCTTGCCGTACCCTGTAGGCTTGCTACCAGACGTCTCCCTACGTGTTTGATGCGACGTTGCGAGCGGAGTTGAAGGCCCTGCGGCGGCAACAGGAGATGTTGATGGGGAGCAGAGGCCCCGGCGCCAGGGGCGCGGCTGGGGCGGCCGCCGGTAGCGGGGCAAATCATGGTCGCTCGCCACGCAAGGGGGCAGGCGGCAACACATGAGGAGCTTTGGGCGCCTTGGCTCGTGATCCATCAATAGTACGGTCGAAGGCTTGCGGTTATGTGGAATAAAGGACGGGCTGTATAGTAAGGGATCGCTAGATCGCGCGTGATTCTAGCTGCTACATGATAAGGTGTGCTGTTTGAAGATCCCGCTGTGCGGGCGAAGGGTGTTGGCGTCAAGGCGGAACGGATACCGTGTACGGATGTGGTTTCTGGATTGTGTAAGGTGTTGCAAGAAGCCCTGCAAACAGGGTGCAACCCCGGGTGCAGAGGCACCGCTCAGAGTACGTTTGTTGGGTGAGAGTGGAGTTGAGACCGGATTGCAGAAGAGCAGTCAGGACTGGGGAGTTGCTGGAGCGTTAGAATTCTGGTACATGCCACCACGAGACAAGAGATAGGACGGTTTGACGGGTACTGCTGTGCCAGAGCACGTGACGGGCGGCGGCTTCCTATATCCGGATGCTTATGTTGGGACCTAACGTTGTTGTGAGGAATGTGCAGTCCCCTATGATTGGGATACAGGGCAAGGCTTAGCAGCGCAAAAGCGCGATGCCTTGTCGATAGCTAGCAAGCTATCCAAGCTAACCAAGCAACTGGGAGTTTGGTACCGCCCATAGGACATTGTGACCAAGTGCTGGTGCTTTTGTCGTGGCACGCGTAAAGGTGTATGACGCATATCCAACGTCTTGCAGTCGGCTTACGACCATCGCAAAGTGTACGGCCCCTTTTTTTTGCGCAGCTAGGCCCTAGGCGAAAGGTTTGTGGCGTTACTTCCTGCTGATCGCGTGCTGCACTACACATCATTCTTGCTGATTATGTATACTTGACAGTTGCGCGCGTTATTCAGTTGGACTCTCTGTACCGGTAGTGCAAGGTCAGCAACTTTCGGAGTGTACAAACATAACTTTAGGCGCCGACTGTAACGTACGATCCCCACGACAGGGCGATACTCAAGGTGTGGCAGTTGGGACCCTGGAACGGAGAGTTGGGTAGGCGGGCAACGCTGTCCAGCTGTTTTGCTGTGCTATTGAAAGTACATTTGGATGCTTAAAGGCACCTGTGGTGCGTTTTCGGATTCATAGCCTGCGGGGCCGCCAAGGCAATTTATGGGACGAATCATTGTTCGCATGCAAACAAACAATTATTGTTTGCTTCTGACATATTCACGTTCAAGATCTAGGCGGTGCTAGACTTCTGGTTATTAAACTTAACGCGTTTCCACGTTTTCCTTCCAAACATCTCTACCTCAGGCGCCGGTGGCGGGCGAACAGTAATCCCTTAGGGACTGTTACCCGATTTTTCATTTTGCCTGCCCACAATGGCGGTCGTTAGACCGGGAGTGGCTGTCAGCGGGCCTACTGTAGAGAAGGTTGCCTGCGCCACACCAGGAGACACTAGCAAAGACTCTAAGTCCAAGGTGAAAGCCACCAAGGCAGTTCCTTCTTCGCCGTCTCTGGACTTTAGCGTTTCACCCCAGGCTGTTAAGAATGACTCGATGCCTTCGCCTTCAGCACCGACTACGCCTCCACAGTTGCCGGGGGGCGCATCCTGCCCAGATGCCAAAAGCTTCGGGACTGTTGATGTAAATTCAGTTGCTTCATCGAGGAGCTCTGTGATATCGGATGATGAGCAGGCACCTTATGATGCCGGAGCACCGGGTGCTGGGGCGCCAGCTGCCGGAGCACCTGCCGGTGGTGCGCCCGCAGATGGACACAACGGCCAAATTGCTGGCGCGGCCGGGGCCGGAGAGGGTGGCGTGGGTGTTGCCATGGGTGGCGCGGGATTGTTGGGCAACGGCGGTGGCCCTGTCGTAGCCAACGGCGACGGCGGCGCCAACCCTCCTGGCGGTGGCGGTGGCGGCTTCTTTGCCGGTGCTGCCGGATTCGGTGACGACGATGATGAGGACATTGACAACTTCATGGCGGTCGCTCACCAGCTGTTCCTCAATGTAAGAGCGGCGTCTTGGGTTGAATAAGCTGGAGGGTATATAATAGGGGGTGGGGATGGAAGAAGCCTAGGGAACAATACGTCATGAGCAGGGCGCAACTCGACTTGCTCAGAGTACGGCAGGAGCGTAGGACGGTGGGGAGTCGTGTTCTAGTCCCGATCGACTCACTTTTTCCCCGCTCACTGCTGCTTGCCTCCCTCCCTCCGCACAGGCCCAGCCTCCCGTCCCCGAATGCATGAGCGCGGAGGAGGCAGCGGCCATCGCAGCGCAGACCATCAACGGCGATGCCGCCCCTGCAGGACCTGCGGACGGTGGTCTGGACGATGAGGAGGAGGAAGACTATGATGATGAGGAGGACGAGGAGGACTATGACGAGGGAGAGGAGGAGGAGGAGGCCCCAGCGCCCGCGCCTGCGGCCGCTATCCCCGCTCCGGCTGCTGCTCCGGCTGCTGCTGCTGCTGCCGCTGCCCCTGCTGCTGCCGCTGCGCCGTCGCCTGCTCCGGCTGCTGCCGCCGCTCAGCCGGTTGAGATCAACCTGACCACCAGCGAGGCTGCCCCCGCACCGACCGCAGCACCTGCCGCTGCACCTGCCCCCGCGCCGGCTGCTCCCGCAGGTGGGATGCAACCTCTTTGTTGCAACCCCAATGTGCTAGGCGGGCGTGACTCGGTTCGGAAGTGGTTCGTTTCGTTATTATTTGCCAGGCAACCGTAACCGAGTTGCCTAGAATATAGTGTATTGAGCTGTCATGGGCTTTGCTTTTGCTCTCCATTCTCTCTCTGATCCGTGCAATATTTTGGCCTGCACAGCGAGCGCCCCCTCCGGCAAGGCTGCTGGCAAGAAGGCTGCTGCCGCCAAGGCCGCCCCTGCCACCAACGGTGCTGCTGCCGCAGCGGCTGGCGGTGCAGGCACCAGCGCTGCTGCCGCTCCTGCCGCCGCCGCCGCCGCTAGCAAGGAGGCTGCTGCGGCCCCCGCTGCCGAGGAAAAGTAAGGAAGATTGCGGATGCCAACGAGAGAGACCGTGCACGTAGTGCCCCTTGTTTTTTTTACTTTCCAGTTGTCAGCTTACTTGCGTTGCGCAGCGGTTGCAATCCTCCCGCCTATTGGCCTCGCCATGCTGTTCATGTTGCGGCTTACGCTCCTCCAGTGCTTCCGCGGCTTAGTTTACCCAACCTCTCTTCCACCTTGCGCCGTCCTCCATTGCAGGCCTGCTCCTAAGGCTGCTGCCTCAGCGGCTGCCATCACAGCTGCTATTGACATAGCAGCCGCTGCGGAGCTGGAGCGCGCACGTAAGGCCCAGGAGCTTCAAAACGAGCTGATTGCGCAGGAGGAGGCGGAGAAGGCGCGGAAGGAGAAGGCCAAGAAGAAGGCGGAGAAGAAGAAGGAAAAGAAGGCGGCGAAAAAGGCGGGTGAGGAGGAGGAAGCGGAGAAGGCGGCGGCGGCGGATGGCGCGGGACCGTCCACATCAGCAGCTGCCGCGCCCGCGGCTGAGGAGGCTGCTCCGGCTGCAGCAGCGGCTGCTGCTCCGGAACCCCTGAAGGCTAAGGCGGCGGAGCCGGAGCCTGAGAAGCCCAAGGGGTCCCCCAAGTCGGCGGCGACGACGACGGCAGTGGCACCCGCGCCTGCACCCGCAGCAGCCAAGGCGGCACCCGCTGCACCTGTGGAGCAGCCTGCGCCTGCACCTGCACCCGCAGCACCAGCGGCCGAGGAGGGCAAGAAGAAGAAGAAGAAGGGCAAGGAGGCCCAGCCCGCTGCGGCAGCCGCTGCTCCAACCTCCTCCTCCTCCGCAGGGGCTGGACCCAGCAGCTCCACCCCGGCCGCCTCCGCCGCCGCTGCTGCTGCTCCCGCTCCAAAGCAGCAGCCCAAGGAGAAGGACGTTCGCGCTGCTCCCGCTGCCCCAGCGGTTCCCGCTGCTCCTGCTCCTGCAGCTCCGGCGGCGGTCCCTGCCGCTGCCGCAGCCATCGCCGCTCCAGGTCCGCGGCACGTCATCAATCCGGCCCTGGCCATGATTAACCCCGCTCTGGCGGCTATGGCAGGCCGCGTGGCGCCTGTTGCGCCCAACGCCGCCTTCACGCCGGTGGTGCGGCCCCTGGTAGCCCCCGCCGGCACCGTGGTGCGGCCCTTTGCTGGCGTGCCCATCCACCCCGCACCCGTGCGGGCGCCCGGCACGGAGGGCGTGGCTGCGGCGGTGCCGATAGTGCCGCAGCAGCAGCCGGTGCCGGTGTATTCGGCTGCCGCTGCGCCGCAGGCTGCCGGCGTCGCGCCGGCGCCTGTGTACCGTCCCGGGTTCGGCCAGGCCTTCCAGCCGCGTTTCGTGCAGCCCGCAGCGGCGCAGGGCGCGCCCGCTGCCGGTGCTGGCGTGGCCGCGCCGTTCTTCCCCGTCGCTGCAAACGCGGGTGGTGCCGCCGCGCCACGACCCGTCATGCGTTTCGTGCCGCCCACGGCTCAGTTCGCCCCGCCCGCTGCACCTGCTGCTGCGCCGGCTGGCGGCACCGCCCGCCCCGCTAACGCCATGGCTGCTGCTTTTGCCAAGTACCGCTCCTCCACCGTTACTGCAGCCGCTAGCGCCTCGGTGCCTGCGCCTGCCGCCTCGGCTGCCGCTCCTGCTCCTGCTGCTGTTGCTGCAGGCTCCGGGGCGCCTCCCGCGCATTCGCATGAGGACGACGACAGCAGCTGTGTGGTGTGCATGGACAACCAGCGGTCCATCCTGCTGATGCCATGCGGCCACTTGGTGCTGTGTGAGGAGTGCCTGCCGTCCATTCAGAACAAGGGCAACATGTGCCCCATGTGCCGTGAGCCCATTGAGAGCCACCACCAGATTGGCGCGTGAGGGGGCCGGGGGCAGCGGTGTGGGGGAGGGCGCAGGTGGGGGGTGAGAAGGAGGAGGGCTGCTAGGGGTGGATCCTTTTCGCCTGCGCTAATGGGGTGGGCAGAGGTTGATTGTTGTCTCCACTATGGGCGTGGATTGCGGTCGTTCCTCTGGAAGAATGGTGCCGAGGTTGGCTACTGCAAGTTACGCAGGGCCGTTTGTGTGTGTCCGAACGCAGGCCAAGCAGGCTGATTGTTTGCAGCGTTGCGCTGCAGGCTGCATACGGGTTTTGCGGTTCGGGAGCAGGCAGTGGTCCGAGCGGCGGTCTAGGTCCAGGGTGCATGAGCGGCTAGGGCATAAACCATTAGCTACAAGTTCAGGTCCCACCTTAACGCGGGGCGTTCATCGTTTCATGGTTTCCTGGAAATGGACTTCGTGTACGGATGGCTTTATCAGCTAGCATGCTCTGGTCGCCAGCTCTTGCGGCCTCTGCGATGCTTCCAGAGGTTTATACGGAAATGTAGCCTAGCGTACAGCCATTAGGCGGCATTGGATGCATTTTTGCTTCCGTGGTCAAGTTGGGTGCGACGGTTGAGCCGTTGGTTGTTTACCCTTTTGTCGTCAGTGCAGAGTAGCGTGCAACGTAGTAGCTGGAAACAAGCATTTTCCGTGTAGAGTGTGCAGATTGCCACCGTAATGTGAACGCAGGTGAACGCCGATCCAACCTTCACTACCGTAATGCAAAGGAACGATCGTCGACGTAGACACCCGCCAAACGTTTCCAAACGTGCAGCCATCTTGCACCCGTCCTAGCCGCACGAGCAATCTTACCGTTGCCCAACAACTCTTCCTTCCGCCCCTTCTGCGAAATTCGATTGTGTCTGTCAGTCAGACGCACCCTGCATGCCGACGCGGACCCTATTTGGCAGCAAGACCCCGTACACATGACGGTGTACGTTGACGACGTGGGACCTTCAACCGCACCCCGCGAATCCTACAGCCGACGCGCGCCCCACGCGCCACACGAGGCACACGCCAGCCTCCTCGACCTCTTAACGTCACCCCTACACGGGATCTACCGCTATCGGTATCGCTGCAGCTGCAGCAGGTCAGGCAGGCGGCCGAGGCGGCCCCAGGGTCTTGCTCGCGGAGGCCCGCGTGTCCAGGCAGCGCGCAGCCCAGTCCACCACAGCACCCTGCTCCTGAGCTAGGGTGGCAGCCTGCGGTGCGTGCCACGTCAGGGATGTGTCAGGTCACATTCCACCCGCACGAAAAGAGAAGGGGGAACGCAGGGGACGAAACAAGATGGCGACACCAAGTGACCGAAGCGAGCAAGGGAAGAAAGCGGGGTGTTTGTGGACTAACGGGGGGCGACAAGCGTGGCGGCCAGTACAGGTGTGTCATCTAGGTCGGCAAGGACTCACAGGTTGGCCCAGGTACAGGTGTGTTCGGGTAACGTAGTGTGTACTTTGCACGAGAACATGTAAAGCACCACACCATATACAACCGGCGAGCGACCGCCATTACCCACCTCCTCCTCCGTCTCAAGCCCCGTCACCGCCGCAAGGAGCTCCAGGGGCACCGGCAGCGGCTTGTGCGCCGCCACGCAGCTCTGCAGCGCCCACAAGCGCATCTGGGTGGGCAGGCGAAAGCGAGGAAGACCACGTCAGCAACTGTGTGACAAGGCACCAAGACAACGGGAGGGGGCATGCATGGCCGCCGGTTAAGGTAACAAATGTCCGTTGCAGGAAGCCTGACAAGTGCTAGATTTCCTTCCTCCGCTAGACCCCAACCCCACACTTCCCGGGGTAGCCACTGCACCCACCTTTCCACCCACTCCACACGGTCAAACGGTCAGTTGCTTGTTTCCTCTTCACCCACCCACTCCAACCCACCTGCCCCAGCAGGCGGTCCATGATGTACGGCGACATGCGCGGCGCCCCGTCGTACAGCGCAACGAAGCGAGCGTAGTTGCCGGACCTGAGGTCCCATGAGGGCACACGCCAGTGGGGTAGGGGCAGTGAAGGGTCGCACACCGCACCAGCACGCGGTGGGGGCAGCCAGCGAGAAGGGTAGGGAGGGGACAAGGTAGGGAGTGCGTGGGTCGGGGTTTTCAGGAGGGAGAGCACATCACCGCAGTGGCACGTTGGGCGAAGACCAGGCCAGGCCATCCCCCCTCACCCCCCGCGCCGCACCTGGCAGCCGCGCACACGTCCATCGCATGTCGTACGAAGGGGTGACTCAGCAGCTCCCGCGGCACCCGACCCAGCTCCAGAGCCAGCGTGTTGCGAGCGGCGGCGGTGGCTTGCGTGTACAGCAGCCCGTACGCCTCGAACTCGGCGGGGTTGCCAGGTAGCTGGGGGGGGGGGGACAGGTACACGGAGAGAGGGGTGCGACAGGTGGGAGGGGAGGGCGGGGACGAGGACAGGAAAGGGTAGTTGATAGCAGTGGATACCAGCCCAAGTCGCGCATATGCCTACTCCATGCAGAGCTATCGAGTTCTTCTTCCCACCCTAAGCATGCTTCCCGTATTGCTGCCATATATACCCCTACAAACGCCTGCTACCCCACCGCGGTTCAGCTGCCTCACCCCTTCGCCGTACAGCTGCCGTAGCACTCCGTGACAGCGCCGGAACTCCGCCAGGTCATCCGCCTCCAGCGCCAACCGCCCGTGCGTCTCGTACACGTCAACCGTCAACGCATCCCGTACATGTTGTACGGTAAGATCCTGCATGTACGACAGACCATCGTACGTATACGACGCAAGGATACGTAGACCGGTTTAAATCACATATAACGAGATACCTCCGGGTCCAACGTATGTTAAGGGGAGGTTGTTCCCATACTGGCTCTTTCCTACTGTCAAACTGCCCTGACTCCTATCATGCTCCTTTTTCCCTCTCACCCCAGCGTTCACAATGGTATGCCCTCCCACGCGCCACCTCTAGACAGTCTAACTCGCCCTCCGCACCCAAACTCAGTCCAATTCATCTCATCCTGATATCACTACCACCCCAATCCCACGGGTCTCCCCTTCCCACGCTTTCATCCCCAACCCTTACCCCGCCCGGCTTTGCTGCCCGAACCCCACCTGCCGTATCGCTGCTCCCATCCAAAGTCCCGCATCCCAGGCCCCACCTGTCGAATTGACTTCAGCTGCTCTGAAGCCGCCGCATAATCCGCCCGCTGCAACCATTTCGCCTTCACGAGCCGCAGCGCCGCAGCGAGCACGCCAGGAGGGCGCACGTCGGAAGCCCTCGGCAGGCTGGTCAAGCGAAGGTACTCCTTCTCCAGGGCTGCGCTGGTGCCCACACCGCCGCTCTCAACTAGTACGGCATCAGCGGCAGCAGCGTCGCTGCCCTCTTCAGCAGCATGGGAAAAGCGCTGTTGCCGCAGCCGCCTCCGCGCCTCGTCTGCAGGACCTCCTGCCGTAACGGCAGCAGCTGACAGGTTCAGCGTCGCAGCCGACTTGGGTGTCCGTTGCAGCTTGAAGACAAACCCCCCGCTGGTCTCTGGGGCACCGCCGCTGGGAGTCGCCGACATCCCACCTGGGGCCGCTTTCGTTGCTGCTGGCATTGGTTGCGGTGGTGTGCATTTGGGCAGGATGCGTAGCATCTTGGCTTGCAGGGCCAGTCGTTTGGATGGGTCTTTTGTGGCCTCGAGCTTGTCCGTCAAGCGGCCAAGTAAGGCGTCAGCACGGGCGCGTTTGGCAGCGGCCTTGTCTGCGGCTGCAGCCTCGGCTGCCGCACCCTTCGACAACGCGTTTGCCACTGCAAAAACGACAGCCGAAGGTGGTGGTGGACTCTGGACACCATTCGAGACACCCAGACTGCGAACTCGGCCCGGAAGCTTGGGGTCGTTGGCGGATGCTGACGGTACAATAGCTACGACGGTTGCAGGGGATAACGTTTTGGCAGTTGTGACATTGCCGCTAGCTCCATCGCGACTGCTTTCCCCAGGTGAAGAGGTATGTCTGCAGATGTCGCCCCCATCCTCGCCATCGCTGCTGTCATTCTCCTCGCAACGACTACGCTTCCTGCGCTCCTTCTTTAAATCCTGGTGGCAGAGTCAATCACACGCAGTTACTGTTATGCTCTATGCCGCACTTTGCAATTTAACGAGTAGGGATACGTACCTGGTCTTTCTTTTTATTGTTTCCGACATGTTTACTAGGAGGCATTAGCGGAGGTCATATGGGTTATATCTGGAACTTGGAAATTAACCTTGCACCTACAGCGACCTACCCCAGTCAGGCCAAATGTTTCCCTCCTCCTTATATTGGCTGAAAAGCAACTCACACAGAGCTACAGCTGCAGAACGTGGTAAAGTTCACCAGGAGCCAGACGTACGACATCAGTGTTTAGTTGGTCGCAACCTATGACGGCAAGACATCCCGAGGGTTGATGTCAACAGCCCACCGCCCGGGCGCGGCGCCCCCTGTTCCGCGCGTCCAGGGGTTAGGGGTTAGAGTCGGATTAGCTAGGAGGGATGGTTTGGGGTTGAGGGTTCGGGTGGTTAGGAGGGAAAAATAAATGGTAAAGTGCAGCAACGGAGGAAAGGAGGGAAGGGCACGTGGGCTCGAAGGGCGGGGTTAAGATAAATAACCAGTATGGTGAATGAGAATGGCAAATAAGAGGACAAGTTCCTGGTAAGTGGAATTGGAGACGGGGTATGGCCGGGATACCTAGGAGGGAAAGACAAGCGGGGATTGGACGGCCACGAGGGATGAGTGGTGGATGGGGTAAAGAAGCGAAATATACTGGAGACGGCTGTAGGAAAACTGTTGCGCTCAAAAGGGTTGTGAGGAATAGGAGTAAAGAGGAGTGGGCTACACAGAGCATGATGTGCTGGCTGCAGCCCCAGAACCAGAGTTCCGTGAAACGGCCGTCTTCCTAAGGAGCCCAAGCCCTGGACACGATGAGCAGGAATGGCTCTGACCCATGACACATGACACATGACTACCGGTACCCGGTACTGCTCCTGCGCCTGTTGTAACGTGACGCGTTACGTATGCCATTCTCTATTAATTAATGTAATCGGTTAGGGCGGTTACCCGCTGAGAATCGTACATGCCGTACAGCCCGCTACTGGGCGCTCTGTTCTGTTCTGTGCGTGTGTCCCGTGAAGGCGGACATAAGGGAGTCAGTGGCCCTTTCACACCTTACTTATTGACTCTACACGATCACGTATCGTTCGCATTTGATTGGCAGTACCGCGCGGGTAAGACCAATCCGGCTGACCCGTTGTCCCGTTTCCCCGGGCACGTCAACATGTGTGCGGTGATGGCAATGAAGACTCGCGCTTCTCGTGTCCTTGGTACACGGGCTCCCTCTGGCGTCACCTTAGAGTCTCTTGGCTCTCTTCCTCAGTTTGAGCAGCTGGTGCTTCAGGGTTATCTGACCGACCCATGGTTCTCTGACGTTGCCAACACGAAAGCGTTGACGCAGCGTGATGGTTTCTGGTATCAGGGTGAACTTCTGGTGATTCCTAATGCTGGTGATCTTCGCAAGAAGGTACTGCATCTCTGTCATGATCATCCTCTTTCTGGCCATGCTGGTGTCACCAAAACACTTCATCTGGTGCGGCGCACATTTTGGTGGCCCAAGGTTCATGTTGACGTGCGAGACTATTGCAAGTCGTGCGATAGCTGTCAACGTATGAAGCCTGAGCATGTTCTGTCGCCTGGTAAATTGCTGCCTTTGCCTATTCCGGATCGGCAGTGGTCTGTTGTTACCATGGATTTCGTTACCGACCTGCCTCCGTCTCAGGATGGGCATGGTTACACTGCGATTTATGTCTTTGTTGACAAGCTCACTAAGATGGCACATTTCGTCCCGTGCTATACAACTGACGATGCCGAGAAGGTTGCGCAGTTGTTCGTTAACACCGTTGTTCGCCTCTACGGCATTCCTACGGCTGTTGTCTGTGATCGTGATCCAAAGTTCCGTTCGGCTTTCTTCACGTCTCTGTGTGCTCTTCTGAATACTCAGATCAACATGAGTACCTCGTATCATCCGCAGTCTGATGGCCAAACTGAGCGTATGAACCGTACGCTTGAGGACATGCTTCGGCATTATGTGGCTGGTGATACTGCGTCTTGGGCACAGTACCTTCCTCTGATTGAGTTTGCTGTCAACAATGCCTATCAGGAGTCGACGAAGACTACTCCTTTTCGGCTTATGTACGGCTTTGATCCTCTGACGCCTCAGGCACATTTGGTGCGTTCTTTGGGGGGGAAGAAGTCACCGCAGTCTGCAGTACAGCAGGCGGCGACTGAGAAGGCTCAGCAAAAGGCGCAGACGCGTCGTAATGCTGCGCATCTGCATCTTGCTTTGGTTCGTGGTCTGTCTGTTGACCAGCACCATTTTCTGTACAACGAGTTGGCTCTGAAATTCCATGCTCGTATGCAAGAAGCCCTCGCTCGTGCCAAGCAGTGTTTGCAAGCAGCGCAGGACCGTCAAAAGGTCTATGCGGATGCTAGGCGCTCTGAACGTTCCTTGCAAGTTGGTGATCGCGTGCTCTTGAGTACCAAGCACATGCGCCTTCAAGGACCTCGGAAGTTGTTACCGCGCTTCATTGGACCCTATGCGGTCACCTCTGTCATCAACCCGGTCGCTTATCGTTTGGATTTGCCTCCTGGTGTTCGCATGCACAACGTGTTTCACGTGTCGCTTCTGAAACCCTATGTTGATGGGGGACGTGTGCAACTGTCTCCGCCACCTGAGATTGTCGATGGTGAGTTGGAATTTGAGGTTGAGTCTGTCTTGGATCACCGTGAGATCAAGCACAAACGTCACCGTCAGCGGTACTATCTGATGCGTTGGAAAGGTCAGGGTCCTGAGTATGACTCTTGGGAGCCTGAAGCCAATCTGACCAACTGCGCGGATTTGCTTCGTTCGTACTGGGCTGTCCGTAAGGATAACAGTTCCACACCTCTGTCGTCCAACACTTCTGCTGAACGCGTTCCTTCTGATCCGGTTCCTGTGCAAACCAGGACGGGTCGCCAGATTCGAAAACCCGCACGTTTTGGTGCATTTCTGATGACTTTGGCCTGTGTCAGTGAGGTGGGCTCCACATCACTCTAACGCGCTTAATTGCGTGGCGGCACTGGTACTGTCGGCTGTCGGGACGATCAGCCACTTAAGAGGGGAGGTATGTAACGTGACGCGTTACGTATGCCATTCTCTATTAATTAATGTAATCGGTTAGGGCGGTTACCCGCTGAGAATCGTACATGCCGTACAGCCCGCTACTGGGCGCTCTGTTCTGTTCTGTGCGTGTGTCCCGTGAAGGCGGACATAAGGGAGTCAGTGGCCCTTTCACACCTTACTTATTGACTCTACACGATCACGTATCGTTGCACCTGTGGCCCAAAGTGGAATCAAAGCTTGCAGGCACCATGGGCTAACGAAAATTGTAAGACAAGGACCAGTTTGTGATCCGAGATAAGACAAAGGCGTGGCTGGGTAGAGTGGTAAGTTTGTTGCTCTATCCGGTATCGGCACATGGAGGCGCATCTGGAAGGCCGGATGCTTCGCAGGTCGCAACAACAGCTGTTAAGCCTGGCGACAGAAATCACTCGAAGTGTGTGTTACTACCGACGCCGTTAGCCTTGCGCCTTATACGGACATAAAGCTTTTACGGCTTAGTTGGGACTATAACGCACGCCCATCTCGGTGCTTTAATAGAGCGGTATCCAGGTCATATGCCGTCTATGCTGCATGCTTTTTATCCAAGTTTCCTCCCTTGTATACCAGGGCAATCGGTCAGTTTTGCAGATAACTGTTATACGGCATGATCCAGCATGAATTTAAACGCCTATACTAAATCTCCTAAACAGTTTGTATAATTGTTCAACGTACAGTTAGCACTTCGACACAGTTTTTGCTTGGGTATCCTATTGGTTCTTGGTGCTGTAGCCCGCTGTAGTTACAAGTGTTACCACCATCGCCTCAGGAAATGGCGGAGAACGCGCCAATCGTACCGCTCAACATCAAGGCTCAACTCGCTACTGGAGCACTGCTGGCTAGTCCTGTTCTTGCGACAAGAGCACTGCCGTTGATGCGGCGGAAAGCTCTGCACGATTCCGTTGTCTTGGATGATTCCAAGCCGTTTATGAGCGACCTAGGCGCAAGCTCATACTCGACTCGCATCGTGCTGCTGCCCCCTGGCACCAAGTTTTAGCTGTAAGGCTCCCCTCGACTGTTCCGAGTGGTACGCATATGAACTCATCAGTCATGATGGTCAATGTAACTATGCAGTGGTGATTTCGGTACTCTAATTTTGAGCTTTTAGTATATCCTATGGCTGTCGTTAGAACTGAATCCAGGCATTCGGCTGATGTAATTTCGGCGAGTAGCTGAAGGTATGAATGTGGATTACATGACGTGTTGCCGGTATGGCGATCGAGGCACGTGGCCCCATGGTTTACAGCTGCGCAATCGCAGCTAGCCATGCAACGTGTAACAGTGGGCATTTGCGCTCATTTGGGCGTACCACTTATGACGATGACACCACTCGGCAACAAATGTCTCAAAACGCCCATGCTTTACATAAATGGGTTGTCGTACACAGCCCTTTCACTTCGTGATCCTTCATGCTGCAACAGTTGAGTATTTGATGGGAAAACCTACTCACGGTTACTGCATGTGCAACGCAGAGGCATGTACTACACGCACAGTACAGCAAAGCAAGTCACGACGCCATGACTGGATCACCTCCCCGTCAATCAACCCTCATAGCCGCTCATCACTTTCCTGTCAGAAGAGGCAAGAGAATTAGTGATCGCATGCCATTGATGCCTCGCTCGCTACGCACTAAATACCCATATGGATAAAACGCCCAAATCATTATAATGCCCCTTATCCATCACTCTTAAAAGTTAGCCGGCTGGTATGTTGACGGCTGGTACTTCTGCTCCACTGGCGCGGAGGAGCCCACTTGCAGCGAGAGGGGCCCGGCAGAACCAGAACCACTGTTGGCGGACGGGCTGGAAGCACCAAGCCCAACGAAGATAATGAGCGCGAAGTTCGTGATGCACAACATCACTCCGCCAGCAGCAGCCGCGTTGTAGGCATCTGCGTGCATGAAGGTGCGAAGAAGGTTACAAGGCACTATAATCAGGGAATGCAGAAAGTATGGGGCGTGAGATTGATAGCGGGTTGAAACCACATGCGTGCGCAAACGTTGCACGACAAAGTGTGTTGGGTATGGTTCTGTCAGCAACCCAACAACACCCCAGTCATTCCCTCTATCTGAACGAGCGTGTTCAGGCTTTCCCTCGGTCGTACCGGCTTTGTAATCCTTGAAGTTCCAGCCGTCAACCGAGAAGCTGTTCGTGATGAAGTTCTTGGACATGATGGTCAGCAATACCGTCACCATGCCCTGTGAAGTTTGTACTGAAGCTTAGAGCAAGGCCAGGAGAATTGTATAGGTCCCAAGGGACACGCGAAGCTTACCAGGTAAGTCAAGTAGATGTGGCGAGCCCTGTCAAAGGCTTGCGTGAAGCTGCGAAAGCAAAAGTGGTACAGGTTCAGTCGATCATAAATGCGTCATGTTTAGTGCATAGTCTTTACTTACCATGTCAGGATCATGATAACCAGCAGGATAAACTCGAACCAGATGGACCACCTGTTTGTGGCAGCGGGTCCAGGTCATTATGGCGACAACCAAGGCTTATGTAGACAACAAGCGCACCATTCAAGCTGGTAAGTATTGGCGCACTTGGCCGGGGTTCCGTTCAAAGTTGTATTGGAGGACCCATGCACGATGCAGTCTCGTGTGCTGGCGCCCAAGCCGCCAAGCGCGACAACTGCAAGGCCACGAAGCTATTTATTTCTCAAGTGTGAAGCGACGAACTGATGTAGGAGAACAGGCAACGTACCCCATGACACCAGTCCCAAAAAGAGTAGGGCGAGGCCAACGGGATGGATGTGCAATCGAGCCATAGTTTTCTTGGATAATAAATCCTCTCTTGATTGGGTGGGAAATGTATGGAACAAGAACAAAAATGGCATGCCTGGTTTCGTACGGTTCTTGAGCGGAACCAACCAGAATTTACAGCTGCCCCCGGCTGCATGCGTACTTTGCATTTCAAGGGTAAAGCAACCTGGTCTTACCTATGCACAAGTCATGCGTTTACGTCCGAAAAGTACATGGATACGTGAACACCTTTTTCCCTCCTTTGTTTCTTTACCCTTGTCCAAAGGTTTTGGGTGGCGAACCTAAGGGAATGAGCCCGTTTCATCATACAACATGGCTCGGGTCTTCACTGCTAAACGTAGCCTTGTGCGCATTAATGGTAATCTCAATTCGCTCAATCGACGGTCTTCCCGCAAGGTTCAACGCGTCTGAGTATGCCGGTATCCATTCTAGGCTTCCAGCTATCATAAAGGTGTGCAGTCAAGTGAAGACCGCAGAAGGTTTGCTGGTTCGTGTCAAAAACCTGTAATTATGTACCATTATCAACTGCCGCCACCCCTACACCTCTGCACATTCAGTCAGCATTACCCCAGCCAGTTCATTGGCATTCGAAGCTTGACCGTTTGGCTGTGCATGCAAGATGCAACTCATACATGACCTTACCATGCACCTTATCTCCTGTACTGGCATCAACACCTTCTACCCCTACCTTTTCCCATGCTCTTACACAACACCCTCGCCCCTTGACCCACATAGGAACGCGTCAGCGGAAAGCACTGCGGCAACTGGTATGTGCCGTACAGTCAAATGCAAGCAGCCACACGTGCTGCTAACTCCGCTGCGGCTTCCGACGACATTGGCTACTGGTCAATCGCCAACGCCGCCTCGTCAGCCACCTTTCAGCCCGCCCGATCTCGCTACACCGTAATGCGATCCTCAGAGTCAGGACTGGGGGACCGCTTAGGCTGCAGCCTCACGGTATTCTTGCATGCCCTGCTATCCAACCGTGCCTTCGAGTACGAATGGTACGGACATCACGTGTTGTGGGATTCGTACCAGTCCTTTTGGATTGACTGGCGCGTGCCGCCGGAGAGTGCTGACGAGGGCGTTATAATGCGGGCTGAGGACGGAACCGTGCTGCCAGTCGTGACTGAAAACCATTTTTGGAAAGACCCAAATCGCAGTCGCCAAATCTCAAACTTTTATCTCAGTGGATATCAATTGGCGGAGCGTCATCTCATGACGCAGCTCTTCACCTCGGGAGACATATCCACCTACGGAGATGACAAGGATGTCGTAATTTGGAAACTTAACACCGGACTGCTGATGAAAGCCTTCAGCAACCCGCAGCATGCGCGGCGATTGCAGGTAGGTAGGGGCTGGGCAGGGAGGGCAAAGGCTGAACTGAGGAAGGGCGGCGTCCCTGTTTGCTATCTGGCGCGTTTCGTTATGTGCATGTTGTTAATCGCGCGGTTGCAAAGAACCTGCAGTAGGTTAGTAACACATCTGCGTGTAGTTGCCCCAACCCATCAGTTTTCTCTCTCCTTGTGCCCGTCACGGGTGCTGTCCCGCGTGGCACATGGCACACTGGCTTGCGCCTGTACGGCCGTTGTACGACAGGAACTGGGCTTGACGTGGCAGTACGCCGTACCATGCATCTTCAACTACCTGTTCGTACCTTCTCCTGAAGCTCTGGCGCCCTTCCGTGCGGGCGAGCTGTTGCAGAAGCTGCTGGTGGGTGGGTTGCGGTCGGTGTGGCGGCAGGTTAATGTGGGTTTCGAGCTGTTATCTGTGCCGTGATGACACTCGCGGCGGTTGCGTGGAGGGGTGCGCTGGGTGGGTGGATGAGTGATGTGGGTTGGGGTTTAGAGTCGTACAAGTCGTGGTACAAGGGAGGGGAGCTTCTGCAGAATTTAGGCGAATTGTCCATCGCATGGTGTTTTGGTGCTGTCGTTCAGCCCACAACAACCGCCTCCGACGTACGTCATGCAGGACCCGGAGAATTTCGTGATCGGAATCCAGATCCGTCTGGGCGACTGGGTGTTCAAGACCGGCGGAGGCGACCTGAACCATGGGTGAGGAGGGCTGAGGAGGGAGGAAAGAAAGAAGAAACCCAATTCCTGCCCAATGCCCCAAACCCAACCCGGTTGAGGAGGGAGGAGGGAACGCGCCGAGGAAACGGTCAACGGTGTTGACCAGAGCGGGTTTGGAAGGAAGGACAAGAAAAGAGGGTTTGGAAGAAGGGAGGGGGGGAAAGCATGGAGGCAGGATCCCAGCAATTTTTAAATACAAGGTGGTAAGGCCCGGGTGAGGACGAAGAGCCCGAGCCGGTACATTAGGGTCGTAAACGGCAACCTTGACAACCTCCGTTGCGCGTACACCACCCTAGGAACGTGCGACACAGCTGCCGTTTACCTCGCTAATGCCCAACCCCTCGCCTTTCCCACCTCTAGTGCTCCTCCCTCATGACTTTTCTCTGCTTGTCTGTCTGTCCACTTGCCTGCCGTGTTCCCTCTTGCCCTCGCGCAGTGCCGGCCACTTTGCCTGCGCGCAACAGCTCACGGACGAGATCACCAGGACCTACAACCTTGGCAATAACAACAACCCCGCAGCAGAATCAGCCTCTAGCACCACAGGAGCCCCCACTAGCCCCGCAGCAGTAGCCCCCACTAGCCCCGCAGTAGCCCCCACTAGCCCCGCAGTAGCCCCCACATGGCTCGAGAAAGCAGATGCCAACCTCAACGCCATGTTCAACTCGCGATGGGTCAAAGCCGGCCGGCGCTCCCTGGGTCCTCTTCAAGAGCAACCACAACAAGAGCAGCAACACCAGCAGCAGCAGCTGGGGAGGCGGCAGCTACGGCAGGAGCAGCAGCAGCCCGCCGACCCGCCTGCTCCGGCCCCCAAGAACGTCTATTGGTTCCTCATCTCCGACTCCGCGGCGCTGCGGCGGGCGGCTATGCAGAAGTACGGCAGCGAGGGGAAGCTGCTGGTGGCGGAGAGTGTGCCGCTGGACCACGTGCAGGTGTGTGTTCAGGAAACTCGCCGTCAGTCGGAACGTACTGTATTAATCGGAAGCCGATGTGTGTTAAAAAATGGCCGCGAGTGTGGCCAATATGTGTTAAGAAAACTGGCCGGGGGGGTTTATAGTAAGAAGTGCATGTGGAGGGATATCAACCTTCACAGACACCGACCTGTCTGTACGACACTCGCGGCCCGCTCCACTTCCCAGCTCACTCCGCACATCCCGCTCCGCCCCTTGCACCCCTCGCAGGACTTCCCGCAGCACAAGCAGCTCGGTCTGCACGTGGCCGCGGGCGAGGTGTGGTTGTTCGGACAGGCCTCCGCGCACATCATCACAACCGCCTCCGCATTCGGTCGGCTGGGAGCGCTGGGGGCCGGGCCGCGGCCACCCCTGCCCGGCGGGCCGGAGGGCACGTCCACGTCGTCTTACCGTATCTTTGGGGTGCCCGGAGGCGGCTTCCGGGGGACGTGCTCGTGAGTGGGATGACACGTGATGGGTGGGGGTGGCGTTTGGGTGGGAGGGAGGGAGGAAAAAATTATATATGTGAAACAACGAGGGAGAGAGGGATGGAGGGAGAGGGGTGGGGAGCAAATCGTGGGATTGTGGGTTGCATGGCCGGCTGGGTCGAACCCTTGGTATGGGTTCCCATGGGCAGAGTCCTATGCATGCCTTTCTGGACATGACAGCCCCAATCCCGTACTAACCCATGCGCCCGACAAAACGACGCGCACTCTTAACGTCCGCTTGCCTTCCCCCCACCCGCCGTTCCCTTCCCTCCCTGCCCTCCCCGACCTCCTTCCAGGCTATCGCGCCCCGACTCGCTAGAAACCGTGGCCGGCTGGTATATCGGCATGCGCAGTGATTGAGAGGGGAAACCCAATGACTTGAACACGGCACACGTCCTCGCGGGGACCCGCAGCCTCGCCTGGTCGTACATCCTGTGCGGTGGGCGCTGTGTGCCTGGTGGCGGCGGTTGGCGGCTGGTTCCCGCCTCGTTACACTAATGCATACCGCTTATGTGTCTGCAGCTATGGTTACTGTGGTCCAGGAATTGGGTATTGGTTTATTCTCGTGCCCTGCTGTGAGCCTTTGGCCACTGATCCGTCTTTTCTGGTTTTGCGCGCTGCACTGTATTGTGTATGGTATTGTGGCATTGGAGGTATGGCGTTGGCAGTATGGCATCGGAGGTATGGTATGAATGCTGCATGCTGATGGCATGCTGGTGGGATATGGTCACCGTACTTACTTATTTCTTATCCCCGTATTTACTTCTTTCTCGGACGACTGCGATACCTGCTGTGTGTCCTGTGGGGGTGCTGCCTCGTGCTTAATTTGCGGCTGACAATTATGTGTACACAACCTCCTGAAAAGAGGAGTGCCATACGCCGTAGGAGGCGGCAAATGGTCCTGTGTAGATAACGTTCAGCACCGTACGTGCATTCGTTGCTTGGGAAGATGGCTGCGGAAGAGGTGAGGTGGCGTGTTAGAAGCAGGAGGGGAGATAGAGGCAGGTTTAGCGAGGACGTGTTATTAAGGAGATTAAGGCAGGTTTAGCGAGGACGTGTTGTTAAGGAGATTAAGGCAGGTTTAGTGAGGACGTGTTTTTAAGGAGATTAAGGCAGGTTTAGCGAGTACTAAGGCAACAGACACCCAACGGTGCATGCCGCTTCTAGTGGATTTCGGCTCTAGACGGCACACGGCACATACGGAGTCGGACTTTGGCATGTGCACTGCTTGCTGCTTACGATAATGGGTACTGGGTACTGGGTTCCGTAAAAGCTGTTGGAATGCGGCATTTGGAATGCATTTGGGGTTGGCGTGGGTACCACGCGCATGCGCACATACTATATACAGGGGTGTATGTATCGTCGTAACTCAGCTGCAAGGCTGTGCAATCGTGAGCTGTAGGTGCATCGCTTGTGCGTACATTGATACACGGGGAATGGCTCGCCTCTCTTGAACAAGTCGAGGTAGCACTCTGCTGCAGAAGTCTGCTGCTGCCAAGATGGCTGGCGCCTCGTTACTACACAGAAAGCATTGGAGCACGGTTTCAACCATGTAATAACCGGTACGGCATATGCTGTAACGTATCTCGTACGTTTCTCGTACGTGCACAAGGCCATGCTTTGCGACCATTGGTCGAGCAAAACAAGGAGGGCCAAGCTATGTCGTGACTCAGGGGGGACCCGCATCATGCCGTTGTTGTTGCTACTGATGTTGTTACTGATGTTCCATGTTCCACCGCATCCGCCCCAACCCCTTCCAGGCCAACCCTATGCCTGCAACCTAACCATGCTGCTACCGCATTCCTCCCTTGAGCCACACCGTGCCCAAACCCCGCCCTCCTACTCTCCCACACCTCACTCCTGAAACAACCACCAGCCGCAAACACCCTTCCAGCAACACACTCCACACACGTACTACCGAGACTGCAGTTACCCGTACACATATATATGATCTGACAGTGACACTGGTAGCAAGCCCGCCCTAGCACTGTAACCTCACCCCCGACGTAGCACCCTCACCACCACCGCCGCCGCCACCGCCGCCACAAGTGCCCCTAGCCCCGCATTGCAGCCGGCGAACAGCACCGCCCGGCGGCGGCTGCGTGCGGCCATGTGCTCAAATCGCCGCTTGAAGTCCTCCAAATCGTTGACGCGCGGGAAGGGCTCCTCTGGCGGCGGCACGGGTTTGCCCAGGAAGGCCCCCAGCGGCCCCCAGCCCTCCCCCATGTGGTACTCCAGGAGTTGGCCGGCCGGTACGACACGACGTACCTCCGCTATGTGGGCTTCGTACACCTGAAGGGGTTGAATAGCGGTGGATGGGGGCGGGGGAGCCGTGAGCAGGTGTATTGTATCATTTGCATGTCGCACGGATTCATCACCCACGCAACACACCGAGTCATCTCCACTCGCCTTTCCTTCCCACCCGTATCTTCCCCTCGATACCTCCCTCCCCGCACCCAACGCCACAGCTATACAAAACACCACCCCGCCCCGCACGCACCCCTCCCCACCTGCCGTACGTACTCCTTCTCCTCAAAGCGCCCCCCGAACGTGCCATCCCAAATGACCTCATCCGCCATGGCACGAACCCGGACCATGTCCGGAAACAGCGGCGCCAGGTACCACGGCGGCCGGCTTGCCTTGCCCGCCCGCGCCATGGGGTAAATTGTACGGCACATGCTGTCGTACCAACTGTCGAAATCTCGTATGGCAAGTAAGACTTTGGCTCGCGGGTAGGCTACCATGAGTTCCTTGAAGAAGGCAGCTGAGGGCCAGTCTACGGTGGCGTTGTAGCCGCCAGAGCCAAGGAGGGAGTGCCAGTCGATGGGCCGACCCGCGGTTCGGTCTCGAGCGGCTTTGAGCCAGGCGGCCACTTGGGTCGGGTTGTCAATGACCTGCCGTGTGTTGCACAAAGATGATGGTGGAGAGCGAGCAAGGGCATCGCATTGTCGTTTTAGTTAGCCAAGAAGACTGCTGTAACAGTTACGACGAGCTAGTTGAGAAAGCAAGTCTTGCGCAAAGAAAATGCCTGGGGAACAATGTGCCTGATCAGGCGTGACGAAAAGATTACTGCGCTGAACTCTGTCACTCGGCAGCTGACGCACCTCAATCATGTGATGGGTCTTATAGCCTAACTTGTTAAGGGCCGTGTACAGGCTGAGTGTGCCTGTCCGACCAAAGCCGGGGCAGATGACCTCCACTTCGGCCATGTAATGCTTGTAGGATGAGGGATGACTTTACAAAGTATGTAGCTGTAGGCAAGGCAATGCTTACAGTTAATTTATAGGCTTATAGCTAATTTTGTTAGGGTACGGTCTTCGTCCCTGGAAAGCTGTGTAGCGCAGGTCCCCACAATCCGCAGGCACAACAAAGCTTGCGTCAATACCTCTTGATGACAAACAGAATTCCGTAATGTCTGTAGTGCAGTTCGCGTTATGGCAACCAGCATGCTCGATACGACTGGTTATTAGGATTGCTGACCCAAGGGTCTTGGACGCTACTGGATAAAAGGACCTGGAATACGGTATCCTAGCCCCCATCCGGTCCCCCCACACATCAGCTTCCAGCAAAAATACACATGCACCTTGTTGGTTGTGAAGTCGGTAGCACTGCGACTCTTACGGTAGTCTCCACGGTGTCTGTCGGACCCAAATGCCAAGCGTGCGTGGCTAGCCTATGATGCCGGGTTCAGTTGTGTCGTTGGCGTTGGATGGAGAGCCTGGTTGGCCCATGTCCAGGCCAGATCAGAAGGGTTGTGGTGAAGGAAAGGGAAATCCGTTGCAAGTCGACTGACGTAAATCTGGGGCATGGGCAGCCCTAGGCAGCCTTGCGCATGCGCGTGATATTGTACGAAAAGGCATGCTCAGCCTGGCTGGCCTGTGTTTTGAAATGTATATTTATTACCAAGGGGGACAATATGCTATAGGGTCGGGTGCTCCTTCCGTTGCAAGCAAACAAGGTGTCACGTTTGCAAAGGGTCTTCAGAGATGTATCAATGCATGGGAACCATGAACGCACATCACACGCTTACCTCAGAACGCACATGGAAATGTGTCACGGTGCTGTGTCGGACTGAAGTTGTAACAACCACAATGGAGAAGTAGTGCCTTACATGCAAACGACAATGTACACATGCTACGAGCCCTTCCTCGACGAGCCATACTGCGGCGGGGCCCAATGACCAATATTTGTGGCAAGAACCATAGCACGGCCACAACAGTATCGAGGGGAAAACAGCAGGGGAGGAAGCGCCATGCCGCAGTGTAACGACGATCGACGTCATCGGGCCAACGGCTTCGCAGTCCCACACGCCATAACCCACAAGCCCATGTAGACATAAGAGAGGTGCCCGATAATATCTAAAGACCACATTACATTGCGGTTAGTATGACGTGACGCGCCAAGGTTAAGCTAGGGTAAGGAGCTGGCGCCCCTACCGCCGTACGCCTGGTTGTCACCAGTCAGGATTTCATCCTCCGTTGCGCGGAATAAGTGAATTTTATGCATGCTTTACAGATGTTAAAACTTTACTAGATGGAATGGCGACCATTGAAGCGAACGAAGCTGACAACAAGGGATGAACAACCGGCCCGTTTGACACAACGCATGGCCGATGTACTCCAGTCGCATTTGATTAGTTATTCACCGTTTGATGTCACGAAGGCTGTGGTACCAGTAGTATCAGGCGTTGAGCTTCATCAGCAAACTGTTGAACCCTACACGCTGCTAACAGCAATTACTGCGTCGAATATGCGGTTAGGTGTTGAGCAAACAGTAGGTGAGTTGATACATTTTTGCAAAGAAATGCAGCCTTGGCTGGTTCACGATGGCCGTTAGCCCTGTCACTTGCATTTACCTGGCGCTGATGGGTATGCCTTACGCGCCAGGACAAATAACGGGTTTACTTGAGGGTGAGCTGCTGGGGCTCAGGGGCGAATCGAGCTCCAACGGTCGAACAACGGCAGAGGTGCATTGTGAACTCGCCAACCGCTGCCTACTCTCCTCGTAAGTAATAGAAGCTTTCATGCAAACCCTTGGCCCTTGTGCTCTATGAATTGTATCACCACTACGCGCCCGTTTAGCTTAACGACAACTGTCTTTGCTTGTCCCCTCTTCTCTGTACCCGTTCCTCCGCAAATCCTCCTTCGCAAACCCTATACTTTCCTATACTCAAAGGCTATACGACGCTCAACTAGCACTCATGGATCTCGGCACAACAACGGCAGCCCGTGGCTACCCTGCCGGTTCCAGCGCCAAGCCCTGCCCCGCGGCCAACGTTGTGCCAATGGTAAGCAAGCAAATTGGCCTCGTGAGGATTCCGAGGAAGGCCCTGTTGTGACACAGTACCGAAAGACGCGGATACGAAATCGTTGGCCGTAAGAATCACGGGAGGACTCCAACATGTGCTATAGCGCCTGTCAGCAGCTGGCAAGCCGCAGACCTTAGCACACGTCGCAACCTCTCCCTCCTTGCAACTTGTCCACGCACCCTAGGCCCCATACCTAACACACTACACCGCTTCCTTTCGCCCCTGCTGTCCCCTGCGCTCCGTCACGCCCGCCCCTTCCTCACCTCGGCGCACAGGCCATCCTCAACGCCCAGCACGCAATCTCGCTCGCGTCGTACCTCCAAGAGTACGACAGCCTAGTGTACTGCGCCGTATCACTAGCTGGGCTGCATGTGGGTCGCCGTCGTGACTTGGCAGCCGCTGCTGCTGTGCTAGACGAGTGCGCGGCTCAGCTGATGTGCTGCGGCGCTTCTGCTGCTGGTATTGGGGAGGATGATACGGCACGGCGAGCGGCGCTGCTGCTGCGGGTGCTGCCTAAGAGCATGGAGGTATACAACATGCAGGTGAGTGGGTAGGTATGGGCAGGGGTACTTTTGTACAGCTCTTCTCCTCCTTGTCAGTACCGCCTTCTACCTGAATGTCCCTTGCTCCGCATCACCGGCCTGTACCGTCCCTGCACCTCACCTCCTGCCACCTCGCAGGGCCGCACCTCCGACAGCTTCGCTCGCTGGCAGCAGCTGAACCGAGCCCTGCTGCTCTGCGGGCGCAGCACCCCCCAGCGCTGCCCCATCTGCGCGGGGCCCTTCTCGCCTGACAGGGGCTGCTTCGCTATGAGCTGCGGACATTCTTTCCACAGGTGCGAAGTGCGGCACGACATATTGCAGGATGCAGACTTGGGGGCTGGATGGAAGTAATGGATGGGAGGCTGCAACTGTCGTGGTCAAAAGTCGAGCAACCGACGTGGTCTTCCACTCTTGCCGTACACACGCGCGGTTGTCGTACAAACTTGTCTTTGCTGCCGTACGCCCGCAGGGACTGCTGCGACGCCTGGTTGGGCCGTATGATGCACACGTCAGGGGTGTTCCGAGCGGAGTGCCCGGTATGCAAGCAGCACGACCCCGCACTGCACCCCACCCCGGCGGCCGTACAGGTGAGGGTGGGTATGTACGGCACACGGTATTTAATGTCTGTACGGAAGGATTGGATCCTGTCATGCTCGTCATGGTACTGTTTGGTTTTCAGCACATTATAGACGCTCGCTGCTCCTTGCCCCGCGCACATCATGTATGTTACTTGTTTCACCGCCTGGCTTTCCCCCGGATTTACGGTTGTTACATGTGTGTACGGCAGGAGCCCAGGCCGCCTTGCTGCACCACTTGTTGACGGGCTGAATTCGTGCCACAATTGCTATTGCTGCTTGCAGGCGCTAAATGGGCACAGGAGGGCTGCAGGGGAGCATGGTGCCAGCACCAGCAGCGGCAGTGACAGCGGCAGCAGCACTAGCAGTGGCAGCCACAGCAGCAGCAGCAGTAGCGGTAGCTGCAATACCAACAGCAGCAGCAGCAGTTGCCAAACCGACAATACTGAGGACTACAGGGAGGACGAGGACGATAGCGGCGGGAGTGAGAGTGAGGAAACACGTGAGAGCGGGGATATGAGTGAGGGCGACGACGTTGCGAACGAGCGCACTGAGAGCAGCATTTGTGGGGGCTACATCGCAGACGCCAGCGAGGGTAGCGATGCTGATAACGCATGCTAGGCAGGAGGCCTTGTGTTATGTTGAAACAATTGAGCCGCGTAACGTGTACTGACGACAGCTGTCGACTGAGGAGAAACGCACTGGCATGTGGAATTGTGTCGGTCTGGGCTGTAGCAGACCGGCGAGGAAAGCGCCTTTCTTTTGGCAGGCGGGCAGAGGCCGCAGGTTAAGACCAACAATAACTTTTGTTTCTTTCGTCCTTAGCTCGTGCTATCTTTGCATGCATGCAAACGACCAGTTGTTAATAATAATGCAAACCTAGGTGTTGTACTAGGCCGTGTATGGGACACACTGATGCGGCTGCACTAGCAGCGCGGCCATGCATCTTCCTCGTGCTATTTGGTTGCGGCTGCACTTACGATGGGCCAAAGCAACTGATTCGTAGCTGTTGCGTGACTGCACGAGCGTGCCTTGCATGGTAGCCGGTGCATGTGAGGTTTAGTGGGTGGGAAGGGGTGCGGGATTAGCGAATGAGGTACCTACCGACCTCCCTGCTTTGCGGTAGGAGCCGTCGGGGGGTTTCAGAACGGTCGGAGAGCGCAGGGTATTTGTTTGCATTAGTCTTTCTGTTGCGTGGGTTTGAGAGAGATCTCGTGCTAGGTTACGGTGTTGCAACCGGATAATTGGTCACCCGTAATCGCATTTCATTGTTTTTTGAGGGGTTGGCTGTGTTTTACGCGGAAAGGCACTCTTGGGGAGTCCTTCATTGCCAGAGGACGTTAAACACTATAGGTGCTTTCTTGAGGGGTAGGCTGGGGGTTGGACTTGCGTTTCCGAGGGCAGGCATGGTCAGCATTGGCTGGAAATCTTAATCGGCAAGTACCATGCCGCGTTTGTCTGGTTGCACTGTAGAGGGTTTGGATGAGCCGCGTAATTGTACTTGCCGTAGTAGCTGTCAATCGAGGAGAGATATAGGGGTGGGAGCGACCAAGAGGGAAAGCGGAGAGGGGCTCTGCAGCATAGCAGGAGTGGTGATGCAGGAGGGAGAGCTGGAGAGCACGTGTGATTTTACTGGGGACTGTTTTAGCGGGAACAAGCGATACCTGGATGGCCTGCTTGCTAGGCATATCCCTCCTTGCCCCTTGACGACACGCCTTTATCCCAGTTTGATTCACCACAGGGCAGTTTTGTGTGCACATGCCCTCGTCTTGTTTGGTCTTTTTCCTAATCAGATGAATACCGGTACAGTGGCACGCTGCCTGGTGCATGTGAGTTGCACGTTATCACCAACCGCGCCTCTCGTAAGTTGCCGCTGCCCATGCAGGCCGTGTCGGGGGCCGCCCCTCGAATGACCCTGCAGCTCGTTTAAAACTGCAACTGGATTCCGTTAAAAAGGCGCATGTGAATGAGGGCGGTTGCAGAGTGCTAAGTTCTATAGTGGAGGGCTGTCCCACGTACTAGGGTGTAAGGTTGGCAAGAGGTGTGGGGCATGTTGCGTTTCAGATGGCCGCTGATGGCACGACCGGGGTTGCCCTACGCGGCCCCCTACCGGATGCAGACGCCTTCCTTCTGAACCTTAGATGCGCGTGCTACGGAAGTAACCCTAATAAGAGAGCCAAGTTTTGTTTCCTTTGTCGATCACACTTTCATTAGGAGGGGAAGTTGGCCTACGTTTAATAAGCCGGGTTCAAGGCTACAACTTTGGTCCTTGGGCATGTTCAGAGGCTCCATGGCGTTTGTCGGCCTGGATGACTTGAATGCGATGCTGTGGGGGTATGCGTGAGGAACATGGCAGCTGTGTCCGAGTGAATGAATTTGCACAGATTGCGGCTGTCCTCTGCTCCTGCCAACAATGGGCTAGTGTTATGAAGCAAAGGCTTTTGCGGGCTTGTGCGGTACGGAACGGCAGGACAAGGCAGGGCTGCCCTGCCCTGCCGCATGCCTTCCTTAAACATCGATACTGTTGCCTGGTCTGCCACAGCTTGTACGACATGTACGGGCTGCCATCGGGCTTGGTTGCCGTGCATGTCGGGCCCCACCCCAGTTCCTAAACCCATTGTCTTTGGGTACGTAGCGCTGAAAGCCCTGCGTTTGCAGCGACTTGTAACGAACCCAGTTTGCAACATCTGGGTATGCGAGGGCATGGACCGTGTGCTTGTCCCGCCAATCTCTAATCCAGTGACCGTCCCGTTACCAGCCGTCACAAGGCCCCACCAGCCGTCAACCAGCAGCGCAAAACCTGCACATCGCCTCGCACGCCATGTCGTTGAGCCTTCCTACGCTGATTACAGTTCCATACAGGACATTATAGGAGGTAGTCATCCTCATGGTATACAATCCATGCATACCCCCACTCTACGTCCTCTCCATCCGTCCTTATCTTAGGCCCTGTAAGAGCGCACATCCTTTAGGTGCCAAAGCGTAATCGGTGCTCAACAGCCGGGAAGTCAAGAGCCAGGGACACTGGACCCTGGGTACTACAAGCCATACATATCGCAACCTCCTGGACCCAGCACGAATACCCAACCGCCATGCGAGGAAGGAGAGGTCCGCTAAGCCCGTACGATTCGGCATGTTCTCAGCCTCCCAGCTACCTCAGTACGGCACGCGACATGCTGCACCTGGGTACGGCCCCGCGTATAAGCCGTAAGCTACGTGCTGCTGCTGTTCTTGCTGCGGCTGCAGCTGGTACGCCCCTGAATATACCCCGTATGTTACGGGATGCTGATTCTCCTGCTGGGCCTGCGGCGATTGCTGCTGATACGGCCCCGCATATACCCCGTACGTCACGGGCTGTTGCTGTTGCTGGGGCTGCTGCGGCTGTGGTTGCTGCTCCTGGTACGGCCCTGGATATACCCCGTACGTCACGGGCTGTTGCTGTTGCTGCTCTTGCTGCGGCGACGGCTGCGGCTGCTGCATGCAGGAACAGGGCTGCCAGGCCGGCAGCAGCACCTGTTGTTCGTGCGGCTGCTGCTGCTGCGGCGGCGGCCCTAGCCCTAACCCCGAGGCGGCACCTCCGCTGCCTCCACATGAGCAGACGCCGCCTGCTGCCGGCGAGTAGCTACCCAAGGCCGGCGGTGCCGTAGCCGGGGCGGGGCCGCCGGGCGTCATGCCGGGTGCTACCATGTAGGCCGCCTGGAGGGGAGGATGTGCCACGGCTTGAGGTTGCGGCTGCTGCGGTGAGTACGGCAGCTGTGGCGGCTGCGGTGATTGCGTTGGCAGCTGCGGCGGAAGCAGTTGCATGGGTACGGGTATTGCTGCGGTGCCCGGTGCCACGCTGAAGAGCTGCGGCTGCTGCGGGGCCGCCACTGGGAAGGAGCTCCAGCCGGTCAGCATCTTGACAGTGGCCCTGCGGCGTGGTGTAATGCGGGGGCCGCGGGGTAAGTTGAGCGTGTGTGGCAAACCCAGATGACAATTTCACCAACACGAGACAGTTTGCACAAGCAAAGTGAGGCTTGATCAGGGAGTCAGGAGACGGCTTGCAGTTTGGCTATCACATTCACTGTTCGAATCCACGATACCCGCCCATGCAAGGGACCCGCCCATGCTGACATGCACAGCATGCGTGACGCCACCTGACACCCACCTCACGGTCAGAGTGTCGTCTGGCAGGAAGCGGCGTGCGTTGCGGTGCAGGAAGTTGGCCTTAATGAACTTAGGGAAGCCCGCCACGATGCCCGGCTGCGGCGCCATGATGGCAGCGGCCTCAGTAGGCGCCGTGGGCGTTGAGGCAGTGCGTGCCTCGGTGATGTGCTGCGGCTTGAGCTTGCTCTGTGGGTTTGGCGGACAAGGGATTCTCTTCGCGTGAATGCGGTAATACGGGGTAGGGAGAGCAGCGGTTTGGTTTACTCCTCAGGGGTGCATGCAAGGTAACATGCCACCTAAAGGGCTTGCTTGCTGGCCGCTTCTCCACTTCCTTCTAGGTGCAGGCGAACACTAGAATAACATCATCACCACTGTGAAACCCACAAACGCCCATTGGGTTCTCGCCAAAGTGCCCAAGGCGATTTGGGTTCTTCCGCCAACTACAGCATTGCATCCAAAGGTTGGAGCTCCTCTCCCGCACCTTATCCTCGATGCTCAGCTCGTACAACAGGTGACCAGGCCGCGTGCTTCCAGACGTTGTGAGGAACAGCGAGACGTACTTGTGCGTGTCGGCATTGAGACCTGCGGGGTAGACCTCCAGCCGAAAGAGCTGCCCGCCCACTTCAAACATGTCGCTACACAGCCGCGTGCCGCTTCCCATTGCGCGGGCCAGTGTGTAGCTGCATGGGGCAGGGAAAGCGCTGTGAGCCGCGGCCGGCAGGGGTGCGGGGAGAGAAGGGACCAGCGGAGGAAGTCAAAAGGAAGCAACTTAGGCTGCATACTTACCCAATCATGGTGTAAGTATGTGTGCCGCAGATCGTAGCAACCTGCCGTACCGATTCTGTGGCAAGGCAATCCTGTGACCTGTCGGTTGAGGAGGTGCCGTAAGGTAAGCTCGTAAGCATGAAGGGCCTATATACACCTAGGAATTATGCAGGCCAGGTATAGAACTGGATGTGCTTAGAGGATGTGCATAGCAGTTGCGAATCAACCCTTCGTATTGCGTTCCAGCTGTTGCTTACCCAGTGTATCGGCCCACGAAAGGTGACGCCTCCAATTCGCTATCCGAGGACGAGGAGCAGCTCGGGCTGTTTTCCTTATAACGTTTACGCCGGCTGTGCTGGCAATTGGCATCTCCGCTGGTCCGGCGCGCGGACTGCTCGCGACAATGTCGCGTGCCCCCACCCATGACCCAGTTGGGATTTTGACAAATGGTTAAAGAGGTTGCCGGCTCCGTGCAAAAATTTCGATGTAGCCTAACGCCTAGCTAAGGTACAGACATGGGACATTGTCAGTTGCAACCGGCATAGAGAAAGTGCTTTAATGAGTCAATCGTAGGTGCAGGAATAAATAGTATTGCAAACAATAAACGTAAATGTCCATTGCAACCATGGGCGTGACCTGGGCATTTCACTGGGCTTTTCCGTACATGAAATGGATTCCGAATTTGTAAAGAAAAGAGGAGTGCCATCCTCAGGGCCATCCAAATCGCAGTTCTATTTTGCTGATCGCAGTGAATTATCTATCTATTGCTAGGTCGGAATATACTTGGCCTGTCCCGTTTGGTGTTGAAGGGGGCTGTCCTCGCCTAGCGCGGGGCGCAGAACGCCATGGAAGTCGATACTATGGCTGATGCTGAAAACATTCCACCTGCCAAGGTAGTCTGGAGGTGCTGATGCCCGTGTCTTCGCTCGGGAAGCTGACAATGCTTTTGTCATGGCCAGCAGGGTGGCAAGGGTGGAAAGGCCGCCAAGGCGCAGCAGCCCTTCGCACCCAGCAATGCTGGGGCCATTGGTGTTGGCAAGACCATCGAGGAGATGTATCAGAAGAAGACGCAGCTTGAGCACATCATTTTGCGCCCTGATACTTACATCGGCAGCACCGAGCGGCAGCCCAACCACACCTGGATTCATAACGGGCAGAAGATGGAGCTGAAATCCGTCAACTATCCGCCTGGCCTGTATAAGATTTTTGATGAGATTCTGGTGAATGCTGCCGATAACAAAGTGCGCGACGCGACTATGGACACCATTAAGGTCGATATTGACCAGGTAAGGATGTGCGCTGACGCTTCTTACTATTGTTTCTACGCCCATGGGTCTGGTTTGCGCCCGTATTTACCACATGCAAGCTTACATCCACTGACGTTGTTCGCTGGGTGTATACTTGGAACGCCCGCGCTCCTTAGGTTAACGGTAGCATCCGCGTCTGGAACAACGGGAAAGGCATTCCGGTGGAGAAGCACAAGGAGGAGAACGTCTACGTGCCGGAGCTTATCTTTGGGCACCTGCTTACCAGCAGCAACTACAACGACAGCGAGAAGAAGGTGGGCTAGACGGGGCTGATGCAGTGTGCCATTGCTGGAAGGGTTTCAAGCAAGTCGGAAACCCATGTACATGGGTGCCATCCACAGTCATGCCTTATTGGGAAATGGCCTAACGCATGCAGTTGTCTTTGTCGCTTCCTCAGCAACCCAAGTTCGTTAACATTCAAAGCGTTAAACCCATATATGCCCGGGTATGTGATGTACCTTCCACAGATCACTGGTGGGCGTAACGGCTACGGTGCCAAGCTAGCCAACATCTTCTCCACAGAGTTCACGGTGGAGACGTGCGATGGCTCGCGGCAGCGGCGTTACAAGCAGGTATTCAGCAACAACATGCAGAAGAAGGGGGAGCCAAAGATTACGGACTGCAAGGCCTCAGACAACTGGACCTGCATTACCTTCAAGCCGGACCTCGCCAAGTTCGGCATGACGGAGCTGGACGACGACCTGGTGTCACTGCTGCGCCGCAGGGTGTACGACATGTCGGGCGTCCTTGGCAAGGGTGTCAAGGTGGGGCATGCAAGCGCGTGAGGGTTTGGTGGGTTATGGGCGTTACCCACATATGAAGCAGTGCAGGGGTGAGGATCATACACAATTTTGGCGAAAGCAAAGCACCCATGCCGACGCAGTGTTGGGCATGCGTGTCCGTACCCTGTTACTAAGGTGGGCCGCTGGGCGTTATGGTCGCAGGTCTACTACAACGGCGAGCGGATCAACATCAAGTCGTTCCAGGAGTACGTGGACATGTACCTGGGACCAAAGGTAGGCGGAATTTGAGTCTGTAACATCCTTAGGGGGCGTAGGGTTATAACTTTCGATGCCCTTGCCGTATGCAGGAGAACGGCGTGCCGCGCTTCTGCGAGCGGATCAGTGACCGCTGGGAGCTGTGCATAAGCCTCACGGATGGGGCCTTCCAGCAGGTGAGTTGCCACGTCCCTTCTTCCTGTGTTGCAACCCTTGAACTCCAAACCAGCTTCCACATTAAATTGCCAACGAGGCTCACTGAGGTTTGCCAATTGCCATACGCACGAGACGCCCATGTACACTGTCTTCAATCGTGTACATCCGCTCATGCACGTGCAGGTTAGCTTCGTCAACGCCATCTCAACACAGAAGGGAGGCACCCACGTCGACTACATTGTCAACCAGATTGTGAAGTAAGCCATGCTTGAGGGCCAGCGTTTGCTCTCTTTGCTCCGTTGCTGTATGTAACGCCACCCAATCCTGCTCCCAGGTACGCTGTGGAGAAGCTGAGCAAAAAGACGACGAAGACGACTGCCATCAAGCCCGCCATGGTCAAGAACCACCTGTGGATCTTCCTCAACTGCTACGTGGAGAACCCCGCATTCGACTCCCAGGTATGGATTGGGGTTTGGTTGATTACATCTAGCAACACGCAAGCATGATTCAAAACTAAAGTAGGGCTGCTATGGCTGCGATGGGGTTTTTGCCGCCTGTGTAACCAATGCGCTTTCTAACCTTCTGCTGTACAGACCAAGGAGACGCTCACGCTCCGTGCCACGAGCTTTGGATCGAAATGTGAGCTGCCGACGCAGCTTATGGATAAGGTCCTCAAGGCCGGCCTCTCCGACAGCATCATCAAGTTCGCCGAGTTCAAGAGCCAGAAGGAGCTCAAGAAGAGCGACGGAGCAAAGCGCTCGCGCCTGCACGGTACGTGGTTTAGAGTGTCTTGGTTGTTGATGCCTTGCCCAGTTTATTGCGAGTCATGGGTTTTGACTAACCGATGGGATTGCATTCATATCTGGTACGGCACTCAAGTTGGTCACCTGCTGGTGCCCTTTAGGCATTACGAAGCTTGACGATGCCAACGACGCCGGTGGTCCCCGATCCAAGGACTGCACGCTCATCCTGACTGAGGGAGATAGCGCTAAAGCGCTGGCGATTAGCGGCCTTGGTGTGGTGGGCCGCGACCAGTATGGTGTCTTCCCGCTCAGGTCTGTCAATGGGTCTCCAGGGCACATGCCTAGGGTAGACGAAACGTCTTGGATGGGTTTGCAGACTTGTACGTGTTGCCTCAGCTTCACAGCAGCACAAGACCATGCGGTAACATGGTGTTTCCGACCTCGTCGCATGCCATGCACCCTCACCTTGCTGCGTTTCTTCGCATGTCACTGCTTGTTGTAGGGGCAAGCTGCTCAACGTCCGTGAGGCCACTGCGGCGCAGATCGCCGCCAACCAGGAGATCCAGAACATAAAGCAGATCCTGGGCCTGCAACACGGCAAGGTGCGCCTCTCCCGTTCTACATCTGCGCACCAACCATCAGCTGCTCTGTTACTTGGGACCTAGGCTTTGTGACCTCGTGTTCTTCTATACCCTTAGTTGACCACCTCCTGTTGTTACTACCCTAAACAGGTGTACGAGAACACGTCGTCGCTGCGTTACGGGCACCTCATGATCATGACCGACCAGGATCACGATGGCTCGCACATCAAGGGCCTGATCATGAACTTCATGCACAGCTTCTTCCCGTCCCTGCTCAGGATGCCGGGCTTCATGCTGGAGTTCATCACGCCCATCGTCAAGGTGAGACCCAAATTTGCAAACGGGTTGCTACGTGCTATGATGCATGCGACACAGCCATGCTTAGTTGTATTCTGCAACGCTAGGCCTAGTGCTGTTGCTAATGGCTGCCTGTCGGTATTAGGCGCGCCGCGGCCGCGAGGTGAAGGTGTTCTACACCATGCCGGAGTACGAGGCGTGGAAGGAGAGCCTGGACAACAACACACGTGGCTGGGAGATAAAGTACTATAAGGGTCTGGGTACCTCGACCAAGGAGGAGGCGCAGGATTACTTCTCGCGCCTGCAGCAGCACCGGAAGGAGTTCGTGTGGACGGGTACGTTTTGATGTTGGCAGTATGGGGGCAGGTGTTGGCCGTATCCCAACCTTAGGTCATGGGACAAACTTCATAATCCTTGCTCCACCTTCAAACCGAGCACCTGTGCCTAAATACAGGCGATGAGGATGGCGACGCGATCGAGCTTGCCTTCAGCAAGAAACGTATCGACGACCGCAAGGAGTGGCTGAGCAACTTTGTGCCGGGCACCTATCTGGACCAGTCCGCGGACAAGATCACCTACTCCGACTTCATCAACAAGGTGAGTCTTCATGCTGTCGTGTGGGGTAGTGCTGCTCAACGTAGATTGGTCTGTTTGCGGCTACTATGGCAACAGAACATCCCTTGACGTACGACCTTCTTGAACACACGCAGGAGCTGATTCTCTTCTCTCGCGCTGACCTGGATCGGTCGATCCCATCCATGCTGGACGGCCTCAAGCCCGGACAGCGCAAGATTCTATTCGCTTGCTTCAAGCGCAACCTGAAGAAGGACATCAAGGTACGGATAACCCTCTACGGGCGCCATGTCCGCCCCTATAAACATCGTGCATGTTGAGATGCCTTGTCCCCATGCTGCAGGTGGCGCAACTGTCTGCGTACGTCGCTGAGCACTCAGCGTACCACCACGGCGAGCAGAGCCTGGCGAGCACTATCGTCAATCTGGCGCAGGACTTCGTGGGTAGCAACAACGTTAACCTGCTGTTCCCTAGCGGTCAGTTCGGCACGCGGCTGCAGGGCGGCAAGGACGCCTCCAGCGCGCGTTACATCTACACGCGCCTGGCACAGCTGACACGCCACCTGTTCAACGAGAATGACGATGTGCTGCTGAACTACCTGAATGAGGAGGGGCAGAGCATCGAGCCTGACTGGTGAGTAATGGATAAAGCAATAACCAGGATGGTTGTGAGCATATATGTGAGGAACCTCTACACTTACTCCCTACCCTTCCGTTCAGGTACCTGCCGATCCTGCCTACGGTACTGATCAACGGCGCGGAAGGCATTGGCACTGGGTGGAGCACGTCTATTCCCAACTACAACCCGCGCGACATCATCGCCAACCTGCGGTATGTGTGCCACGAGCGCAAGCGACCCATGGGTCACTAGTAACGCCTAACAAGGAACCCTTTCCTTCATGTGCAGACGCCTCTTGAACAACGAGGAGCAGGTCCCCATCCACCCCTGGTGCGTGAATCGAACAACCAATTCCCTTAACTACGACCTCAACGTAGTATAGCGTATTGAGCAAGTAGCGCTTGTTGCAGGTACCGCGGCTTCACCGGGACTATCACTGAAGTGCCGCACAAGTCCGGCTACCGCTCCTATGTCGTTGGCGGCACTGTCACGCAGGTGCGGAGGTGCATGGTTGGCGCTTACTCAGACGGAATCTTCTTTTCACCCCTAGGCAGCAACATGTTAGTGTCTTTCTTTTCCACTTACAGACGGGCCCCAACACGGTGGAGATCACGGAGCTGCCCGTCCGCAAGTGGACTCAGGACTACAAGGAGTTCCTGGAGGGGCTGTTGCGGCCGCAGGACAAGGTAAGGCGAGATGGAGGTTCAGCATGGGCTTGCCACGTGTGCTCCAGTTGCAGCGAAAACGTTTCTCATGCGCTAAGGCAGGAATTCAGGTTGTGTCTGTGTGCTGACACCTATTTTACCTTTTTGCCGCAGGACGAGTCCCCTCTAATCGCCGACTACAGCGAGCACCACTCTGACTCGAATGTGCACTTCGTCGTCGAGCTCCTGCCGGGCAAGATGGAGGAGTTGCTCGCGTCCCCCGGCGGCCTTGAGGCCAAGTTCAAGCTGCAGAGCAAGATCCAGACGAGTAAGTGGCCATGGAATCTTGTGCACGGCATGCCGTGTCCTTAACGGCATAATGCTTTAGATCACGTGGATAATGTCTGACTCGTCTACTGGTATATAGGGTAAATTTACCAGTAGCCCTTGGATTGACCTGATGCAGGCAACATGATGCTGTTCGACAAGGATGGCTTGATCAAGCACTATCAGAGCCCCGAGGCCATCATCGAGGAGTTCTTTGGGCTGCGCCTCGAGTACTACGAAAAGCGTCGCCTGGCCATGCTCCGGGTACGTCATTCCGCGCAGGCACCTGTCCCTCCTATGGTACACGTGGTTAGGATACATCACCAGGCCGCCTATTTGCCATCTCTGCCTTACAGCGCGGTGCATGCTGTGAAAACCACCCTATAATTGGGTCTTGTATTGGACATCTATATGCGCTAGGATGAGCTGTCTGTTACCTTCCCTGTGGCCCATGCCGTCATGTGTCCTACAGGCCGCCCAGTTAGACCAGTTGCGCGCCGATAACCGGATGCGCTTCATTCTAGCGGTAGTCAGCGGCAAGCTGGAGGTGCGCAACCGCAAGCGGGCGGACATTGAGCGCGACCTGGAGGCGCAAGGCTTTGACCGCATGAGCAAGACCGGTGCTGCCGCCAAGGTACGACGTCTTGGGCGCCTCCAGTGGGCAGACTATTACGGTACTTGTCTAAAGCGTTTGACTAGTTAGCGAGTGCTCATCGGCAACAACCCTTGTTTGGGGCTCTTCCGTTGTAGGTTCCCGAGCCAAGCGGTGATGACGGGGAGGATGGAGATCAGCCGTCGGCGTCTTCGGCCTCAGGTGCAAGCTACGACTACCTGCTGTCAATGTCCATCTACAGCCTCACCAAGGAGAAGATTGCCGCACTCCAGGAGGAGGCCGCAAGGGCAGCCGCGCGCGTCGACTACCTGGCTAGCATCACCGGACAGCACATGTGGTCGCAGGACCTGGACGAGTTCGAGGCGGTGGGTTGCCGTACCAGGGTGCTAGCGATATGCACGCATCTAGCCACCGATGCAGTTGCAAACGGTTTTCCGTTCCTTTTTTGCAGGCGTACAACGGTTGGGAGGCGGAGGAGATTGCTCGGCTGGATGAGACGAAGCGCAAGCAGCTGGCTGCCAAAAAGGGCCGAGGCGCGGTAAGCATCATACCTAGCGGGCCTACATGTAATCGCAGCTGCTGCCAGGCAAGGGCTCCAATACCTGCATTTAGCGAGTTCACATCCGGCAATTTTTACCGATGCATGTACAGGCGGCTAAGGGCCGGGGTGCGGCTGGTGGGCGCAAGAAGGCGGCAAAGAAGGGAGCGGGGAGCGACGAGGAGACTGCCTCTGACTCGGACTCCGATTTCGAGGTGCAGAAGCGGAAGCCAGCGGCCCGTGCACCCGCGCAGCCCAAGCCTAAGCCGGCTGCAGACGGTGCGAAGCCTACTGCTGCAGGACCCACAGCGGCTGCAGACAAGCCCGTGGCGGTGCCTAAGCCGCAGCCTGCTCCCAAGCAACCCGCAGCTCCGAAGCCGGTAGCAGATACCAAGCAGGCGCCTGACGTCACCGCAGCCGCAGCGAACGCTCCGGCCGCACGCCCGCCAGCACGCAAGGCTGCTGCCGCTGGCACCGCACGCCGGAAGCAGGTGCTGGCTAGCGATGATGATGACGATGCCTACATGAGCATGTCCGAGGGCTCAGAGGAGGAGTTCGATGACGCCTCCGACGACAATGACATTGCGGAGAAGCCTTCCAAGGCGCCAGCCAAGCGCACAGCAGCAGCACAAAAAGCTCCACCTGCCGCTGCTGCGCCTAAAGCGCCCGCAGCCCCACCAGTACCGGAGCAAAAGCCCGCAGCCGGTGGCCGTGGCAAGAAGGCAGCTGTGCCAAAGCCACTGCCGACTAGCTCCCAGGGCAGCGAACAACCTAGCCAAGACACCAGCCAGCGGCCAGATTCAGAGACCGCAGGGCTTGCTGCTCGACTGGCAGGTACGCATTTGCTGTGTGCTGTTGTATTGGCTTGTGCAGCTGTGTGTCGGTTGACAGTTCGAGCACTTGGTTGCCTTTCATGCACACTTTGCGGCGTGTCACCCAGGTTCCGCATGTTGCCCTTACAGGCCGGATGCAGGCTCAACTAAACCTTGGCAAGGCTGGCGGCGCCGCGCCGATGGTCGACCTTCTGGACGACGAGGTCAACTCGCCCGCGCCGGGTCCCAAGACGGCGGTTGGCATGAAGGTAAGTCCATGAGCATGCACACATTGAATAGCGCAACCAGAGTATTGTTGGTTTGCAAGGGTTACAAGGGTGCCTTCTTGCAGAAGCCCGCTGGCGCCAAGGCTCCGGCTGCTGGTGGACGAGGCCGTGGCAAGGCCCCGGGCGCCGCTGCAGGTGCTAAGCAGCCAGGTATGTAGCAAGGTGGCGGGGGCCAAACCGGGCTTGCGGGATGCCTGCGTGTTTGCCATTTTGCTAGTCATGTCTTCTCCCCTCTCATATGTTATCTCCCCTCTCATTTAACTCGCAGCCAAGCGCAAGGGTGCCGCCAAGAAGCAGGACGATTCGGAGGACGATGACATTGAGGAGACCAGCAGCAGCGACGAGGAGACTTTTGAATTGTCGGCACCATCCCCGGCCGTAGCGCCGAAGGTGTGTATCAGTGCAAATTAGAAGGAATATTGATTTGGGGAGCTACTGGGACGGGTTAGGGGGTGCTATTACTACTACTCTCCGATATCCTTCGTGCGCCTTGCAATAACACACGTTTTGACCTTGAAGCCCGCACTATGTGATTCGCTGCAGGGGAAGAAGGGCCGTGTGGGCCCGTCGCCCTTGGGCATCAAGTCCCTGTCGCGCACGGCTGCTGGCGCCGGTGCGGGTGCTGGCCGGCAAGCCGCAGTTGTGGCGGCGGCGGTGCCCATGGCCTCGGTGCCAGAGGAGCGGCCGCAGCGTGCACGCCGTGCCGTAGCGGCCAAGCCGACGTACGTCATCAGCGACGATGAGGACGAGGATGAACCCCAGACGGAGGACTCGGACTTCGAGGTTGTGTCTGACTAGCGGACAGAAATTCTTTGGCGTTTGGATGACTACCTACAAGTACTTTTGAACATGTACATATGCAGACACCATTCTTGCATTGCTGACGGTGGCAGGCCGTGCAATCAACATGTACCAAAGTTGATGGATGGCAGCGCCCTGTGGTTCACGGTTGCGCTCGCAGTGCCAACGTCTTTTAGCTAGGACACATTGCAGTGGGGCTAACTATTTCATGCTGACTGTTCGGCTTCGGCTTTTAAAGTGCAACAGGGCCACGTTCCCTGCGTTTGACTTTGACTGATGGCCCATGGGCCGGCGGGCGGTCCCGTACTATATATGCAATGAAGCAGGCAATGAACTTCTGAACTACACTTCAACCTGTTATAGTCGTGCTATGGAGTCGATGTTATAAAGCTCCCTTCATAAGTGGTGTTTGGTCTCTTGGAAACGCACAACCTTACAGAGCGGGGGAGATCCTTGTAATCATCCTACTTAGAGCATATGTTACTACTCCGTATGTACCGTTCCCGATCTAATGACAGGACCGCCGCCAACCGTCAGCATTTCAGCTAATCGGCATCAGCCATTCAGGTAGAACTTAAGATGTGTGCCTAGCTTCCTGCTCATTTACGGTTTCACTACAAATAGTTGCTTTCCCGGCTGCAACTTGGAAGCAGCCGTACGGCGATATGTTGGCTAACTTCCGCTTCCTAATTTCTGCTCTTCGTCGTCAAGGCTCGCTTAACCTGCCTGCGCGTGCCCATTGGGCGTTGCGGAGGAGGCAGGCATTACTGTTCACTATAGTCCAGCGCTTCATACTTGAAAGGACCTATATTTTCACCTTCTCATATCACCTCAATGTTTAGAGCTAAACATTGCTTAGGAGTTCACGAGTATGATACGTTAAATTCTTAGTTAGGGCTCAGGGCCCATAGCCCTGTGTGGAGGCTGGCCAATGAGCGCACACGCCACGAACGGCGGGGTCGGGGGAAGCCGGGCACTACTGGTTTACAGCACCGTTAAACAACGCTACTATATTGTTGCTCGAGGTTCGGGAAGGTGCGGTGCGCGGAGCTTTGGGGGCTGTGGGCCCGTGGCTTTGTCCTCGGCCCTTAACCTCCATTTTCGGCTGTGGCACAGATGCCAAACACAAGTGCTTCGCGTCGCCGAGCACTCTGGAACACTTCAATACCGCAACACAAAGGGCCAGGACATCTTTGACAGCGAAGTAGGTGCAGTGAGATGTAATTTGGGCGCCCAATTGTGGTCTGACAGGCTTGCGTTGGCCACAGGCGGCTGCGTTGGAGCATTTGAAGGCCGCGGATGGTCCCATACAGGTTAGCTTGCTTAGGTTGGGTGGGTGCTGGGCAGTTGGTGTATCAGAACTTCGAGGATGTTACGCATCGTTCACTTGCTACCGCAGACGCTGGCCGCAGCGCCATACATCCTTGGGTACGTGGTCATTGGACCGTGGGGCCTCCTCCTCGTGGCGGAGAAGTTCCGTGTTTCTGCTGTCCTCCCTGGCAACCATGAGGTCAAGACGGTCACGAAGTCCCACTGGCTCAAGATACCCCTGCAGACCATTATGTCCATGCAGTCAGTCCAGGTGCGGGCTACCTGGCACACATGCAGGGGAGAGCCCCATGGATACCGAGTCAGGGCCTCCTACGTGAAACGCACGGGAGCACACAATGCAACTGGGCATATGATGAGTCGGTACCTACGTATTGCCTTCCCCTTCAAGCTTTGTGGTACCTTATGTTGTTGCAGGCTCCTGAAACGGGCGCTAAGGACGAGAAAGCAATGAAGGACGAAATCGACAAAGGAATTGAGCGCCTCCTGTCCTTCCCCATTGACGGTTAGTCACTCGCCTGCCATTCCTGACTACTGGCCTGCCATTCCTAAACAGCATGCTTTGCTTGCAGTGAGCCTTGTCGATCATGAGCTTGACACTCAATCGCCTTCAACACTTGATGCCCCCGTCTGTGCATGAAATCTCAGGTGCACACTTCCTGTGCGAGACGCTGGACATCACGCGGCCTTTCCCCTCGTACCGCGCCGTCAAGGATCCAAGCTGGGACTTTGTCTGGAACCGTTGGATGTCAGCACCGTTCAGGAACCTGGGGCTTGATCACCTCTGCCCCCCCTTGCTGCAGGTAGGGCAGAGCTGTTCTTTGTTGCCATCAGCTGCATAAGTCACAATGCTTGCATTTGCGGTCGCAAATTGGGTATGCATGCGAACTTCACGAGCACAACGCCCAGGACCATTTGGCCGGCAAGTGTCATCGCCGCGAAAGGAAGATGCCCCCTTTTAGTTTCCTTCCTTCTAATCCATCATCCGACTGTTTAATGCCCGGCGTTACAGGGGTTGTGCGAGTCGCGCTTGCTGGAGGACTTCGATGGCGCCAAATACTCGATGGCTTGCATCAGCCGCCGGGGCTGCCTGCACCCGGGGCCGCGGTACAAGGCGCGTGGGCTAAACGACTATGCGGAGCCGGGGAACGAGCTGGAGGTGGAGCAGGTGGGCGGTGGGTCCGCTGAAGCAAAGGGTAGTGGGTATGCTAGTTCATGCGCGGGAGGGTTGGGTGATTGCAGGAGAGCATTGCTGGGGTTATGGGGGTGAGCAGGTGAGTTCCGCGATGGCATGCGGTATCCGCTATGTTTCCATACGATGACATGGACGTAGTTGCAGTCAACTGCATGGCGAGGTACCGGTAACTAGAGTTCCGGGCAGGCCGCATTGCGAAACGATGATAATTTGCAGACATGTGCACCTCATGCCTTGACACTCGCTACGCTGTGCTCTTGTTGCTGCGTGCGAGCCCGTGACGGGTGGGCGTTACAGTGACCGCACCGCTGCGGCTGTCAGTATGATTATCCGTGCGGCTGCCTAAGCTTAACCGGCCCTCGGACATGAGCCTGAACGGACAAAGACAACAACAAGCCATGTTCGCTATGCTTGAGCCTGTCCAGTGGCTTCCTTGTCACCCTGCAAGAACATGCGAGCCCCTGCGCCCTAGACACTCGCTGCAAAGTTGCTGTGGCTATTCAGTAGATTATCCGTGCGGCTGCTTTTACCTAACCAGCTCTCGGACATGAGCCTGAACGGACAAGCACGATAGCAAATCATACAGCCATAGCACTCGTCAGACCTGCCATCCGTTTGATTCCTGCGAAATCCTGCGCCCTAGACACTCGCTGCAAAGTTGCTGCCTAAACTTGGCGCGGGCCCCGTGATGGGTGGGCGTCACAGAAACCGCGCTGATGCGGCTATTCAGTAGATTATCCGTGCGGCTGCTTTTACCTAACCAGCTCTCGGACATGAGCCTGAACGGACAAGCACGATAGCAAATCATACAGCCATAGCAATCGTCAGACCTGCCATCCGTTTGATTCCTGCGAAATCCTGCGCCCTAGACACTCGCTGCAAAGTTGCTGCCCAAACTTGGCGCGGGCCCCATGACGGGTGGGCGTCACAGAAACCGCGCTGATGCGGCTATTCAGTAGATTATCCGTGCGGCTGCTTTTACCTAACCAGCTCTCGGACATGAGCCTGAACGGACAAGCACGATAGCAAATCATACAGCCATAGCACTCGTCAGACCTGCCATCCGTTTGATTCCTGCGAAATCCTGCGCCCTAGACACTCGCTGCAAAGTTGCTGCCTAAACTTGGCGCGGGCCCCGTGATGGGTGGGCGTCACAGAAACCGCGCTGATGCGGCTATTCAGTAGATTATCCGTGCGGCTGCTTTTACCTAACCAGCTCTCGGACATGAGCCTGAACGGACAAGTACGATAGCAAATCATACAGCCATAGCACTCGTCAGTACTGCCATCCGTTTGATTCCTGTTAAATCCTGCGCCCTAGACACTCGCTGCAAAGTTGCTGCCTAAACTTGGCGCGGGCCCCATGATGGGTGGGCGTCACAGAAACCGCGCTGATGCGGCTATTCAGTAGATTATCCGTGCGGCTGCTTTTACCTAACCAGCTCTCGGACATGAGCCTGAACGGACAAGCACGATAGCAAATCATACAGCCATAGCAATCGTCAGACCTGCCATCCGTTTGATTCCTGTTAAATCCTGCGCCCTAGACACTCGCTGCAAAGTTGCTGCCTAAACTTGGCGCGGGCCCCATGATGGGTGGGCGTCACAGAAACCGCGCTGATGCGGCTATTCAGTAGATTATCCGTGCGGCTGCTTTTACCTAACCAGCTCTCGGACATGAGCCTGAACGGACAAGCACGATAGCAAATCATACAGCCATAGCACTCGTCAGACCTGCCATCCGTTTGATTCCTGCGAAATCCTGCGCCCTAGACACTCGCTGCAAAGTTGCTGCCCAAACTTGGCGCGGGCCCCATGACGGGTGGGCGTCACAGAAACCGCGCTGATGCGGCTATTCAGTAGATTATCCGTGCGGCTGCTTTTACCTAACCAGCTCTCGGACATGAGCCTGAACAGATATCCCTTAGTACCCTGGCACACTTGCGCTATCCGTTGCTTTATTCCTTGCACGCACATAGTAACCATGCTGCTCCCGTTTGTTGCCACCGCCCTTCGCTTGCAGGTGATCTGGCTGCAGCGAAGCCGGGACAGCAAGCTCTTGTGGAGCCGCTACACCTGGCGGCGGGGAAGCGCGCCGCTGTGGTGGGGCGTGAGCATCAAGAACAACGGCATTGGCGAGGCGGAGATAAAGATCCACCCGCACAACACCTTCAAGGGCTCTAAGCGGTGAGCTTCGTGGCTGACCCGCATCTGGGTTGCAAAGCATTGGGCCGTGTGTGGACACATGGCACCGTGCATTCACCAATCGTCCAGTAACTACCCATCTCGGGTGCCCTTTACAATGCTAATCTCCTTGCTGCCCCGTTCGGCGAAATCGCGTGTCATACGAGCAGGTACGTGAGACGCCTTCAGAAGCGCTACACGCCACATTCCGAGCTGGACCCGGACCCGCCGCCGGTCGGCCCCGACGGAGACCCCTCCCGGCTGGTGCCGGTGACATTTGTGAGTTTGCTGCGCAAGGGCCTGCCGGACCGGGATCGCTCAGAGGCGAAGCTGGCGTCCGCGTTCGACTTCGTAAGTGCATCGTGCGGTCGTACCGTACTGCCTTGTTGTGGCGGGTGTCCTTACTGATATGCATAGTGGGATTGTACTCTTAAATGGGATTTGCAGATGCCATCCATTTGGGTTGACGTATCGTGCGACGGAAATCCTAAAGTTTTATGCCCTGATACCGTATGATTGGCGTTCCCTCCCCCTTTCCAGGTGGTCGCCCAGCTGCGCAAGGAGCATGGGCTGAACCTGAACTACATCGCACTGGACTGGCACGAAATGGACAAGCAGCTTGGGCACGTGGGCATTGTGGAGGCGTTCTGGAACACGGTGAGGGGGCGGAACGGTGCCGGGGAACGGTGTCGGGGTTGGAGGGCATTTCAACTGTCGCATCAGGCTACTGGAAATTTTAAGCCCTTCTTACTGTAGAGGTCAATATGCCCTGACTTCAATGGTGGTACGTCCACGATGTTTTGCCACACAGGTCAAGGACATCCTCCCGGCGCATGGGTTTGCGCTGGGCCAGCTGGTCAAAGTCGGCCCCGATCACACGGAGGTGTGCCTGGACCTGGGTGAGTACCGGTACTAGTCCTGGGCTTATACGTACACGACATGGGGGTGGGCCAGGCCACACAGCAAGCATTCGGTCTTCGCGTTTCGCCGCCTGATGCGGTTGCTCTTTGGTTGGCACCCGAATGGCGTGTGTTGCATGCGTTTTAGGGTCTTGGTTCAAAGCTGTACTGCACGTTGCTTGATGGCGCAGATGGCTATGTCAGCGGCGCAGCTCGCGTGGACGACGGTACCGGCATTGTGGCGCCGCGCGTGTCCGCCGCCGGCATTGGCTGGCAGGCGCACTGGCTGCGGCAGCAACGTGGCGTGACGCGGTACAACTGCGCGGACTCCCTGGACCGGACCAATGTGGGCTCGTTCTTTGGGGCCGTACAGGTGAGTAATGGGTCGACGAGAAGCAGCCAACGTGGGTCTTGTGTCGGTCTAGGAAGGCTACCGTATTAATTGCTTGTAACGACTCCGCTTTTAAGGCGCTGTCTTGTCTCTACATCTGGCTCTCCAGGGCTCTTTTTACTATTGCCCGTAACACGCCTACGAAAGCCTAACATCAAAACCTAAACGTCCGGAACCCGTGCCCGTGACCCGGTGGCCCACAGGTGCTCATAGAGCAATGCCGCGAGCTGGACATTGCCATCGCACGTACCCGCATCACCTCGGACCATCTGGCGCTGCAGGCCGCTCGCGGCGCCCGGGACCCTCGCACACTGGTGCGACCAGCCTCCTCAGCCAGCGTTGGCGCCGTTTTTGCAACTGCCGGCACGTCGGGTCCTTACGCCGGCACGACAGGCGGCGGCAGCGGCAGCGTTTTTGCGCAGCAGCAGTCCTCGTCCTTGGGTGGCGTTAACCCGTTCTCGGTTGCGCCAGGCAGTGGTGCTGGGACACCGCTGGCGGGCAGCTCGGCTGCAGCGGCCGCCGGGAGCCTTTTAGCGGCTGGCTTTGCGGGTCGCAGCGCTGTGGCTGGGGCGATGATTGAGAAGATTGGGAAGCAGGTGGGTGCCTGGATCAGTTTGCTACCTTCCGCATGCCTGAAGGCTGTGTAGGATGCCTTTGCTTCAAGGCTGAATTCAGGCCCATGTCACGTGGTCATGCGCTCTGCTTCTTTGACCTGTCCGTCGGTAGAAGAGCTTATTAAAATACAGCCTGCTTATAGCCGGATATAGGAATCGATGTTATAACCTCCCAGATGTCGACTTATTGCGCAAATGTTGCCTTGTGCGCAGGTGGCCACGGGGCTGACCACCATGATGCAGCCACTCGCAACGGCAGACGGCCGGAGCCCCCTGCGCACGGCCTTCCCGGCCCCAGCAGCCGCAAGCCCCGGGGTGGCGGCGGCGGCTGGCGGATCTGGGTCGTCGTCACCGCTGCCGCGACCGCCGTCGGCGTCCGTGCCAAATGCGGGGGCAGCCGCGGCGGCCGTACCCGGTGCAGGGACTGTTCCTCTGCCGTCTAGCAGCAGCGCCGGCGCCACCGGAGCAGCAGCAGCACCTACGGCGGAAGCGCTGCAGCGGAAAATCAACATTGCTCCGGACGGGCTGCCGCTGCCACCGGTGCGTCACTTATGTTGCGTTGACTGCCATGTACTTCAACATACCTACATTCTTTATCACGGTTTGTGACTGCGCATGTCGGGCACATTGGTGTCTCCGCACATTCGGCTGACGGTCTGTAAGACTGTAACACATGTGATGCTTACGATGCTGGCTCCCCTCCCCCTTCCCCTCCAGGGCTGGGAGGCCAAGATCGACAAGACCACCAACCGCATCTTTTACGTGGACCACAACACGCGCTCCACCACCTGGGAGCGCCCACCGGTGCCCTCCTCGGGCCGCCTCACCTCCGAGTCGCTCAGCGCCCTCTTCCTGCCCGGCTGCGGGCCCAGCGGCACCACCGGCGGGGCGGCAACAGGGCCCGCCGGCGGGACAGCATCCTCGGTTGGCGGGGCACTGGGCAGCAGCAGCTACCCTCACCGGGCAGCAGGCCAGGAGGTGGTGCGTCCGGGTTCTATCAGCGGTGCCGGCGGGTATGCAGGTGGCGCCGGTGGTGGATTGATGTCGCTGACTGTCACTCCTCGTAGTACAGGTGCGTCTCCTGTTGTAGGGTGTAGTGGTGGGGTGGGGACATTGCCGGTATCAACTCTTGGGAAATGCCGAGGAAGCCTCAAATACATGGTTAACCAACACCATTTGTGACCGACAGTCTCTTCTCTTTGTCCTGGTTGCTATGGATGTTGCATGTAGAGTCGCCAACCGAACCCCCGGGGCAGCAAGTGCGTGCGGGCCCAACCGGCGGCGGCCACCATCGGAGCGACTCGGGCGACTCAGGTGCGACTGAGGGATGCAGGGCTGTGTACAGCCGCCTACCCAACCATGCAACTTGTCAGATACAGAACATTTACCGAACAGGCACAGCGCGAGCGGATGCCAGTTGTCATTGTTTTCGTTACGGTTGCCTCCCAGCCAGCTCGTTGACCTCTTCCCCCTCTCTTACCATCTCCCTCCTCCAGACGAGCGCCTGGAGCCCCTGACGCCCTGGTGTCTGCTGCGCGCGGGCAAGGTGGCGCCCATCAGCCGCCGCATCCACCCCGAGGCGCTCTCCGTGTTGGCGGAGCTGTTCCTGGTGAACGGCGACATGTGCGCCTGGCTGTACACCGGGTCGCAGGTAGGCGGCAGAAGGTCGGACGCGGGCTTGCTTCTAGCTAGGCTTGGAAGTCAAGAAGTTGGAAATGGAGTTGCTAGGGAATTGGCCTAGTTCGGGCCCTCGTATAGCCCTTCACCGAGGTGCAATAGGCCCCAAGCGCCAACTTGGGCTCTAATAGGGTCATGTTTCAGAATGGGGCAGCTACTATCCTAGTTCGTAGGTATTTTGGCCTAAGCTGTCCTCATGCTTGATGGGCCTGTGTACCACACGCGGCTCTCTTGACCCCCTCAGGCCATGCACAGCGAGCGCATCCTCATTTTTGAGCCCGAGAACTCCAAGCTGCGCAAGGCGGGTGTGGGCGCGTACGGCAATGCCCTGGTGGCGGTCAAGCGGCGCTACAATAACGTGCTTGTCGACAAGGAGAAGCAGCAGATGATTGACGTGAGTGCTCATATTGGATGTGCCGGGATTGCTCTGCACAACAGACTGCTGCTGCTGCTATACCGTACACGGGGAGCTCTTTGGGCCGCAACTCTGGCGAACGGCTTCGCCCTCCTCATTCACTGTCCTTACTTCACTACTTTCCTCTCCTCCTTCTCTTCAGGTGTTTCTGGGCTACAAGCAGAGCGAGTACTTCCCGTCCTCCTGGCTGGCCTACCGCGTGTTGGACAAGGAGGGGGTGCCGCTGGAGGGCGACGAGTGCAGCGACCTGGACATCGAACCGGTGGGGCAGATCGACTGGCCGCTGCCGGAGCGCAACGCGGCGCACCACATGCACGCGCTGTACGGCCTGCACGGACACCACATCAGCACGCCGCCCGGCAGCGGCAGCACGCTGAGCCTTGGGGGTGGCGGAGGCGGGTTGGGTCACGTGTACAGTGCTGGGGACTTGGAGCGGGCTGGCGGCAGTGGGGGAGGCGCGGGCGAAAGGTAAGAGGGGCGTTGGGTCCTGTAGATTAAGGGCGGACCGTTGTACGGTTATTATCCAGTTAATAAACAGCCTTATTAGGTTAAGGGGTTGCAAAACTTGGAATCCAGTCCGCAGATCCTGCCGACACTGTCTTGAGCTTACCCGCTTGCGATTCACCCTTAATGCCATGCAGCCGGCATTACCGTCGCGGCAAGTCCATGAGCACGGAGAAGCTGGAGGGGCAGGTTAGGCACCTGAGCTTGCGGAGAGAGCAGCCAGAACCGGAGCAGCCGCGGACCATGCGCAGGGTGTGTGCGTTTGGTAAACCGGCCGCGTGTGCGCGTGCGCTGCTCGCTCACTGAAGGAGACGAGCATCCCAGTGCTAAAGATTGTCCGCTTGCCGTACATGTGCCGACCATGAATAAAAAGCTTGCCTATTGAGCCGATTGTCCTATAGCGTCTATTCCCGTTCCCTTACTCAGCCACTTCCTTTTCCCGCCTATTTTCCCGCAGACCGGCAGCGAGGCTGCACTGATGAGCATGGACTCTGCCAACTCGGTTGACCTCATCAACTTCGGCGGGCCAGACAGCGAGACGTCGTCCGTAGCGTCGGCGTCCATGGTGTACCGGCCTGCTTCGGGCACGGGGGCGGCGGCGGCAGGCGGCGATGCGTCGGTAAGTTTCAGTTGGGCGCATGCAAACACAAGGTTGGACGCGGGCGCAGAATCAGGTGGCGGTCTCATTCCGCGATAGGCCTTGCACAAGTAGGAAAGGGAAGGTTATCGCCTGAGACACTCGCTACGCTGTGTTCCTGTTGCTGCGTGCGGGCCCCATGATGGGTGGGCATCACAGAAACCGCGCTGATGCGGCTATTCAGTAGATTATCCGTGCGGCTGCTTTTGCCTAACCAGCTCTCGGACATGAGCCTGAACGGACAAGCACGATAGCAAATCATACAGCCATAGCACTCGTCAGTATGCCATCCGTTTGATTCCTGCGAAATCCTGCGCCCTAGACACTCGCTGCAAAGTTGCTGCCTAAACTTGGCGCGGGCCACTTGATGGGTGGGCGTCACAGAAACCGCGCTGATGCGGCTATTCAGTAGATTATCCGTGCGGCTGCTTTTACCTAACCAGCTCTCGGACATGAGCCTGAACGGACAAGCACGATAGCAAATCATACAGCCATAGCACTCGTCAGTACTGCCATACGTTTGATTCCTGCGAAATCCTGCGCCCTAGACACTCGCTGCAAAGTTGCTGCCTAAACTTGGCGCGGGCCCCATGATGGGTGGGCGTCACAGAAACCGCGCTGATGCGGCTATTCAGTAGATTATCCGTGCGGCTGCTTTACCTAACCAGCTCTCGGACATGAGCCTGAACGGACAAGCACGATAGCAAATCATACAGCCATAGCACTCGTCAGTATGCCATCCGTTTGATTCCTGCGAAATCCTGCGCCCTAGACACTCGCTGCAAAGTTGCTGCCTAAACTTGGCGCGGGCCCCATGATGGGTGGGCGTCACAGAAACCGCGCTGATGCGGCTATTCAGTAGATTATCCGTGCGGCTGCTTTACCTAACCAGCTCTCGGACATGAGCCTGAACGGACAAGTACGATAGCAAATCATACAGCCATAGCACTCGTCAGTACTGCCATACGTTTGATTCCTGCGAAATCCTGCGCCCTAGACACTCGCTGCAAAGTTGCTGCCTAAACTTGGCGCGGGCCCCGTGATGGGTGGGCGTCACAGAAACCGCGCTGATGCGGCTATTCAGTAGATTATCCGTGCGGCTGCTTTACCTAACCAGCTCTCGGACATGAGCCTGAACGGACAAGCACGATAGCAAGTCATACAGCCATAGCACTCGTCAGTACTGCGAAATCCTGCGCCCTAGACACTCGCTGCAAAGTTGCCGCCTAAACTTGGCGCGGGCCCCATGATGGGTGGGCGTCACAGAAACCGCGCTGATGCGGCTATTCAGTAGATTATCCGTGCGGCTGCTTTTACCTAACCAGCTCTCGGACATGAGCCTGAACGGACAAGCACGATAGCAAATCATACAGCCGTAGCACTCGTCAGTACTGCCATACGTTTGATTCCTGCGAAATCCTGCGCCCTAGACACTCGCTGCAAAGTTGCTGCCTAAACTTGGCGCGGGCCACTTGATGGGTGGGCGTCACAGAAACCGCGCTGATGCGGCTATTCAGTAGATTATCCGTGCGGCTGCTTTACCTAACCAGCTCTCGGACATGAGCCTGAACGGACAAGCACGATAGCAAGTCATACAGCCATAGCACTCGTCAGTACTGCGAAATCCTGCGCCCTAGACACTCGCTGCAAAGTTGCTGCCTAAACTTGGCGCGGGCCCCATGATGGGTGGGCGTCACAGAAACCGCGCTGATGCGGCTATTCAGTAGATTATCCGTGCGGCTGCTTTTACCTAACCAGCTCTCGGACATGAGCCTGAACGGACAAGCACGATAGCAAATCATACAGCCATAGCACTCGTCAGTACTGCCATACGTTTGATTCCTGCGAAATCCTGCGCCCTAGACACTCGCTGCAAAGTTGCTGCCTAAACTTGGCGCGGGCCCCATGATGGGTGGGCGTCACAGAAACCGCGCTGATGCGGCTATTCAGTAGATTATCCGTGCGGCTGCTTTTACCTAACCAGCTCTCGGACATGAGCCTGAACGGACAAGTACGATAGCAAATCATACAGCCATAGCACTCGTCAGTACTGCGAAATCCTGCGCCCTAGACACTCGCTGCAAAGTTGCTGCCTAAACTTGGCGCGGGCCCCGTGATGGGTGGGCGTCACAGAAACCGCGCTGATGCGGCTATTCAGTAGATTATCCGTGCGGCTGCTTTTACCTAACCAGCTCTCGGACATGAGCCTGAACGGATATCCCTTTTGCTTCACATGAACGGCTTTAGACGACATTCGACAGCATCCTGTATTAACATGTTACAATCCGTTTTTCGTCCTCCCCTGCAGGCCCCCATGCACCGCTCCGTAAGCGAGGGCTTCATGCTTACCAGCGTGAACTCGTCAAACAATGCGGGGGCAGCGGGAGCATCAGAGGCTGCGCCTGGGGCCTTCGGAGGTGGCGTGGGCGCCCTGCCTTTGCAGCCCAATTCCCCGGCCGTTGGTTTCAGCGACTGGGCATGCTTTGACGAGCCCAGAGGCAGTAGCACTCCGGACCGCTTGTTCCCCAAGCCGGGCGGCCCGCCGGCTGGTCTCAAGCCAGCCCTCAAGAAGCCGCCCACTCCCCAGCAGCAGCAACAACAGCAGCAAGCACCGCCTGAGACGCAAAGGGCGCAGAGAGCGGTGGCGGTTGATCCGCTGGCGTCGCTTGCCACGACTGACCTTATCTGATAGACAAGTTGCAGGTACTGCGGTACGCGACAGTATAGTGGCGGTGGTGTTGGAGATTGCGCAGTCTTGTTTATGAACAGTGGGAAGTGATGGCGGCGGTCAAGATTTCCGGGATTTGGGGTTTGGAGGGATTCTTGGGCTGTGACGATTAGAAGGATAGAGCTGGTAGCTAAAGTGCGAATCGCAGTCCGCAGTGGTGCATATGTTGCTAGTGCAGCGGAGGGGGCTTGGGGGCTGGTATTGCGGCAAGCCGTAATACCTTTCGTCCACTTGCTTCAGGGAGGGCCTGGAGACCTGTGGTGATCTGTGGCAGGGCCTACGGTGACATTTTGACTCGAGACCTTGTACAACTTGACATTCTACTGTTACACAGTTACACCGGCGACAAGCGCATCATGGATGACATGTTGCGTAACAGCTATTTAGGTCAGGTCAGGTGCTTTGGAGTTGCGTTTGCATTCCATTAATGCACTGTAATGCCGTGTCAAACAACGCGTGAATTGGGCAGCTTCAGGTGTGGAACGCTGGTCGACTGTTTTGACGTCTAGCGCATTCTTCTGTCCACTTATGGAACCGTGTGGCTGGGGTAGGGTAGGCATGGGCAACGTGGCGTCCTTCAGTCAAGTGTTTGCTTTTCATTGGTTACATGCATGTTAACGTATGCATTTGCATTCTTCATATGGTTGGGGGTTAACGGACAGGCTGCAGCTGGTGCTAGGTGAGGGCGGATACAGGATAAAGAAACTCAATCCTTGGGCGCTGACTTGCCTCTGGTGTTCACGTCGAGCTTGTGGCTGACGTGCGTGCTATTGAGACACGTCTTTTGCTTACACTGGGGCTGGGACTTGACGCCTGCCACAGATCACGGCTGGGGACTTGTTCCTCGGTGTGTGGTGCTCTCGGGAGCTGGAGGGGACGTTTGGAACGGTCCATATATGGTGTGTTTGTGCGATTGCGCTGTGACCTGTGTCATCCAGAGCTGTGGAAACGGATCGCGTTGGAGTTGACCCTTTCTTTTATACGCATCGGTCCGTATCCGGTCTTTATCCGTCGAGAGGAGCGTCTTTCGTTTTACCTGTATCGAGGTTTTGAGAGCTTGACCTCGGTACTGCCTATGTTAAGTAGACGTGGATGCTGGCATTATGCACGTAAGCAGGTGACTTCAATGTTGAGGTACGCTGTAAGCAATACTTCTCCGTGCAACACCGGACAGAAAACAGCATCTATCCGGCTAGATACAGTCACTTATCACCGCCGATTGCAGCTTGCACATTCCTTCACCGTAACCGTGCGCAACTGTCGTTCCATTCACCAGCATGGGAATATGATGACGTGCTGCCTGACGCTCCCTGCCATCACGCACGCACGCCTGTTCCAAGAAGCGCAAGCCAATGAGCAGTACCATGCACCCGCAGTACCCTTTCAACGCTGACTGCCCTGTAGCTGTGTTAGGGGCATCGCCAGGGCCACAGGTTGCCCGTCAGTTCTCCGCAAAATGGGGCGGCTACTGAATTGTGGCATCCACGCGCGTCGCATGTGCCGTGAGTGGTTCGGCCCGCTGGCGTGCAGCAGCGTATCCAGGAAGACCACCTACACACGGGTCACGAGGGGGTAGCTGTGTGGGTTTTGCAGCGTTATACCTGTGGCGTGGGTGCGGGACATGTACGACATGCGACAGGCGCCCAGAGTTTCTTGTATTGTGCAGCGCCCGTAAACGTAGAGCAGTAGTGCAAACGACAGGGACTAAGCGTTCTCCGTGCACAGAGAATCTGTAACATTTCCTTAAGTAAGCGCGGGGAGTATCCTAACGGTGTGGACCAATTAAACCGGTATCAACGCAAAACCAGCGCGTCCTAGCGGACATACGGCTATCCTCACCACAGTTCCCGCAGGTACGAAGAGATGCCTCGCTGAGTGAAACCCTGCTTCAAGATTTGACACATCACTACCAGCAGCACCGGCACCAGCACCTGCGCCAGCGGCCTCAGCACTGGAGGACGTTGTGGCCTCCCTGCTGCCTCCACCACCGCCCTGTCGACCATCTGGGTCACCAGCCGCAGCCTTGCATGGCGCCGCTGTGGGCCCCCCCGGGCCCCCCAGGTGGCTTCCTGGCAGCACCACCAGCGCCCCGTTCTCTGAGGCAGGCAGGCAGGCATCAGGGGTCAGCCCGAGGCAGGCACGAGGGAATCAGAGAGAAACAGAACGCGTCCGTTCCACCCGCTGTCGGCACAAGGCGGATGAGCATACATGCTTGCAGTCGCATCAGAGTTGCAAATGCCGCTGGTATCAAGCAGCTGGGCGGGTAGTGAAATTGCAAGGACGCTAGGCGGGAAAACTGCTAACTGTCTCTGGAGTCAACGATTCGATACCTCACCTTCGTCCATATCGTCCAGCGCTGTCCATACCTGCATGGAGAAGTAAGGGGTACGAGCACGTTGCGGTGAATCCAGCATGCACCGTTTCCCGTGTGTCCCTTTGGCACCGGCCGTCTCTTGAGCATGCAGGCGCCAAGGCAAACACATAAAGCGTAATAAGGGTAGATTTGAGTAGCTCTAACTACGGTTACGTGTCACGTGTCTACCGTACAGACAGCATGCACCGTTTCCCGTGTGTCCCTTTGGCACCGGCCGTCTCTTGAGCATGCAGGCGCCAAGGCAAACACATAAAGCGTAATAAGGGTAGATTTGAGTAGCTCTAACTACGGTTACGTGTCACGTGTCTACCGTACAGAAACCCACCGAGATGTACGGACTATAGTCGTACTGCGGGTGGCCTCGACACCAGTCCGAGTCACGATGCCACGCAAAGGCCGACCGGCTGCTGCTGCGCGGTGGCTTCACGATAAACTGTTCATTGAAGAGGTAGGGCCCACAAGAGGAAGCAGTAGCAGCTACAGTGGCAGCGGCGCATGCGGTTGTGGCGCATTTTGCAGCAGCAGCAGCAGCAGCAGTACCAACTGCCCCGGTGGGTTCCGGTCTGCTCCCTTCGAGCTTAGCATCGCTGCTACAACTGCTGCTGCTGCTCGGACGTTTGCCGGAACTGTGGTGGGAACAGTTACTGCTGCTATTGCGGTTGTTATCTGTGCACGTCGAGGGGAAGCCCAGCGCAGCACGCACAAGGGCTTGGAGCCGTGGAGATGCAAGCAGGCCCAACCCCGGCAAGGGAACTGCTTGAGAGGGCAGGTGGTTGCTTGTCATGGCGCATGCTGTTGCTGCTGCTGTCGACTGTCCAGGTACGTCTTCAGTTGCACCGGAGGCTCGGGGAGGGTCTGGTTCTCCGGTCGGTAACCGTGCCAGCTCCGTTGCTTTAGGGCTCTGCATACCTGGTCCTGGGGAGGAGATATCGGTGGCTGGTATTGATCGTGCAACCTCAAAGATACAGCCCCTGCAGAGGAACACAGACTGCCCGTTACTTGCGGGCGACCAAAAGAAGCATCAACACGCTCAAGTTAATGTGCATTACTTGCTGCAGCTTGCCTCTCTTTGGCCATAGTTTCGCTTTCGGATGCGTCATCGCCATAGCCGAGATCGCTATCACTGTCAACAGCGGTGTCATAAGCGCCCGCGGCCTCTAGAGCGAGCTCGGCCTCCTGGTAAGCACATGTGATTGATGTGCAGGTTGCTAGGAGACCAGCTACATTTTCAGTACAGCATAGTTATCACGCAGCCTTTTGCAGCAATAAACCTACGTACTGAAGGGCTTGTAGGTCGTGGCCTTGATAAAATCTAGGCAGGATGGCAAAGCCATCTCGCAGCAGCTGCTGCCGCAGGGCTGGTGAGTAAACCTCTTGCAAAATGCACATGTCCAGAGTTACAAAACGCGCGAAGGGATGCTAAGTTGGCCACAATGCCTTGAATTACCCCTGGCGACTCGCGCGATAAGCAGTTAAGTTTCGGAGGTTGGGCTTTCCTGCCAGAGGGACGCTGCACAGTACTAACTGCCTTGGAATACCTTTTCTGCTGCTTGGTAAGGAACGTGTTGTATATCATCGCCGGCCAGGCGCAAACCCCAGAAGCACGGCAATTGCCCATTCTATGCATGATGTTTTTTACCCCACAGGGAGCAGTGGGGCAGCAGGGTGCAGCTGCAATGCATGCTCCCCGAGAAGATGTGCGCAAAGGCTCAAAGCTCCGCCTTAAGCAAGCGGTTCTCCTTTAATATTCCTGCGCGGTCCGAAGCACTCTTGCGTCAAACGGAACACCCATGTGGTGGTAACAGCCATTATGAACAGCACCAACGAGTTCCGAGAAACCCTCCTTTCATACATGTTTTCGACTAACCTACAGCTGGTTGCTCCAAGCCCTGGCCCGTGCCTCCCATTCTCTCCGCGCAGGTAGCCGTTAAGGAGACGGCAGCATCATACGGCATGCAACATGCCCATGCAACGTACTGACCTGGGTCGATAACGTGATTGTCTCCATCCACCTGCAGTGCTCGATTGAGGTACGCTGTGAGGGTATATAAACAGACTGTCGCAACAAACTACCGCAATTGGGATTAGCGAACCCCGGGTCAATCTCGTCAGCACTACAGTGTACCGGAACTCGATTGTGCCCTAAGCTTTCCCGGATTACCATGAAACACAGCTTACAACTACGTGTTGTCGGGTTTATACTGAAAAATGTTACCGGTATTTGTTAGCTTGGTACATACGGTACCAGTTGTACCAGCAGATAGAATGCAAGCTGCTAACTGTGAAGGACTAGCCGGGGGCAGACCTTCTGCCAGATGTTGTATACATACGTTGTTTCCTCTGACAGATTGAGGATACAATACTGCACCCCCAGGCCCCAGCCGCCGTGACCATCCGGTATACCGGTAATGCGAATTTGGGCTGCATTCCCATATGCAACGCGTACTCCACGTGCGTAAATGTGTTAGTCGGAAATCACAGAGCCGCAAGCCATCCTACATGTCCATGTCAGGCAACAGCCTCTTCGGACAGTCAATGCATGACTTAAGAAGTCGAACAACACTCACAATGATTAGCCAAGTTTAAGCAGAAGGTCGTCTGCATAATGACACATGCGACCAGCAGAAGGTACATTCGCTGCGTTTTCCGCCATGCAGCTAGGGTTATGAACTTATGCCCTTCGCCCTGGGCAAACATTTTTGTAACCGCTGCCGCACTTGTATCCATGCATTTAGGTTATACACTTCCGATGTCACCGCTTACAGAATGTGCATTCATGCTTAGCAGTCCGTACCGTACCAAACCCTAACGGCCCATGTGCTTTTAGCACGCGGCGGCGCCTTGCAAAAGGATATGCTAGTTGTGTCAGAAACTAATTGACAAAAGCAACAACATCTTAGACTGGCCTAACCTGGATAATATTGCACATTGGTGCCTACCTAAACATTTCGAGGCAGTGCAACTAGCACCAGGCCTGCAACATACAGAGACTTATGAAAGGCTTATTGAGTAGGAGCTGAACTATTGCCCGAGGCGTTTAGCAACTCCCCCGTGGTAGCTGTACATCCCCACGTGAAGGTGAGGCTTGAATGCCCCTTAGCGCTCCTTGGACACGTTACTTTCCATTAGTATACGCAACCTTGGGGGCAATGGGATACGAGCGCCTTCACGGAAGCAGCTCAGCTTGTCGGGAAGCCATGGCTTGAGGCATGATGCTCCAGCTATAGCTGTCGACCAGCATTTCAACGGAGCATTTAACTACTCTATATCTGTAGTTACTCATAGCTCTTACCGTCCCGTCGGCTTAAAGTTCCACTAGCGCGGCATGTTCACTACCGCGATGTGCAGAACCACGCTAAGTCCTTCCTCCGATGCCGTTGCAGGTGCCCACACTATGGATTGTGACTCTGTAGCCACTTCTTTGGGCGCGCGGCTGTGTTGTCATTCCCCGTCGGCGCATGCCCGACACGACAGCCCGTTTACAACTGGCAGCCAAACACCGCTTTGTCGCCCTGCAGCTGATCCAGTTTCCATACCAAATCGTCCTGGTGTCGGCCTGTCTGGGCGGCAATGTATTCCGCAGGAGCCGCTCGACAGCGAAATGTCATGTTCCCCCTCCGCAACTAGCAGGCAGCGCATGGTCCTCACGACGCCCCAGATCCGCACATCTGGCTGTGCTTCGTTGCACGACCTGCAAACCGCTGCTCTATCTGGCGAAGGAGCTGCCCGTCGCGCCCGAATACTAGATGCACCCGATGCTTCGTCTCAAAACAGCGAATCCTGCCAAGCCCTGCCGAGCCAGCATGACATAGAAGTGGAGCAGCAGAACAGTCTGGAGGCTGTTATGAGGCCCGTTGCATCGCTTCCGCTTATGTCAACGCAAGGTATGGCTTGTACGGCAGTTCCTAGCATCCCTAGAAGGCTTTGACGTTGGTTTGAACTGTTAATTGCATTCTTCAACCTCTTACTATATTCACTCAACTGGATTCTGACGGTCAAGCAAGCGACATACAGATACAGCTGTCTAGTGTCAACGCACCGTCCATATCCAATGAAAGCCTGTACATGTGTACAGCGCGTCCGTACGAGCCAAGCGTGTCCAACTCGTAAACCCTCTACGTAACTTTCAATCCTAACCCAACGTCCTCCACGCCCCTATGGCCCCTGCCGCCCACCCCCGCACAGCCCCCGTAAGCCTGGCAGACCTTTGTACGGCGCTCTCTTCCCCCGTTTACCCCGAGACATTGGCTGCCGTACACCAAGCCCGCGACACCGTCACTGGGACAGAGACGACTCTCTCCGAAACCACAGCCGCCATCTCCGCTCTCATGCTTTCCACAGATCCATCCATCAAGCATTTCAACATGGATGCGACAGCTACGGCCGTTATTGGCGGGCTAATTCGTTCCATTAGCTCTATACCCGCCACCTCCTACACCTCCACTGCGTCACCCGCCATTCGCGCCCCGATGGTCGCTCCCCGGCGCCTTGAAGCAGCAGCAGAGGCTCATGACGCCACCACCGCCGCCGCCGTTACAGCCATGATCGATATGGACGGTATGCCGTCAGAGTGCCCGGACTGCGCTTCGTACGACATCCCAATGCCGGCTTCGGCTCCCGTGTACGGCAGCATCCAACGCGCCTGGCCTGCTGTTGGATCCTGCACGACCGCTGCCGCTGCTACCTCTGCTGGTGCTCGGGTGCTGCCGGTGTCGCCTAGGCATGCGCGACCGCAGACCTCCACTAAGCGAGGCCTGTACGAGGGTACGGTGCGAGGTGGCGTGCCGTACAACCTGTGGCAGTACTGCACGACGTTTTGAGGTCGGGGGGGGGGTCACTGTGATAGGTGTGCTACTCCTGGTTCTGGGATGCAGGAATGGGGCTTGGGGCTGTTGGACTGCCGAGTGGGGTTCTCTTGCTGCTGTTACAGCATACGCGGTGGTGGAGTACAATAGTTGCGATGCCTAGGTTGAAAGGTTGCTTTGCAAGTTGCTGTTGTTGTTTATAAATGGTAATGGCTTCAGTGCGGTTTGGAAAGACTCGCAATCTTTGCTATTGCGAGGCCTGCGATTGCGACGGCATGCGTGCTCGGGCACATGCGTGCGGTTTAGGCATAAGCGCAGCCATGCACATGGCGTGGGGTGCTGTTTAAAGTGGCGGTTAACACGCTCTTTTGATGAAGAATTGCGCTGCGCTGGGCTTCTAATGCTTCTGATGTCAAGCCGCAACCCACGTAAGCAGTCGCGTAAATGCTACTTGTGGTTTGCAGAGGTGCTGCAGATGGGATGACGACACGACGACACGTGACGCGTACGTCCCTACGCCGAGGATGATGGATACACGTTTGGGGAGTCACGATGTGTGGGGACGGTGGTGGTTCCTGGTATGGATGGCAATTCGGTTGGTCGTCAGCAGGCGTTACACGGCCCTTATTTGCTGGACGCCTGTACAATGGGTCGCCTTTTCGTTGTGCGCGGAGCCGTGGGCATACCATACTGGCACATGCACCGTATGCTAGGTTCCTCTTTGCTCCAACGGGTGTTTTGCGGTCCCTACTAGCCTACCTAGCGCTTCTTAAACATCGTGGCATCTAGCGCTTCCCACAGTAACTAACGTTTTACTATATTTTCAACAATAAGGGCCGTTTGGACCATGATTCGATGGACCAAGGTTGTACAATATGGGAGAGGTTGTGCGGCGGGCCACGCAAGCACGGCGTGGTGTTTGTTGATGGGTGACGAGGTTAAGGGATGCCTGCCCCGGCCGGTCTTCAGCGGCTTACTGGGCGGTTTTGGCTTGTGGATGATGCGTGTAGGAAAAGGAGTGGGTGAGGGGTGGTGGGTGCTCAGGAAACCGAGCACCATTCATTTTGGTGCTTGGCACTGCTTCTGTGCTTTGCAAAGAGGCCGCTTTTGGAACGTCGTTACTGTTTGTCTGTTTTCGTGGTCATTGCTTAGGTGCTGCTGCTGTTTGATTTCATGGTGAGTCGGTTTGCGTTTGGTCAAAGCATGAATGCTAGAGATGAGTGGGTTTTTGTTAGATTTGTTGCGCCTGTAGCGCACGTGGGAGGAGTGACACTTGCGCCTCCCCCATGATGTGGTGTGTGGAGGCTGCTGGTATTGAGGTCCGAAGAAAAAACGTTTCGTGTCGTGGCGCGTTGGTTGTTATGTTGTTGCTGGCGCTTTCGAGTGGATTTGAAATGGCTGCGCTTGCTATACATACGAGTACCGGTACCTTTTTGGGTGGGAGCCCAGGGATTCCAAACAATAAAGTCCCTTGCCTGCGCCCTCTTGAGTGGCTGCAGTCGTGCTGTCATCGTGTCATGGTTAGATACGTTTCCTTGTCTTCAGTTCTTTGCATCATTGCGTGAATGCTACGGTCCTGTGGACCATGCAGCATGCATGTCAAGCCGTTTTGTGCCTTTCTGTAGCCATGAATAACCGTACGGTACACCGTACATGGAGTTGACATAGCGCCATGCATTGTCGATTGGCCCTGGTGTTGTGCATGCATGGGATTATGTGTACACCGCAAGTGGAGAGGCTGTTTATAATGGTTTTGGTTGTTGCCGTACACTTAGGTTAAGTACGGTTCGTACTGCTGCCTCTGCTGGTCTGTTGGTCCTGCTCTTTATCCATCCAGGGAAGTTCATAAGCCTAGACACGGACCTGACCGAGGTGTCTGCCGCGCCTGGCGGAACTGTTATAGGGATAGTAGATGATCTAATATGGCTTTACTTAATGTTGGTGTTAATATATAGTGGGGCGGTTTCTGTGAGCTGGTTGAGGGCTTCCTTGCGACAGGCGTCCCCAGGCTATTACGTAACGTGCCGTGCTGCTTGGTTGCGGATGCCGACATGATAGCAGATACCGTCCGTACACTACCGGTACGGCTGCCTCGGTTGACTACTGTACGCACCATTCTAGCCTCCACACGTGAATAGCTTCAATAGCTTGAAATGCATCAGGGGCCTATTAAAGGTCCCAACCAAGGTTAAACTGGGCACTAAGAAGAGTGTAATGGTTGTCGGCAAGGCCAGCCTCCCGCTGACGCGTCCCCGATGTCTGCACGGGCCTCCCGCATGCCTCGTGCAGCTGGCAGCCTCATCATGCATGTGTAGTGGCTGCCCTTGGTTGCTTGCTAATGTTGCTAACTTGCTATCCTCATCTGAACGGCGTACCATGTGCCATGGAACCGTGTTTTGTGTTTGGCATGTTTCCTGTGGGCTACCCAATCCTGGAGGTCCCCAATGCCTTGTGTCGAATGCAAATGGCGGTTGGTAGGTCACTCCTCAGCAGTGCTACTACACGTTACCCACCGTCTCTATAGCACACGCGTTCTCATAACATTTTAAAGGGAGGTGTCCTTAGAAACCAGCCGACAGGAAGCCATTGACAGGACGCCAAACAGGAATAGATCACGGGGTCCCACCCATGACCACCCATGTTGAAAGACTTGCAACATCCCGACCCACATGCCAGCCGTTACCTGTCAAGCGCATCACTGGATTGTTATTGCCGCTGAGCGCAATTTATCCTTATCGATGGTTATCTTAATGGGGCACGTTGCGTGGTGCAAGAAGCAGCTTGCCGGTAAACCGACAGGAGACTGCAAGGAGGGAGGGTTAAACTTAAGTGGTATCGGTTCCTTACAGCAAGCGCGTTGCATCCAGTTTAACTCTGATTACCTGCTTGCAAACTTGTGATAACAATTATGCTCAGTACGGCCAGCGGAGATTACGATGCGAGAAGAAGTCATTAGCCCTCCTTCTAGCATATTTCCGTTGGTTCCAAGGCTTGTTCCTTGGACAGGACAGCTACATAGCTTCCTGTTCCTGCAATAGGCGGGGAATCAGTCCTACCGACAGCGGAGAGCCACGTGAAGCCGCGTGGTCCATAAAGGGCCTTTGCAGCAGGCAAGACTCGTAGCTACCGGTATTGATGTATGCACATTTAGACGCGAAAGTGTGATGTCACCAGTAGGGACGCAGCTCCCTTATGCAATCAGGATAGCGGTACCTCGCTCTGGGAGACAGGCGTGGGATACCGGTAGAGTTATAATTGTAAACATCGTTGCTAATGGGGTTGTCACTTGTATTTGTGTCCAGGGCGGATGGACGCACTTGGAGCAAAGATCGATTTACCTACTTCGGCTCAGTGGTCCCAAGCGGCAAGCGGGCTCTGTAACCACGTGGAGTCCTGCTCCTCTCCCGGGCTCTCTTTAACGCGACAGGTTCCTGGTATGCGCTTTGCACAGGAAGATGCGGGCATTCAAACTCCAGGCAAGAATGCCGCAGATACCGGCCGTCGCTTTGAAGTAAGCGCCGCCGCACCTCTACGGGAAGTGGAAGGGCGAAGCAATGAGGTCGACGCGGCTGAGGGCACCATTCGGCACGGCAGGCGGCGCTTTGCTCCAGTTCCTTCCCGACCTTCATCCGCCCTCCCTGATGAGATTTCATCAAGCCCCATCAGCAATCGCATCGCAACAGCAACCTTGCGCTCCACAGCCTCGCTACCCCTGCTGCGAACATTAGGTAAGCGCAGCATCCGGTGCCAACATAACTGGGACCTACACACCGTGCTGCTGCTTTCGTTCCGTCCATGGCCCTCCCTTCTCTTTACTTGTCGCCCTTCCCTTTACCCGATGTATTTTTGTCATACGTAATAACTTCTTATTGCCCTGTCTGTATTGCCCTGCCTGCAGAGCAGCCTAACCTTGCATCTCTCTGTACGGCGCTTTCCTCTGCGGCCCTGGATGAGGCGCTCATCATCACCCATGCTCGCTACCCCGGATGCGAGTTTCTGTCCCTAAGCGCCAGCCCTATGGCGGATGAGGCTGTCACCAAGCTTGCTGCCACTCTTTCCATCACGGATGACCCCGAAGAGGATGTGAGTTGTCACCACCACCTATACCGTGTTGCTGCCAACAAGGCAGTCAAGGCAGGGCAGCCTCTCCCCATGGGTTGCGGACGTGACGGCGAGAGCTTGTACGATAAAGCAGCCCATGTACTGCAGGATTGTTGTGCCGTACGGCCGAACAATGCTATCTTCCCAGTAGCGGAGCGTGGTGCCCCTTACCCGAAGCTGCGTGGCTGGACCAAGCGCGGTCTGTACGAGGGCACCGTGCGAGGTGGCAGCCCCCACGTGACGAGCTGCGTATCTGGCATCAGCTTTCGTGAGCTAGGTGCATGCGCAAGCTAAAAGCGCATGTGGGTTTGCCGCGTGCGAGACAGCAAGGCTGTTGAATGGTTACTACTGTATTATTAACGTTTTGCGGGTTGGAAGCATTATCCACGGAGCGCGCGATGTATGTGATTTTGTCTTCGGGCAGCGTTTCATTTTTAGCGGTTGGTTGCTGTAGCGGTTGGTTGTTGGCTAGTAGGTAGCACACTCCCGTTGGCTTTTGTCGTAGCGAGCATGGGCGAGCCCCTCTGCTGTAGGCGGGTTTGCACCGTAGGCAGCAGTTGTCTGCACCAGTATGCTGAGACATTGTTAAATGACTAATTATGCCATGTACACTTTCCGTTCGCTATGTACTTTGGGTTTCAGATTTGAGTAAACTGGGGCTAAGTTGCGCTGGGCTGGGCTGGGCGCGTTCAGGGCTGTATGGTTTGAGTGCAATTTGTGTTTATGTCACTGCTGCGTTGATCTGCGCAGAAAGTTGCGCGAGTTGTGTTGCACTGTAGCATGCATCAAAGGCGCCACTACGGACTCAACTACAATGCTTGCGAGCTTTTGGGTGAGCAACCCTCTCTGGTAACGACCCGACAAACTTGAATATAGGAGCAAGATGACTTGCTGACCGTGCCATGTTGGCTTTTCGGCGTTTTACCTTTCCATGTGACTTCATCGTACATGTACTTTATTAGACGTTTGGGGTTGGGCCTTACTCATGTCTTCCTTGTGTTGTCATGGACTTTGCTACGACAAGGATATTTAGTACGGGAGCACTTGCTGACGAGTCCAGGTTCCCGGCTGCTTTCCAGCCCACGTGTGCTTGCTGGTGCGTAGCCTGCATTTCGGCGAGGCAATACAAACATTAGCGGAATAGTTGTGATCCTTTCCCCATATTTAGTCTCCAATGTGAGCTAGGGCGCGTTTCTTTAGAGGTTATTCATGTACTGTTGACGTGTTGAGTGGTAAAAGCGGCGGCCCATGGCGTGCATTGTTGAGCACACGTCTTGTGGCAGCTGCCTCGAATAGGAGAGCCCTTAGTACTGTGATTAGTGCGTTGGTGCAACGGTTTCCGTCGGGCCCCCGCCGCCGTTTGCACGGCATGGTTGTTTAGCAGCGGGCAGGTTGTTGGCATTGCTGCGGGTTGCGTTTGTCACCCTCGTGCCAGGTGCCCTGTGTGCTTCATGCACTACAAGTGATGGGGCCATGTGAAGGCCAATGTACGGTAATAAAGCTGATGACCATTCTGATCTCCGCTTTCCTTGATCCGTTAGCCCGCACCACCTTTCATACTGTGAAGGACAAAGAGGGAAAATCCCAGTACAAGGCAAAAGGGAGTGCCAGCATGTGATGCTTCGCATACCAAATTGACCCGGTAGGTAAATTGGGTATGCGCAGATGTGGGGACCAGGATACTCTGCATGCGGACGGGTAAGTCGATTGAATATTGTTTGGCAACCCGTACGGACAGCCCCCTCTGCGCAAGAACATGTGCGAGCTCCGTGCCCGCCGGCCCTCCCCCCCTTGAATTACCTCCCAACGGACTTGGTCATGTAGCACCGTCATGCTAAATGTAAACCGATATTCCTACATACCCAAGATGAGAAACACCATATTCGCTTTACAACTTTAACCTAGTTTCCTAGCGGCATGGCATTAGGCACAAACGGTTGGGTTCTCTTGTTGGGCTTAAGGCGATGAATATGTTCCTTGTCTCTTGCATACAGGGAACATCAATATAAACGTAGCAGACGGTGCTAGGGGACCAGGTCCGTTGGAGGTAACTCCAGGGCGGGGGACCAGCGGACGCGGAGTCCGCCCATGCTCTTGCGGTGCTGAGTTTTTTCAAGGGCGCCTAATTTTCAATGCCATTTTCGAAGCTCACACGCGAACACAAACATAGGATTTCTTGACGAAGAGGACAAAAAGGGCGGCCCGTGTTACAACGGTCGTCCACACACGTGCCCCCTGTCGGTGTCAGGTGAGCCGTGAATAGTCGCTTTTTCTACCCTTGCCGGCGCTGCAATTGAATCTTCAAGGTGCATTAGGGGATTCGCGCCCTTGATTAACTAGGCGCTGTCATGCACGCCACTTGCTCTTGCGTGACCGCTACTTGAAGCGCCACGGTTGGCTTTTTCCTTCAAGCTATGTCCCTCCAGCTTTATTTCTGTTGTATCCGTTCATCCACTTTTAACAAGCGTGTGTTGCCTTCTTCCGTTTTGCGCCTTAAATCGCGTCTGTTGCTTTTCCTTTTCCTCTGCAAAGGTCGCGCGGCTGTAAGCGATGACGGATCACACTCATGTTGGATCTCTTGATGCATGGCTGCCGAGTCCCCCGGCATTCCTAGTGGCCTCCGCGTACCAGATGTACCAGACGAGTCGCCACGGCAGTCCGTTCGCGGCTGTTTCGCATGCAGCAAGCAGCCAGACTGCTCCTATGCTAATCCCCAGGGCAACGCATCGCAGCCGGTATGCTGGCTTCTGTCCCTCGGCAGTTGGAGAGTCTTGTCACGCTAACGAAGGGCTGGGCACCACAAAACAACTAGCCTTATTCGGTTATGTTCCGCAAGACCTGGAGCCGCCCTCAGCTCCTTTCCTCCTGGCAGACCTGATGCCCAGCTGGTGCTTCGACGCGGCTGAGGCCACTGTCCAGCGCGCCAGGCGCTGTTTCACGCCAGGACCTTCCCAGTTCGCTTGCGATACCCTTGAGGAACCCCTGGCTATTTCCGCAACGAAAAGCGCCGTGACAGCTACCTTGCGCCCAGTCGCCTCGCTACCGCTGCTGCCAACACAAGGTAAACAGACATGTCTGGTTGCCCTTTTCCGCAGACTTCAGCTTACGCCCTTGCTGGCTCCAAGCTGCGCTGACATTGTCCTCCTCCCTCCACCTTCATCCTCTTTTGCGCTGATGACACCGCCTGCCCCTCTCGCCCTGCAGAGCCGGCCTGCTTCACTTCGCTCTGTAAGGCGCTGTCCTCACCCCCATCGCGCGAATCCCTAGCCGCCGCCCGCCCCTGCTGTGCTGGGGAAGGCGCACGCCACCTGCCGTACAGCGATGCCGCAGCAACCGCAGCTGCCGCAGCCTTTACATGCTCCCTGTCAGCTTGGCCTGCTGCGTGTTCGCCCCCTTCCGTGGCTTCTTTCTTCCCTTCGGATGGCGCAGCAAACGAGGACGCAGCACATGCGGATGGTGCTGATATGGAAGCAGATGCGGATGATAAGGCGGAAGGATGGTCCTTTCCCCTGGGCCAGTGTCTCGACGATGATGTTGACTGCTTCTCAACTGCTTCAACTGCGGCTACAAAAGCTGGTGTCAACGGCCATGACGATGACCTCTCTGTCGTTCAGCTGCTGCTGACGTCCACGGCTCCGGAACCCCTGTCCTGCCATTGCGGTGCTGATCGAGGTTGTCTGCTGGCTACTGCTGCTTTCGCCACCGCCACTGCCGCCCCAAGCAGCAACGTCGACAATAACAACAAGGACAACGACTGCATTAACAGCCGTTGCTCTTGGCCTTCCCTGGCGCATGCTACTCCCACCGTAACCTGTACGACAGCCGCCAGCACAACTTTCACCACCGCTGTGGTAGCAGCTAAGGCGCAGGGCACCACACCTACCCTGCCCCTGCCGCCTCACCACCTGTCCCGCTTCCTCGTGGCGGCAGCTGCGGTGGGCTGCCCGCAGCAGGCGTGGCACATGCCCGGTGCTGCTGCTGCTACGGCTGCTGCTGAGCATGCGGCCTTTAGACGGGGGCTGCACGAGGGAACCGTGAGGGGAGGCTGTCCGCGCATCGGGCATGTAGGAGCGTGAGTGCTTCCGGTGTGCGGGGGAAGCATGATTGAAGCATGAGGGCAATCAGGGTATAACAGCAGTGGGGAGAGGCCGGGAGGAGGCAGCGCAGCTGATGTGGATGGGAGGGAGGTGTGTGTGAACATGTGAATGATGTGCATGACAGGTTGGGGTTTGCGGAGGCATGAAAGGAGATAATTGCTGACGATGCCTCGTGACCATGACGGTGGCATTCCCACAGGGTTTTTCGTTGGTTAGGACGTCAGTTGTCACTTGTGGGCTCAGTCATTGGACATACTAGGTTTGGATGGAAGTACGACACTACTGCATTGCGGCTGTGATGGCAGGACTGTATGGGTTCACTAATCTTGTCAGGTTCTTTCAGGTGTTTAAGTATGAGCCTTGGGTCAGGCGTAAGCCGCTGTTTCCGGCTTGTTGCACTGGCTCGCACTTGTTATTCGGGAGCTGTTCGGGGCGTGTGATTAGCCTCGCTGCGCGAATTCGCAGTCGCATCTAAGACCCCTGAGCCGTATGCTTTATGCCGTTTTTCGCCATGGATTGCTGCCGGCCGCGCTGCTGCTGCAACAAGCATTTGTGCTTGCTCGCGGCTCGCTGGCAGCTCTATCGACATGGTGTCGCAAGCAGTGTTGTTGGCAATGTGACAGTCAAGTATTGTGAGCAAAGTTTACTATAATGCTAAAAGGACAAGCTGTTGCTGGGCATGCGGCATGTTGCGGCATGCAGCAGCAGGTCGTGTTTCTGGCCTTGTTGTTGATGTGTCGTAGCAGCGGATGTGGACAGAGGCAGCAGGCAGGGCTTGTTTAGCGACACATGGGGGCGCGGGGATTCCATGTGTCGTGCTAGGTAGGGTTGTTTCGGGTGATTCCATGCCATATTGGCTATCGCTCTTCTGTTTACTGCTTGGCTCAGAGTGAAAGGGAGAAGTATGGACGTGATTCGTATGCTTGAATGGGAGTTATGAGGTTTCGGGTCCTTAAGGGCTGACGTTGCAATGCAGAAGGGGCGGTGGCGGCAACGGCGGCGTGCTGGGACCTGGGAGGGCACCTATTGTGCACTTGTTTCATAGCGCTGTGGCGCCGGGACGGCTGCTGGTTTTACTTATCAAAACGCTGTTTTGGCTATTCATTATACTTCACATACATGTCGCCTTGTAGGTTTCTTTTCGGCCTTAAATGTCCTGACGATGGGCCGTACGTAAGCCGGTGTCCCCGTGTCTGGTCCGTGCGTGGCTGCATCCTGCGTGGCTGCATCCTGCGTGGCTGCATCCTGCGTGGCTGCATCCTGCGTGGCTGCATCCTGCGTGGCTGCATCCTGCGTGGCTCGCAAGCAACAGCAGCGGCATTGGCTGCTGCCGGTTATTTGCACACTGGTAGGTGGTGGTGTGTGTCCTGAGGGGAAGTGTCAAGTTGTCGGGTCAGGTGGGTGGTGGTAGGGTGCATGCATTCATGAGTTCGGCGCTGTTGCCGCATCCGCACTGGACAGGGGCAGGACTGAGTGCTGCAGCAGCATATAAAGGTATAGGTGTAGCAGGAGGAGGGCATTTGCATGAGCAGCGCACGGAGGGATGGTAGGAGGTGTGTGAGCGGGACTGTTGCGGACACACGCAGCAGGCGAAACGTCGGGTTACTGAGAATTGTGGCTCTTTGAGTGGGTTAACTCATGCATTGTGCAGGGTTGCGACTTGTGAGTTTGTGGTCATGTGGGGCGGGCTGTACGGCTTGGATGGAGCGGTTATAGGGATTTCTTTTGTAAGTACGGCACCGGGCGTAGTGCCGTTGGGAGGTGCCGCTTCCGTCAGTGCTCCCAAGGCCTTCTTCACTTAAAACTGTGAAATGCGCCGCTTGGCGTGTGGTAATGACTACTCGTTTAGTCTGCGGACCACCGTCGAGTGGAGAGGGGCGGGAGATAACCTTTGAGGTGACTCGATTGCATGCTTCTGGTGTCTTAGCATCTTGGAAGCTCGATTTAGTCGTAGTTGGATTAGCTGAAAATAAAGCCGGCTGAGGGTTCATAGATGCATGGAAGGTAGTATCATATTAAGGGCAGATGCATCGCGTATGGGTTTCCGTTTCGTTCCTTTAGTAGGTCAATTCAGTTAGGTTTACCTGCCTCACCTCGCACGCTGTCTCCAAGAGGGAATCGTGTCCGATTGTAAGGACATGGTAATGAGAAGTCATGTTTCAGAGGTGAAAGGCTACCCTTTCGACGCCAGGCTATTTGTCTTTGATATCCTTGCCATTTTGGGTTGCAAAGCTCGTACTCGCAACGTCGCAAAGGTGCACGAAAAAGCATCTTCACCACCTTGTTCGGGTCCCCCGTGTTAGGAGCTTATGGTGTCTCAAATTAACGTTACTTAATCTCACTGCTCACTTACAAAGATGCCTTGCTCGCCCGCGGCTTGCCTGAGGCAGCACCCACGGGTCATAGAAATGGCATGTCAACGACCATGTCCACGGCGTTTTAGGAATGCTCGCGGCTGCCTAGATAGACTCATGTTGTATAAGTTCTATGCATACAACTTTGAAAGTTTGATGGGGCCTTGGCGGGTTTGGAGAATGGGAACTATTAATATCTGTACGACGCGAGCAAGTGGCTCGGCGTTGAGGGCCCCCTAAAGACGATGACCTGTTACCAGGCTTCCAATGTCACACCACTTGAAGCACAGCCTTCCCCAATCGGTTTGAATATAGGCGCATCGTGCAGGCAGTCCATGCACGGGGAGTCCACGTGCTGATAGGAAACTGTCCAACCCGTTCGCACAGAGGACGACCGCGCTTTAGTTCCAGTAACAATATCCTAGCGCCGCGGATGCTGGTGGCGCAAATACTAGGTAGCCCGAATACGGTTCCCCCATCATTGCTCTAGCCGTGCGCCAGGTTGCTGGGCAGGTTGCTGTCTTAGAGGGTAAGGAAGCAGTAGCTCGGTGAGAAACTGTGGACTTGCTGAAAAGCAGCAATTAAAAAGCTCTTCCTGACCTGGTCGTTGGTCGCCTTACAAGTAGGGCTGTTTCGCGAATGTGCTTGGCGGTCGCGGCTCTTGTAACAGTCGTCGGATCAGAACGACTAATAAATGTTTATTCGACATTATAGGGCCGAGGCGCTGCATCTGTCGACTTTACTTCCAGAGAGGGTGTTTGAGAGCGACGGGCAGCCACTTGCCGAATCACATGCCAGCATACCACGTTGGAAGTCTTGATGCTTGGCTTGACGGCAGCGCGCCTGTCGGCAACTACGGATGCCATACTCAGGGCCGCCATCGAGCGAGTTGTGTAAGCAGCGCAGCGCGCACAGGGACAAGTGGCGTCGGTGGGGATGTTCATGAAGGCAAATCAGCAAAATCTGATTTGGCAGTATGCTCAGCGCCTGCTGCTGTGGCTTATGCCGACTACCAACCCACGTCGTCCGCACCGCTATCCGAGCCTCAGAATGCTCCTGAACCTGCATCCGAGCCCCCAGCCGGCTTACCTTCAACCTCCGGCATAACTTCAACCTGCCCTGAAAGGCTGCCTGCTGTATTATCTTCAGCCAAGCGACAATCTCTGCTGTCGCTGCAACTCCGATGTACTTCTTCTGTTCCCGTGGAGTCCCTCAGACGCCTCCTGTCTGAAAGCGACACAGCCAACACCACCACCACCACCACCGCCAGCAGCGCACCTGCGGGACCTTCCTCCACTCCAACTCTGTCCTTCCCGCATCATCCTTCACCACCCACATCAAGTATCAACACCGTCAGCGCTTTTTTTCTGCCCTCCACCGTCGCTGCCGACCGTGCTGCTGCATCCGCCGTCACGCTCTCACTAGCCTCGTCTGGTGATGACGTCAGCAGCAGCGGCAGCAGCAGCTGTTGCTGCCCGGTATCCGCCTCCGACGCGTCGTCCAGCTTGTACGGCGTTTGGAGTGATCGCAGCGGCAGCAGCAGCCTCGGCTGCGGAGGCGGTGGTCTTGGCAGCAGTGGCAGCAACACCCTACAGCTGTGCATCCGGGGGAACGCAAGCAGTGGCAGCAGCAGCAGCTTCTCCACGCTGGTGTGCTCACCAGTGGATTTGAGCCCGCCGAGCGTTGCAACATTGGCAGCAGCACGTACACATCAGGATGTTACCGCCGGTGTTGCTAGGGTGGCCGCTGGCTTGGGTAACGGCGGGGAGCATACCGCTGCTGTCAGCGGTAGCGATGTTTCGCCGGTGGTTAGGTTGGGCGAGCCGGTTATTGTGACCGTGGCGCCGCCTGCTTTTGCGTCCCTTCACACTTGCGTCAGCGAGCAGTCAGGTACGGCGGTGAAGCTTTCTGTACGGCATTCACGGGGTGAAGTGGGTTGCATTGCGGCGCACCGCTTGTGCTGTGCAGCATCCCTCGCCGGGCCGTGAGCGCGGGAACTACTTCACTGCATGTTACATACCTCCTAGCTTCCCCCGCATCGTTCGATTACTGCGTTCTACACTGTTGCATGCGGTTGATACAGGATTAGGGATACAGAAGCTGGGATACAGAATTATCCTGACCAGCAATGGATGTGGCCTCAGCTTGGACACTTATCCTTCCTATATAACGGTGAAAACCCGCAGCTTTCCCCCCTACTGTATGCCTCCCCGCGGCCCACTTTACCTACCCCGCCTGTCGCACCCACGCACTCCCCAGATGCCACCTCCAGCCTCCTTGACTCCTTCGTCCCGCTCCCCAAGGACATCTTCTTTCCATCTCCAGACGCCGGCCTCGGTCTCGCGACGTGCGCAGCCAGAAACACACGCCCCAACCGACCCAACCGCCTAACCACGGACCTCACCAACTGCCGTCAACAACCCGACAGTAGCACTACCGCACAAGCTTCGTCAGACTCCGCAGCTGGCAAGGCTGACAACGGCAGCTTGCCGGTCATCCCTTCGCGTTCGGAAGTACCGTCTTCGCTGCTGTTAACATCAGCAGCTACAGAAGGGAGGAGGGAGGTAGCGAGCCTGACAGACGCCTGGAGTGTGGTGGTGGAGGCGGGTTCCGCCGCGATGGCCGCCGGTGCCTCACGGGCGCAAGCAGGGCCAAGACAAGAGCAGGAAACAGAGGTTGAGACTCCGGGGCCGCAGACGCTGCTGCTGCAGGCAGCGGAGGCGGAAGCGCAGAGTCGTGTCACAGCAGAGGCCGGAAAGGAGGAGGAGAAGAAGCAGGATGACTCGGAGTCTCGGCGTCGCGGGTCATCCCGAGGCGTCTCCTTTGCCGAGCTCTTCACCACCCACCTAGTGGCCCTACCCGGCTCCTCCCAGCAGCCCAGCGGCGGTGACGGCAGCAGGAACAACACCACAACCAACACCATAACCAACAGCAGCAGCAACAACAACAACAACAACACCGCGCGCGGCATGGGGTATGCTGCTGGCGTCAGTAACGCAGCTCGGGGCTGCAGCGGCGGCAGGAGCAGTGTCTTGCAGCGTTCCAAGAGCCTAGGACTCGACCACCTTCCCCCACATCAACAGCGGAACCACAGGTCCCCGCTGTACCCGTTTGCTTGTACGGAGGAGGCAGAAGCGGACGACCAAGGTGCGATCAATGAAAACAAAGGAAACACCAATGACGATGCAGGCAACGACGACAACACCTCGTCTGACGACGGCAGTGCTGACGGCGGCGGCACCTGCGGGTTGCTGGGAGGCAGCCCCACGGACGGGTTGTTGCCGGCTGAACTCTCCCGGGCGCTGTTTGAGGGGACTGTACGGCGGGGCTGTCCGCGTAAGAACCCGGTGCTCGCTCGCTCGGCTAGCCAGCCGGTGTTCGGTGGCTGGATTTAGGTCGGGCAGGAGGGGGGCTGTGCGGGTTCAAGTAGTTTGAAGGATGGAGAGTAGTGGGATGAGGTGCACGAGCAGCACAGCTGCGCAGGTGGTTTTCTGCGAAGGAAGTGGGAAGTGGTAGGGAATCCGGATATGACGCGTATCACGGGTAGGTAGTGAGGCGGTGCGAGCGCTGAGTTGGATGGCAGGGTGGGAGTGGCAACAGAGGGAGGCTGAGGAAGTCGAGGAGGGCTGAGAGGGAGGGAAGACAGGGATGGCACCGACTGAGGAGTGGAGGTTGGGTATTAATGTGTGTGAGCGTTGGCTGAGGGTGTTGCACGTTTTTTGGCAAGACGTTGTGAACAGGAGGGTTGGTGGTTATGCAAGGTATGAGAAAGCGGTGTGAGAATTGCGAGTCGAACAAAGCAGAAGAAGGTCTCGCGGCAGCAAGGGTGCGGGGGCGAGGGGGCGAACGCGATGGCTAAGGTTAGGGCGGTGCCAACATTGATGTAGGTGGTGTTGCTGATGCGACAGTTTCAGCATATGTCCGTCACAGTCGGCCCGTACCGAGCGCTTCATGGGTTTGGTAACTTGCTTGCTTACTCGCGTGTGTTGCAATGTTGGGATTTGGCTAATGACATGTTACAATAATTCTTTCGGCGGTGCAGCATGAGCTGTGGCTGGATTGTGCTTCTGTGGTGTTGTATGTGGTTGTGCAGTAGCGGCGCTGTCTGGTTATGGAGCAACCCCTGCTCCTCATCCTGCTGCTCGGTGTACTCTCTGTAGGAGCTTTACACAAGTGATGTACTACTTTATTGTTTCCTACAATCTACAAGCGGCCCTTAGCAACAGATAGATGACGACACGCGGCTTGAAGCAACATCCTGATTGTGAGAGACCTTGTCAGGTGCGTTGCGAGAGGGAGGCAAACAGTCCGGGGTGTGTGTTGGCTTAGGTTTAGGTCAGTGAAGGTGGCGGTTGGGAGCAAGGGTATACAAAATAAACCAATATAGCTAGACAAGGGCGACGAAAAATACGTGATGTGTGGTTTTTAAACAAGCATGCGTGTTCACCTCCATGACAAATTATTTTCTGCGTTAGTTGCTTGTCCTTGAATGACAAAATGACGTCCTTTAGATCGGTGAGCTCGCGGCGGTTTATCGACATGTGTGCATCGTCGCCTGCTGCGTAAAGCGACACGACGTAACACGAGGGATTGTGGAACGCAGTAGGCGGTTTGGGCTTTGTTCACTGTGATGGGCGTCCAGCGCCTGCCTTGCCCTCGTGCAGAGGGCAGCAGCCGAACGTTTTGCACAGCTGCATTCGGATGCTGTTGTCTAGCGGATTGTGGGGGAACGGCATGGGGGTAAGTTAGCACGATAGATAGGCGTTTAATGGATGGTGGGCAGTTTGAGATGCCAAATTCTTATACGTCTCTGCTTCTACGGTCAATGTTGGATTGTTTACGGCATGTTTGGTTGCAGCTGCTGCGGTTGTTAGTTGTCGTTGTGCTGCCTGAATGTACGGTATTTGAAAGGATGAGTTGCTGGGGGTATGGTTTTGGCCTGCGGCAGGTATTAACCGCGTATGATATATGAGTTGCCGTGCATAAAACTACCATCAATCGGAGCCTGTGCTAGATTAGGTTTGAGTTTGCTTGCCTGCCCAGCTGCGTTTGGGCCCAGCAGGCCCTGGAGAAAGAATCTGGAAGTTTATTATCTGGAAAAGTCTGGAAAACGAACGTGAATGGTGTCAGAGTTTCTCCGCCTTGAGGGTTTCAGGCGCTAGCCTATGTGTCACCTGCCTGCATGGACACGCATTCCTCCGAATCGTAAACGGCTGTGTAATGCAGCCGCCGCTATCTACGTGAATGCTATCTACTTAAGAAGCGATGCGGAGTTGGTTTGCTGGTTGGTTGGTTGTTGAGGTCCGTCGGGAAGGTGTTTGTGAGCACCCGACTGCTGTTATGTGTTGCGGCCTCGGCTCTTGGCGTGTGGATAGCGGGAGCGCACGTGTATTTGCTCTTGGTAGGGGTACTCTTACGCATACTTTCCGCGGGAGGAGCGAGGGGCGTCCTGATTGTGAAACCTGCACCTACCCTCGCTCCCACATTATCTTGGTGTTGACCTGCCGAGTATTTCCTGTCTCTCTCCATGTGCATTGTAAGCACTCGAGCGCGATTTGCCGTATATGTTGTGTGATTGTGCAGCCGCTGCTTGCCATGTATGTATGTTGGCCTAGGCGGGTAAGTAAAGCCCCTGGCAGGCAGGCAAGGGGGCAAGGGGCTGCGTTCCCCCCCGGTGGTGGTTCACGTCGCGAGTTGGAGGTCGCATTTGTTGGCATAGTTTGGCTAGGATTCATTAATGCACTGCAGGTACAACGGCAAATACTAGGATGGAGCAGATCCGAGCAGCAGCAGCAGCAGCTGGGAATGAGGGGACTGGAAAGAGCTATCCGCGGGCGATGTGTGCAGGAACGGCGGCGTTGTCTTATGACCGCAGCATTGTCTCATAAGACACGACGTGAAGCGATGGGAATCTGTACAGGCTGGTAGGCAGCAAGCCAGCTGCCGGGTGGCGGAAGGGAATCAGGGACGGTGTCTGGGTTTGTGTGTTGGGTGTGGCGGATGGCTTTACTTGGGTGAACTGCATGCATATGGGTGCATGCATGTGTACCTGTGTGCATGCCGGGGGTAGTCAGCTAGCTGCCGGGGTCTGTTTCCGCTTCCGGTGGGGTGGTTGGGTTCCGAGTGCCATGGAGGGACAGCCCCGTGTCCCACAGAAGGGGTGCAAGGGGGAGGCTCGCAGCTCGACGTGTGGAGGCGCGTGCGGAGGATGAGCTGACGCGGTGCGCGAGGGACGCTGCTCGATAACAGTTGCACGGATACGCTTGTCCACGACGTCGGTGATCTAATGAAGGCAGGTAGGCGGGCATTGGCTGTGAGCTTGCAGCAAAACCGCCCAGCACTGGTAGCATTTCGTTGGTTGCGTGGGGTACCTTGGCTGGTGCTTCTAGTATGCAGGTGTGGTTGACCTAGAGAATGCAGGCGAAAGGGTGAGGCTTTCGGGGAGGAAGGACGTGTGTATGGCATGTTATTGCGTGTGGGGCAAAAAGGAGGTTGTTGACGAGCTAGTGCGAGTGTGGGGTGGTGTTGGTGGTGCCATGGCGCTTGCGCGGTTAAAACAGTGTTTGCATTTTCTTCTTGTACTACTAAACAGATTGTAATTGAAGAGCAGGTGGCCCCGGTGCTGCGGCCGTAGCAGACGGAGGTACGGGACTACGGGGATAATGCCTCCTGCTACGAACCGCTGGTGTGAGACCAGTGAGAGGAGTTGCCTTGTCTGCGGTCAGCAGCGGGTGGTTGCAACATGAGGTTCCATGGGGATTTAGCTGATGTCCGATGTGCCCGCTTTTGCAATATCGCGTGACATACACACATACACACCTGCATGCGGCCCCCCTGCCGTACACAAGCAGGTGTCGTACAAGGTGCGCAACCAACGAACTGTTATTGCAACGGCGGGACACGCTCTGTGCAATGTTGCTGAAAGCCAATGGAGGACGTATCATAACTGTCAACAGCGGTTCTCTCTCCGCTATGCATTACAACCGTATTTCAGCAGCGCTGCCCAATTCAGAGGAGAGGAGCTAGCCTTTACCTAATGATCCCACACTAGCGTACCTGCTGCTGCTATCCTAGTGACCCAGTCTAGGAGATCTACCCACAACTGACATGTCAACTGACAGAATATTCATCGTCAGAACGCAACACACCAAAATAACAGAGTTCCCCATTATCGAAGCAGTACCATGTACCGTATAACGTGTGTGGTCCTCCCAGGAAATACCGAAGTGGCATCACCACCCACGGGCCAATACACAAGGCTGGGCCTTCGTACACCGGTACATGGGCTATGCCCGGTGGTGCCCTTCCGACACAATTCCAAGTTTCGTCGCCATCCCAATGCTGCCGCCATTCCATCTTGTTGGCATTCCCCTTCTTTTTACCACTACTCACGCCACCTAATGTTCCTACTAGGTTCCAAACACGTACGCACGCCGACGTCATCAAAACATGAACATAGCCTGCCTGTGGCTGTCGATTCAGTGCTGCCGCTGTTGCCCATCCAGTGCAGCCGCTATCCTTACCGCCATCACTTGTACAGTCCTGCTCTTCCCATCGCTTTCTGGAGCTACTGCTCAAACCATCTACACTGTTTCATAACTCACAATAGGACCCCCGCAGACGTCCTAAGCAAGGTGCCATGACCATGAACTTTATTACCATCTACGGTAAATCACATCTACGGCTCTACGGCAAACCAACCGTAGCATGCCTGTTGTCGAGACACCGGCTAACTAGGGCAACCAACACCACCGCCGCTCCCGCCACCAGCGCCGCTAAAGCGAGCATGCCGCTGCGGCCCTTCCTCAAGCCACCCTTGGCCTCCTGGTTATTGGTATGATGCGGAGTATTGCCAAACGCTAGTGTCGTACCTAACGTGTCCATCGTACTGGCAGTTGCGGGGTCGAAATTGACATTGGCGTCAGGAGCAGCAATGGCAGGGGCGGCGGCGGCGATGGCTGGATCCTTCTTGGCGACGGTGGGAACTACCTCCGCCGCCGCCGCCGCCGTCACATGCCGCGGGGTTTTGCAACCGCCTCCGCCGCCGCCAGTGCTGCTGCTGCCGCCGCCGCCGCCGCTGGGGGCTACAGTGTTGCTGTTGCGACGGCTGCACCCGGCGTCAGCATCCACAACCTCCTCATCCTTCTCCTGCCCTTGCTTCTCCTCAGCTACAGCGATTGACAGCCCCACCCAGTTAGCGCCGTCGTCAAGTAAGCGCTCTGCTACAAAGCTACCGCCGCCGCCGTCGCCGCCGCCGTCGCCACCGCTGGCGTTTCCTGCGACATCATCAGACCCGGCGGCGGCAGCCCTGGCGGCCGCCTCCGCCGCCTCCAGCTCCTCCTCCCCCGCCACCTCCACCCCCCAGCGCTCCCTCAGCGCCCCCACCACCAGCCTCGCGCACGACCACATGCCGCGGCGACACAAGTACGACAGGAGCTGCTCGCCCGTCGCCACCGCCTCCTCCACAGCCGCCTCCGCCGCCGCCTCTGCCGCCGCCGTCGCCTCCGCCGCTGCTGCCTCCGTCGCAATTCCTTCCATATCCTCGTCACGCAGAAGATCGCGACCGCTCCCAAGCGCCTCCAAAGCATCCATCCCTAATGGCCCCGCCGGCGCCGGCGCCGTCGACGCCATCAATGCTAGCGGCAGCGACGCCGACGGCGACGCCGGCGGCTGCGGCGGAACCATCAGTCCTGCCACATCAGCCACCAGGTCTGACACATGGTCCCGATACGCCGCCAAGCGGTATATACTGTACGACAGGTCACCAGGCTGCAGTACACCTTCGCCTGTCGTACCGTCACCACCATCGCCGCCGCCGCCGCGAGTGTCGTACCAGACCGCGGCGGCATGATCGTCGTACGCGGTGTTTAGCTCCGCTGCGACTGTGGGGTCATCCGCTAGCAGCAGCGGCAAGGCCGCCAGAACCCGATGACGCGCGGCGGCAGCAGCCGCAGCTGCCGTACCAACCGTACCGACCGTTGGCGCCTCAACGGTCGCCGCCGCTGCTGTCGCCGCTCCGCTACCTGACGCACGACGTGTTGGAGTGGACAAGCCGCCTGCTGCAGGGGTGCCCAAGTAAGGGCCTGCATGCGCTTCAGCGTTCAACACTACCGCTGCGTTCAGTCGGGAGCGAGCGGCTGCCTCCACTAAGGGTGCAAGGCTGCTGTCATCCGCTTCCTCACGCATGCGGCGTTGCCTGTCCAGAAGCGGCGGCGTGGAGGGCTCCACAGCCGCCGCTGCAGCCGCGTGCTCCTGAGCATCGCCGCCGCTGCCGCCGCTGCCGCCACGACCAGGAACAACATGCTCTTCACTCCCGTCTTCGTCGTCGTCACCACCACCGCCGCTGTTTTGGTTTTCCTCATGCGGCGGCAGGAGGTGCACGTACACAGCTGCCGGGCGGTTGCGGCAGTTGCCCGCGTCGGCCCATAGGGCAGCCTACGTGGGGAGGAAAGGAAAGGTAAGTACAGGTACGAAGCCCTTAGCAAGCCCGTTCCAACTGTAGGACCATAGAGCGCCCCTGAAGCAAGCAGCAAGGCAGGCAGGCAGGGCGAGTACAGAGCCAAGGTGTGCGTACGGCACCCCAACAGCCACCTTACCGGTAACTCCACTTCCACCATGCCTGCTGGCCAACCGCCAACGAACCCGCCGTTGCCGCCGCCATGGCGATCGTCGGTCGTCGTCTCGTCCAGCCGCTTGTCCTCGCTCGCCTCCCCTCGCCACTGCCGCAGCGGCTGTAGCTGCGAATGCCGGTCCAAGATCGCCGCAGCAGCCGCTGAGTCCTCCACATTACCATCATCACCACCGCTTCCGCCGCTTCCACCGCCGCCGCCGCCGCCGCCCCCCAGCGCCGCCACCACCACCCGCACCTGCAGCCCCTCAACCCCTGCTGGGCGCTGCATGCCGCGGCCATACGGCCCCTCCGCAGCAGAATGATCAGGGACATCTACAGCTGCAGCTGCGGCCCCAGCTACAGCACGGCCTGCCGTTGTGACGCCCCTGCGGTATGTTGCGGTCATGACGGCGGTCTCCGGCTGTAGCGCCGCGACGGCGGCCACGGCCTCCGGTGACAGGATGACCCGCACCGAGGCAGGTGACGACGACGACGACGATGACGCGCCGCCGTCGGTATCAGCGGCAGCGGCGGCGGGGGTTGCCCACCTCGGCACCTCAAAAGGAACATGTCCCTCATCAACTCTCTCCGCAGGTGAAGGGAGCGGCGGTAGAGCCGGCGGCGGCAGCGCGACGATATCTAGGTAGCAGGGCAGCAGTCCTCCTCCGCTTGCTTCGTCGGCGGCAAGGAGACGAGCAGTCGAGCCTTCAACAATAAGATCCGTCGAAACATTGCTTCCGTCGTCGCAGCCGTTGTCGCTGTCACTGCCGAGCATGCTCACGCGGCTTGCGTGCAAGACCCCGTCGCCGCCAGCTCCGCCTCCGCCCCCCGCTTGTTCGTACGCCAGGAGCATTGCCGTACGCAGCAGATCCTCCTCTGCCGTACACCAATGCAGCTGTTCATGCTGCTCTTCGCTTCCTTCCGTTCCTGCAGCTTGCGTACCCTCCAAAACCTCGTCCTCATTCTCATTGTAACCTAGCAGTGCTTCTTCTTCCAGTCTCTCAGTTCTCACTGCCGACGGCGCCGCCGCCACCGCTGTCGCCTCCGTCACGTCCGTCGTCGCCGTCGGCGACGCCAGTGACCCAAGGGTCGGTCCCAGCATCGTTGCGCGTAACAGCAGTTCCTGGTATCCTGGCACGTCTTCAGCTGCTCCATGCGCCTTAACGCCCGAGGGGGCGGACGCGCATGCGCCGGCGCCGCCGTTGCTTGCTGTGTTGTTGGCGGCGAATTCGTCAGGGCGTGCGAGCCCTTCCGCAGTCGTGCAAACTCCGTCGTCGTCGTCGTCGCCGCCGCTGCAGCCCTCCGTCGCGACGCCGCAGACGCTAATGCAGTTCCCAAGCGGCTGCCAACCCATGTTGCCACCGCCACCGCCACCGCCGCCGCCGCCATTGCTAGCCTGCCGCTGCCGCTGCAGCGGGGCGCTGTAGCCGCCCGACCTCCGGGGGAATGATGCACCGCCAGTAGCACCCTCGTAGCTGCTGCGACCGGTGTTGCTACTGACGCGGCGGCTGCCCATGCGGCTGCCGCCAACATGAGGCCAGAAACCGCCGACGGCGGCGGCGGCGGCGGCACTACGGCTGGGTCCAGCGGTGGCGTTGCGCAGCGGCGGCGGCGCCCTTGGCGGCGGCGGCGGTACCTCCACATGTATGAGCCGGGCGCAGCCGCCGCCGCCAGCGGCAGTGGCAACGGCAGCGCTGCTGGAAAGGGTGGCGGCGGCGCTGGCCGCTAGCATTCTTGACCTCACGGCGGCGGAGGACTGACTGATGGGCTCTGTCGTATACAGGCTGCCGTCGCCGCCGCCAGCGGCGCTGCTGTCGCCACCTCCGGCGCAGGAGGCGGACATGGCAAATATGACTTCGCAGGAAACAAAGGGCGACTGGTGGGCTTCGCCTGCACTGCTACCGTCGTCTTCTTTGTCTTCGTCATCGTCGCTATCGCTGTCACTCATCAGGGATTCATGACGACCACTAACTACTTGCGCCGCACGACGGGAGAAGGGATGACGATCCGCCGCAGTACCCGGCGTAGGGGTGTCGCCGGCGGCGGCGGCGGCCATGACGTCACCGGCGGCGGCGGCGACGGTAGCGTAGACAGGCACGGGTACGACAGAGGCGGTGACGCCGCCACCGCCGCCGACAGTGTTAGCAGCAGCATTGGGGAGGTCGGCCGCATCTTCGGTTTGGGTTGTTGCGCGGGGGAGCTGTTGGATGCGTTGTGGTGGGCCGACGGCGGCGACGCTGGGACCTCCAATCTGCGAGCCACCGATGACCGACCTGCGCAAGGGGGCAGCAAGGGTAATTAGTAACATAATAGTTTGGGTGCCGTACACGTCAGTCCAGAAATTCATCATGGGAGCGTTGGGCCGGATGTACCCCTCTACGCAGCGACCCTCCTCCTTCCCACCATACACCCTGCCCGCCCTCCCACTCACCTCGGCACACGCACCACCTGAATCAAATGCACACAACCACGAACCACCGCACCGCTGCTCAGTGCGCTCATTAGCCCCATGCGGCGTCCACCACCGGCGCCGCCGCCGCCAGCGGCGGCAGCGGCGCTCCTGGCGGCCGCCGCCAGCGCAGCGGTGTTGTACTGCCGTAACGCCCGCCCGGCGGCGCCCGCCACGGCGGCGGCGGCCGTGGGAAAGCTCTCCGCATCCGGGTGCTCGTGGACCTTGACACTCAGTACGCAGGCTCCCAGGCGGGACTTGTAGAGCAGGTTGGAGTTGGGCGCGGCGGGCGTGGCGGCGGCGGAAGAATGTACGGCAGGTGCCGCCGCCGGTGACGATGACGCCGACTCAGGCCCAATAATAAAGGGCGATGATGATGATGCGATGGCGGTATTGCTGTTGTTGTCGTTGTTGTTGATGGGTCTGGCGGCGTCGCAGCTGTGGCGGACTATAGTGTTACTAGCAACAGTGGCAGCAGCAGCAGATGTAGCGATAGTACGTGAGCTGCTTTGTTGGCTGGGTTGGGAGGAGGGACTACCACGACCGGGCTGCCGTTGCGTTGAAGACCACGACTCCGGCTGTCGTACCGCGTGTTGGACGTTACGCGGTGGTGATGCACCCGATGCTGGAACCTGCCGTTGGCCAGGACTGATGCTGCTGCCGGTGGTGTTACTAGCAGTAACACTACCGGATCCGCCAGTTAGGGCGGGCAGGCGAAGAAGCCGGAGGTCCAGTGTGGGTACGACGGCATGGGTACGACGTGGTTTGTTACTAATACCGGTAGTAACAGGGTGGCGCCGTACTTCTGGCGGCGAGGGTGCTGCTGTCGTACGTTCTGTACGGATGTTGGCACCGCAGCCGCCATTCGCAGCTACTGGTATCGGGTCTCTGCTGCCATGTCCTCCCTGAGGCGAGGGTTCGTTTGACTTGCGATGCTGCTTGTTTCCAGCGGCGGTGCCCTCATTAACGGCATTACCGTTACCGTTAGCGTTGCCGTTAGCACCATGGTTCCTATCGTACAAGTTGTACGGGTTAACAGGTAGGTGATCGGCCGAAGCCTCACGTGCATTGTCAGTGATGTTTCTGCCGCCACCGCCGCCATCGCCGCCACCGCCATTTCGGTCAGTGCAGTGAACACAACACGCCGCGCCGCCGCCAAAGCCACCACAGTCGTTCCTTGTGCCGTGCAACGGCGACGATCGCGGCAGTGTCGGCCCTCCTCCATGCCGGACTGCTGCCGCTGCGGCGGCGGCGGCGGATATCGCCGTCATGTTGCTACAGCCGCTTGCGGCGCTTCCGTCAGGTGTGAGGAGGGACGACACGGCCCCCCCGGGCCACCATGCCGCCGCCTCCGCCGCCGTCGCAAGGGGACTGCCGCAGCCGCTACCGCCGACGCCACCGCCGCTGCTGCCCCAGCGGAGGCTGCTGCTGCCCGCGACGCCGCTGACGCTGCCGCCGCTGATGCTACGTCGAACGAAGGTGCCGCATGCTTCTTCGCCGCAGCACGCCATCCCGTCCTGGGCACCACTCTCCTTCTCCCAGTGCTGTGGATGCTGCTGCTGTGACCAGGACTGCCGCTGCGTCTTGCGGTGCTGCGGGTCTTGGGTGGTTGGGTCGCGCTGCGCACCTTGGGTTGTTCGTAGCGCCGTTAGCCGGAGCTTTGAAGGGGATGCGTAAGTGGGTGGTGGCAATGGTGGTGCTGTGGTGGTAGCAGCAGCTGCCGGGGATCGGGTCCCACGGAGGGCCTGAGGGTAAAAGCGCGGCAGAGGTAATACCGGTAATGGAATGAGCGGCATTAAAAACTACACGTCAGTAACAGCATGTTGATAGCAGCATGCCGATAGGCGCCTTTCAAGTGTGCTAGGAACTCCCTGCAGCAGTGTCAACGAACAAGGGGGCAGCAAAGGTGCTACATACCTCATAACTACCGGCCAACTGATTAAGCCCCTCCATGACAGCATCCCACTAACCTGTAGCAGCATGGAGAGGTCCGGTGCATACAACAGCGCCACCGGCGCGCCCACAACGGAAACCGTTAGCAGCAGTACGGCAGCCAGCGGCTGCTGGAGTGACCCGTGGGTCATCAGGTCGCACACCACCATGTTGCAGCCCATCAGCGCTGCCTCAGCGAAGCTCAAGGGCAGCTGCCAGCCTAGGGGCACCTGCCAGGGAAGGGAGGAGGACCGAACCAGAGGTGACACGATGCGGCTTCATGTGGGTTGGCATGCGGTCTACGCAGGAAAGCAGCAGTGCACGAAGATAGACGCAAACACCAGTAGGCAGTACACCCAAAGACAATCCAACAGGCCACATGCACCCGTCTACAGCGCCAAGTGCCGTACCCTGTGTATGGTAATGGCAGCTACAGCCGCGTACAGGCAGCCCTGCAGCCGGCCTTCCGCAGTGAAGTACTTTGCGCTGCTCAACGGTGCGATCATGGCTGCCGTACTTTTGCCGTACCGCAACCACAGTACGACAGGAGTCATCAGGTTACCCTGCAGGATAGCAGCATACCGGTAGTAGCACCACGTCGTCAGCGACGAAAAAGGGAAGCGGACAAGCGAGCACGTTGGGTTGCTTTGCGCCCTAATCCTCTTCAACTGTTAATTCGTAAGCGTGTATAAATCCCTCTGCACGCATCCCCTCACCTCCTCGGCCATGCATGCAGTTTACGGTGTTCGTTGCAGTCCTTTACCGCGTAAAACACCCAAGCGCCCCACATCACCCACCCACCCACTCACCGCTTGCAGCAGCAGCCGCACCGCCGCCGCCACCGAATGCCGCAACAGCAGTGCATGACGATGCAGATACCATGTCGCACGACCATGATGCCGATACCTTGTCTCATCACGAGGGTCATGACCCATGGGTCGTCGCACAGCGCCGCAGCTGCCGTCGTCGCCACCGCCGCTCCCCGTGTCTCCACTGCAACTGCTGAGGGCGGCCGTACCTCCCGCCGGATCATGACCCACGGGTCGTCGTGCAGCGCTACCGCTGCCGTCGTCGCCAGGGGGGAGCAGCATGTAGCTGGTGAGTAGGGCGGTTAGACCCAACGCCATAGAGCCGATGTAGATGGCTACCGCGGGGTCGAGGAGCACGTGGGAGCGGAAGGCGAAGGGGTAGAGGTTGCAAAGGACGTAGACGGTGCGGCCCAGGACGCCCGAACTGTGGTGGGAAGGGCAGTACCGGTATGCAAGGCAGCAGGAAGGGTGAGGATTTGTGAGAAAGAGTCTCGCACTATGGGAAAGGGTACTGTTACCGCGGGAGCGACGGCTGCTCCGAACACCCTTTTGAAGCCCAAATGCAGGACCCACATCCCAAGGATTGTCGCAGCACCCATACTGTAAATAAAAAATTGAAATATTTTGAGCGCGAGGGGAACACACACAAAGCTCACCTGCAAGGAAAGCCAAGCACGATGCGCTCGTCGAAATCGTCGAAGAACATCGCAGGCCGGTGCGTTTGCTTCTGCTGTTGGTATTGCTGCTGTGGCTCTCCAATGGAATCTCTAAAGCCAAGCTTATCGCCAAGGGCACAACCGCATCCCGCGCGAAGTGCCAAGCTTTTGCTCAGGTGCACCGAAGGAAGCAGCAGAATCTCCAGCGCTAGCACGATCACGTCACTTAACTCATGGGATTGAACACAGCAGTAGTAGATGTAGAAGAGGCAGGTGATAACTACCTCGCGTAGACGACGTTGCGCGGTGCCTGCTGGAAAGCCAGCAGGAGGCTTAGGCGGTACTGGTATTGAGCGTTGTGCAGCAGGAGCTGCTGCTGCTTCTGTTTCCGCACCTGTAGGTGCTGCAGGAGTGCTCAGCTCCTGCTCGTGAGGGAAGCGCTTTGCTTGGCCGCCCATCGCGGGCTTTTGAGCCCTCCGCTGGGCGCCGGTGCTCAGGACTGCTGCTGAAGCTTGGGTTGTCGGAAGTGTCTTGTTTTTTTGGTAAGGCTACCTGCTAATGCGGTACAGCTGAAAAGGATAGCGTGCTTGTGCCTGATGGCGTGTCGCAAGACCAACTCAGCGGCTTGGCCTGGACGCGCCAAATCGAAGGGGAATTGCCCTTTCCTTTTCTAAAAATGTACTTATCTTGAGCTGTATTTTATTTACTCCATTATTTATTGAAAGTTATTCAGGCGAAGGTAAAGAGCTAGGCTGGAATTAGATGTAGACTTCATTACGTTCGGGTAGGGTTCGACGAGGTAGATCAGCATGTGAGAGGATTTTCGTACGACGTTCCCGCCTCTTACCTAGCCCATGTGACAAGCATTACAGCACTGGTAGCGTAACCATAACATAGGAGAAATCTAGTAACCAAATGTTAAATGAAACGCAAACTGACGGACCTCGATGCGCCCGGCCGTTGACAGAGCGCCGAACACAGCCATACATCTCCTTAGGTTCTAGCCAAGCAGATGTATCCAATAACTATGCGGTGTTCAAAAGAGTGTTTAAAAGACATACCGACAGGGCTAAGACAGCTTAATTAAAGTCTGCACTGGAACTAACCCGGGCCTAGTGACCCATGGGTCAGCGGTCGCGCAACATTGATTGCGAGCGTGCAGTGTTCCCCTGATCTCCCTGTATCCGTCCGGTGCAAAACAACTGAACTGGACACAATGAAAGAAATGAATAAACCGTATACGGTGATAACTGCCTCTCCTGACGCGACGCCGCCCACCCTACGCTCTATAGTAAATCCGTCACAGATGCGTTCGCAGCGCCTACGGCCTCACAAGTGGACGCTCCCTCACGTAATGAACTAATTATGCATTTCATAAAGCCCTCCTCTCAACGCACATCGCTTACAATGCGTTGCAAGCAAGCTCTCGCCCTCTGCTGTTATGAGGACCACTCTCTGCTGCAGTAGCTATTACCGGTACACGACAAGACAGGGCACACGGCAGTCTGTGTGTCGCAATGCGGCTGCAAAACATAACATGCAAGACAAGGTACACGAGGCAGCCCAACGCTGCTGCTGAGGCCAGCAAGGGGCTGTCATGCGGCTGGTTCGCAGTGCAAGAGAGAGGGAGGGGCCACCACTGGGTCGCCCGCCTCAACGCGCCTGCACACAAGCCAGTATACGGCAGACCTTCCCGCGCAATCAACCAATGCACAGCGGCCCATGCGGCGCCCATGCGTCCTGCGGATTAAGCCCACTGCATCGGCGATGGCGGCGGTGGCGGCGGCGACGGCACAACTACTGGCATTACAAGGGCGTGTGGGACGTGGGTGTATGGTTGTCGGGGGATTCGGGGGCCTCGGTGGGGCAGTGGCGGGTTTCGGAGGGCGGACCAGGATGTGAGTCACGGGTGCACCGGGCCGGGGTCGCCACGTCTGCAACGAGGGGAGGGGGCAGCAGCAAGAAGGAGGAGGAGGAGAAGAAGGAAAAGGAAAAGTGGAACAGGAGAAGGGTGTAACGGAGCGGCAGGAGGTGTGTAACCAGAAAGTAAGGGGCAAGGGGGTTGTTGCAACAACAACCGCGGCAGACGTAACGGTGGCCATCGGATACCGGTAATCGCCCGTGTGTACGTCATGTACGACCGTACGACCGTACGACATGTACGGCATGACAGCCTTCAATACGCTCTCCGGGGGTCCCCCGGTGCGCACACAGCAGAGCCCCGAGGCGAAACCCCTCTTACACCCTCCCCTCTCCCCTCTCGCTCCTCACCTCCCGCAGCTCGAAGCCGTATCTGCCGTACAGCCGGTTCCCGCCCTCCGAAGTGCTCTCCAGGTAGGCGCTTAGGCCCGCGGCATCCGCTGTACGACACAGGTGGGCGAGCAGCTGGGAACCCAGACCACGGCCCTGGAGCAGCAGGGGGGAGGAGGAAGCTGACGAGCTGTACGACACGGCTTCACCATGGGGTGCAAACATGTTGAAGCCGACGGGGAGCCGACACGTCCAGGAAAGAGATGGGAGGAGCCGGGTGAGGAGCGAGGGTACTGTGGGTATGTGTTGTGTGCGACATGAAAGTACGATACATGTGTGGTGCTTTCCTCGAGGCGCGAAGAGCAATGCTGTGGAGTCATTCCGACACCTCCCTAGGTCCTAGCTAGGAGCAGCTCTAGTTCGTACCTAGCCCGTACCTGATAGTCTGGATGTACGGCAAGTACGGAGATGTACAGGAAGGGGCCGTACGACTGCAGTTGGGCAGGTGGTTAGGCAAGGGGGTAAAGAGGGTGTGGGGGAGGGTGAGGAGCGGAGGCGGGTTTAAGCGGGCTCCAGGATAACCGTGCCAGCCTCCCTTCCCCACCCTCCCCCCACCCACCCCATCAGGAGCTGGTCGGCTTGCCTGCCATTCTCATTCAACACCTTGGGTACTCTTCTTACCCCCACCCCCCGACCCCCCACATCGCTAGGCTAACCTTGGTGGGGTTCGGTGGGTTCGCCTAGTTGGTTTGCCCAGGGAATTACCCGGGTAGTTAGGTTTCTCTTTATTTACACCCTCTCACCCCCTCACCCCGCCCCCACCTGGTACCACTCCTCCCTCCGCGCCTCCAGCACCTCCGCTGCCCGCCAGCCCTCCCGCAGCCGCCCCGGCCGCACGCAGCCCAGCACCCCCGCCAGCGCCCCCACCTCCGCCACCGCACCCCACAACCCGGCCAGCAAGGGGGAGGCCACCCAGCCGGGCAGGCAGGGGCGGGAGCCGCCGTGCTGCTGGGGCTCCTGCGGTGGCTCCTGCGGGGGCTGCGGGGGCTGCGGGGGCAGCTGCTGTTGCTGTTGGCAGCCTCCCACCGGTTGAAGCGGCTCCTGCGGGGGCTGTTGCTGCTGCTGCTGGTGCTGGTGCTGTTGTTGCTGGTCGCTTGGATGCGGTTGCAACGGGGGAACCTCTGCCAGGGGCGGAGCCAGGGGTAGTGACGCCGGGTGCTGTTGTTGCTGTGGGTGCTGTTGTTGTTGCTGTGGGTGCGGCTCTCGACGTGGATAGACGTAGGCAATGGCGGCGGCGGTTGGGGGTAACGTGCTGCGGGGTGGGGGCGGGGGTGGGGGCGGGGAGGGGGGTCGTCGCCGGGGTAAGGGATTGTGGAGTTGGGTGGGGGACGGAAACCTTGGCGCTGGGGATGCTGGGGTGCGTGGAGTGTGATGGGGCCCTTACATGTATGCGGGTGTGCAGGAGGGTGCCGGGTCACGCCACACAACCCTCCCAAAAACACTCCCTTTCAACTTCTCCTCTCCAACCTTTTTCTCTCCCCTCCCCTCCTAGCTCACCCCTTCCCTGGCCCCTATCGCCCTCCCTTGGCCCTTTTGCTGCCTTGCGCTTGTACAATCCCCCCTTCCTTGCCCCTTCCCCCTTCCCCGCCAACCCCACCCCACCATACGAGCTGCCTGTCCCCCGGCTGCCCCCGCAGCTGCTGACCCAAGGCACAGCGGTAGAACTGCCGCCCCTGACCGGGCCTGGGGAAGGGGAGCGAGGGAGAGTTGGGGTGGGGGTTGGTGCTCTTGGTGGCACTTACCAGGGCACCGGTAACGCGATAAGGAGGCGGGAGAGATGAAGGGGAGATTAAGCGGGGATTGCATGGACTGCGTGGTGAGTAGGGTGAAGGGGCAGCGGGGCCAATCCTCTCCGCTTTGAGCCCTTGGCAGCTGGCACACCATGTAACCGCATAGCTGCTTGACAGTGCTGATATGTCCCCTGGTGGGCGCGAACATTACATACACGCACGCACCTGCAGAAGTATACGGTTGTGGGGTCGTCCTCAAATGCTGCTGCAAACGTTTCGATGGCTTCTTGAGCCACCTCTGGACTGTCGTTGTACGACAGTACGGCGATCGGAACTGGTGGTTGATGTTCTTGCTGCTTTGGCTGGAAGCCTTGGCTATGCGCTGCAGCAGCAGCAACGCCTCTTCTTTTGAATTGTTTACGCTGATAATACGTTGTCGCTGTCACCTGCGATGCACCAACTTCCTAGCAGCACCAACGTGGCATCTAACATCAACCGTCAGGGCTTACCAGGCGCGTCGCATGCCTTCGTGCAAGTAATGCTTTATGTGTACAAGTTAACGGTGAGGAAACGTTTCTGAGTACAACGCTTTGCAGAAGACGCTCATTATTGGAGCACTTGCAACTGTGACTTTCCACCGCTCTCGGCCGCTCTCGATGACCTTGAATCATGGTATTCATCATTCATGAGCCACAATTTTTGAACGCAAAGTTGGCCTCCAAGGCGGCAAGCAGTTGCTAGAGATCGCACAGCGGTGTACGGCGGCATGGCGTACATTGTGTCACCCACCAGGCCACCACCACTGCCACCACCAACGTCACTATCAACATCATTACCGTCACCTTCACAGTACCGCCGGCAGTGTCTCAGCAGTGCCTCAATGGGCCGGTGAGACGGCGAGGAAAGCCCCCTCTTTCTCCACATGTATGTATGTATGTTACAAGCTTCAGGCTCGTAAGCCCCAGACGAGCCAGTAGGCTCATGGACCGCCCGATAAACAAGCAGAGAACACAAAAGAGAAAGTAGTAGGCATCGATAACGCAAAGCCATACACAGTGCTTCCACCCAAAAAGAGGTTGTCCGGTTCCGGTTTCTCCACATGCTCTCACGGACTTTCCATGTGGGTGTTGCGTGTGCGGGTCGCACAGCGCGCAGGTGGGAGCGCACAGCCACACATAATGTAGCCACCACAATATTATATTTTTGGCTAAAAATCTAGTTTGAGGACCCGTAGGGGCGAGTGCATTAGTTGCCGTACATTGAGCTTGGGTGGGCAGCTGGCGCTCAGAGTGTTGCCTTCCTTGTTGTTTTTCGTTACGTGGCTTTCTCCCGGGGAACTTCGTTGTTTTGTGTCCAGTTGCTGCCAGCCTTTTGTAGTCAACGCTAGTCAATTGGGGATAGCCCTTGCCGTCTAGAGCTAGGGTTGGCTGCCTTACCGCGGTCTAGCCACCATCTATCTAGCTGCTCCCAGGTTCCGTGCCGGACAAGGGCGCGTCATGCAACGCCAACTCCAGTACGCCGACGTCCCCACCCAAGTAACATTAGCTTTGCGAAGGAAGACGCAAACGGGCTAAACGCAGCCAGCAGCCACATGCCACCGCAGCAGCTGCTGCTACCCACATCGGCCCTGCAGCATGCAAAGCTACAAAGAAGAGGATTATAGACGGGGGTTGCAAGGCTGCCTGTCGTGCGTTGCCGTACGAGCGGTATTAACTGGCCTGACGACAAAGGCTTCCACAACCCATGCACCATCTCCATGGTCCGCATGCGCTTTTTGCCTTCTGGGTCAGAGAGGTACAAGCCCAGATAGGTGGGTGGTGAGTGTCAGAACACAGGCAAGTGGTAGGACTACGGAGCTTTATACGGCCATGAGACCCGCGATTGTTAGTCTTCTTCATGCTTAACTACCCGGCAGCAGGCTATCCCAAGGCAGTGCGCACTGGGTGCCCAAATCCCCACAAAAGCAGAGGCGTCTTGTTTTACCCAGCTTCAGGGAACTATAGTGCATCCTTCCGTGGAAACAAGGGCGCCTAGGCTGCACAGGGTACGATGGGTGTTCGACAGAGAGATCATTATAGGGAGTAGAGGCAAGCCCATGGAATTATCCTCAACGCGCATGCGAAGTCTTTTTCGGGTTGGCAACCTTCCCGCACCCCAGTAACCCTCAGCTTGGCAGCCTTGCCCAAATGCCCACTAAGAGTGTGACCTTGGAACAGATAACACGCTCTATACGACTTCAACTTGCTCCCAGATATATATGCTTGCTTGTTCTATTAAGATTGGCCGTATGTTTCTCAATCCCACGGGAAACATGTGAAACGGCCTCAAACCTAGCTTCTGGCTATTTTCTATCTAAAGACAGAAAAGCCAGACTTTTTATAATGTTACTAAGCGTTACAATCAGTAAATTTTTGACGTGTGAGAGCGAGACGAATACGGTGCCTTCATTCCACTCTGTACTATACGAGGCCATTGAACGACCGTCCCCAACGAGGCCCAAGCTATGCTGGTTATTCTGATGCAATTACTTCCGTTATGCGTTCACAAGTAATTGCTGATTACAATAGGTGTTTCCACTCCTTTATAAGACCGCTGATATGACTGCAGATAGCTTAGCTTTCTTTCCGTTCCTTGCAACGTTGTGTACTCCAAAGTACAATTTTATTTGAAGTAGGAAATAGCCGTAGACAAGTCAGACGTGACGAAAAAAGAGCGTCCGACGGTTTCGAACGGGTCGACGAACCTACTCGATAGGACCCAACTCTAGCGGGTGGACCACGAGCAGGCAGCTACAAAGAAAGACGTGGGAGCCGGCGGCCTTACGGCGCTAGGGCTGGCCGGGCATTGGCCCACATGGGGGCTTGTGTTTCCGCTACTTCCAAGGAGGAGAGCGAGCTAGCGAAACAGGTACAGTCCGACTCTCAGAAATTGTTCTCCAAGAGCCTGGCGTGGTACCTGTCGTTATGTTCTGCAAGTCGCGAGGATTCCAGCAAGCCATGGCGCCGCCAAAGTGTTGACGCGGATAATCCCTATTGTTATGTCGTGGATGCAACAAACACAACGCCTGCGCCCAGGCATTTAGGTTGGACTTCTTGTGTTGCGTCGCCGGAACCCTGACTCAAAACCTTACCAACACGAGCCCGAAGACGGCACCTGCTATCAATCAAGCCGAAACGTCGAACCCTTGCCCAGCGGATCCCTGAACGGAATCCCTGATGAGCGTGTCTGTAACACCTGTGCCCCTTCATGCTAGCCCTCATGCACCCTCATACCCCACCAGCCCTGCAGCCCTCGTGACTGTCGTTTCGCTGCCCCTGCCCTCGCTGACCGCCCTCCTCTGCCGTGCCCTCATCACCTTCCCCGCACGCTACCCCTCTCTGTGCCCTGTTCCTGCCCCCTCTGTTCCCCTCTGCTGCCGCCTTCCCCTACCCGCCCTCCTCCCTCTCCCATCCCTCCCTCCTCCCTCGCCTCTCTCCCACCCGCTGCCGCCCCCCCATTCCTCCCTCTTTTATCTCCTCTCCCCACCCTTCTCCACCCTCCCTCCTCCCTCATTGGATTACCTTCCTCCTTCCCCCTCGTCCCCACCGCTCCTCAGTTGCTGGGTGAGAAGAAGGGCAATGACGCCCACACGGTGCGGCGGCTGTCCGCACTGGGCATGACGGAGGGCAAGGTGTGGATCACCCGGCAGACCTCCGACATACACAAGGTGGGGGGGGAGCGGGAAGTGGGTGGCATACACAAGGGGTGTGCGTGTACGTGCCAAGCCGACTGAGCCGCCTGCCGTAAATACACTGACAGTAGATGGGGTGGCTGTGTTACACACTGGCCGCGAATAGAAACGTACTGGATTGTCGGATGACGATTACAGATGTGTGTGGGGGGTCAAAGACCATACCGAACCATACCGGTAGGAAGCCACAGGTTGGGGCAAGACAATGGGGATAGGAGCGGCAGGGTGGGGTGTGGGGGGGGGGGGGAAGAGAGGAAAAAGAAAGCAGGGGTGAAAACGGGAGCCTGGCAGCTGCTGGGGGGCTATCGTTAGGGAGGGTAGGACCGCTTGGGCCGATGTGGGGCCGATGCGGGTGGGCGTATCGAGGGGGTGGTTGCGAGGGCGGGTGCTGCTGCAGTGGAGGTCGAGGGCAGGGCAGGGAGTACACGGGAGCTCGGCTCAGCGGAGCTGGGGGAGTCAGGCCAGCCGAGGAGGCGTGGGTGCCGTACGTGGGTTGGCCGTACCTAGCCGTGACCCACGGGTCGTTCGTGGTTGGCTGCAACCGCTGTTGACCGCCATGTCCGCCTTCCTCCTCTCCCTCGCAGTTCACAGCTGGGCATAGCCCCTCCTTCCCCGGCCTCTTCCTCTGCCCGCAGCATGCCACTATCACTCAACGCATGCATCTTTCCCCCCATGTGTTTACCCCCCCCCCCCCCCACACACACACCTTCCCTCAGGTGTTCAAATTCGGCCAGCAGATCAACAAGGGCCAGTTCGGGGTCATCTACGTGGTCACGGACGCGGCAGGCGAGCGGTTCGCGTGCAAGCAGATCAGCAAACGCAAGCTGACGGGGCCAACCGCCATCCGGGATGTACGGCGGGAGATCGAGATCCTGCACCACTTGAGAGGGTGGGTACGGATAGTAGCATGGACCCCGCTTCGCCGCATGGCCACAAGGCCTGGCTAGGTCCGAACGTCGCATGGGTCACGGGTACACATAAAGCATAACCTAGGGTCTGGATCAGTAAGCCCCCTTCCCTGCCCTTACGTCCCTCTCTCTCCTACTCCCGCCGCCTCCTTCCCCCTCTGCCCTGCCGCTGCTATGACACGGAAAGGAGCGGGAGGTAATAAATACCTGTACCTGCCCCTTCCTCACCCCCCTACCCTCCTCCCCTTCCTCCCCCTCCTGCCCCCCTCCCAGTCACCCCAACGTGATCACCTTCCACGGGGCGTACGAGGACAGCGATGATGTGTACCTGGTCATGGAGCTGTGCACGGGTGAGGGGGGGGGGAGGGAGGGAGAATACCCAATGTGTTGAATGAGGATGGCATTGGTAAGGGGGGAAAGGAGGACATTCCTAAAGCAACGTTCCTAACAGCTTGTTGTTTCCCGGCCCCCCTCTGTGCTCCCTCCCTGCCGCCCCCGCTCCATGCCCTTCGTTGCATGTCCTCCACACGCAGCCCCTCGTCTCATCGCACTTCCCCGGGCGCCACCCAGCAACCTGTCCCTCCCTCACCCTCACAGCATTGGACGCTGCTGGGTTGCTTAGCTTCCCCCATGCCTCCTCGCTGCTCCTCATCTCCCCCCACCTCCCCCCCACCCCTCCCCCCTGTCCTGCCCGACAGGCGGCGACCTGTTTGAGCGCATCGAGGCCGCCTCCGCCATCACGGAGCGATCCGCCGCCGCCCTGTTCCGGGAGCTGGTGGAGGTGGTGTCGTACTGCCACACGCTGGGTGTACTGCACCGGGACCTGAAGGTAACACACACACACACACACACACACACACACACACACACCTCTGACAGCCCCCCCCACACAGGTTGTCCCCCAACAGGTCCTTGCTGTCACTTCCATACCTCCAAACCAACTCATTTCTTCCCCCCTCCCTCCCCCATCCTCTCATTAAACCCAGCTTACGCTTATCCTCCCCCCTCCCACCCCCACCACCTCCCCACCCACCCCCCCTCCCCCTCCCAGCCCGAGAACTTCCTGATCACACAGCCCGGCCCCGACGCACGCACCAAGCTGGCCGACTTTGGCCTCAGCTGCTTCTTCCGCGAGGGGCAGCAGTTCTCGGAGGCGGTGGGGTCGGCGTACTACATGGCACCAGGTGGGGGGGGGGTGCGGGGCGGGTGTGTGTGTAGTATCATGGGTCATGTATCATGTAATGCACTGTTCTGGCATCAACGGCCGATCTGTCCTTTTCTGTCTGATAAGGCGTATGAGACAACAGTATGTGTGATGCGGGTACCGGTATGGGAACTGAGCCGCGATAGAGGGGGGTTCTTGACAGAAAGAGCCATCCTAACCTCAAGAACCTCATGAACTCCATCCCTTAACCCCCTCCCCTCCCCCCAAAAAACAGAGGTCATTGAGCGGCAGTACGGCAAGTCGTGCGATGTGTGGTCGCTGGGGGTGATCCTGCACATCCTGCTGTGCGGCTGCCCGCCCTTCAGCGGCGCCTCGGATGCGGACATCATTAAGGCGGTCAAGAGCCAGGTGGGGGTGTTAAGAAAACTGGCCGCGAGTAGGAACGTACTGGGATGTCGGAGGTGGGTGTGTGTGTGGGGGGGGGGGAGATGGGGTGGGCCTCCTCCTCCTGCGCTCGGGCGTGCCGCGGTGAGTTACGACCATGCGTCCTCCTCCTCCGCCACCCCCCCCCCTACCGCATCCTTTTGGAACCCCCTAGGCGGGTCTTCCCCACGCGGCTCAGCCACCCCCCCCCGCCCCCCCCTCCATGCAGGCCCTGGACCTGTCGGAGCCCCCCTGGCCCTCCATCTCGCGCCCCGCTCGCCAGCTGGTGGGGCTCATGCTGGACAAGGACCCGGCGGAGAGGATACGGCTGGACCAGGTGGGGGGGGGGGATGGAGGTGGGAGAAGAATACCCAATGTGTTGAACCAGGCTGGACCAGGTGGGATGGGGTGGGGGTGTTTCTTACACACTACTGGTCGCGAGTGGGGTGGGGGATGCTGAGAAAAAAGTGGCCGCGAGTCGGAACGTGTGTATGAATGTGTGTGGTTGGGTTGCACGGGGCTGTGTATGCAGCAGCATACCACATTCGAAACACCGCCTGTGACCCGGGGACCGACCGCTGTCCCCCTCCTGCTCCCGAACTTCCCCCGCCACCCCTCCTTCCCCCCGCCACCCCCCTGTCGCCAGGTGCTGGCCCACCCCTGGCTGCGGCTGGACAGCAGCGCCCCGCAGCGACCCATTCCAAGTGAGGCCGCGGGGTGCGGGTCGGGTTCGGGGGGAGAGGGAAAGAAGCAGAAGACACCCCGAAGGTGCCGGGGAGGACCCAAACGCCACCCAGAACCCCTGCTGAATGCTCCCACCCCTCCGCTCATTCCTAATCACCCTATTCAAACTCATCCCGCATTCCCCTTCTCCCTCCCCCTTTCCTACCCCCCCCCCAATCCCCCCAATCCCCCCCAGGTGGTGTACGCGACCGCATCAGCCGCTTCCGCGCCTTCAACACCTTCAAGCGGGAGGCTCGCCGCATCCTGGCAGCTGCACTGCCGCCGGAGGAGGTGGCGGTGAGGGAGGGGGGTGGCGCAGGGGGTGGGTGGTGGGTGGGTGAAGAAACGCATCACTGGGGTGAAGGGGGGAGGGCATTCGTGCCATGCACGCCTCCCATGCACGCCTTTTACCTTTGCCTTCCGTTTACTGAACCTTTTCCCTCGGAAAACACACCCTCGCATGCCTGCCTGCCTCCTCACCCCCTCCCACCCAAACAGCCCAACCCCCACCCCAAACCCTCCAACATGTACGGCCCGATACAAATATCCCCCCCCACCCCACCCCAACCCCCAAACCCCCTCCCATTGGAATTTCTTTTTCCCCCCAAGGGTCTCAAGCTGTTGTTCGAGGAGCTGGATGCGGACCGAGACGGGCTGCTGTCGGTGACTGAGCTGCGGGACGGACTGGCGCGCAAGGGGGACGTGCTGAGGGGTGAGGGGGGGGAGGAGTGGTAGGAGGGGAGGGAGGGAGTTCAGGAGACGGCTGTCCACCACGTGTTTTTGCGCCACACTGACGAGCGGGTGGAGCGGGTTAGGGGGAGCGTGATGCTTGTGGAAACATGACAACATTCTTCCCCTCCCCTCCGCTCCCCTTCCTCCTGCAGGCGAGGAGGTGGCGGCGCTGCTGAAGGTGGCGGATATCAACGCGGACGGATTCATAGTGAGGAGGGGCGCGGGGGGGCATGGGGGGTACAGGGGAAGCAGCTAACTAACCGTATAATCTGGCGGGCGGTGGGGCTGCGAGAGGGGGCCAAGATGAGTCGGGTTGGCTCTTGGCAAGTCCTTGTCATACATGCTTTCTCTATCCATTTATCACCCACCATTTCACTCCCCTTTTAGTCACCCCCTCTATTCACCCCTCTTTCATTACCCCTCTCCTTCACCCCTATTTCGTACCCCTACCTGTAACCCCTCTTATGCTCCCCCTCCTCCTCCCCCCCTCCTCCTTCCCCCCTCCTCCTCCCCTCCTCCCCCCTCCCTCGCCTCAGGACTACTGCGAGTTCGTGGCCTCCACCTACACCCTCAGCAAGATGGTGCAGCAGGAGGTGCTGGCGAAGGCCTTTGCGCACTTTGACATCAACCGGGATGGCTTCATCAGCAGGTGGGAGGGGGGAGGTGCGGGGTGCAGCGGTGGCGGTGGTGGCGGCGGACATACACTGCGGAGGGGCAGCGGACGTACATACCGTAGCTCCAGTAAGGAGGAGAGGGTACTCGATGGCAGCGCTGCTGCTGTTGCCGGTACTTGAACGGACCGCGACTAGCCCAAAACCTGTGGCTTCCTACGGCTCGGTACGTGGTCTTTGACCCCTCCCCTCCACCTCCCCTCCTTCAAAACACCCAGGGACGAGCTCTCCCAGGCCCTCTCCCAGCTGCCCCCCTCCGCTGCCGGCGGCCCCAGTGTGGCGGCCCTGCTGGCGGAGGCGGACCTCAACCGGGACGGCAAGATTGACTACCGGGAGTTCTGCAACATGGTGCTGGCCTCGGGGGCGGGGGGCGGGGAGGGGGCGGGGGCGGGGACGGGGGCTGCGGGGAAGAATGTGGCGGGGAGTGGCGCGGGGGGTGCGGGGACGAGAGGCGCGGCGGAGTATGTGGGGGCGGTGACGGGGATAGGAAAGGCGGCAGCAGCGGCGGCGGCGGCGGGAAGAGGAGGTGGAGGGGGAGGAGGGGGAGGGGGAGGTGGGGCAGCAGCAGCGCAGCCGGCTAACCTGCCGGGGATGGTCCAAGAGTATCACACAACAGGTGCCAACGGGGGAAGAGGAGGAGGGGGAGGAGGAGGAGGGAGCCGGCTGGGCTCTGCGGGGAGTGGTGGAGGGCGGGTGGGGTCGAGCGGAAGTGGAGGGCGGATAGGGTCAATCGGCAGTGGCGGCCGAGTGGGGTCGAGCGGCAGTGGAGGGCGAGTTGGCTCCGCCGCCGGTAAGCTGCCAATCAGCAGCGGCAGCGGTGGTGGTGGCAGTGGCGGCGGCAACAGCGTCATGTCGGTGAATGCCATCAAGATTGCCGCCTCGGGAGGCGGTTTGTACGGCAGGGGTTCGACCGGGGAAGGCGGTGGGGGCAGTAAGGGCTGGGTGGTTGAGAAGGATTGGGAGGCGGCTGCTGGAATGAAGGGGGATGTGGCTGCGGGGGTTGAGTTGGTTGGTTTGGTGGGGCCGGGGGAGTTCCCGTTGGATAGCGATGATGAGGGGGTATTGTACGGCGGAGGGAGGGGGCGGGGGCGGTCGGGGGTTGCGAAGAATAGCAGCTACACGAGCATTGGAGGCGGGGGCGGGGTGTTGGGAGGGGGGCGGACAGCTGCTGCGAGGGGGCAATATGAATTGATGGTGGCTGGCGTGATATGAGGGTTGAGGTCGGGTATTGTGAGGTTTGGCGGTTGAGTTGGTTGAAATGCATGTTAGTACGGCGTTGTGAGATATGCCCCGTGCCCCGTACCGAGCAGGGGATGGTAGGACGTACGAATGTGTGAGCTCAGCACAGAAACCCGGTTACGTTGGCGGTTGGAGGTTAACCGCCAGTTCCTTAGGGTACCCTCCAGCAACGTACCCTCCAGCTTGGCATGATGGCTGCAAGGGGAAAATGCAAGGGAGGTTTGGTTATTGAATGCCATTGTGTAGCATATGTTGGTAGGAGGAGGCTGTGCTATTGCGATTGCACGCCAGGAATTGAGAGGGGCCGAATGCTGGTTATGTGTCGGAGGCAGTTGAGAACCGTGTATTCAGTTTGTGCTCGCGGTAAGTACGTACGATAATGTGACACATGTACGACACACACTTGTATAGGAGGCACGACACTTGCACGGCAAGAGCGCTTGTTACTTTCTTGGACGTGACTCGAGGACGTCAAGGCTGCGTGTGATGTGATGTCCCTGTGTCCTCTAGACGTTTGGTCCATGGATGGCATTTGGTTTGGTTAATAGCCAGATTGACGGGGGATTGTCTGTTAGCCGGCGGTTAGACGGTTTTAACTGGTAAGCAGGAGGAGTGCTCGTTTGCGTCCGCATAGGAGGCATCTTAAAACCGACGTCTCAATCGGGTTTAGTTCTGATTATGATAGGTCCAGTATTGTCGTACTTTGCTGTGTACGACTGTTATTGTGGTATCCACGTTTGACATAGCATGCGTCTTTTAACCGTCAGCCGCCATGTGTACGGCACACCATTACACTGTGTGTTTCCGTGGAATGAACAAATTCACGGATTTGCCCTCAACCCGAACCGAATCCCAATTAGAGCAGGGTCGTGGGGGGAGGAGAGGGACATCTGCGCGCCATGCATGTGTCGTTTTAATTCCCCTTGGTTGGGCAGAGTCTTGTGATGCATTGGCTGGATGCGACTATCTTCTCTGGGTTTATTTTCCTGGCATGTATGCCGTACCCGCGCTTTCTTTCCGTACATACGTATACAACTCACTCGCCTACCCAGTAGCAAGTTTCATGTTTGGACGTCACCTTCCGGACACATGTGTGCATCCGGGTGACTTTGAGCGATTGGACTGGATTATATGGATGGATTGTGGATTGGATGCGAGGGCGTGTGTGATAATCGTCCTGGCGAATTGCGCTGCTTTATGCGAACATGCGGGGCTTTGTCAAATTGCCCCTGAACACCCCATAGCCGAGCTTTGGGCAAGTGTGTGCGCGCCGGGCATGTGAATCTGACCCCGGCCTTCTTCTCCCTTGTCACCAGTCGCTGTCGTACGTGTGTTCAGATGATGCGAGCAGACAAGGTGTTTAATGGCATTGACCGCGGTAGGGTGTAGGGCCTGCCGTGCGACAGACGGGCTCCTTTTGGACTGATTTGTACGGCATCCAGTGCGCGGCAGCACTGGAGAACAGCAGCTCCCGACCATACGGATGGGGTAATGTCGGTAGCGCGTTGCCGCTATTGCTGTGGCTGCTGTCGACGCTTGAGGTTGCTCAAGTTACCGGTATGCATAGTTCCTTGGAGTAAAAGGTACTCTTATTGCTTAGGAAGTGCACATTATGGGGCATGAGTCGTAATAAGTACTGCTAATATCCGTTACCGTTAGTTTGACGCGCATGTGCACGCTGGGTTCAGTTGCGCCTGAATCCTCTGAATGCACGCCATGGGCAGTGTGGTCCTAGTTGTGTGGCTTGCCCTGCGTGTGGCCGCGGCTCCAGAGTCCAAGCGGACTTGGGCAAGGCATGCTGGCGGAACGTACGTTTAATGAGAGGCTGAAGTGCCTTGGGGGAGCTGTACTTCGTCTGATGCCCCTTATCAGGGCAGTCACTCAATCTTGGATGAAAGTGGGGGGGTGAGGGAGAGACAATGCCTCTCAGATGTGTTGGACTGCAAGGCCCGTGAGATGACCCTTGTAAACCCTTGTTCCACAGTGTTGCAGAAACGGCCGTTGGTAGCAGCACCGCTGAAGCAGCTCTAGATAGCGATAGGCACTGCCAGGGATTCCGGGTCTGCGTATTAGGTCTGCTGAGACGCAGGGGATTGGCACCCGGTTCCGGTGGCGTGTGTGAAGTGCGTGTGCAGGAGGTGCCAGGATGATGTCATTAGCAGCTGCACAATCGGGGCATGCATGCATGCAGGGAAGACACAACCGGTATCAGTTACAAGGATAGCTAGGGTGCCTGGAAGCCGAGAACATGTTAGCAGCTGCGCTTCACCGCATCGGCCCACTAAGCTCGCCCACCAAGTCTCCTTAACCCTCATTGCCCCACTACCGTAGCCGGGTAGTAGTAGTTTGCTAGTGGCGCCACACTGCGACCCCTGCTACCCCTGAGCGGCTCCCCTTGTTGAGTTGTTGTTGCTCATCAGGCTGCGGGCTCCTCCGCGGGCTGATGACGCGCGGCTGCCTCCCTGCATGTGCAGCGGCGCCACGGCAGCAGCACGTGATGGGGGACATCCGCAAGCAAGGGAGTCAAGAAGGGGGCTTCCCGGAGGGCTGGAGCCCAGTGGCCTTCTTCAAATATTGGGATCCCCGAGCCACGACACTAGCCACCACAATGCATACGGATACGGAAGTCATATGGATGGCACGACAGGAATGAGTATTGCTGCCCTTTTCCACATGAGTCTGAAAGAGGCTGCATCCCAAACCCAACGGAGAGGGGCTTTCCAGCTAGGGGCTGCTTTGCTAGGCACTCATCCCTGCTTTCCCTGTGCACATGCCGGTGCATCCAAGATCGTGCTGACTGTCAACGTTCCACACCCACCTTTCAGCCTTGGCAGCAGCAGCCGCTGCCCGTGCCGCCTCGCGCGCCGCCTTAGCCTCAATCTTGGCAAGCTGGATGCCGTACGATGGATCCAAATACGGATCCAAAAACCCGCTCACTTCTTCCTCCTCAGCAGCCGCCTGCAGCGCACGAGCCACTCGCAACAACACCTCCTTGCCGCTCCCAACACTCCCCAGGCCGTCACCGCCGCCCGTGCGTTCCGGAACTCCCTCCGACATCGCCCGCTCTAGCGATGCATCCGCCAGGGCAGCGGTTATGACAGGCATGACCCGCTGTAGCAGGTAGCGCCGTACCGCCTCGCCGCGACCGCTGCGGAGGCGGTAGTTGTACGACGCCTCGGCGCCGTCGGTAACCGCCTGTGCTGCCGCGAGTTCAGCGGCGGCGGCGGCCTCACTGTCGCGCTGCGCCTGGGCTTCCGCCCGCGCTGCCTCCGCCGCCGCCTCAAGGGCAGCGCCGGTTTGCGATAGGCGTTGCACGGGAGGCGGAAAGCCGTCAAAGTTGTGCGGCCCGCCGAGAAACACCTCCACTTGCCACTCCAGGGATGGTAGCGGCGGCGGGGCGGGAGGTGCAGTTGTTGCTGCTTCACGTACGGCGGCGGCGACGGAGCCTGGAGGCGGTACGGCAGGCGTCGCTGCCGCCGCTGCCGCGGCGGCGGCACTTGCACCCGCCGTCGTCGCCGGGGCAGCAGGCTGAAAAGCCGACGGCGGCGGTTGTACGTTGACGGTTATCAGCGGCCCATCTTCAACAGTCGGGTTGGGGATCTTCACGTGACTGGCTCCAGTATCCAGGCAAAGCGCGACCAACCCGCCGTACTGAGGTAACGGTGGTTTCGGAACTTCCACCGCCTCGGCAGCAGCCCCTCCGTTGAGCTCCGAAACCGTGCCCTCCTGCACAGCGCCCTCATCACCCGTAGCGATAACGGTAGCCGTACCAGCTGCCGTACCTCCTCCCTCTCCCACCGCCGTTCCCGCCGCCGCTGCCGCAGCAGCAGCCGCTGCTGCTTCCTCTCGAGCCCGTCGCCTCTTTGCTTTAAGCGTGCTCGCCTCCGCAGCCGCCCTCGCCGCCTCCGCCGCCAACCGAGCCTGCTCCGCGTCCCATGCGGCCTGTGCTGCTGCCGTACGCGCGCGCAGGTCCGCCGCATCTTCATTGCGCCAGGTTTGGAAGGCCGTCATGCGCCGCGTGAAGCCCGCTTCGTTGTTGTGGCCCAGCGCTGCAGCCACAGCCAGGTCCTTGGCGTTGCTGACGGGAGCTTTGCCCCCGGGGCCGCGCTTGGGTCCCGCGGCGGCGGGCTTCTTCTCAAATGTGCCGCTGGGCTCAGACAGGGTGCTGGGCTCACCTGGGGGTGGGGGAATGGCGTGGGAGGGGGGCGGGGAAGGGTGTGAGGTTTGCGTGGGAATGTGAGGAGAAAAGAGACGCGAGGGGCAAAGCAAGGATTTGCGTCATTGCGAGTTATGGATTGCGGGGTAGACGAGCCGCGAGACCGCCACCCTAGTACAGCCGCATCCCTTCCCGAACGCCGCTAGCTCCCTTCCCCAGTCCTCACCCACAACCCACTCCTCCTACCCGTCAGCCGCGACGCCACCTCATCCGCTGCCGCCGCAATGGCCGCCATCCGCGCCCGCAGCTGCTCCTCCCCCACATCCAGCTCCAACACATGGGTGGGCGCGGTGAGCGGGTTGGGCACCAGCCGCATGCCCACCGGCACCTCGAAGGTGTCAGCCACGCCGCAGGGGTTGCTGGGGGTGGCGGGAGCGGCTTGTTGTCCGCGGGAGGCGCCGCCGCGGGTCTTGGGCTGTGTGTGTGGGGTGTGTGTGTGGGGGGGGGGGGGGGGTTGGACGCAGTGTTGTGGGGATGCAGCACAGCGTGTTGTAGTGTTATGGCAAGGGGAGGGGAGAGGACACGGGTGGCTAGTTGGAAGCAGCTATCCAGCAATCCAGTTATCCAAAGCAAGCACATTTGCTACATAGACACACATATGCTTTTTTGTTTCCATTCTACACCCCACCCAGCTTGCAACTCGCAACCCACATGTACTTGCTGTGCGGCCGCCGCCGCCGCCGCTTCCGCCGCCGCAATGGCCGCCTCGTCCCGCTCCAGCACGTAAAATGCCGCCTTGGCTTGCGCCGCACTGCGCGGGAAGCCATCCAGCACGAACCCGCGGCAGCGCGCGGCGGCCCTGGGATCCGCCATCGCTGCTGCCAGCAGCGCCCCCAGCGTCTTCGCCGAAACCCTGCCGTTCCCCGCCCATCCCGTGTTGCCGCCATCTCGATCCCGTTCCCGCTCACGCTCCCTCTCCGCCCTACCGCCCGCAGCACCGCCCGTGCCCGTGACGGGCGTCGCTACCTCCGTCATTGCCGTACGGATTAGTGCCGTATCGGTGACGGGGCTCAGCCCAACCGCCGCGGCCAGGGCGGGATCAGCCGCCGCCGCCAGCAGCAGCGGCGTGTTGAGGTACACCAGCCCGTACTGCTGCGCCAGGCGCCGTGCGAGGTGGGTTTTGCCGCTAAGGGGGGGACCCGTGACGAGGAGGCGGAGCGGTGTCAGACGGCGCGCGGTGGTGAACTCGGTCGCCACGGCTGCCGCTTGCATCGTGAGGCCGCCGGGGCGGGAGAGGGTGAAGGACGGCAGGGGCGGAGGCAGGGGGGTGGTGGCGAGGCTGAGGTCGAGCAGCATGCGGGTGCGCAGGGGGGCGGGGTGGCGGTGCAGCTCGGTCTCCGGGACGAACCTGGGGGAGGGAGGGGAAGAGGAGGGATGGATAAAGAGGAAACATCTAACGGACCGTGTGATAAGGCATCATCATGGTTTGCAACATGTGAGCCAGCCCGACCCGCCCAGCCCGAATTAGCCAAGCCCGAATTAGGAGGGAGGGAGGAGGGTGACGCCTGCCCAAGCACGGAGACTGCTTGGTATCGCACACAGCACCCGAGTTTCAACCCTCGGCGGTGTTAGTCCGTGGCTCATTACCCCAGCCGCTGCACACAGCACCCCCCCTCCTCTTGCTTCCGCTCAACTACACACAGCAACACTCACTCGATAACGTCCTCCCCCGGCCCCAGCCCCAGCGCCGCCGCGATGGTGTTTGCCAGCTCCAGCTGACTCACGCGGCTGCCGTCCGTCACCAGGAAGTAGCCGCCGCTGGGGGGCAGCAGCACCACTGGCGGAGGCGGCGGAGCTGCTGCTGCTGCGGCCGCAGCTGCTGCGGTAGCTGCTGCCGCTGCTGCCGCCAGTGCTGCTGCAGCTGCGGCACCACCTGCTGTAGAAGGCGCCGAGGAGGAGGGCTGCGGTGCGGGGGGCGGCACTGCAGGCGCCGCCGCTGCTGTGGCAGCAGCTGCTGCGACAGCTGGGGTAACAGGGCGTGTGGTGGCTGCTGACGCCGGCGCCGTACTGCTGCTACCCGCACCCGCACCGGCACCACCCCCAGCCCCGGTTGCAGCGCTGGGTGCGAGGCCCGACAGCGCGATGACGTAGGCAGCCAGGTCAGCCACGTGCAGCGTGGGTAGGATGTTCGTACCCCTGCCGTACACAAAGATTTTAGGCCTGGAGGGGTTGGAGGAGGAGGAGGAGGCGGGTCGGGGTCCGGTGGCGGCTAAGGGAGTGGCTGGCGCCGGCTGGCCCGGGGTGGATACTGCGCCTGCACCTGCTGCGGCGGCGCCGGGCGTGGCAACAGCGGAAGAGGTTGGTGTTTGCTGGGCTGCTGCAGACGGATCGCGTTGTTGGGATGCAGAGGGGGTGGAGCCGGGGACGGGCGAGGGTGCTGGTGGTGTGGGAGGGGCTTGGGAGAGGGGCGTGGTGGGGACGGCGGGTGGCGGAGTTGCGGGTGGTGGGGTGGCGGAGGCGCCGGGGGTGCCGGGCGTGAGACCGGGGGTGCCGGGGGCTGGCGCAGCGGCGGGAAGGGCGGCTGCGGAGGCTGCTGAGAGCGCGGCGGGCCCGGGGGCGGGTCGGCACTGGAGGGTCCAAGCGGTCTGCGGTAGGGGTGGGTGGATGGAGGGCCGGGCGGCAGGAGGAATTCGGCTTCATTAGGGAATGGGAACGCTCATTCTTCATCTTCCCCACGTCCCTCGCCTCACCCCACATCCACACCGTAACCTCAACCGCAACCCACAACCCCACTCCCTGCCCTCCCCTCTCCCTCCTCCCTCTCCACCCTCCTCCCTACCTTGAACGCTCCAAAGAACGTCAGGTCGTCCTCCCCCTCGCCGTACAGCAGCCCCGGACACACCACCGCCGTACGCAGCCGCCCCCGCCGACCCGCCCGCAGCACCACCTGCTCCACCGCCAGCGCCGCACGAGCCGCCACCGCAGGCGTCCGCCGCGTCACGTCCTCCGGCGCGCTGAAGGTAGGCGCCACGTAGGGCGGCGACAGCAGCCTGCCGCCCTCACTGCCGCCGGTGGCAGAGGAGTTGGGTCGCTCACCCTGCAGGCCCAGGAGGCTGCTGCCGCCACCGTCTGCGGATCCCGTGCCTGAGCCGCCGCCGCCGCCGGCCCCGCCGCCGCTGCGACCGGGGACCGTCCCTCGGGCCAGCCAGGAGGCGTCCTCCTCCCCACCGGCGCCACCGCCAGCAGCGGCGCCGCCACCCGCGTCAGTCGCTGCTGGTGCTGCTGCCGAGTCGTCCAGGCCGTCCACGGTGTCGGCAGCGGCGGCGGCAGCGGCGTCCGGTGCGCCCCACTCGCCTAGCGACGCCACTGGGTTGGGTCGGGTGGCTGCCCACACCAGCGGGCTTGACACCGCCACGAACAGCACCTCCCGCCCGCCGTACTGCAGCATAGAGGGGATTAGGGTGGGAAAGGAGAGTCAGCAGCAGGGCAGGAGCAGGGGAGAGCAAGAAGGGCACAGCAACTCCGGTGAGGAGCTTGATTCAACGTGGATACCGGTAGCTGCAGCAGCAGCTAGGGCTGCCAGATGACGGCAGTAGCAGCAGCAGCCAGGCTGTGGAGTCTACAGAGCTAGAGCCGCCACCGTTACACCACTTCTCACATGCACCACACCGGTCCCGGCACCTCCTTACCGGCTGCTGCGCCAGCTGTACGACAGCATCCCGGGTGGCCTGTTCGTTTCCCAGCAGGTCGTACACCACCACATCGGCGGTCAGCAGCAGCTGCTTGTGCGCGGAGGCGGCACCGCTGTCGCCCACCTGGAGGGGGGGTGGGGTGGGGGGAGGAGGAATGCCGGGAGGTGAAGTGAGGAAAGAGGAGGAGGATGGACTAACCGTGTGACAAGGCTCCAATTACGGAGGTGGGGTTTGAGGGTAAGGTGGGGTGGTAATGGAGTACAGGCGGACGTGGAGTACTGTGGCGCTGCAGGGTGGGCTAGGGGCTGAGGGGAGGAGACGCAGGGGGTCTAGCGGGTTTGCAAGCACTTCCCGTTGGTTGGGTTCCAACCAAAGGGCTCAGCTTAGGCTGTCATGTATGCCTGGAGCGGAGCTGGTGTGCGGCTTATGGCCCCAACCCTGCAGGGGTACAAAAGGAGGGGCCGACAGATGGCTAAAGGCCCGACTTACTTCATAGTATGTCTCCACGCACTCCGGGACGTCGCTAGAGCCCACTGCAAGACCTGTTACTGAGTGACCCGCGGCCTGCATGTTGTGAGCCGAGCATGAAGCAACTCTAGCAGCATTCTTGCCATAGACTTAAGTCGCTTGTAAGGACATGAGGTTCTGTTACTTACCCCGAAGGCCTTTGCAACTGCTCTTCCCACATAGCTATTGCATGGGTAGACAAAAATGTTCTTCGACATATTTGCAAGCTTTATCGCTCCAAGTTGGCACAGGACAAGCTATAATACATCCTCATTATGTGTATATTAGGTAAAATCACATGCTAGCATAACTATGTACCTTTGAAATCGCGCAAAGGGTAGAAATCATACGCATGTTTCTTGGCTTACATCGCTTTAGTATGAGAAGCCACGTGCATATCTAGTGGGCTTGTCAAAGGATGTACCAAGAAACTGATACGACGCCCTATACGGCAGGCAAGCGAGCGAGCAAACATTGGTGCGTTCTACCTCAGTCGCTTCCCAGGCAGCCGTGCAGGAGTACTATTTTATGATCTGTAAAATGAGCATTATAAGGATAGTGTGTACATAGCCAGTGACAGTTACACCAGCCATCCTGCTTGCAAGCTCCCCGAGTGCTGCTCTCCATGGCAGACGGGGACTTTAGGTACATTGATGCCAGGTCAAAACAATTTGCGAACGGCGATGCCTACACCGGAACGTGGGGGCCGAATAACTTGGTGCGTCCATCTGGTCTGCCACCCTACTGCATTGTGATTGTCGACGATAAATGCACACTGTACGTATCTTACCTCTTCTTATACATATCTGCATGTGGCACTACCCCGAAGCGTCAAGTGTTGAAGCTGTTAAGCTTGCAGCAGTCGGTCGCTTTCAACTTCCCTCCCTAAAAATGGACGCAATCATTGTTCATAGCAGCTGCCTTCATTTCCTTGCAAATGCGCGACAACACACCCCTTGCCTTTTGGGTGTCGGCAATGGACATGTGCATGTCGGCTACGGCGCTTGTTTCACGACGTCCCACCCTCCCTTCTGTGCTGCCCAAACGCGTTTCCATCTCCCAGCCCGATGGTGAGGGCAAATATACATGGCAGGATGGCAGCGTGTACGAGGGAAGCTGGAAGGTAGGTGCCATGGCTCACCTCGCTTGCTTACCTCTTAGCGACTTGCCCGCTAGGTATGCGCTGGATGTACGGCACTCCTGCGCTTGTCTGTTAGTGACTATGCCAACCACATTGCATCATAGGCCTCCATTCAGTTAGGCGAAGCAGGCAAGCACTGCAACATGCACCTTCCCCTCCCCGCGCGGGATTTCTCCTCTGCCCATGTCATGGCACTTCTTTTCCTGTGTCCCCACCAGGCAGGTTGCAAGCATGGCATCGGCAAGCACACATGGGTCAGCGGCGCAACGTACAATGGTGGGTACAATAATGCGTGTACTGAAGAGAAACCTAGGAAACGGGCGGTAGGGCCTTTCCTCCTTCCTGGCCCGTACCCATCGTTATTCCCCGCCTCCCCCCCCCCCCACTCCCCCGGAATACCTGTCGTTATTGCGCTCACTGCGCGTAAGTCGGGCCATGGTGTTGGGACTCCAGTGCTCCACGTTCCTACTTAAGTACTTTCCTCTTCCCTTCCAACACGGCAGTCGAGTGCCGCGACGGCTGCGTGTGCTTCTGATCCCCGCTGCCGCCACCGTTACCAGCTTGCCACCCTCCCCATCCACCTGCCCTCCCCTTCCCACACGGCAGGCGAATGGCGTGACGGCTGCATGCACGGAGTGGGTACCTGGGAGTCGGCGGACGGGCAGTGCCGCTACCAGGGCGGGTGGCACCGGGATGTACGACACGGACTGGGGCGGCAGGTGTACGGCAGCGGGGACGTGTACGAGGGGTGAGTACCGTAGCGAGACGGTGTACGGCAAGCTGACAGCCGAGAGGCAGTGTCGCACCCTTGCCCCTCCCAGCAACTTGCAGGCATCATCATCATGATCATCACCTCCCCGCCTGGCCCTTCCTCAATGACTTCTTCCCGCATTGATCTACCCACATTGGCCTTTCCCACATTGACCTTCCCTGCTGACCTCCTTCCTCGTACCGACCTCCCTGCTCACCTCACCTGCCAGGCTATGGCGCCTGAACCTGCCTCACGGGCCGGGCCGCTACGTGCATGCGGACGGCAACGAGTACGACGGCGAGTGGCGGTCCGGTCGCATGCATGGGCAGGGGACCTTTGTGTGGAGCCAGGGGGAGCGCTATGATGGGGAGTGGAAGGTAGGCGGGGGTGGAGGTAGGGTGGGGGAGCAGGGAATGGGCCACGCCCTTCTGTCCACATCCTGGAAGTTCTGCGCCATGATTTCCCCACAGGCCACCACCACCCTTCCCTTTACCTCCGTACTGCCTTTGTTGTGCCCTCCCGCACCTCGCCACACTCAACCCTCCAGCCGTCTTCCACCTCTCTTTCCCTATGACCCTAAAACCTTCCCAATCTTTTCTCCTCCCCAGGACGGTCGCATGCATGGTCCCGGCCTCTTCACCGCTGCAGACGGCTCCACCTACGAGGGACGCTGGCGCCGCGGACGGAAACACGGCCTTGGCGTCTTCCGCCCCTCCGCCGGCCCCGCACGGCTGGCGTCATCTGACGTCATCGACGGCGGCGCATTCGTGACGGCCGCCGCCGCCTCCATCTGCTCCTCACGACTGGCGGACAGCCACAGTCCCATCCTTCTAGGAGGCGGAGGCGGAGGCTACAGCAGGCTGTACGGCAACGGCGTTGGTGGTACGGCAGCGTCGCCATTCGCCTCCGTCAACGGTGCGGCGGCGGCCGCCGCTGCCGTCTGCAGCAGTAGCAGCAGGAGCCTGCTATCATCCGCGCCATCACCCTCCGGGCCCATGACCTTTCCCTCGCTGCCCCCCTCCGTACCTGAAAGCCCCAGGGAGCTGACGTCAACGGCAGCGGCGGCAGCGGCTGCTGCCGTACCGCCGCCGCCTCCGCCGCTGTTGCTGCCGCAGACCTCGGGTGTCTCCGGCTGCTCCTCGAGACTTACAGACACGCCTAGTCCTATCGGCGCGGGCGGCGGCGGCGGGGGTACCTTCACCCCCAGCCCGAATGCCTCCTCCATCACTCCTAGCATGGGAGCGGGGGGAGTCGGCGCGGGCGGAGGAGCAGGCGGAGGAGCAGGAGGTCCCATGATGGGTTGGGTTTCCTCCCCTGGGCTTCATCAACCTGGTCTCAGTCATCCGGGTGTCACCATGTCGGCACCTCAGCACTCCGAATACCCCCCCTCGGGGTTCACATGGCCCGAGGTTCCGTCATTCACCGCCCCTGCGCGCTCGGGAGGTGCGGGCAACGTCACCAGCGGCGGCGGCGGCACTGGTGGCGGCGGCAGTAGCAGGATGGTGTATGTACGGATGTACGACAAGGGTCGCCTGGTACGGGAGACGGCTCTGCGGGCAGATGTGCTGGATTGGCTGCTGCCGGCGGGCCCGGCGGAACGGCGCGGGGGCAGGTGGGGTGGGCACGTGTATAATGGAAACTGGCCGCGAGTACCGGTAAGGACGTAGTGGATTGTCAAAAGATGATGTCCCCACCAAAACGCCACGGGTTAGGGGTTTAAGGTTTAGGGGTACCGATAAGCAGTATTGGACTACAGAGATGTAATGTGCCGGTGCCGTATGTCCCTGCAGGGACGAGCGCGGGGGGGCTACCGGCGGGCTGCTGCGGCTGCTGCGCGGCGGCGCACTGGGTATGAGTTCCCGCAGCGGCGGCGTGCAGGGCCCCCGACCCATGGGTCACACCGTCACTCGGGCACACCAGTCATACGGCCTCATGGTGGCGCTGCAGCTGGGGATCAGGTGCGAGGTGTGGGGGGGGCGGGAGGGAGGGAGCGGGAGTGGGTGTGATGAAAGCGGGATGGGAGGGTGGGAGGGAGGGAGGGAGGGAGGGAGATAGGGTGGGGTTTGTGGCCAGGAGTGGAGTTCCTGGTCGCACTCGCTCATCCTGTCGGTGCCACTATCCTAATGCTCCAACCCCCTATTTATCTCCTCCGTACCGCAACCTCCTGCCGTACCCAGGTATAGTGTGGGCCGCATCAGTCACGAGCCGCTGCCCCGGGGCGGCACCCTGGAGGAGTACTCGCTGCGGGTGAGCAGGGGGGGAGGGGGAGGGAGGGGTGGAGAAGGAAAGGGGAGGGGCATAGAGGTAATGAGTAGTTAAGGGGAAGGGAAGGGCACCCTAAAACCCTATAAACCACGAACCCTAAAATTTCCAGCCAAATGCGGAGCCCCCAACCTCTATTAAACCCCCTCATCCCCCCCCCGCTCCCCCCCAGGTTCAGCAGGAGTTCCCCCGCTGCGGCAGTGAGATGACTCCCGTACACCCGGTGGAGGACTTCACGTGGAGCGACTACGCGCCGCTCACCTTCAGGAGGTGGGGGGGAGGGAGGGGGGGAGGGAGGGGGAGGTTGCATGCGGTAGGATGTGCGGGGGAAGGAGAGGAAGGGAGAGGGAGGCAGGCTCTGGAGGGGTAAGGTTTAGAATGAGGGTTTGCGGGGGTGCCAGCCAGGCTGGTGCGATGGGCTGAAAGGCACTTCCAAGGCTGGTCGGGAAACCACACAACCATGGTTGTTCATCCCCTTTTCGTCTTTTCTCTCTTCTCCCGCCTTCCCTCCCTTCCTCCTCCCCCTGGTGAAATCTTGTTACACAGCTCGTTAGTTGCCTCGTCAGTTACCTTTTTTTCTCCCCCCCCCCCAGGCTGCGTGAGAGTTTCGGAGTGGACGCCAGCAGCTACATGCTGTCGCTGTGCTCAGACCAGTGCCTGCGCCACCTGCCCTCGCCCGGCAAGAGCGGCAGCGTGTTCTTCCTGTCGCAGGCAGGGCCGCTGGGGGAGGGGGGGCTGAAGGGGGGGTTGCATTGTGTTGCTACTCACTAGGACATGGAAATGAACAAATGGTGACCTCGTCCGTTGATGTCCTCGTGGATGCCTTCGTCTTGTGCTTTCCCTGCATCCCATGCAACTCGCCAACCCCTGCTGCTACTGTCACGGAAACCCCTTTGAACCCTGTCCGATTCCTCCCGCCGGGGTCGCAACAGGACGAGCGTTTCTTCATCAAGACCATGTCGCGTGCCGAGATGCGGGTGCTGCTGGCGTTACTGCCCACCTACCACCACCACGTGGCTCGGCACCCGCACACGCTGCTGTGTCGCTTCCTGGGGCTGCATTGCGTCACCACGCCGGGGGGGAAGAAGGTGGGGGGAGGGGGGTGGGAGGGCGGGGAAGGGGTTTCACACGGTGTATGCGTGGCACGCCGCACACGGAAGGTTCGAATTCCTTTTTTCCCCCTCTTCATGTTTCCGAATACCAACCACCCCCAACTTCCCGCTTCAATTTCATCGCAACCACCACCACCTCCCAGTACCGGTTCGTCGTGATGATTAATATCCTCCGTACTCCGCTGCCGCTACACCGAAAGTACGATCTAAAGGGATCCACGCTGGGTCGTACGGCATTGGGAGGTAGGGGTAGCGGTACGGCAAGCCGCAGCACTACGCCGCCCAGAAATGGCGACAGTACGGCAAACGGTGGTACGGCAGGCGATGGTGGTACGACGGCCGTGACGGACGATCCTTCCATCATCCTCAAGGACTTGGATCTGGATTTGACGTTCAGGTGGGTTCAAAAACGGGAAGCGGGGGTTCAAGATCAAGCAGTCGGACACGGCTGCTTGCACCTGCAGCCCCCTCACGCATCCGGTCCCCTGTCTAGCGGTTACGTTCCCCTCCCCCTTCCCCAGTGCCTTCCCTCCCTATTGCCTTGCCCTAACTTGCCCTGCCCTGCCATGTCCTTGTACTTTCCTTCAATAGCACGGTATGTGATCCCCTTCCTTCATGTCCAGCTTTCCATGCCTCCCTTGTTTACCGGTAGTAATGTGGCCGTAGCGCCTAACCCTTCCTTCCTTCCCCCCTGCTACCTTCACTTTTACCCTCCTACCCTCCTCTCTAAAACGTCCAAATGCCGTACAACCAGGCTGGAGGAGGGCTGGCGGGATCGGCTGCTGTTCCAGCTTCGTTCCGACTGCGGGTTGTTGGCGGGGGTGGGCGTAATGGACTACTCGTTGCTGGTGGGGATACACTTCAGGAGCAGGGGGGCAGCAGGGGCAGGAGCGGGGGGAGCAGGAGAAGGAGGAGGAGCAGGAGGAGGGGGAGGGACAGCGGCCGCGGGTGCGGTGGGAGAGGCGACCAGAGGCCCAGAGGGGGGAGTGGGAGGAGCAGTGGGAGCAGGCGGCAATCAGCAGCAGTTGAACCCCAGTCAGCAACAGCAACACCCGCACTGGTATAGCAATTACAGCCACTTTCATGGAAATAGTAATAATAACAACAACGGCAGCAGCAGCAACGACCACAACCAAAATAACAACCGTGACGCCTCCGGCACCAACCACCACTCCAACAACCACTCGCAACGGCCAAGCGACAAAAGCGAGGCGAGGGAGCTTGCGAGCCAGTGAGTACCTAGGGGACAGCCACACGCGCTGGACGTGGTTGGTTCGTTTGTTGGGTCCGTTGCTGTTGCTCACCTTCTTTCATGATCGCCTTCTGCTGGACTTACCTCTCTCTCCTCGTGTGCTTTTGCCATGCGTGTACCGGTATCCCCTATATCCCCATCCCCTCCCACATCTTCCTCACTACCATCCTACCCCAACCCGCCCTCGCAACCCCCCCCCAATTCCTGATTCCCCCCGCAGGCTATCCCGCATGGAGGAGCGGCTGCAGCGGTTGCGGCTGGGGGCGGCAGCGGCGGGGGACCTTCGGGAGCTCGCCAAGATGAGGTGTGCGTGCGTGTGTTAAGTAAACTGGTTGCGAGTTGAAACATACTGTGATTGCTTGAATTGTGTGTTAAGAAACTGGCCTCGAGTAGGAACGTTCTGTGATTGCCGGAAGATGAAAAAAACGCCACAGGAGGAAGGGAGGGAGGGAGGGAAGGATGTGTGCATCAATCACTGGGCCGCGTAGCCATGCCGGCCATAGCTGTCGTGGAGGGGTGTGTAGGGGTGTTTCGTGTCTGTAGGGCGAGCAGGGCAGGTACCACCAATCCGGTGCTCCTACCACCCCTTACAGCCACCCTTACAGCCCCCTCACCTGCCCTAGCCCGGCGCCTGGCCCCCTCACAAGATTAAGTGTTGCAGGTCTTTATCGTCCGGCCCTCTCACTTCCTTATTCCCCCTCTCCCTACTCGTTCGGAACACCCCTGCCACTCCAGGTTGTTACCCTCCGTGACCCGCGGGGGACGCAGCACCCCCCAGCAGGCCGCCGGGTCCCCAACGGCTGCAGCAGCAGCACCTGCACCTGCAGCACCTGCGGCACCTGCAGCACCTGCAGCAGTGAATCGGCCATTGGAAAGGCGCTCTGCTTCCGTTGAGATGTCGGTTAATGATGAGCTGGCGCTTAGCATGGGCGCGAGCCATGTGCAGTTGGGAGTTAACATGGCGGCAACCGCCATACACAGGGTAGGGAGGGTTGGGTAGCCCTGACCCAATTCCTGCTCCGATTCCTGATGCAATGTGGTAGTCATGCTTCTCTGCAGCTCTCTGTTCCTCCGGCCCACATGCACGTACTGCCCCCTCCCCATCCCCCTCAACACCTCTCCTCATTACCTCCCATCCCCCACCTCCCTCCCAGGACGGTCGTGAAGAGCAGGCGGTGCTGTGGTTCGCCCTCATCGACATCCTGCAGCCCTACAACGCGGCAAAGAGGATAGGTACTGATGGGGGGAATGTGCAACGGCTCGATTGGGGCTATGAGTGAGAGCCTTTGGCATGCTACCAGTATGCAAGAAGGCGGTTGCCGTGTGTATGAGGGTATGCAACAACTGGCATTGCCCATCCGGCCTATCACGTCACATGTTCTTTGTGTGTCTAACCCACCACCACCTGCCACCACCGCCGAGGTCCTGCTGCAATCCCGGCGATTCACCTGCCCAACTCAGTTTACCTACCAACCCCGCCGTACACCCCCCTGGACGCTGTACTCCCCCCCACCCCCACCCCCCTCCTCTGTCAGAGCATGGTCTGAAGTCGGTGGTGCACTCGCCGAGCGCCATCTCAGTCACCCACCCAGCTGCCTACGCAGCGCGTTTTCAGGGCTTTCTGAAGGACGTCTTCTGCGAGTGATTAATCAGGAATGGAAAAGAAAGGGGTGGGGTGGGGTGGGGTGCTGGTGGGGTAGAGTAATGAGGGGGCGCGCGGAGGAGGAGGAAATGGAGGGTTAGTGAGGGAGAGGGAGGGCGGTGGTGGAACAGCGGTGCAATGCAGACACGATTGTGAGGCCTGCGTGCATGCGTGGGCTAGGGTGTATGGCGCGTGGCATGTTTATTTTCTTCGCTGCTGTTTGTTTCTTTGGTACTGTCGCTTTGTGTGCATAAGAAAGAACGCATGAGAGGGGTCTCGCCGAGTGCCGTCCTCTGTGGTTTCATTCGCGGGTAGTTCAGGGAGGAGGTGTGTGCGTGGAGGGGTTGGTGTGTCTGGCGTGTATCCACGTCGTTTGGCAACCTGGTGCGGAGGTTTCATGCAGAGGAGCCATGTGGCGGCTTCCTGCTGCGGCCTGGAAGCCTTCGTACCCTCTGGCGAGACCGCGTGTGCTGGTGTTGTGGCCAGCAGGGATGAGAGCCGCCTTGTGACGGGGTTACCGGTATCATTTCTGGCGCCGTTTCCATTCATATCAAAACATCAATCAGCGCAGGAGGTCTTGTTAACGCTGCATGGATGATGGCCCGGGGTTAATAAGTCAAGCCCGTTCCGAAGATGTGTGTGGGGGGGTTCAGGGGATGGCGGTGGTGGTGGTAGTGGTGGAGCCACATGCAAAGGGCTGGCGATGTGGCCGCTTTGCTCACATGCATGGATGTTTGCCCATGCCTCTACCGGGAAGCATCACAAAGGGTCAAGACATCGTCTGTGTTACTGTGTGCATCGTCGTATTTGCCGTAACGTTCTTGCCGTACCGTTCTTGCGCGCGGTAGTAGGGCCCTTGTGTACGGCCCTTGTGCGGCAAGTGTGTATTTTTACATACGGGCTGTATTGCTAGTGTACGTAGGTTGAACCGCGCCCCTGGGTAAACAATGGGTGGATGGTTGGACGACGCATTGCTCTCAAGTGCTTTTCCTTCCGATACCGGTACATTAATTAACAAACGTGCGCAGTGGGTTGCGAGATGTGTGTTCGTGTGTGGTTGCTCCCTTCCAAATGCCTTGCAATGAAGAAACGGCCGATAGTACGAATGGAGAGGGCCACAGGGCTGTCGACCCACATGCCCCAATTCTGTGCCCTGCAATCATATTTTTTTTTAAAACCTGACACAATCGCGCTCCGTCGCGGCGTTGCCTCGTCATACGGGGTAGGTTTCTTGGGCGGTAGTCAGGGTGTCATGGCGTCTTTAAGAGCATTGCGCATCTTGCAACTAGAATGTACGGCATGCGTGCCCCTCATGGATCCCCTGCAGACACAAACGGACGTGCGACAAGCGGGGGTGTGTTTTGATGAGTCACAAGGGCGCGTCAAGGCCAACTCAGCAGCTCGGCATTGCCGCGTATTGCGAGGTTGTATTTCGCAGCAGGAGCCGGTTTGATGCGTCCCGACCGTGCATGCCTCTACTGACCCATGGGTCATTTCCTTGCTTGGGATAACCGTCCCTCGGCGGCAGAGGTGTTAATTCCTACGTGAGTGCGATCTGCTGCACGCCGCCAAGTGAACCAATTGCGAACAAACAACTCCCTTCATAGCTACTATCGCACGCAGATCAAAGTAGCGCTCGCATCTGGAAATTTGCCGCTGACATCCTGCTTCCCACCTGCCACGGCCCCCAATCTGCCGGCGTGTGCTACCCAAGACAAGCCCACGGTATTCCCCCTTCCTCCCACCCTACCGGTCCTTATGCCCAACAAATAACGTACCATTACGGCACCGAGCGGCTCACTGTGTTTCACTACCCTCACCCTTGCCACGACAACTACATTCACGTTTAATACCCTCACCCCGAATGCCTTCCAACACAATCAACACAATAACCAACCATGCCGAGGGAAACACACCACCCCTCTCCACCCATGATCACATCTCTCACGGCTCCCAACACATGCCAACACCCCATGGTTGAGCTTCATCACAAGACTAGCCTTTCCCCCTTACCCCGCTTACATCACCTTACATGCCAGCCCCTTACAAGCCCCTCCTCCTCGTTTCCTCATCCGTTTCATCATTTTTAACCCCCCCCAAAACCCGTTACATCACCCTCAACCCAAACGCGCTCTCCGTCTGCGTCGCCTTCATCTTGTCGTCCCACAGCTCGCTCTTCTTGGCCTCCTTGGCTGCCTTGGCCGCCTCCTCCGCCTCCCCCAGGTACTCGCGGGTGGCCTCGGGCAGCTTCAACTGCAGGGGGGGAGAGGGAGGGGAGGAGGCAATGCAGAGGCGGAGGCAGAGGCGGAGGGAGGGAAAAATTATATAAAAGAGGCGGAGGGAGGGAGGGAGCTGATGAAGGGGGGGGGGAAGAGAGGGAAGAAGGGAGGAAAGCAGGTTTGAGAGAGGGGCTCCTCCCACGCCTACCAAGCCTGTCGGCTTCCAGTCCTGCCTTCTCCCCCCCACCTGACTGCGCGGCGTGCGGTTCTTGTTGTTGCGCTTGAGCACATCCGCGCCGCCAGCCACCAGCGCCCGACACACCTGGGCGGGGCGGGGGGCGGGGACGGGGGGGCCCGGGGCGGGTAAAGAGGAAACAACTAACTGACTGGCCCGGGGCGGGGGTAAGGAGGAAGGAAGCAACCAACCATGAGGGGTTGACGAGGTGCAGAGGTGAGGGCCTCTAGGGCCTACCAGGTGAACAGGTGGACAGAGACAGAGACAGGGCGGGAGGGAGGGAGGGCGGCGGGAGGCAGGGAGACGGAGAAGGAACCTCAGGACACTTTACTCTTCTCCCTCCCCTCATGTGGGTCGTGGCCCTTGCACCTGCGGACAACCCCCACCCCCTATCCCAACACGCACTCGAAACACACCTCCTCCCCTCCTCCCCCCCTAACTCCCCCTCACCTCCACATGCCCCGCCCGCGCCGCCACATGCAGCGGCGTGTCGCCCTCCGCATTGGCCGCGTTGGGGCTGAGGCCGGGGCAGCGGGACAGCAGCGCCAGCAGCGCCTGGGCGGGGGAGGGGGTGGCAGGGCAGGGGAGGGGGTGGCAGGGCAGGGGAGGTGAAAGGAGAGGATGAGAGGGCAGGGGCAGCAGCACCTGGGCATGGGGAGGTGGGGGAGGTGTGTATGGGGGGAGATGAGATGGGGAAAGGAGGTGCCGGTAAAGGGCAGGGTGGAGGGGAGCGGAGAATGAGAAGGCCCAGGGGGGCGTAGGGCATAGGGAGACAGGGCGTGTATGAACCCTAGGGAAGTCCCTACCTGTCGCGCCTTTACCCAACCCCCTCCCCCCCCGCCCTGCCCCTTCCTCCTCCCCCTCCCCCACGCATGTTTTCTTTTTTCAACACCAGCCGCCCCCTACCTCGTACTGCGCCCCCTCCTCCGCCAGGCGGTGCAGCAGGGTGCCGCCAGCGCCGTCCAGCGCCCCTCCTGCCGCCTGCTGGGGCTGCTGGCGGAGCAGGTAGGCGGCGGCGGTCTGGGGGAGGGCAGGAGGGGGGTGAAGGGGCAGGATAGGCAGGGGAGAAGGGAGTTGAGGGAGCAGGGAGGGTATGGGAGGTCAGCCGAAAGGGGGACGACAGGGTGGTGGGAGGAAGTGAGGGGCGGGAGAGGGGCTGGGAAGCGCAGGGCGGGCGGGCAAGGTAGGCAGGTCAAGGACCTTGCAGAAGGAGGAGGAGAGCGACAGGAAGCGGGAGATGGAGGAACGGATGGAGAGGCAGGGAGTGTGATGCAGCCCCGGCCCGCTCAGCGCCCCTCCCGCTTTGCGGCCCAGCCTATCCTTTGCCTTTCCCTCTCCCATCTCTCCCAGATCCCACCTTTCTTGTTGCAGTTGACCCTATGCACGCGCTACGCCTTCTTAGCACACGCTATACGGTGCCCCTACCTTCCCCAGTCCAGCTGCCATGAGGCCCTTCAGGTCCAGGGCCAGTGAGGAGAGGGCGGCTGGGCTGAGGTGCGGCAGCAGCTGGGTGGGGGGGAGGAGGGGAGGGGATGTTTGCGGGACAGGGCGTGTGACGGAATACCGGTAGGAGGGAGGGACAGGGGGTAAGAGCCAGAACAATACCGGTAATACCGGTAAGTTGAAGGCTGCTAACGAGAGTGGCAACCCGATGCGATGTATACGTCGCTAGCTAACCGTCAGGTCAGTCACGACAGCAACCGTCACGGTCCCTGACAGCGCTTAACCCTCCCCCTGTTGACCCCTCCACATACGACATACCCCTCCAGTGCCGTACCTTTGACGCCAGCCCATCCACCTTCCTCTCCATCGCCACCTTCATCAGCCGCACACCCGCCTCCCCAGGGTCTCCACCCGCCTCCACAACTGCCTCCGCAACTGCTGCCGAAGCTCCGCCGCTCGGCGACGAAGACGACGTCCCCGTAGGCAGCAGCGCCACTTCCGCCGCCGTGGCGCCAGCGTTGTTGCGAGTGTACGGCAGTTTTGAAGCGGGAAGCAGCTCCGAAACCAGATCCAGATCCGCCCGGCGTGCGGCGAGGTGCAGGGGCGTGTCGCCACTGGCGGGATCCTGCATACCGCGGCATACAGCATGGGGGTGGCGAAAAGGAATACTGATGTGGACAGGAGCGGGGTAGGGAGCGGAGCGGAGTTTGAGTGTACAAAGGATGGATGTGAGGAGATAACAGGGGCGGGTTGCAGTGTGTTGAAGAACACTTGCCGCATGAGCCTCGACTTTTAGGCAGCTATCCGCCCCCTGACCCACATCGTGTCACCTCCCCCTCCCCCTCCCCACTCCCTCCTATCACCTGCGCATCTGCGGAGGCCCCCCGGGCCACCAGCGCCCGCACCAGCTGCCTCCGCTGCTCCTGTTGCTGCTGCAACGTGACCTCGGAGGGAGCACTGGCACCATCACCAGCAGCAGCAGCTCCAGCAGCCCCCGCAGCCCCGGCCCCCAAGGCCGCCACCGCCACCAGCAGCGGGGTGCGACCCGAGGGGTCCTGCGAGTACCCGAGTTACGTATAGTAGTAGGGGCTTGCTTAGGGTTTTGAGCAGCGGAAGCAACGGGTAGCGCACTGGCAGCAGCGGAATAAGCGGCCTGGCCCCGCCAAACACCAACCAACTGCCCCACCCCCTACCTTCTCGTTCGCCCCGCAGTCCACCTCCGCCTCCGCCGGCAGCGCCGCCAGCAGCGCCAGCGCCTCCGCCACCCGCCCTCCCGACAGCAGCCGCGAGAGGGGCGTGTGGCCCTCATTGTCCTGCAGCGGGAAGGATGGGAGGATGGGAGGAAGAGAGGAAGGAAGGGGATGTGTTCATGGGGGCAAGGTGGGTGGGTGGGAGAGGGTAAAACACAAAGCAGGACGGTGTGTGTGGTCAGCGATGTGACACGCAGACATGCACGTATGCGCATGCACGTGCACCGCATGCATGTGCCGCGCACCTTGCCCCCCATCTTGGCCCCCGCAGCCGCCAGCCGAGCCGCGAGCTGCGCCAGCTGCTCCCCACTGAGGGCGCCCTCGCAGCAGCGCCGTACCGCCACCTGCAGCGGAGTGCTACCGGCAGCAGTAGTAGAAGTAGCAGGGCAGATGTCGGCTGGGGCACCAGCCTGGGGAAGACGGGGCGGGGCGTTTGAGAGAGTGGGAGGGCAGGAGGAGCGAAAGAGAGGGTTGGAGTGGAGGAGGAAGGTGGAGGGGCGATTGGCTACTAGGATAAGGTGCCGGATGGAGGTATGGAGGTAGAAAGCAGAGGCCAAGGCTTTTTTGCACTTATGCCTTAGAAGTAAGCTTCACTTGTAAGAACATTTGGGATTGTTATCATATGTTTGGAGGCTTCAGCGCTTCAGCCGTTGGCGCTGACTCCCCTACCTTGAGCAGCAGATTAACCACTTCCATCGCCCCCGCCGCTACTGCCACGTGCAGCGGCGTAAGGCCCGCCTTGTTCACCGCATCCACCTTGGTCTTCTTCTTCAGGAGCAGTTCTGTGGGGTTGGAGAGAAACAGCGCTTGTTGGGTAACTGAAAGGTCAGGGAAGGGGCCCTTGGTGCCTTCGGATAAGGGGAAGCAAGGGCAGATTTTGCCAGCATGAGCAGTTCTGTAGCAGGGTTATGCGGAAGGGGCTGGAAGGAAAACATGTCAATTAGAGGAGTAAGGGGTTGGGGTTGGGGTTGGATGGAAAGCTGGGTGTGGTGCGGGTTGTCACGTGACTTGCAACCCCCGGGTCTCAGTTTTTCAGTACCTGCGATTTTCGGTGCGCCATCGCCGCGTGCAGCCCAATGCAGGGCCGTTGAATCCTCATTGTCCACCGCATTTACATCTGCGGCAGCGGCTAGCAACGCCTCTACGATGGCTGGGTCACCTGCCTTTACCGCGACGTGCAGGAGCGAATGAAAGATGCCGGGTTTCTTAGCGTCAGGAACATACTTTTGAGAAGCTTTCTCTCTTTTCAGACGCTCCTGGACAGCCTTGAGCTTCTTAGCCTGGATTTCTTTCACTAGGTCAACGAGGGGCATGGCGTCTCGTGCAATACTTATTGAGGAGTGCGTGTTATGTTCTGTAAGTTTCGGTGTTCTCAGAGAAAGAAACAGTCCTGATCCATGTATGTCGGATTTCGGCCGTACATCAGGCTCGCAAACTTGCTGGCCTGTATGCGACAAAGGCGTCTGCTACATTAATTAACTGAACTGAAGACGTATATCCTATATTGCTATTGTGAGACACAATTACTAACCCCCAAGGGTTATTAGCTGCAAATCGCTGCGTAGCTTACTAGACCGATAGCCATCAACACGGCAACCGGCAATTAATGTGTATGAGCCTTCCTGGTTACAGCGCAAAAGTATTATCTTCAGCTGTCTACCAAAGCTGGCTGTCAAAGACAGATTCCAACTTTCTATAACTGAATAACCTTTATAGGAGAGAGTACTTTACGCACAGAACGATTACCTCAGTAAAGTTTTACGTTAGACACTTCCAAGCTCTCCGTCGTCAAGATGGCCTTTCTTTTTCCCACAGACATTCCACCCCATGAAATCACAGCATGCCTAGCAGAAATGCAAATCGACTTCGATGCGGGGCAATTGACTAAGCCAACCTACGAGGCTGTGCGGACGTATTTCGAGCAGGCGGTCATCTCTTTGTTGGGTGTCAGGAGGTATGCGCCGATCGCCTGTGCCTACCATGCGCAGTAAACAGCTAAGCACTGGAGACTAAAGATGATTTTATGGCGCTTTGCCCTGCTGTGTCTGCCTGCGGTTGGCCGGGCATAACGGTCGTTAATCCCAATTGTCACGCTTTGCAGGGAGAGGATCCATCAGCCTGAGTTCTCCCTCCTGCACATGATGGAACATCCTGAGCTTCACGACGAGTCGATACCCATTGCCAACCTGTTCCGTCAAGCAACCAAGCTTCTGCAAATCTGCGGCGTCAAGGACTTCACCCTAAACGTAAGTGCCACGCAGACATCTGGGTCGTGGTCGCACGATGCAGCTTTGGAAGCCGTATTAGGATCCCCTTTTGACTGGCTGCTGCACTTCCGGAGCTGCAACTGAAATGCACCGATGTACCGACTCTGCTTCCCAGTCGTCCCTCGCCAGCCTCTTTCACAGAAGCCAATAACGGTCCAATCATCTGTGTCCTCCTGGGACACCACAACCACACCTTCCCCTAATCCTGGCGAGACCCCGATTCTAAACCTACCTTCACCCTTCAGGACTTGTTCAAGCCCGACCCTGCGCGGCTGCGGCGCCAACTCTGCGCAATCATCAACTTTGCGAGGTTCCGGGACGAGAAGCTTCTGATTGTGGACGAGCTAGAGGCGGGGGTGGTGGAGCGGCAGCAGCAGGAGAAGGCGCTGCAGGCAGAGCACGAAAAGATGGTGCGTCGGTCAGCGTCTGTGGTAGAGAAACATGTCACGGTTTGGGTGTTTATCGGTATATTTGAGACTGGTGTAGGCCCACACGCGGGGCCTTTCGGGAGCCAGTCAATAGTGCCAGTACGGATGAGGAGAGCAGCCAGGGTGCTAGGTCTCGGAACTTCAGAAAGAGTCAAGTCCTGACTCTGCATGTCATGTCCCTCGCAGTTGGAGGAGCTCAAGCGGCTTCAGGAGCTGCGGGCGTCCCGCCAGTCGGAGGTTGGTCCCATCGACACGGAGGCAGCGGGCATCGCGGCACAGAACGCGCAGCTCAACAAGACGCAGCTGGCGCTCCATAACGAGGTGGGAACTGGGTGGGTCTCGAGTGTGGAGAGTGGGTTGGGAGGGGTTGTCGTAGATGGGTCAAATGATGGCAAGGAAAGTGATTTGGGTAGCTGCTAGGGCTATGGGAATACGTTGCCGCGTCCGCTGTCTTCAGCGCTTCACGGAACTGGGTTGCTTATACCTACAATTGGTACCGGTAGCATCTTCACACCGTGTGTTTCAACTTCCGTACGTGTCGCCTGGCAACCCATGTGGGCGCCTATGCCTCAGCCCTAAACTTATGTTAATAATACTGGCATTTACCCGTCCTTGCTCCCCTGCTCCCTGCATCTGCATACCTCACTATCTCCAAACCTTTTCTCCTCGCTGCCACTCCTCACAGGTCCGCGCGCTCAAGGCCCAGATCAACACGCTGACGGACCAGGCGGCGGAGGCCAAGCTCATGCTGTCGTCGCTGCAGTCGGATGCGGAGACGCTGCAGGACCAGGTTGTACAGGTATGTCATATTAAATATGTGACTGTGTGGTCGCAATAAGGACTGTCTTTGATGAGTCGGATTGGTTGGGATTGTTGGATTTTAGAGGTGTGTAGGTGGGGGGGAAAGACGCTCCGGGAGGCTCCTCGGGAAAGCAGGAGTGGGATGAGGGGATGCGGATGAGGGGATGAGAGTTTCGGTCTGACGCTGATCGGTACCTGGGCTGCTGTCAAGACGGGGAAGGGGAGGAGCTGTTGCATGAGTAGGGCGGCTGTGTCTCTATGCTTACTGGAAACGCCCACTCTTCACCTAAGCTTTACGTTCCTATGCCCATGCGTATACCCATGCCTGCCCCCTTTCGCAAGCCTTCAATTCCCGGACTGCTATTCTCAATCCGTACACCCCATCCGCATGCATCCGTACACCTCTGCCCCGCAGGGCTTCACTTCTTACACTACTTCACTTCTTTCCTTACTTCCGTACACCTCTGTCGTACACCTCTGCCCCCAGAGCCCCGAGAAGCACCGCCAAGCCATCTCGGACGTCATCGCTGCCACCGAGCAGCAGCGCGGCTACTACGCGGCCCTCTGTTCCGCGTCACATGACCACGACCGCAAGCTGGAGCTCATGTCCAAGGTGTGTGCGGCGCAGCTGGGTTGGGTTCTAACATAGTAGACACTGGCAGTATGGCAGCAATTGCATTGGTAAATAAGCAGCTGGGTTGACATCGTGTATATTAGCAGGATGCAGCAAGTAGCAGTTGGGGTTGCGTCTGGTACCCTCTAGTTGAATGCTTGGGTTGACGCAGGCCGGAGAGAGGCAGCAGATGAGGAGTCAGGCGTGAGTCGGTTGCGGTGTTGCGGTGGGCCTTGCGCGAAAATGGAAGGCGGGCCGTGGTCATCTTCGGTGCAAAGACACTGCCGTACTACCGTCGTAAGCCAGGCCTATCTAGCCCCCCTGCGACAAACATCCATCCCGTACAAACCTAAACCCCGATGAACCTTTCTTTGGTCGTTGCACATGATCGTCGTACAGTTTGAGCGCGAGCTGCAGCGGTGCATCAAGCTGCAGGAGGAGCTGGAGGGTGTGGTGGCGCGCAAGAAGGACTTGAGCGCCGCCGCCAAGGATACGCGAGAGGTACGGCGGCAGGGGTGCTCGCGGTGGGTTGGTCAGGGACGTACGGCAATGAGCCGAACTTTGTTAAGCAGCCCATCATCTTCTCAATGGTGGAGCCCTCCTTCAGACATGCGATTGCCACCTAGACTGCTCGTCCTCTTGTACATGTTGATCCCGTCTACGACCAACACTGACTCATTCATCCATTCATTCACCGGATTCACCCGTCCAACCTCAACCCTTCCATCCTGCACTTCTTCAACATCTGAACCTCCACAGGCGATTGCCACGGAGGAGCGGCGCTTCAGCGAGCTGGCCTCCAGCAACGCCACGGCGCGGCGGCAGCTGGCGTCGCTGCAGGACAAGCTAGGCCGCGTGGAGCAGCAGGTGCGTGAGCGCCTGCATGCCTCTGCCAGCCTGCCTGCCTCAGGGACGGCGGCAGGTGGAGGAAGCAAGCATGTAGTCTGTGTGTGTTAATGAACTGGCCGCGAGCCTGTGTGTTAAAATAACTGGCCGCGAAGAGAAACGTGTGTGTGTGTGTGTGTGTGTGTGTGTACGTGTATAGGTTGGGGCCATTCAAGCTGGGTGAGGGCCCAGAGCGACCCACATGAGCTTCCCTGCCACTTCCATCCATCTGGTCAGATAACCTCCCCTGTACTCGCAGGGCCAGTATAAGGTGGATGCGGCGGCGGCGGTCCTAGAAGATTATGTGAAGCGGCGGGAGGCGATGGAGGCGGGGCTTGCGCAGGGAGACGCAGTGGCGGCGGAGCAGGAGTTAAAGGTAGGTAGAAAGCCATGGATAGGACGTGGAAACTGAGGAAGGGGATTCCTCTTGGATTAGGGTTTGAGCACGGTACTCCTATCATCGCCTTCCACGTCGTACCACCACAGACACCCTTCCTACTTCCACCGTATTGCAGGGCCTCAATGCTACACCGTCCCTTGCCCTAAACTTTCTTATCGGCGCCCTCCCTCAACACCTTTTTTCCGTGACCCTACTACCCGTACCGACACCCGGCCCCGCTCCATTACACTCCGCTGTTGCCTTTGCAGATCCGTAACTGGCAGATGCGCACTACCGAGGTGTTGGAGAGCAAGGACCAGCGCGTTCGCAGCGTGCTAGAAAAGTACCACATGTTGCGACGAGGAGTTGCAGAGTACAACCGTAAACTGGAGGCCGCCATTTCCGCGCCACCGCCGATGGCTGGTGCCAGCGGGGTCGGCGCTGCTGCCATCATGGGTGGCGCAGGTGGAGGCGGCAACATTGACGCCGGCGAGTTCGACAACGACGAACTGACGCAGGACCAAGACACTGAGACCTTCCGAGCAGCAGCGATGGCCGCCGCGGCTGCCGTGCAGGGCATGCAGTTGGATTGAGCGGAAGGCGAGGGCTGTGGGTTGGACTGCATGGGAGGGACGCGGCGTGAGGGGGAGGGTTGGGTGAGTGAAGTTGCCCACAGAGATTGAAGGAAGGCGGGTTTTGAGGTGGTTTGGCGTAAGTATTTGTAGGATGCGGGAGTGTTGCTTGAATGGGATTGCATGCATGTGATGGGGCGTATATGTGATGCAGAGAACTAATGGGCAGCGGAACGAGTGATGTATGCATGACCACTGTGAGTTGTAGCCGACTGAACGTGACTCGTATATACTGCCTGCTGGTGTGCATGGGCTTGCATGTGTATTCGCATTTTTGCATTGCATGGGAGGAAACGTGGCCCCAAGTTCAATGTGGGGCCGGGTGCATCGGCGGTCGTACGAAGGGACTGTCGTACTGCAGGGACTGCTAAGGATATACGAACTCTTGTGGGAGGTCAACAGCTATCCCTGCGCCCTCAGGTAGCCTGGTAGGACGTGCCTGAACTCTCCGGTGGTGTCTGCGTCTGTTACCGTACATTTGCCAGCGACGTAAACGGAAATGGTAGTTTCAGTTTACTCAGTGCGGGTGCAGTATCAGCACACGCGGCTTTATCCTCTTCATAACCCGAACTGCAGAAGACGGACACCAGAAGTGCGCGCAACGAAGCCACTATCGCTGTTGTACGCTGCAAAGGCATCTAAGCCAATGTCATGCGCAGCGCAACACTGAAACATCAGCCACAGCCACTCTAAACGCCGTGATATTTAAGAAAAAACACAGACGAAGCCCATTGCCCTGTCCCACACAATCTGTAGTATTGAAGACCATCTACCTGTACGAAACCGTACGGCAGGCACCGTTCCGGCAGTAGCATCACCAGTTCCACCAACTATGCCGTACTTAGGGTGTGCTGCACGTGGATCTGCGCTGCAAGGCTACTACCGGTATTGTGAAGGGAAGATTCTCCCTATAATGTCTGCTACGACTACAATACTGCATTCAGTCCCAAACGACATGTCCCAAAGCCAAAGCAACCTACCGTAGCTGCAGGAAAACTACACCAAACATGCCATCAAGGTTAACTCACGTAAAGCCCGGGCACGGCACATGGGGCGTGACACGCCGAAATGATGACGTGCACAACACCCAATAGAGCCATGGCCAGGAAAGACCAGCGAGCCACTTCAGTAACATGATGAATTGCACGCCTTCAACAACCTCAGAGCCTCACATAGCACCTTGGATGTAGCGAACACACAGGAACCCAAAACGTGTGACACATGGCTAATACACGTGGGATTTCGTCCCGCCCTGATATTGCCTGGACCCTGATACTGAACTAGAGAGAGCCATAAGATACAAGAAAGCATTGACGATGACAGCCTTTTTAAGGACAACCGGCTCTAACTGCTACAGCCACCCCCTTTCAGCACAGCGAAGCACAAACAATACGGTATGCATGTTTACTCAGAACCATACTGTAACCGTCTCCTACAGAAAAGGAACACAACTACATACCCAACCCGTCCAGGCTAAAACACCTCAAGGCTCAAGTGCACTAGCTAGCACGCCTCTGGGCAAGCTGCATGTCACCAGCATCCCTTCCCACGCCATCATCTTCTTGACATCTGCAAAGTGCAGTCATTCCCAAGCTTAAATCGCATTAAGTTCACCTCGCTCTCGTGCTTGTGCTAATTAGGTTTCCCATCCGGTGTTTTGCACACCCCTGTTGACCCACACATGCCCCATTACTCTGGCCCTCCCTGCAATTAGTCCTAAAACATCCCTTCCTCACCCATCCTCAACTGCACTGTCCACCATGCACTATCCTTTCAGCTGAGACCCCCCGCTGGCTTGAGGGTTGGCAGGGCGCAACAGCTAGCCGAGATTTGTCGCCGTACCATGAAGTGGGCTGCCACGTCATCATCAGTTCCGCACTCGTTAATTCCGTTCTCCCCGTTCCCCTTATTAACGACCATGTTGGTCGTTGCAGCACGTTCCCCTGCTGACGACGTCACATCTCTTTCCTCAAGCTTTGGCGAATCGTTGTTCTCGTTGTTCATTGCTGCTGGTAATGCTGCGCTGCCTTGCTTACCACCCGTTCCTCCCAAACCCAGCTTCTGGACGCAGATGGAGTCAACACTGTGTCCCCTGCTGCTGCTGCTGCTGACTTTAACGTCACCAGTACTCGTTAACGGGCCCATGTTGATTGCGGCAGAGGTGGGTCGAAGAGGCTGCTGCTGCTGATGTTCCTGCGGATCTTCCTGCCGGTGTTGGCCGCTTGCCGTACCGCAATATCCGTGGGCAGTAGTCCAGGATGACGTCAGCGGCTCACCCGACATGGTTGTACGGCAGCGGCACCCCGTGGCTTGGGGTGTACAGCAGGGGAAGAATGCCGTGCCTGCTGTAGCGTCGCTGCAACAGCAGCTGAGAGGCGACTGTGGCGGCAGTGTGTGCAACCTCGCACTTGGCGACATGGAGAAGGATAATGTTGAGCCGGTGACACACTGACATGGAGAGCTGCTGCTGCTGCTGCTGTCTTTGTTGCGGCTGCTGCACTTGGCTCTGTGCCCAATTACAGCAGCTTCGGCTGCTAGGCCTCCGCAAGCAGCAGCGGGAGTAGGTGTGACGCCTGCACTTCTACCATCACCAAGGTACTCAGCAACTGCAGCAGCAGCCATCCAGTACGCTACTTCTCGCTCGGGTGTCGTACCCATTAACGTGAGAATGCCGTACTGTGTATTGTTGCCACAGCTATCATCGTACTTGTTAGCCTCGCAATTGTACGGTAATCGCAAGTACATGTCATCAGCAGTTGCCACTGCTGCGGTGGTTGCTGCTGCTGTGGCTGCCGCCAAGGCCGCGGATGTCGGCATGGACTCTGAAGCACCATCCGAAAGCATGCCGTTAGCAATAGCTTTCATCTCCGCGCTTGCTTGTGTGAGATCCGCCTTCGCAGCAGCTCGTCCAGCGGCTGGCATCATCGTTGGCATCACCTCGGCCTGCATGGAAGCAGTTATGTAGCCATTATGGCACGCCCGCCTGCTGCTGCCGCCACCCCGGCTACTGTAAACGCAGCAGCCGCTGCTGTTGTTGTTACGGCTAGCACTCAGCCGAAGCTGCTTCATCACAGCCCACTGGTCAACGATGAACGTACTCTCATGGGCCGTCGAAATCGTCGCCGGAATAGCAGTCCCGCACAGCTCGTCCGCCCAGGACTCGGCGTCAATGACCAAGAAGTCCCCGCTGAGTAAGTCGCTGTCACTCGCCGGCACAACCGCTGACAGCTCTTGCCGCTGCAGCGGCGGCTGCAACGGCCCCATGTCGGGATCCAAACATCCCGTGCATGTGCCTGTGTCCAATGTTGTAAACATGTTTGTCTCGAGTTGCAGTAACTCATTGAGGAGTTCCTCTTGTACCGAAGCGTGCTGCTGCTGCTGCTGCTGGTAAGCGTGGTCGTCATCAGCTCCTGATAAATGCCCAGCTGATGTTGGGCCCAACGGCTCTGGCACGAACGGCGCCGTGAACTCTGGCGCCCCTGCAAGTTAAGTTGGGGTGAAGGTGGGAAGTGCAAATGAGATTTGGAGAGCGAAGAAGTAGAAGAGCCAGGGATGGAAATGGGGACGGAGAATGGGATAGCTGCATTGTAACCTTTGGGGCGCTATGGCGCTGTGATAAGAGGTTCAGCAGCATTCTTCGTCAGCGGAGACCTTTCGTGTTGTTGCAATGTTGGGCACAGGAAGCATGCGCAGAGCGCGGAAGTACTGCTATACGCTGCAAGAGGCGAACCATGCGACGATGCAAGTACACTAACTTCAAGAGACATGCAGCGCCATCCAAAATTATACTCTTGCTTATGGCATGGCATGTCCCGCTGCAAGCTGGTGAAGCAGTGTATTTAGTCTTGCTCTATTGAAAGCCCGAGCTCGTACAAGGACCAGGTTTATTGCCATCGGTACACTACGCTCACCTCTTTGAGGCGGTGGGACTGGGTGACCCTCCACATGCTGGCGGATGGGGGCTCGGGACGACTCCTTGCAAGCGCAATTCCTTTCGGGAGGCCAGCCGTGAGAAGCTTTAGCTTTGCGAGTTGTGAGGGTTAGCTTGCGCCACCAAGCGCGGTCTTGTCGTCTACGGGCATGTCAGCAGAGGGCCATGGACGTAAACATACCATAGAAACACAGGCCCTATTTGGCACTCTTCAAACGTTACCTTGACGTTACGGTGTTTCCATGGCCGATGAGTGACTGTAGGTTGTGACACGAACCGTCGCCGATGTGGCAGGTTTCGCTGTCGATATCCGCGCTGTGAAAGCAGCTTTTCCATAACGAATACCTAAGCATCTAAGCTGCTAAACGTCTATTATACTGCTGTCTGCGTATGCCCAGTTGCCAAAACCGTCGATGTCCGGACAGCTTCGTCAATACGCTCTAGCAGAAATCATCGGCAGAGCAGCGACAATGTGATGCAATTGAATTGTTAATTTAACTATTAACGGCCTATTTTGCTTTATAACGGCTTCCTTGCAACGTTGCTGCTCTAGTACGTTTCCTAGCGTGTTTTCAGAATACCGGTATCGAGACGTGCGTATTAACAGAGATGGGATGGGTCAAACGTTTCGGTGTATATCTCGTATAAGGTAATCTGGTACGAATTCTCACTATTCAGTACTGCTTCTGGGAGACAGGACCGTTAGTCTCTTTGTCCAACGAGCCTGTATACCTGTATGCATTATCTTAGCATTGCTAACGCGTCCTGACTGTAATGGTTGCATCCTTGAACTTCGCTGCGATTTCCCGTACATCACGGCACAACGTGGAGTATTTCCTTCTCAGCCACGACTCCCTCAGATAACCCTTGCATAACAAATTATGGGACGTCTAGTAGTATGCTGTCTGGGAAGAATATGAAAAGTTCCAACCCGCCAAAACCCCGCGACGATAGAAAATTCCGATGGAGGGTTCGACTACTGGAGAATTGTATTATATTGCAGCGAGCCTTTCCGGGAGTGCGGAAGAGCGATAAGGCTCCACGCCGAAACTCTCGTCTTGTAACTCTTTCAGGCTATACGACTGCGCACCTACGCGCTCCCAGTCAATCTCCGTAACCGGCCTTTTCCCCCGCATATATCCTTCCTATGCACCTGTCCAGAGGCTTTGCCACTTTATAAAACCTGCAACCCGCGCATCATTTTTAGCTTCCTAGCCTTGCCCTATGAAGCACTTTCGGCTCCAGGATGTATGCTGCTTTTTGTCAGGCATTCGTCTACGCAAAACTCCAACAGGTTCTGATAGCAGCAGCGGGATCAAACGCGGCCAAATCCATCCCAGCCCCGAAACCGCGCCTGTTACAACAACGAGGCAGCCAGCACGCCTAGCTGCAGCTAGCGGGTTTATACCGCAACGCCCTCTCGTTAACGCGTTAAGATTCTGGTGGAGGTCGTCTCAGTCCATATTGCACCGGGCCGGTCTCACCCTTAAGCGTCATAGCCTAGGTATACCCCCGAAGGAAGATGGAAGCAAAGAGCACCGGGTCAGAAGCTTACACATGCCCTGCTTAGCGAACCTGCAACGTATCCAGCCCGCAGCCACCTCAAAATCAATTGATCTACTCACCACTGCGGCCGCTGGTTTTCCACCGCAATCCCCAAAGTATTTTCCTCACCTAAGATTGACTCTCCATGCTCGTCGTATCCACTCCCGCAGCCGCTCCCGCCCCTGCTCCTCCCGCTCTCCCTCCCCCTCCCCCTCTCCCATATCCGCGCACTCCTGCTCCTCCACCTGCTGCAGTCGTTGAAACGAGATCCAGTTTTCGTACACAACGGTAATACCCGTCCTCTCCGTACACTCCACGCTGGGAGAGATGTACAGCCTGTCGTACAAAAGGGGTTAAGGGTTGGGGGTTTGTGTCTTTGGGATTGGGTCCTGTACGTCCTGCCACCTGTGCAGCTGTATATTGCTACCGTAATCACGTCAAACAAAACGCGGGTCCCATCCCGCTGGTCTGCCGAAGTAACGCAGCTAACACCGCACACACCCCGAATACCAACAGTGTCATTCGACGTTTGGGGAACACAACGTGCCGTACGGTTGGGCTTGCTTACACCCTTTCCCCTGCCCCCTCCCACCTGCAGCTCGTGAATGCCCAGATCCAGCTGCCCATGCACTTCCAGCAGTGCCCGACCGTCGAACGGCTGCCGCTCGCCTCCTCCACCTCCACCACCTCCACCTCCACCGCCTCCTCGACCTTGCCTACCTGCGCCCGCCCCGCCCCCGCCCCCGCCGCCGGCGGCGGAGGCTGCGCCGGCAAGCGCCGCGGCTGCGGCAGCAGCAGCAGCTGATGTGGCGGCGGCGGAGGAAGCGGCGGAGGCGGCAGCGGGACCCCGCTTACGGTACCTAGAGACGGAGAGAGTAACAAAAGGGAGAACCAAGGTGTTGGTAGCCTTTGGTAAGATGGCGGTTAGACGCATTGACGGAAGTACGGCGACTGAAGGGTAGTGGTAGGAGCACGGTTTCAGCAGCCAGCTACCCAAAACCCTCCATCACCTCACCTCACTTCCAACCACCCCCACCGCGCGCCCCCCATCCCCCCCCACCTGGTATTGAGCACGGTCGCATGCAGCTTCACGGGCCGCTCGTCTTGCGGCAGCAGCAGCCCCGCGCGCTTGAACTCATCCACCAGCAGGTCGCACAGGGCCGCCAGACGGGAGCCGGGGCCCATGTCGCGAACCTGGGGGTGGTCGTGGTCGTGGTGGGTGGGGGTGGTGGGTGGGGCAAACAGGAAACAACGTACTGACCGTGTGAAAAGGCGTCATCATGGTTTGCAACATGGTGATGGTTGGGGGGTAGGTGCAGAGAAAAACACCGAACGGCGTGAAACCGCTGGCTAAGGCATGGAGGGGCGTATATGTGGGTTGAAGGGATACCAAACTCCTGGCATAGCCATGGGTGTGTGTGGCGCGGGGCTGGGGTGGGCCATGGGTGTGGCGGGGTGAGACGGGGACGGGTTCGGGAAGGGAAGGAAAGCAGCGTCTCGGAGCTGGTGGCAGCTAGGGCCGGTAGTGTAACCTTCCCTCCCCTCTTTCCCCCCGGGGGGTACGCACCTTAAGGTAGAGCACGTGCATGGCCGCCGGGTCGTCATTCATGTACTCCAGACCCTGGGGGCGCATGCGGGGGGACAAGGGGGGGTGCGGGAGCCAGCAATTAGAAATGGGGACTTCGGGGCGTCGGAAGGCAGGGGGACGGAGAAAGCAAGTACATGCGCCAAGTCTTCAAACATTGCTGCCAAGGCCCAAGCGGTATGCTGGGAGCCAACTGGGAGCCTCATGCCACCTGATTGGTCGCGCCTTTCGCTGTACGGTGATGTTCCTGACGCATAGGCGACATGCGCGAAGCTGCCCACCTAGCTGCCCACACGCCCCTCCACCCCTCCCGCCGTCCCCCCCTTCAATGGGTATTCCCCACCCCAGCCCACCTGCAGGTGCACCTTGAGCGGTGCGGACCCCAGCAGCGCTGCCACCGGCTGCCGCAGCCGCTCCAATACCTGGGAGTGTTGGGGGTGGGGGGTGGGGGGTGGGGGATGGAAAGGTGGAGCCAGATGAGAGCAGTGGTTGCGCGGGTGAGGGGCAGGAAGGGGAACAGAGGACGAGCCGCGGGAGGTAGCAAAGCATCCTCGTCCCGGAGGAGCGTCCCGAAGGGCACGAAACACCAGCCTTGCGCCCCCCTGTGTGTTCCAAATGAGTAGCCCCCACCCGAATCCCTGGCTCCTACCAACTGCCCCGGTGTGCCAGCAGCCAGCAGGTGGCCGCCACCTCCTCCCTCCTACCACTCGTCCCCGGGAGGGCCGCTAGCCCTCTACCTTGTTTTGTGGCGCCCTGCCGCCTACAATTCCTTTCGTCATGCGTCTTGTGGTTAAAGTACTTGTTTAACCTTCCCCCCTTGCTGCGGCCCCCCCCACCCCTCCCCCCCACCTGCTGCGCCCGGTGCCGCTTCTCGTCGCTGTAGAGCTTCAGCATCACCAGTGTGAGGTGCAGGTGGCGAGGCGCCATGAACACACTCTCCTCCAGACCCGAGGAGGGACCCGCGACCCGCGGGTCGCTTAGCACCGCCCGCCGGAACGCCTCGAACTGCGCCACTGCGGCGGGGGTGGCCAGCGGCAGCGAGAGGAAGAAGTTGTAGTCGAGCAACCTAGGTTGGGCAAGCGGGGCGTGGGAGGCGGGGGGAGGATGAGGGAAAAGCGGAGGGAGAAGCAGAGGGCAGGGTGGAGTGCGGGCGGGGTGACGGTGTGTTTAGAGGGACGGGGTACGTACCAAAAGGTACGTCTATGTAACTTTGGCAGCCGCGCTAACTCGCTAGGCCCTTCCCTTCCCTCCCTCCCACCTACCTTCCTTCCTTCTCCCCGCCTCTATCTCTCCCTGCTACAACAATCGTTAATCCCCCTCGGCAGGACGTGTCGGCTACCATGTTTGCACCCCATGCTGAAGCCTACATGTCATACAGCCCATCACTTTCTACCCCCCCCTCATCCCCTCCTCTCCCCCTCCCCGTCCTCCCTCCCCACCTGCCCGACATGGCTCCCTCCACCGCCAGCTGCGCCCGCAGGTAGCCCCGTGACACCACCGACCGACTGGCACCCCGGATCAACACCTCGCCGCCTCCTCCCTGCTGCGCGCCTCCTGCCCCTCCTCCCTGCTGCTGCTGCTGTTGTTGTTGTGGGTTGGGTCGGCGAGGTATGACGAGCTGCGACCCCGTGTCGGACTCTATGGCTTTACGGGTGCGGCCTTCTTTGCCGATGAGGAAGGGGAATACCTGGCGGGATGGCAGGGGCGGAGGAGGGGCGGAAGGGCAGTGGTACTTGGAGGGGTGCTGGGAGGGGATTGTTCACGAGCGAGATGTGGGTGTGAGCTGGGGCTTGGGAAGGGGGGGGGCCCTTGACAGGTGCAAGGAATTGGCCGGTGCATTTTGGGCGGGACTTGGCAGGTGCAGGGCTTGCCCTTAACAGCCTTCCCAGATTGTGAACGCCTGATCCCGCCCCGCTATGTGCGCGATCCCACCTCCGCATCGCAGGACAATCTGGCCACGAATTGGTTGCCTTCCTGCTGTATGAGCGACTCGTCGATCATGTCTGCGTCGCATTCCGCGGCGAGAGCGGCTTCATCGTCCTCCTCGTCTTGCTGCCAACGTGTGCCTACAACATGCTCTCCACGATCTGGCTGATGGGTAAGCGTGGAAGCAGAGCTGCCTTGTACACGGTACGTCCTGCTACCGATGGTAAGGAGCTGGCAGCGAACTACATCCGCGTCCGCCATATTACTTTTATAGCTTACGTTACAATAAGTTACATACATAGTACACAGGTTTGGCTCATCACGCGACTAGGGGCTTGCGGTTGGCTGGATCCCGCTGTACTGCGTTCAGCTCCCAAACGCCGACCGGCAGTAGCGTAAAGGATTGCTAGTTCTAAGCACTACTGAAAATGCGATCTAGTTCTTTCCTTCTTCGCTGCATAGTACATACCAAGTTACCGTCTTTCCTTAGGTCGTGAAGCTGCCCAATTTCCCTTTGCGGTACTACACCCTTAGCGTTGCTGCAAAACAATGGAACGAACGTAGTCTCTTACGTATCAAGAATGCGCCGCACCAGCAGAAGCAGACCGAGGCAGCTGTTGCTGGCATGGATGCTGGCAGCAGCTATAGAGCAGCTACATCGCGCGGCAGCTGCTACTGATCCACAAGCGGAGGAGCTTAAGGCTGCAATCAACGCGGAATACACGTTTAGACCGACCAATTGGGACAGTGCCATCCTCAACGACACCTTGTCAAAGTGCGTACTTCCTGGTGGCATGTCCCAAAAGGCTGCATAATGGGATGTCCTCTTGGTTGCGTGGGATAATAGCCCTTCCCTCAAACAACAACTTATGGCCCTTCGCCCCTTCGGCATACACTCCACCTGCAGTCAACCGCATCGAGCATCGCCTTGTCATCTTCCATGTAACATCCTCAATTTCCCCCCTACCTGCCGCGCTGTTACCCAAAACATCTCACCTACCCCACAACCATGCGCTCATAACCTCTTTTCACACATGCCACTTCCCCCCACTAACCCCCTTCCCCTTCCCAAGTATACTCCACCCTATGGCAAGACAATCATTCCCTCTTAACCCCCTACTACACTCTCGCGCCCCCTCCCTCCAACCTCCACTCTCCCCACCTGCCCCCCAGCCTCAAGCTGGAGTCCATCCTCTGGAGCGCCAAGCCGCGTCGATTCGACTTCACCGTCTTCACGCAGCTAACTGTCAACCGCCTGCCCACCCTCTTCAACATGTGCACCACCTTCACGGGGCCGCTCAGCGCAGCGGTGTACGTGCCGCTGGTGCAGGTTGGTGCTGAGAAGGCCGGCAGGGGGAGACGGGAGCTGCTGCTGTCGGGCAGCGGGCAGCAGCAGCTGCAGCAGTCAGAGGGCAGCAGCGGGCAGCCGCGGGTGCTGTCGGGAAGTGGGGGTTACCTGCCGCTGGTGCAGCCGCAGGCGGAGTCGAAGTCAGGGCGGCGGCAGATGGAGCAAGGGGTAGGGCAGGCGGGCAGCGAGCAGGGATTGCAGCAGCAAGGGGAGCGGCTAGGGGCGGCAGGGCAGCTTGGAGTGCGACTAGTTGGGAGAGAGTTGAGGGTCGGTGACATTGGGCTAGGCGCTGCGGTGGAGGAGGAAGGCAGAGGCGGGGGCAGTGGCGGTGGCGGAGGCGGAGGCGGTGGCAGCGGCAGTGGCGGAGGCACTGGCAGCGGGAGGGGAGGCCGGTCCCTGCTGTCCGCTGCCAATGCGGCGCTGCTGGCGGACGCGGTGGCGCGGGTGGAGGCGCTGCACAGCAGGTGGGGGAGCGGGGGTTGGGTTGGGGAGGTGGTAGGGGTGGTGGTAGGGTGGGGTTGGGGTTAGGTCGAGTGGGTGGGTGGATGGCACTGCTGTGGGGCGAGCGCGTGCGGGGGTTCCGGTGGGGCCATGTCCCGCCTCATCCACCTCCAGGCTCCTCTCCCTCCCTCTTTCCTCACCGCGTCGCCACTCGTCTCTACCCCCTTCCTCCCCCTTCCTCCTCCTCCTCCCTCCTCCTGCTCCTCCCTCCCCCCTGCAGGACCGAGTCGCTCCCCTCCGGCTGCCAGCTGGACCTGATGCTGTTCAGCGAGGTGTTTGACAGCCCCCAGGCGGCGCTGCTGTACCCGGTCAACTACCTGAGGAACTACGCGCGCATGCAGGTGCAGGAGGGTGGTGGGGTGGGGGTGGGGGTGGGGGTTTCAAAGACCATACCGAATACATCGCCAACGCGGACTCGGTATCGGTAGGGAACGCTGGCCACCACTCCTTTTGTGGCACCTGCCGCTTCCTGTTCCCATGCTTTACCCTAACCAGTGGTATAACCTGCGGCTTAGTATGGTCCTATGGTCTTTGACCCCCTCCCTCCCTCGCCCCCCAGGTCCGCACCCGGCTGCTGGCCATGATCGATGTGGACATGTACATGAGCGCCTCGCTGTCTCGGGAGATGGAGCAGCCGGGCAGGTGGGGAGGGCCGGGGGCGGGGAATGAATGAGGATACATAGTCCGCGGGGGGTAGAGGGGAGAACAGACATGCTCTCCCATCCTACCCTCTCCATACAACCAATGTTCCCCTCCCCTGGTGGATCCTTGTTACATGCTTAGCTAGCATCCTCCTCAATGCCTCCCCCCCCCCCCCGTCCTCTCAGCATCCTCCTCAATGCCTCCCTCCCCCCCCCTCCTGTCAGCATCCCCCGCTACGAGGCGCTGTGTGAGCAGCGGAGGGCCACCGTGCTGCCCGCCTTCGAGCCAACCAAGCCGGGGGCGGTGGGGAGGGACATGGCCACAAACCTAACCAAGAGTAAGTCAACTACCAAGAGTAGGTCCAGCGGGTAGCAGCAGGAGGGGAGGGGAAGCCGTATGGGGAGAGGGCCGAGGGGAGGGGGGCTTTGGATTCCACTGCTGATTGGGAAGGTAAAGGTAACGGGACGCGCTGGCCTGTTTGCATGGGCTGGGCGGGCATGATGGCATGAGTGATGAACAGCACGTCGTCTCCATGCACCGCCGACCAGCGCCATTACATCCCCACCGCGCTCCTGCACCTCACCTCCCAAAACACCCCCACGCCCCACCCCCCCTGTAGTGACGCATCACAACGCATCTGTCACCAGTTCGGCTCGACTCACTGTTTTTCCATTAGGGCTTGTTTATCACTATCATACCACACATTGGAAATTCTTCCCCCCCGTAGTGATACTTGTTTTTTGTGGCACCCTGCCGCTCCTATCCCCATTGTCTTGCACCAACCTGTGGCGTCCTATGGTTCGGTATGGTCTTTGACCCCCCCTGTAGTGAGCAAGCCCCAGCTGGCGGCTGTCCACGGCCGCAACAAGGCCGCCATTCAGTTCAAACTGCGAGTCTTCCCGCGGGGCCACACGCCCACCAACTACACCCGCTGGTTCGCGGAGACCCAACCCTACCAGGTGGGGAGGATTAGAGGCTGAGGGCAGCTGAGGACGTGTGCAGTGAAGAACAGCTCATTATAGGAGTTCGCATTGGCAGCGAGGCCCTGAGGCCGCAATGGTGCCCAATATACGTAAACCCTAACTTCCTGCTGCACCCTGCCCGCCGCACCCTAACCTCCCGCTGCCACGCAAGCCCGCCGCCAGGTGCCCTATCACCCTGACCTGATGCTACTGCCCCGCCTCTGCTCCCCCGACTCTGCTGCCCCGCCTCTGCTGTCCCGCCTCTGCTGCTCCGCCTCTGCTGCCCCGCCTCTGCTGTCCCGCCTCTGCTGCCCCGCCTCTGCTGCCCCGCCTTCGCCCCCCCCCCGCCCAGGTGACCTACAAGCGCTTCTACGAGCCCTGGTTCATAACCTGCAATGAGATCATGCCCTGGTACGACGTGGATTTCCGAGGGTACGGCATGAACAAGATCGTACTCATCGCAGCCCTGAACTACTACAACTACAGCTTCTGGATTCACCCAGATGCCTGGCTGGTCCATAACCCTCATGCGGATACCGAAGTACGGAAACTAGTAGCTCGGGAGGCTTCTGACGTGAACAAATTGAACGTCAAGTTACCCGCTAATGCGCTGTATCGCAAGCTCACGGTGTTGTTTGGTAAGGCCAAGCGCGGGATGATGCGCGGGACGTATGACCCACGGGTCGATCCACGCATGCTTGCGGTGTACGACAAGGTATCATGGCTGCGGCCGGCGCCAAAGCTGGTGGGCAGTCCCACGCCTGAGTCGGTGTTCACATGAATCGTGTTAGCTGTTGTGCCTGGCTGCCGACACAAGTCAGCACCGCACGACAATCATAGCTGGGTGTCTTTCCACAGATCGGAGATCGGCACAGTAACGCTGCATTTTGCATGGTGACCATCGCGTGCTTATGAGGAGGTTACGCAACTGTGCGCTTCATGCGTGTCATGCGTTTGGGTCTGCTGTATGTCTTGGGAGGCGGGATGACGTGAGGGGTGATTGAGAGGTTGCGATGGGGATTAATACACACACACGCGCGGGGTCTAGTTCGAACCCAATCCAGCGAGGTATAAGCCGTACTAGCTAGCAGTGTTTGTGCTCATCCTGCACGTTGGTGGCTGAAAGTGAAGGGAATGTTTGGGGCTGTTACACTGGTAATGCGTAGAGGCGGGTTACTAGCGTACTAGAGTAGGAGTGATCGATGATGTACGAGGAGGACAGGAAGGCCAAAAGCTGCCAAAAGGCAACATCCACAGGAAGTAAGGAGTTGGCGTGGTAGGAGGAGCAGGAGGAGGAGGAGGAGCGGCGCAACGGCTTAGGAAATATGAAATATACATTCGGACAGGCCCTAACACGAGCATGGGGCTGGTGTTCGGCCCTATATGCTCGCTCGTCTAGTTGAATGGAGTTGCGTGCAGCGTTCAGGTGTTGCGCTGACGCGTACTGGGATGAGCACGCGGGGAAGGGGAAAATGGAAAGTGAAGCAACGGAGTCTCAATCAGGGAGATTAGCCTCCTACGTAGGAGGATCGGACCTGTCAGCCCAGGGGCACCCTTATTCCATAAAGTAAGAAACGTTGGGGGGATGCTTGGGGCTTGTGTCCTTGATCATACAAAAAATAATAACGTAACACCGTTCACTTTAGTGTAATGAAAACATATAAGACAAGGCCGGGTGGCACGCACTGTGCGCTGTGATCCTGTGCTAGCGCTTGAAGGGGGAATTGATGATGACACCCAGGGTACACAGGCCAGCTCGCACAGATCTTAGGATCTTAGGATTGAGCGGATCATCTTATCTCACGTTCCAAGGGCTCTATGACGGTCCAAATTCCGGTCGGTCCATCCCATGACGGCCCTGTCAGTCCGATCGGGTCAGTCTGTCGCGCCTGATTGGCTCTCCGAAACCGCGGTTCCTTACGCCCTTGGGTGCTCTGGAGCTTGAATGGTCTTCGAACAACATGCAGGGGGTTCGACGGCTTGGCCTACTTACCATTTTCCGTCCGTATAAGGTGGCGATGAACAATCGCAAAACGCCGAACGACGCTACGAGTTAACGATCATGAAACGAACCAACTGTCGCAACGGAAATTCGTGATGATACTCGGAACACTCTATTGCATTTTCCTACATGCATGCAGCAAAATAGTGGATATTTCACTGATTGCCTTTGGCAGGATAGTCTGCAAAGCACGTCTGGAATGAAGGTCATGGCACCTGGATGCGCGTACCGTTTCGCTTTGCCTCGGCTCGTCGCTTCAGCGCGTCTTCCCGTGTAATCAACCGCCACTTGCCAGCAGTATAACATCAAAGGATGTCTCTCTCATAAATCTCTGATGCCTTGGGACGAATACGCATGTTGCAAGCCGCGGCCTCAACGCACATCTCCGTCGTTTATTACTTCCTCGTGATCCAACTCTGCGCGCACCTAGCAAGCGCATGCACCAGCATCCCAACCCGTGTAAACCCTTGGAAGCAAACACCATCATGTCACAGCTACGTATGGGTCGAGCCTTGCTTGCACACCAAGGCTTCTAACCGGGGATCTGCGTCGCTGCAACAGCCGCATCACGAGGCAGCAGGTGAGACCTAGGGGAAGCCGCGGCAACGCCAATTAGCTACCCTCTTGTCGCTTTGCTAATGGCATTGCTCGCTTGGTAACACATATCCTATCATGCAAGGATCATGCAGTGGTGTTGGCGCGTGTGTGAGCCGCAGACGTTATCTGACTCGCCTAGGGTTGTTGTTGTTATTTGTGTGGTTGCGCGTCTTGTACGATGCAGCTGCAGTGTGTCGTAGGCAGCTGCCAGTGAAGGAAAGTAACTTGTGTTTTGGGCGGCAGCGCATGGGTGTGGGCGGCAGCAGGAGCGACAGACATGCGGGGTGTAGTTTCAGACAGCTGCGCCGAGCATCTCAAAGCAACATCTATGCAAGGCAACCTCTGCCTAATGGCTCCCAAACGTCTTATTTAGTAAACCGCCACTGGCCCTGAGCATTGGATTGGCTGGGTTGACCAGCGGTGCACGCATTGTTGTTCTCGAGGCGGCAAAGGGTTCAGCGAATGCTTTCCTTAGTCGAATGATAGCTTTGCCATTCCTTGTGGCTGTGATTAGTACAATCATTGAGTGCTGGTACACGGTCACGCTTAGTGGCCAGCGGGGTTGGCTGCGGAGCAGCGGTTCGCAAGGGTTTCAAGTTATGGCCATTAACCTCCAGCATTGACCTTCACTACTGTAGAAGCCCAACGCCAACCCCATCCCTTTCCCTCCCTCAACCCTCGCCGCAAATCCCTTGCAGACCTCCGCTGCTGGAATCATAGAACCCCCCGAACAGCGTACGCCACTACGGCCAACACGGCTTACTCCCGGCGTACTTTGCAACTCACCAATGGACCACTCCTTCTATGACGAGCTGGCGGCCATTGTAACGGCCGGCGGCGGTTCAACTTCCGGCGGCGGCGGTGGCGGCGTTGACGGCGGCGGCGGTTCCCTACTCCCTCTCGCCGACGGGCTGTTTGGTTCACCCCGATGCGGCGGCGGCGGTAATGGCGGCTGGAACCTTGCAGACAATCCGCATCGCTTGCTTAGCATGGGTTCCTTAGAGATGCGTACGTCGCTGGAGCAAATAATGTCGGGCGGCGGTAGTGGTAGTGGCGGCAGCGGCACCCCTCATGCTACTGCGGTTACAGGCTGCGGTACGGCAGGCTCTCCGTACGGCGGTGCAGCACTGCCGGCGACGGCGACGGTGGTGGCAATGGCAGCGCCGCCGCCTGAGGTTGAGAACCGTAGTGACGGAGGTAACGGCGGTGGTGGCGATGGCGGCGGTGGCGGCCAAATAGAACATCAGGTGACGCCAAGTACCCACCCGAGTACGGCGGCTGTTGGTGCCGTACAGAGCAGCCATGGTTGTACGGCATTACCCCTCGCTGTCAGCGCCGGAGGCATAGGGAGCCATGCTAACATAGACGGCGGCGCGTCAGCAGCTGACGGAGTCCAGGCAGCTGCGGTCACGCTGAAGACGGATCCATGCACTGCTGCTCATCTCCATAGCAGCGACACGACGGCAGCCGTCCCCATCGCTACGACCGCTAACGGCGGCGGTGGCGACAGCGGCAGCGGTAATGCCGCCAACGCACAGCTCCTCCCCGAGCAAGGTGGCACCTTGGCGGCACCGCTGCCGCCGGGTATCATTTCTGGTGTGCCCGCCGCTCCCACCGCCGCTGACCCCACCTCCCCCGCCGCTCCTTACGGCGGCGGTGTTGTTAACCCTGGAGGCTTCGAAGGCGGCAGGAGTGGTAGTGACGGCGGCGGCATTGGTGATACCTCCGCTCGCAACCAACCAGAGCCTCCACCGCTGGCGGGTCTCCAAGGTCCGACTACCGAGCACCTCAACACCCCGCCTCTGCAACCGCAGCAGCCGCAGCAACACATGCAGGGGCAACCTCCGCCGCAACCTCAGTCGCAGCCGCAGCCAGGACCTCACCCTTCAGCTCATGCGTTGCCACCGCTGCCGCTGCCGCAGCAGCCGCAGCAGCCCCAGCATCATCAGCACCACCACCTGCCAGTCCACTTGCCCACCCAGTACGCAACAATGCAGTCGCCGCCGCAGCAGCAACACCAGCAACACCAGCAGCAAATGCAGCAGCAACAGCAGCAGCAACATCAACAGCAAATGCACCCGGCTCAGGCGCATGCGCTGTCGAACTCGGCCGCAGCTGCCGCCGCAAACATGCACCCTCAGCACCCCCACGCCGCCAATGCTGCAGACCCCAACGTCCCGCCCGGCTTTTCGCGTTCACACTCCTACCCACAATTGCATTCACCGGCACCCAACCAGCGGCTATCGGTGTACGGAGGCAACCCCGAAGCTTCCACGCCGCCACCGCCGCCGGCAGGTTTCGTACCCGCTCCATCGCCGCTGGCATCGTGCAATGCTGGGCTGCCGCCGCCGTCACCACCGCCGCCACCACAGCTGCAACCACCCGGCCATGGCACAGGGGACCCGTACATGCCGTACCCCACATCTCCTATGCAGGGCGTACAGCAGCAACGGAACGAACGCCTCCAGCCGGCTACTGCTGCAACCGCCACCGGACACGGCCCTGCTGGTACTGCCGCTGTACCGCAGCCGTACAACACCCATGCCGGCATGTACGACAGCAACAATAACCGTACCGACCATATTAGCCAAGCGCACTCGCCTTTTGCGGCTCTGCGGGGCGGCTCAAGTCCTGTCGAGCGCCGGGAGTCGGCCGGGTCGACTGTGACAGGAACCGGCAGTGGACGAGACAGCGGCGGAGGTGCGGTGTCTGGTGTAGATCACGGCAGTGGGGCCGCCGCCAATGCCGCCGCCACAGCCGCCGCCAACAATGCAACGACAGCGGTCCCCTTGGCGGGTGCGACGTATGCACGGCGCCCTGAGGAAATGCAAGGGTCGGTAACCCATGAGCGTGGTCGCGATGGGAGCAGCGGTGGCGGACCCGTGGGTCACCTGGGCCTGCATTGCAGCGCAAGCAGCAACATGCTACACCCAATGGCTGAGGGGAACTACAGGGACAACAGCCCTTATCCCCGTCCGCCCCACTATCAAGGTCAAGGTGGGCATCAACAGCATAACAGTGACGCTTCAGCGCCTTTTGCATCAGCGCCTACAAGTAGCAGGGACTTCGTCAGTTTCGGACCTAACGGACCCACGGGTCACAATACCAATCCTACGAATCACCTGCCAGCCATCACTGGTCCCTTTGGCGCCGCCACTAGCCCTGCGGGGGCCGGCCAACAGTACAACCCGCAATTGCCGTACAACCAGCAATCGCCGTACGGATATGGAGGACATCAACCGCAAGCACCGCTGTCGACGGCGCCGTCCCAGCAGCCCCAACCGCAACAGCAGACAGCAGCAGCACATGTCATGTACGGCGCTGGTGCCGCTCATAGCACGCTGCCGCACGTGTACGACTACCACAACCACCCACAACCACCAACGTCACAGTGGCGCGGCGACATGCCGTCGAATGTGCCGTACGATAGGCAATCTGATCCAGGCAGTTTTCCCGGCTTTGTAACTAGCGGCCGGCAACCACACCCGCATCCATTCTCACAGTCACCGCCGTACATTGCTTCTGCAGGCCCGACCTACGGACACATGCAGTCGGTGCTGCCTCCCACACAACAGCAGCAACATGCTCCGAACCAGGAGCAGCAACACCAGCAGCACCAGCACCCGCAGCAGCGACATCACCGCCACAGCATTGGCACTGGCACGCCCTTCTACGAGCTCGCGCGGATTCCCGAGGTACAGCAGATGCAGCACCCTCATCCTAACGCACATCCGCACCCTCATTATGCCAATCAATCTCAGCAGCCGTACCACCATCAGTTGCACGGAATCAACCCTTTGCAGATGCCTCCACAGTTTCAGACGCATTCGCCCATGCAGCATCAGCAGCAGCCGGGATTCCAACAGCAGCAGCAG